GGCACTATGCCTGGCAATGTCTCCCAGCTCAGTAATCTGTGTGTTGACTCACCACTCCAAAACTAGAACAACACTCCAATTTGTCTGTCATCTTGGTTTGAAAGTAATCTTTGTAATAGATCTCATCATCTCAATATGTAGTTTATAATAATAATTCATCCAACTTTTACACAAGGTTCTGTCCTAGGTCCTCTACTGTTTTTAATTTACATTAATGATCTTACACATTCTTACTTACATTGTTACTATTATTTGTGACAAGTTCACAAGCACAAATCGGCCCCTTTAAATGCACCTCGCAGTTAAATGAAAGTTGCCGACAGAGTCGGTTAAAAAAAAAAAAAAAAAAAAAACGATTTTTTTTTTTTTTTTTTTTTTTTTTTTTTTTTTTTTTTTTTTTTTTTTTTTTTTTTATTTTTTTTAAATCGTTTAACCGAAAACCGTCCGGTTTTGACTGGCGGTTAAACGGAATTGGAGATATCCGTGATGTTACAGCACTAGTAAACACATACCACCGTTTAGGCCTATTGGATGGGATTAGAAAGATGACTCGGCCGGGAGGTGACACGACATTTGCTCCTGCGACAATTGCTCCGGGCTTTATTTCGTCTATAAGATGTAGGGTTAGGGTTAGGGTTTCAATAGGGTTTTATGTTAGGTTTAGGGTTAGGTTTAGGGTAGGGTATAGTGTTGAATCCAGGGTTGAAGTTAGCTATTCGATTAGTGTATGAAATTTACAGCGGAGCAATTGTCGCCGGAGCAAATGTCATCGAATCGGCCGGGACTCTGAGGCCGATGTTATCATGGGTTAAATTTTAGACCCACATATACAATAAACATGCCCTACGTTTGAATTGATGAGCAGATCGGAGTGTGGCTGCTGGTTAGCAGATCAGACGACCGTCCAAAGAATTACCCGTATATTAGGCATATCATTATCTCTGACTTACCAGTAAGGCCTCATTTGCAAGTTTCTTCCGCTACTTTACAGCGCACTTAAAGTTTATCTCCTGACAAGGTCAATGAATTGTCATAAACAAGCAGGCTAATTTTGAAAAAAGAAAGAAAAGAATGACATAGCCTATAGTATATATAAATATATATATCTAGGCCTCCATTTGCTTTATTTTAAAGCCCCACTGCCTACTTGTAGATACTTGCTCCCTCTCATAGAAAACTTCCCCAATCGGTGCCTGTTGATCCCCCATGGCTGGTTAGTTGAGAGCCGCTTTAGCCACATGTCAATGACCTCGCTGTGTGGTCTAATCTCTTCTGGCCCAGTAGTATTGGGCTTTAATTAATATTTTTAAAATTATTTTTACAGATCACCCTTTCGGGTGTAAGGGGAGCATATATATAGGCTCTTAAATTTTTGGTTGAATCATATTATATATCTCAGCACATTTCCACATTTTGAACCCATTTTTTTTTTTAAGCATTCAAACTGAGAGATATCAGCCCAAAGAGGGAGAAAGCAAAACAAACAACAACAAAAACTTCCAACCGACCGACCCATGTTTTGGTATGGTCCAACATTTTTTTTTTTTAGGCCGCCGCAACCGAATGTCTCAGAGCGCAACGCTGCTAGGCTATATACTAGGTCGACTGGAAAATGTCTGCCTTATGCCATATAAATTTACATAATTACTCTTATCTTTATTTGGTAACATACGATTTCTGTTATTTAATCTATTTTAAACTTAATTCGTATCAAATATTCTAAAATATGATTTTCATATTTTTTTAGTTCTTTTAGAATATAAGCAAAAATGTTTTGGCATTTGAGATCCATGACAGAAAAACAACATCCTGACATAAAACGCGATTCGACCGACATTCGACATCGCTTCCTAAGCTAAGCAGCGAATATTCTATTTGACTTGTGATTTTCCTGATTTCCCTGAACTCGTAAGTTTGGTATCTATTATTATTAAAAAAGTGCTTTTAAAACTGCTGTATAGATCTAAATATAGAATTATTATGCAAATATTTGGAGATCTTCATGTAAGTAAAGACGACAGTTAGGGAACGGGACCAGACCAGGCAGACGCAAGTCTAGACCGTGTCAGTCGGTCATATCGGTCCCATACTAAGTGATACATGTCATGTTGATTGGAACTAACTCTAGATCTAGCTCTCGCCGCGCCGTGCGCTTCTTTTTTAAACGTAACCTAGCCATCCTGGCGCTGCATCTTATATTTGAATATAAGAATATTTGGCATTATAAAATGGCTCTAGTATTTTAAGCATCGTGATTGGTCAATACGCGTCACATGGCATTGACAAATTTTTGATGCAAGCACGATTTTGCAGAAATGAGTGCAGAAAAAGCGCAGTAAAAAGTTATATTGCACGGCGCGTACGTGACCATGGAGATCCAGTGCGCGCGCGTACGCGTAGTACTAGATCTAGTACGCTCCCTCGAGTGCATTGTAGGCTATAGGCTACGCGCGTAGCTAATATTGTACGCTCCACCATGATCCCCAGCGCAGCGTACGCGTAGCTTAGCTCTAGAGCGGGGTATTATTAGAAAGCAAATTTTTGTTTTACTTTTGCCTTGGATTTAGACCCGTTTTGACTTTTGGATTTTATAATGAAGCCAGGAATTTCAGCTGTCTGATGTACGTAGACTCGTCTCTAGACACCCTAGAGGTCTATGCATTTTATTTTTAATCAAACAATGAATCCCGTGGACTTTTTGGTAAGCCTGCAAGGTCTTAGACCCTCATTTTATTTCTAGAACCAACATAACTCTAACAGTTAGATCTAGATCGAACTCTCGTATTACTATTATAAAAGATCTAAACTTTTGTTTGTTGCTGTTTGTGTCGCTATTTTATAAAACAAATAACGCACTTGACCCTGTTGTGCGAAACGTAAATGCAGTGTTCGCTCGGTTTCTTCAGATGGTTCGCACTGTCAACTCGCCGCAAGCGGCTCGTTGCACAGAGCGGCACCAATCTAAAGAAACCTCGCGCGTACTGCATTCACCGCTATTGCACTCTGGGACGTGCGTTATTTGTATACTATCGTGATCCGAGTCCCCTCTCATTTCTCTGCACAGCTAGCTATTGCGTCTGTGTAGTGTGTGCGGGATCCACCTCCAAGGCTCCATACTTTGCACGCAAATGTGTGTGTACACACTGTGAATGAGAGGGGACTGCGATGACGATAAGGCCGAATATTTGCGTTGGTACGGTTTGGTGTAGATCTAGACCAAAATTTCTGTCTCTTTCGTTCGTTAGCCTCTGATTTGGGTAGAGGAGCGCGAGCCGACCCTACCCAAATCAGAGGCTAACGAACGAAAGAGATTTTGGTGCTTGTTGAGTTGTTTAGAAACCTATCCAAAATTTGACCCATAACTCTGGCGTGGAGATACCCTAGTCCTACTAAAACATACCCAAAATGAAGTAAATATTTATTAAATGTCCAAATAAAGATCATGAGTTAAAAATTGTTATGTTTATTACCTGTTTCGTGTCAATTTTCTTGTTCTTTTTGGAGTATTTTTCGGAAAAACGATTAGTATTCTACACTTTTTCTCAGGTTTCACGGCAAACCGCTGCACAGTACAAGTGCATACCGATGGTGGGTTGCGGGCGGCCTCACGTCTGTGTGAAGTTATCTACCGTAATGAGGATCTGAGACATTTTCCTTCATAATCCTTTTGCCTTGCGCAAAAGTACATACCACTTGCGCGGGCCTGCCCACATCACATCGTATAACAAGGTTTGTACTTGAATTGTGCAGCAGTTTGCAGGGAGAAAGTGTATAGACTATTATAATGTCTTTGTTTTTTAGGCAAAATACTTTATAAGGGTTTAATAGAAAATTGATACAAAACAGGTAAGAAAAATAATGATTTTAAAATCATGGCCACTATTTGAACAATTGTTGAAGATTTAGTTGATTTTGATTTGTGTTTAGTAGGGTACTCTCCATGCGCGAGTAACACTTGTGAACTAGCGCCAATTTTTCTTTATCTGTTCTATAGACTTGACTTTAAATAACAGTCTGATTTAGAAAAATGATGATGTAAAATAAAATACATATACATAAACATATCAAGGATTTACTTTCAGGTAATCTGTCTGTTTTCTTGAACTTGAAGCTAATGTATGTGTGTGCGGTGAGATAGGCTATCGCACACAAACTGCAATTCATAACCTTCCCTCACTAACCTGTGCAATGAACTGTACATGTACTTCAGTCTCTGTATAGGCGGTCAGTAGAGCCAGATGTAGTCCCAGCGAAACAACTGATATCAGAAACTGAAATTTTTGATATATAAAATGTGATTTTGAAATCACCAAGCCTTAATCGGCACCAATCTGATTGGCATCCATTTGCTTGTGTGAAGAATGCTGGAAACAAAACCTTGAATGTGTACGTAATCACTCTTCCCTTATTTCTTTACCCACATGCAGGTGATTACATTTCCATCAGAGAAAAGAAAAGGAAGATGTCAGAGGAAAGTGAGGTGAAGCCAGAACAACTCCCTCCCTCCTCTGAATGCTTGTTGGTCATTTCAACCTCAAGCTCCTCATCGACCTCAAGCTCCCCATCAACCTCGAACTCCTCATCGACTGAGCCATCTTCCTTTACAACAGCGACAACTGCATCTGCACCAACTGGACCGGTGTGTTCGGAGCAGTCTAGTGTTACATCAAGCTCCAATTTAGCAACATCAACAGCGGTAACATCAGCAGAAGATAAACCCAGCACCTCTTCAGGATTGATGATCACAAGGAGTGGTAAGTTTGTTTCAGAAAGGGTTTCTTTGTTGCATTGTCAAGTGAAATTACTGCTAAAATTTATATGTAGGTCAAATGGATGAAGTGTGCGAGAAGAAATGAAAAGAAAATGAATGAGTGATGACTACTAGCTTTAAAATACAAGTCAACTGAAATGTTCCTTAGCAGCATGGTCAATGTCAAAATCTTACTGCTAAAAAAATACCTCTGAAATTGATTACACTCCAAGAACGTGGTCTGTGGCACTCTGTGCATATGTTTCTTTTTTCTCTTCTTATTTTCGTGAGCATGAATGATTGAATGTCTGTTGTTTGTCAATGATGTCGGTATGTGAATTGTGAAATACCAACTTTATATCCAACATCTTAATGAATGTATTTCTTTTTAAAGATTGGGATCTCTATAAGATTTGGTTGTGAAAAACTAGTTCATGCTTGTAATCAGAAATATATTTGTTGTTTCTAGCTATTGTCCACAACCTGAGACCTCATAAAAAGAAGAGCTACAGGTTTTTAACAAGAAAGCAGTGGAGCCCAAAGAAACTAACAGTTCCCAAGGAGAATGTCAAGTCCTTGGGAAAGAGTGCCAGTCTGGGACTAAACTATACAACTCTCAAACCTAAATATCCGCTAGCCTATCCGAGTGCTATCAAGTGGCGATCCCCTCCTAGATTCCAACCCACTAATGACTTGATAGTCCTGGTTGTTGGAGGAAAACATCTATCACGTAGGGAGTTATTGCAGTTCTGCCTTTTTTAATACTGGCACTTTTGTTCTGAAAATGAACCATTGTTCTTAAGTTCTTCTTTCCTTCCATGTGTTTGTTTTTACCATTTTGTTTGTGTTGGTGGTTTCACTTTACACTGTACATGTGTAGGCCAATTTGGATTGCTTTCAAATTTGATTTAGAATGTTTTTGTTGTTTTTCTTTCCTTTCTCAAGGGTCTAGTGACAAATCTGTTATTCTACTTAAAACAAGATTGTAAACATGGCATGTTATTCGTCTAGACAGTAGACATGCCATGTTTGTCGGAGCTACAACTATACCAACAATTGTTTATGCAATTTTTCATTTTGACTTCTGCAATACTGTAACGGGACTCAAGGGAGAATGCAATAGTTAATCACAAGACATAACAAGAAATTGCACAGTATAACCACTAAATTTATTACATTCATGCTTTTCTTTTGGTAAAACATACATACACTGTACATACTGTATGTATTTAAAATTGTACATATAGTTTCAGGTGAAATAAATTGAAGATTCCAGTACCCAATTTCACGAGATAGATAGTCTTCTTTGCTGCTTTTTCTCTGATTTTACAGAGACAAATTATGTCTTCAGTACAACATGTTGGTCTCTGTTTCATACCGGGTTGTATGCATATACATGTATATATATATATACACCTTGTAGTAAAGCCCAAACCTTAATCTTTGCCAGTGGTCCAAATTCTCCAAAATGTAATGCTGTTGAACCATTGATTCACAAAAGTGACTTTCTGCAATTTGTGAAAATTCTTAGTTTACAGCATATTCAGTAATCTGACTTAATTAATAATAATAATAATAACAATAATTGGGTTTATATAGCGCCTTTTCGTTCTTGCATGTAAACTTGGTTTCTGTTTCATGTTCATGAGTTTTTTTTTGCATGAAAAGTTTAATTTGTTTATTTATTACAGGAAAATTGTGACTTTCTTATTCGATAACTTGTTTATATTGTTTTTTAAAGCAAAACATACAAATGAATAGATAAAAGTACATGTACCATTGAATGTGATTGTGCTACAATTTACAATTTGAGAAATTCTATAATTTTCCATACATTGTATATCCATAATAATAATGTTAATAAAGGGATTTTCTTTTTAATTGAATTGGATTATGATGAACTGTAACCTTAATGAAGTTTGACTGTGTAAGCTTGTGGAATATATATACCGGTATATCATATTGTGGGGGCAGGGTTTTATTGGGAGTATTGTGTACCTGTAATCCTGTAACTGGAAATTGGTATAAATATTCTGTATGTGTATTTTCCTTTTCACAGCGAATATCAAACCAGAAATTACACTTGAGCCAGACAGTCCAGAGGGCATGGATAATACTAAATCTGAAGCATCCTCAGTCACCAAAGCCAACATGGTTACACGAACCTCTTCCCGCGACCCTTCTGTGTCTACTCCAACCATGAAGACCAGAACCAGTAATTCATCAGGAGGTAATGGTGGGGCTAACCCCAACCCAGCTGCTCCAAGCACTCCCACTATGAAGACAAGACATTCAAACAGGGTAACAACCCCAAAGTCTCTAGGGAGCACCACCAGTTTGATCGTTGGTGGGAGGGCAATGTCTACACCCACCACACCAATCTCCTCACTGTCTCCAGAGGATAGTCTCATCAAACGCAGAAGCTCATCAAGATCCATCAAGAGGAAGAAGTTTGATGATGAGCTTGTGGAGAGCAGTCTGGTGAAGTCGTCTCGTGGTGGCAAGGTACCTCCGTCGCCTCTGACTCTACAGTCCACACCATCTACAACTACACAGCATCATTCACCAACACCCTCCAAACCACCACCACCTGAACTACAGAGTACACCCAAGCCTCTACCATCGCCTCCACCACCACCACCACCACAGGCTGTGAAAGAAGAAGTCAAGGTGGAAGAAAAGAAGGTAACCCAACTTACACACATAACCATCTACCCAAATATAATGATATCAAGACACCCTCATGATGCCCTTTGTCAATTTACTGTACTTGAAAATGAGAGGGATTTGTGATTTTGGTGATATCACTCAAAGTGGGAATATCTTGAAATGGTAAAACCTACAGAGAATGTAAGATTTTGGAGAAAATGTATCTGTTGTAGTCTGGCATTATTGCAATGTATGTTTACTTCTCCTGACATGTAATAATCAGGCTTCACAGTTTGAAGTTATTTGATAACATTCTCTCTTTTAATTTGGTAGTTTGTATCATTCACAGATATCAACGATGATGATTTTTGTGCCCATTAATTATAACCCTTGTCAGAAGTACAGGTCAACATTTGCAAACTACAGTGTACATTTTGTTGTGTAGGTTGCTAATAATTTTGAGAATGCCCAAACATTTTACTCAGTCAACATCCTTTCATTTCTTGTCTTAATCTATTCTGTGTACCACTGTACCTCACATTTTTGTTTTGCTTTTCATAGGAGAAGGTTCCACCAAAGGTAGCAGAAGTCACTAAGGCTACCCCTCCACCACCACCCCCTCCTCCCAAGAAAGCCGAAGTTCATGTCCCTAAGAAGCTCAAGTTAGAACCTGCTGTAACCCCTAAGCCATCCAGACCCACACCTTCTGCACCCAGGCAGTCTAGGATAGAGACGTCACGCTCTGCTCCTGAGAAGAAGAAGGGCAAAGCAATTGTGAGTACCTACAGGAGTCACAAGATCACATGGACATTGGAACATTACTGTGTTAGTGTGTTTTGGTAGCTAGTTAGGTTTGAATTGTGTTTTAGAAATCCTATGTCATTTTCAGAGGAAATGTTCCTTGGCACTTGTTGACTGATTTAATTGGAAATTATGAAATCTGGAGATAATTTTTTTTAAATAGTAAAATCTGAACGTTTCACTGGTGAAAACTAACATGAATATTCAATATGATCCTGTATCAGAAAATCAGTGCTACACCTTTCAGCAAGTTTTGTTTCTCTTTTTTTTCCCCCACTCCTTTTCCCAGCCTTCCAAATCTAGCTCTTCAAAGTCAAATCGCTCAAAGAAAACAAAGTCCATAGTTCCATTGGCACGAGAGACTAGCCGTTGGACAGCAGAAGATGACTTGGCATTAATCACAGCTGTTCATCAGGTATGTGTGTTTGACATCTTGTATGAGATATTTCTCCTTTATTTGGAACTCAATTTATAAGAATACATCTTACTACAGTTTCTGTAATTTCCAGATCTAGATTTTATATACTTTTTAAGTATACCTGTGAGTGTTTGTGATGCCAACATTTCATTTCTCTAAATTCACCCAATTAAAAAAAATATATAAAAAAATGATATTGCATCACTTGTCACTTTTAAAAATTCAAAATCTGTCTCAGAGATGAAATCAAAATAATAAAAAAAACAAGAAATGATGTGGTCCCACACTGTAGTACAAGATGGTGTACATAAAGTTGCAGATCTTTATTGAATCTCTTTCACTTCGGAGTGAGTAATGGAAAAGTTTAGCGGAAGAGTCGTTCTTTGTGGATTCTGGCTTACCGACGTAGTTTTATCTTGTTATCTGTGAGATGATGTGTCTAGAGGTTTAGTTCATAGTTGTTTCATTGTATCCTGTTTTTATAAGACAATAGAGTGTTTTGGCTAAACCCATGTCTATTCCCTTTGACAGACTAATGACCTTGAGCAGGTGTTTCAGGGGGTGAAGTTCTCTCACCGATTCTCAATGAAAGAGATAGAGGAAAGATGGTACGCCCTTCTCTATGACCCGGTCGCATCCAAGTGAGTAGAAACTTTGACTCTTCTCACCAGCTCTTTCTGAATGTACGAGCTGTTATTAATTGTATTGCTTTTTGTATTGAGTACTAATATTAATAAATTATTGAAATCAACCTGTTAAATAAATTGAGGGAAGAAATTTCCTGGTGAGTTAGCACCAGACTGATTGTCATTATGAATACTGTGTACACTACTCTTAGAGCAGGGGGTTCAAGTTTAACCAAGTAAGGTAATCTATAGGTGTTGATAACTGGCTTACTAAAAAAAAGAAAAGCCATGTTCATTTCCATGAAAAAATCAATGATACTGTCCAGCATAATTTCGCAAATCAAGGATATTTTTGACATTTCCACCTCCCCCCCCCCTCTTTTGACATGGCTCTGTTACATTTTTTAATTTCATAGTTTCATTTTTTTTTTCATCTTGAAAGTTTGATTTATATTTGTCTTTAACTTTAATCCCATTATTTATTTACAAACTTTTAATATGAAATGTTTGAATTTGAAATAATATAGACAGAGAAATAGTATGTTTAGGGAAAAGAGGTGTGAAGAAAAGAGGATGTTTTAAGTAAAAGCTTGGAAGTACATGAAACTGTTAACACCATTGCCTTTGGTTCATAATTTTGTTTCTGTCTTTGACTACAATAGAGCTTCCCAGACAGCGATGAGATTACTCAATCCTGATATCAAGATTGCTATCATGTCACAAGCTCTCTACTCAGAGGAAGAAGACAAGCTTGTTGGAACTGTCACTTCAGTAAGTAGTCTCATTTGTCTCTAATTATTTGTCTAATGATGGTTAGTTTAATTTGTTTTCCTAATGCTGTTTCTATGTTAGAAACTAAAATGGGCATAAGCAGATTGATTTACAGCTTATGAGTGGCAATAATTAATGCTCGAGGTAAAGTTGATTAAAATTGTTGATTGTTCCATAATAATGAAGATTTGCCCCATGACATGGTATGTTCAGCTGATAACATTATTATTAACATTTCCATTAGTGCTGTAACATCACGGATATCTCCAATTCCGTCAAAACCGGGCGGTTTTCGGTTAAACGATTTATAAAAAAAAAAAAAAAATAAATAAAAAAAAAAATAAAAATAAAAAAATAAAAATAAAAAAATAAAAAAAAACGTTTTTTTTTTTTTTTTTTTTTTTTTTTTGGACGTGTGAAAAAGCAAGAAGGTGATTTAACTGAAGGCGCCGATTTGTGCTTGTGAACTAGTCACAAATAATAGTAACAATGTCGTTTTAGAATAATGTGTAAGATCATTAATGTAAATTAAAAACAGTAGAGGACCTAGGATAGAACCTTGTGGTACACCATGTGTTAAACTTGGATGAATATATATTGAGATCTATTACAAAGATTACTTTCAAACCAAGATGACAGACAAATTGGAGTGTTGTTCTAGTTTCCAAGTGGTAAGTCATCACACTGATTACTGAGCTGGGAGACATTGCCAGGCATAGTGCCAGGCATAGTGCCAGGCATAGTGCCAGGTGGAGGGGCATAAATCGAAACTTAGAAAAAAAAAGAAAAACAAAATATTAAAAAAAAAAAATTATAAAAAAAAACAAAAAACAAAAAACAGGAAAATTAAACCGTCCAATTGAAAACGGAATCCGCCATGGGCGGTCGGATACCGGACGGTTAAACGTTTGACTACAGCACTAGTTTCCATGTTGGTCAATAAATGGCTAATCAATGGATTTAGGGTATAACAACTGCATGAATCTGTATTACATACAAAATGTATTTTAAACAACATGTTTTGTGTCGGACTTAGAAACTTTAAGACATTTTGTTCCGGCGTCACAAACAGGTACATATGCATTGGCTTAATGCAAGCATTTTGTGTAGACTGGAACGAGCAGTGATGTTTGTGACGTAGATCAAAAGTACATAAGCTCTTACTTATCCAAACCACTTTGAAAATTACATATTGCTTCTTAACTAATAATGCTTCATTTATTTATTTTCTGCCACAGTCAAGTCAACCTACAGTTGACACCTTCCAGGAGCTGATCAATAAACACAGTACAGTATTCAACCCCATGAGGACAGCCAAAGGATTACATACACACTGGATGACCATGAAACAATATCACCTGCTTCCAGACCAAACAGGTAAAAACTTATCAATATCTTGCTCCATTAATCTAGATTTGCCACTCCGCACCCGGTGAAGAAATGGGGAGCTGGTAGGATGACCCCAAAGGGTTTTATGATTGTTATTACCATGTATGCCTTCACTGTGACTCCACTGTAGAAGTGTCCAGTGGTTTAAGCACTTCATTTGAAATTCAAAGGTCGTGGTTCAATCCTGACACTGCATCTACATTTGCCACACTCGACCCAGTTGAGGTAAACGGGTACCTGGCAGGAATTAATTCCTAGAAATGCTAGAGCGCTGTAATGGCAGCTAGGCTAAAGCCGGGGTAATAATTGAATAGTGTGCCTCTGAATAGAATTATCTAGATAGAGGGCGCTATACAAATGCCTATTATTATTTATGGATTATGGTAGGAATACTCTGAAGGGAATGGAGATGGTGGTAACATTGTGTGTGTACAGGCAAGCCTTAATCTGATGAACGGGTGATCATACCTATAGAGTGCTTGAGAACTTGTTTTGTATTAAGGGCTTAATGAATTGAAATTCGTTATTTGGGCAGGTCCAAGCTCATTTTCTCCCATACATTACCAAGTTATCTATGATTTCAGTATATCTGATTATTGTATTTAGTTGATAGCCATCCAAGAGCTTGGATTAGGCTGAACATCAAGATGAATGATACCTTTGATGTTAATTCATGGTCACAATTTGCAGATGCTTGGTAACATGGGGGATATCAACTGAGCATATTCCTTAGGCTTGTCCATTATTTTATGCCATTGTTTTCTTTCTATATTCTAGTTCAACCAATGCCTAGAGGTGACCATGTATTAAACTTCTCTGATGCTGAAGACATGATGGATGACTCACAACTACAGTAAGTTCACAAATAATCCAAAAACATTGCCATCTACTATGCCGATTGATGCAATGAAATGTTCACCCAAAATATATAGAACATCAAGGAAGCTGATTGAGCAACACTAGGTGAAATACATTCTTCACGATCATTGCATCCCTTCCCCCACCCCACCCTACCCCAAATTAGGCTTACCTGAAAGAGGCAGATCTCTCTTGTCACACACTTGATGCTGATATTTTTTTACATGGCAGTATATGTACAATGCAGTGCCCCTATTTTATTGATTTAATTGAAAATAGCTGCCCCCCCCCCCAGGAAAAGACATAAGTTTTAGAGAAAGAAATGAATGTACCTAAATGTGAGTACATAGTGTAAGATTCTTTTTGATGTTGTTGAAGTTTTGTTACTATTAAAAACATATCTTTGTTTTTTTACAATGCAGAGACCCAAGGGATGAAGTCTTAGAGCATGGTGAGTAAGGACATTGTGTTCTAATTTGCATTTTAATTAGAAAAAAAGAACCCAGTGTTTTTTTATACAGATCCACACAGTATGTGCCTCAATGCCTCATTACTAAGCCCATACTCAGGATACAAATCAATGACGACAAAACAAAAAGCGGGAGAAGTTCTTATGAAAATATCTAATTTTAAGAAGGAATAGTGGACTTGCAAACTTAGGGGTTTTAATTGATATTTGTCATGTAATCAGATTTGTTTTTTATTATTATTATTTCTTTCTAAGTTCAACGTTGTTGTAAATTGATTAGATTAGACCATTATTATATGCATTGATGTTTGTATATACTTGTGATTAACAGAGCTTGCAGCCTTTGATAGAAGACAGAAGAGACAAATCAGACATCTGGAAAATGAGATTCCAAAATGGCAGGTCCTAGTTGAAAATGTCACAGGTATGATCAATCTTTCTATACTTTCATTAAAGCTTATTTGCACTAGTTTATAGGAGGAATTAGACTACCCTGCAAGGTCACTGGACAGGTGGTTATCTCATCAACTCAGCTCTCGATTCACATAAGAAAAAGAGGATCATGGGGGACCAATGGTCACCGATTAAACATTGTTTTCTACATAGAGGGAGCAAGTAGCTACAAGTAGGACAGTGTGGCTTTAAGTTAGGTCTTCATAGAGTAGCATGTTGAAATTCCAAATTTCACTTTAAAATCTTTGATCCAAAGTGGATAGAAAGCATTGACAGCCTTATTCTTCACGAGACTGTTCAATTGTATTGCAGTGGAAGCCACTGCTTCAGAGCAAAGCTAGAGATATTGTAGATAAAAGGTTATTGTTAGCAAACACAAGAAGTGAGATAATTCGAGGTTAGCTATGAGGATGCTATGGGTGCTTGAATAGAAACAATTTACACCTCTCAGGCACTCCTTATCCCAACCAGGATTCATCCCCTTTCATTGAATCTATTGAAAGTGAACCGTGACCTAGATTCTTTGTTTACAATGACAATGATAGTGCCTTCCTGCTGAAGCAATCTCAAGAGCAACTGTCATTTAAAATGTCCCTTCCTGTTTCATAAGCACGTGTTTGTAAACGGTGCGGAAATGGATAGAATGTTTATAGATGGAAGTCTTCCACTTGGTAGGGGAGCCATGCCCTGTATAACCCTCTCATAAAAGTAGGTCTAAATCCCTATAATATCCTTGCGATTATAGAGAGGAAAGAAGGGCTGTGAATATTTACATTTGCTTCCCCCGTTCTGGGCACAGATGATTGTAGAAAAATATATAGTGATAATTCTGATGAATAAATCTTGGAATGTTTTTGTTTCTTCATAGGTATGACATCACAGGAGTTTGACAGCCAGACCCTAGCTGTTCTGAGAGGGCGGCTAGTCAGGTACCTCATGAGATCGAAAGAGGTGAGATATCCTATTCCATGATAACAAACATACAGCTAATATTAATGATCAGGGTTTTGTCAATTCTATTTTACAATCACTTTAACATATGCTTATAGGACTTCATGGCCTTGGCTTTTTGCTTATTCATCTTTTCTTTCTACTCAGATTTAGTCCAGTTTGAACATATTACATTGCTTTTCAACTTCAGCATACATATCTGAAGAACCATGCAATTGTATTCATGTATTCATAGATTAAGCAGTACTCACACTGACAGAAAGAAAAAAACTTGTCAAGCTTAAAATCGGCTTCTTGTTCACTCTCTGATGCTCTTCCTTATTTGCCAGATTACCATTGGTAGATCAAGCAAAGACAACACGATAGATGTGGATCTGTCTCTAGAGGGACCAGCATGGAAGGTCTCCAGGAAACAAGGAGTCATTAAACTCAGGAACAATGGAGAGTTCTATCTCGCTAACGAGGGCAAGAGGGCTGTTCACATTGATGGCAAACCAGTGCTTAAAGGACAGAAGTGGAAACTCACCAATAACTCAGTAGTGGAGGTAAAACATCTACTCGTAAAAAGTGAAACTTGTCTATAAAACCTGCTTTTAAAAAGGGAGCCAAAGAATTTCTGTCTTCATAAGCTGCTGGGTATACATTCTGATTACTTTACTACCGGTCTCAAAGATAAACACTAAACAAGTCAATTCTGGTCTTAATAAACAGGTGGTCTTTCTATACAGCTAGAATCAGCAGCAACAGTAAAACGATTCAAAAAGAATTTGAAGACATATCTATTCTGAAACCATATGCATTCATTGAACTCACACTGCCAGTGCTTGGAAGCTTGTATTTAATTAAACTCTAATATTGACTGGGTGGCATCTCAAAACGCTTTGTATCCAGTGGAAAAAGCACTTTATAAGCTGCAGTTGTTATTATTGGTGGCTTTACTGTTTTGGAAACAGTGTGTACAACATTCAAATGGTACATTTGTTTTTACCATCCAAACACTCCTAACACAAAGTAATTTAAATGCATGGGATGTGTGTTTATGTTAATGAAGTCTGCTTACTCTGGTTACCTATTTGATTACAAGTTCACTTTGTCATTCCATGTTGAAAACAAAACTGGGTCTTCGGCTGTTTTAATAAAAAAATCATTGGATTTAGCATTAGTTTTTTTAGCACCTCCTTAGAGGATTTTTTCATGTTCAGTTGCAGAAAAAATACTTCCCTATTGGAGATAGATGAAATCAATATTTTATTCTAACAAACAGGAAATATATTTACTGGATTCTTAAGTAAAGCTCTCATGTAAGGATTGTGTGACCATTCAACTTATCAGAAGCCAATACTGGATCTGTTTTCTGTAAGGCAAACCATTGTATGCAACGAAGGAATATCTCGAGAATTCTACACAATCGAGATGCAAATTTGCATTTGATGATATAATAAAGTATTTTTTATATTCTGTTTTATTCTTGTTTTCTCTTTCAGATTGCAGGTTTAAGGTTCATCTTCCTCGTCAACCAAGATGTAATCAACACATTAAGAACAGAGTCCTCAAATATCAAATGATTGCACAGTGTGAAATACAATGAGACAGATGAACGACTTGCAATGGCATTCGACAGAATGGGCTGTGAAAATTATTCCGTGATCAACAATTTTCACCATGCCATCATATTGCAGTGAGAGAAGAACAGATTCTTTGAAAGTTTGTGATATCTGTTTCATGAAAACCAAGGACTATGTCATATAATGCGATGTTTTAAAATACCAGCGGATTATAGGAATACTTTCAAAATGAGCTGCTTTTTGTGCATGCCGTGGCAACTGCAAGCCTGGAATTACTACTGTTCTCCATTCTACTTTATTTCCAAAGGAAGATTAATGGTAATGTTTGGATTTGTCATTTTTGACAAGAGTTAAAGTTCCCTAGATATATGTACGTTTACAGCAGTGGTAGCTGTACAGGTATATATTAATGTTTTATCACCAAATGTGTAATAAATTCTTATCAAAATCTGATAACATGACAATACCTTGTCCCAAAAAGAGGCTTTGAAGTTGTAATGGTATGAAACTGGTATGAAATATTGGAATTTGAGTTTTAAATTGTTTGGTAAATTCTGGAGATGAAAGATAAATATTGATATATAACTCTTAACAGAGATGCAATATAATGGTTAGTTGGATTCTTTTTGTGAATTTGATCATCGTTCTGATCAGTGTTTGCTGTTTCATCATTCCTTTCCAAATTGCCAAGTTTGAAGTATCTTCATTCTTGAAATTACAGCATTGATTTTAGCTGTGGAGAAGGATAATACATACTTATATCAGAGAAATTAATGGAAGTCCCCAATTCAATCAAGAATCAAGAATGATCAAGATATCTGCAGAATGCTGAAATAGGGTACACCATGATATTGATTACTTGGTATTATTTAAATTACAGTCTGTTAATCAAGTCCATATAATCTTCTCCCTCAATTTCTCTCATTTTCCTGTGTTCAATTTATTTCTATTGTGTACTCTCTCTCTCTCTCTCTCTCTCTCTCTCTCTCTCTCTCTCTCACCTTCTCCCTCTCCCTCCCTCCCTCCCTTCAATATTCTTATTCTAAACATCGTCTATGAAGATTTCATCCCAGCTATCCTGATTAACAAATTCTTTCTCTGTTTGCCTAAAGCTGCCTTTTGCAATGCATACTTGTAAATTGTAAGAGCATACAGTATCAGACTATCACGTTTCATGTAGTTCCTTGTTTTCAACCAGACTTTGAAATGCCAAATCAGAATTTGCATAGTTTGGTGTTTAATGATGTTACTGTTTATAAACTGTATATTTTGATATTTTGAAATGTTGTTTCATTTCAAATAAACATGTTGACATGTTAATTTTTTCAAAATTCTTTGTAGTTGTTGCAATATTTGTTTAGTCTTTGTAAGTTGGTATCATTAGCTAGATGTCAAAGATATACCCTTTTTAAGTCCCTGAAATACATGTATCATCGACTAGAATTTCCTATTCAAATATGTAAATAGGTCTTTGGGAAAACAAATTGTTTTTCAAACTTAACGAGAGATTAGAAAGAGCAGATAAAAAGGGCAGAGAGAGAGAGAGAGAGAGAGAGATGAAGAGAGAGAGAGATAAAGAGGGAGGGAGAGAGAGAGAGAGAGAGAGAGAGAGAGAGACAAAGAGGGAGGGAGAGAGAGTACCAACATGTATTACAAAATATGATTTTAATCACATTTCCTGTTACAAGAACGAACAACGAACAAGTGATGCCCATGAAATAACATGAAACTGATTACAAAGATTGATTCACTAAATAATATATATATATAATTTGCAACATGGCTGTGAACATTCAAAAGAAATGTAATGTAGAGTAAAAAGCAGTAAGCTAAACATGTCAATCCCTTTCTTGAACTATAAGCTTTCTCACAAATAGGTCTAAAATATAAACATCTAAAACAAAGCTTGCCTACATCAATAATATAATATCTTGTTTCACCAAATTTATTTATTATTCTAGTAGGCCTGTATACCGGTATGCGAATTTAGATCAACAAATTAAGGTGATGTGCATGATCTAACGATTCATGTACATATCATGCTTGCCTGGTTTCCACTATTTACAAAATTTAAATCCACCTCTACACGTACAAATCATGAATATGCACATGGTGTATTCGTAACGAAGGATTTGAAGACTCCGATTTCATGTATCACAAAAATAAGCAAAATGTTGATCGACGGTAAAGTATTGGTGTTATACTGACTCTAATTTGCAGACATTTAACATCATACAACCAACCCCTCCCGGAGAAGAGGTAAACAGAACAAAAATCTTTGATATGAAATATAAATAAAATGTTCTTATAAAAAAGAAGGTTTTTCCACTATCAGAGGTGTCAAACCAACCCGCATTGTGTTTCGACAAGGAGGTAAATCGCTGTAAAATGATGCGATCATTGGGTCTATGTGCGGGCAATAATATCAGCTCCGGCAAATGGATGACTTTCATCTTCATATACGGCCATCGGATGAGAACCATCTTTGAGAGACGTTTAGAGAGTTTGAAGAAGTTCACGTCAAGGTATAGTGATACCACAGTCGTACCAGCTGACGATAATCTTGCCGGTCCATGTGCGATACCCGCCTCCAATAGAACCAAACGAAACAGGCTCACCCCACACACTCCGGTAGTATCCTGGTAATACAATGAAACAGATGGAAGAATTGATAATAATAATAATGGAACATTTTCTGCCACTATCATTGGAATTTTCGACTAGAAAGATAATCCCTTAATCCCATAATTTGTTTTTCCTCTTCAATTATTGGTGTATTCCAATTAAAATTTTAACAATACCCCCCCCCCCCAAAAAAAAAATATATATATAAAAAAATCACTTACTCTCTGCCTCTCTCTCTCTCTCTATCTCTCTGTGTCTCTCTTTGTGTCTCTCTCTGCCTCTCTCTCTCTGCCTCTCTCTCTCTCTCTCTCTCTCTCTCTTTCTCTCTGTCTCTATGTTTCCCTCTCTCTCATCTTTACCTGATACTGCTGGCATGAGCAGCCAGTCACGTGATGTCTGAGCTAGAGTTTCGTTTTCATGATGGCCTCCCACAAACTCACAGTGATCGCTCCCTCCTCCACTCCCATCGCCAACGTTTCTGTTCCCAAACAGAGAAAGGAAAAAGGTGCATTTAGTCGGTTTGCCGCATACTGTAATCACGAACGTTTGGAAAATTGCAGAGTTTTGGCCTCGGCGAGTTATAAAGGAAGTTCACCTGACATTAAATTAAATTAATAATAAGAAAAGTGGTGAAATTTCAAAATCGTAAAATAATTGGCAACCGCTCTGTATTCAATCATCCATGCGCCCTTAATTTAAGTTTTGCAAATTTGTTTCTATTCATTCCCCGTATGGAAAAATCTTTTCCGTCTTTAATAACGAAGAAAATGAAAGTTTATGAAATTGTATGTACAGAACAAATCGAAGAGGAGTTCGCAAAATACGTCACAGTGTTGCCAATTTGTGTTTGATCGATCGCACCTTCATAAATTCATATATTTCTTACTTTTAAACGGAATGTGCTCAACTGTCACAGAATTTTTTGTTCCTCTCACTTTCTGCTTCTATCAAAACCAACTTAATACCAGGGTGGACTTACCTTTGAGTTAAGTCGCCAAAGGGTATACACAAATTCACTTGGCGTTTCTACCAGTAGTGAGCTTTAACAAATTTAATTTTTGGGTTTTATACTTCAAAGTGATATACTGCAGCCTTCACAGCCCACACGAAGAAGTAAGGCTATATGATGTAATTATACAGATTTTTAGGAAACTGTTATGTTTTTTAGAATAGTATTTGAACATCGGTAGACTTAATTATCATGTGTATTCAACTTTATATACTATTTAATTAAACCTATAGAGGAATTGACAATAATCCTTTCTCAAATCTTAACGTACAAGAACGTTTCTTCGAGGTCATTGGCTAGGAAGATCTTGTAATGACTAGGAGTCTGGCACAGCACGACCCCGACGTAACGGACACCGTAGTCGAGTTCGTTCTCCGATCCGCCTAAAAGTTTGACGTATTGATCACCGTGACATGCACAGAATGATCCATCGTAACGGAATGGGAAGGGCGTCCATCCAGTGCGGGATAGGGTCGATTCAACTGGAGAGAAATGGAAAGAAATGAAGAGAAGTGTCATTCAGGGATCGATTGATATTATAGCTGGATTTATCTCGCAAGAAAAATGTTTGAAGGGCGGTAATACACCCTGCTCAATATGATGCATACCGAAAAGCTATTTGAAGGAAGTACATGTACATACTAAATCTAGTTTTATAACTCATTTGTAAGAAGATCAAAATCGCGACAATCATATATATATATATATATTTATTATGTATACATGTATATATATATATAAATATATTTATGAAGCTGAAATCATGGCAACTGTCATGCATATATTATCATTTTTGCTGAACGGGCGGGTATATCTCTGTTATTGGAACATCAATATTTTTTTAATGTTAATCAATCCCTAACTTACAATATCCAAGCTTTATCTTCATACTTATGTACTTGGGTTGTGATACATAAATTAATCTCAAGTTCAGTTGCTATTAAAAGCAGATTACTCTTGAAAGCTAGATTCAAATAATTTACCTCTGGCCATAGGAATTATGGGTAATGGAAGTCTCATCCAATCTACGATTGGAGCTTCTCCTGGTACTGTCAGCACCCACCTATCAGCTCGATAGGTACCCGAGAAGGACCCCACGTCACCATACGTGTTCTGGACGTACTTGAGGAACTCTGCAGTGTGTAAGACGCCATCACCGTCCGTTCCGTAACCGAATGGGACACGACTCACTGTCACGACCGTCACGTTGGTGTGTAACAGTGAGACGACCTCAACGCTACTTAGGTCAAGGTAGTAACCCGTCTGGATGTCACATGGGAGAAAGAGAGAGAGAGAGAGAGAGAGAGAGAGAGATAGAGAGAGGGAGAGAGAGAGACAGAGAGAAAGTAAAGTTGGAGGACCTTTAGTACGGCACACGTACGATTGTAAATCAAACGTTCCTTGTGAGTTGTGAATACATGCACTCATGCAGACCGGGAAAATCGGTAGAAAAGTTGCAATTTTAAAATGGAATATTTTCTAAACTGAATGATGTACTCAGTAGCAAAGCAAGTGATTAATCCAAGAAAAGGAACAATCCTGAATGTTTAAATATTGGAACAGGAGGGCAACCGGTGTCAGCCCCAAAGAAATGTAGCAATGATATTTAGCCTAGAGCTATAATTCATGAATATCTGCAAAATAGACGTTCACAATAACTTTTCTTACAACATTTTGAATACAAGGATTCCAATATCAGATTCTCCTTAATGGTTGCTAAATATCGTTATCTTTGACTATAGCTGTTTAAATCAAATTCAGCCTACGAAATAAGCCAAAATCCTAATTTGTTTAACAACTAGTAGTAAAATGATAATCGTAAAGAAACATATACGTATATAGAATAAACTTTCTTACCAGTACAAATTTATTAATCATGATGCCCTCATCAACACTAACAAGCCAGCGGACTGGTTCATACGAGCTAAACACAATGGTGATAGGACCTTGATCTCCACCCGTCACTCTAACATGTACATCACCCGGAGAAGCCGGTCTGGTGTGAACGGGACCTTCATAAACACTGATGATATGCACGTTAGATTCGGGGTTGCCTTCACACGCGAAAGTGTCAGCTATACGCGTGTCATCTCGGAAAGTTGCGGTGGCTAACGCATATGAGTTGTTGCGGTAGATACGACAAGATCCAACGATAGCTGAAAGGAATGGAGGAAAAGAGGTGATGGTAATAACTAGATGGAACAACAGTGTCTTTTTCAGGATGAGTTAAGCAGCAATTATTATATCAATCAATGATTGAGAAACGGTAAGCCTATAGTTTTTTTGTTAAAGTAAAAGCACTGATAGACAAAACAACTGTAGTTTCGATCACTTAGCTGGTTGAAAAGAAATGAATAAAGAAATGAAGAGAGAAAGGAATAGAGAAAGGAAGAAACAAAAAAAGTTAGAAAGAAAGGAAGAAGACAGAACAAAAGAAAGAAAGAAAGTAGGAAGGAAAAGAAGGAAAAGAAGATAGAAGTAAACTAATTAAGAAGAAAAAACCCACACAATTATTAAACAATACGTTTTATATCACGACCAAATCGAACAAATAAGGTTAAAATGAGTGAATTAATCAATGGATCTTGTTTGAATGACTAACATGAAGATATCATTTTGTATACCAAAGTGTGCAATGGATGACTGATGTGAAGGTGTAATAATATATTTAATGAGAGCACAAGATATATTTACGTAAACATGAGACCCGAGAGTAGTCCGGAGAGTCACAGACGCAGTATCCCCCATGGCAACGAGCTAGGTTACTAACATGCCAACACATATTATGACGACATGGTAGGGCATCTTCTTGAATAGGAGCTCTCGTGGTCACTGGTCTCGTCTCTGTGATCACGGGGTAGTTCGTCATCGTTGGGGTGGTCGATTCCGGGGGCGATGTGGATGTTGGGAGTCCATCGGGGCAGTCAAATGTTTCAATGCGTTCTGATTTGAGGTAAAGAGATGGGGAATGGGGTATTAAATCAGCAAAATCAATTAATACAATATTTCTAATCAATTAAGGACAGAAGATAGGAAGGAATTCCTTGAGTGCCATGAGAGCCGAAATCGGCTGCCTAGCAGAGCCGGGGTTAAGGTTGAAGCGCCTTGAGCACCATGCATGGTGGTTATGTGCGTTATATAAATATCCAATATATTTGTTTTTATTAAGATAGCGAAGATACACCTCAGTTCACCTTCTTATAGATACCTACATCCATCTTGAAGATAGTAGTCTAAACATCCTCTAAACATGTTGTAGCCTAAACATCCTTTCGGTTGAAACTTTGATGACGTTGACAACAGGTATGATAATATTCAAGAATTGAAGTTAATCGGATTCTAGATTCCGGAAGCATAGTTTAGGGCTGTTAAGTCTACATGGGTATGTTTTTGGAGACGGTTACTTTTAACTGTTTGTCCGTCTATGTAATGTAATATCAGGAATTATGCGCATCCTGTTCAAAACCCAACTGATAAAACAAGCCTCTCGTATATGATTCATAAGTACGAGTAATTTTCAAATAAGGTAATTATGTGAATATATTATGTATCCAGAAGTTTCTCATTTTTCACATGCCCTTTGTTACAAATTGCTTTTGACGAACTGGAAGAAAAGAACTCATTATGGGCATTTATGCACTGAGCAATTATTGAGATTTGTAAATAGATTTTTGAGTCGATCTCACTTCTATATTGCGTGTGAATCCAAAAATTCTCTGGAAAAACTTTTTGGGAGCGAATGAATGCCCCTCCCTATAATGTACCGTAATGTATATATTACGAGTATTCATAAGACGGCTTACCGTGGAGATCAAATATCTCTTCATCTTTCCTGTTTAGTTCTTCTTGGAAGTATTCGATGAGATGCTGCTGCTCTTGGTTGAGAAGACGAAGATTGTTCGATTCCTTGACGGAGGCACGCAGCTCCTCACCTAACTCAAACGAGGACTCTAGGAGAAAAATAATAGTGAGCGAGGGTTAACAGGAGTCAATGGGGAGGGAGGGGTGGAGGAAGGGAGGGAGGGAGAAAGAGAGAAAGAGAGAGAGAGAGAGAGAGAGAGAGAGAGAGAGAGAGAAAGAGGGGAGGGAAAAAAGAGAATGAGAAATAAATGGAGAGATAAAAAGTAGAGAGTCGCAAAATTGAATAGTAAATATAAAAAATAAAGATTTAAGTATACATGAGAGAGAAAGAGGAAGATGGTCCAGACTCCTGAGGTAGACATGGTATAGAAAAGCAGAATATGAGATGATTTTGAAAGAAGAAGTAAATAAGTGAGAAAAAAGGGGATAACAAGAAAGAGAGAGATGCAGAGCGAGCCTTCACGGTCTTTAATCTTAAAAATAAATAGAAAGAGAGGGGTGGAGAGGGAGAGAGATAAATAGGGCGTTGGTTATTAAAATGCGAAAACTGTTTTAATACAGATACAAACATGGTAATCATGAATAGTTATATACCCACTAGAATGTTATGATTATAATACAATTATAACTACATGAATATTACTTTTATCTACCTTCACAGGTCTGCATGTCTTGTTGTACAAGATCCATGATCCATTGCCTGAAGCGATGAACCCGTGTATAGACCCCGGGGTAGCCTGGTCGGGCGCATCCTACTCCCCAACTCACAATACCAAGCAGATACCACCTGTTGTTATCCTGTGTGCAAAAAATATCAAAAATCAAAATATTATTTGCACTTAAAAGATGCAGTAGATATAGATAAAACATTTAAATCAGATCGAAAATGATCGTACTAATTTTGAAAGAAAGGTTGTTTTCTCTTTTTATTCAACATTGAGAAGCCTAAAGTAAAGAATTTCTAACATGGATGTATATTGCTCAATTATAATAATGTTGACGCGATATGTCTTATACAATTCAGTCAATCAATCTTTGAAAATTATATTTGTAAATTGCTTATAGATGTGTCATAGACGAATGAAGCGCTATATTAACCCAAACTTGTAGAGCGCATATATTGTCTACCATTATACTTTTATTCTTAATACACCAAGTATATATTGTGCGATTTGATAAATGAAAAAATTGCTTTGCAAAGATTCCTGTCATTTAAAAAAGTTAAATTTAGCTTGCCTGCCATACGGCATAACAATGATACAGTCATGAACATGGTGAATAAGATCTCGACTACCATGGTTACCTTGGTAACAAAAGGACCACCACTGTCTCCCTGACATGCGTCCCGCTCGTCTGCCTTGCGCCCTCCATCTGCGCAGAACATGTTATTGGTGATGATGTCGATATGACTTCTACCGCAATCCTGCATACTGGCGATCGTTAAACGAACCTTAAAGAGAGAATCATAATGATGCGAAGAGGTGATATTTTTGTTTTGCGTTTGATACAAATATCAAGTGATCAGAGTTTCAGTTTTTATTTTCATTTCTGAACAAAACGGTCAATTTAAACAATCTTTACAAAAATAATCAGTCAAATAAATCAATGTACATTGATAAAAAAGCATTTTGTAGATCATTATAGAGACGAAGAGATTGTACAATATGATAGAGAAATTAACATGAAGAAAATAATGATGAATATTGTGATCCTCCTGGCAGTGTGCATGTGCATTGCATTGGGTGTGACTGTTGTCAAACCTTAGAGGGACTTGGATTCCGATGAAAAAATATTTATCGAGATATCATTCTTTTATTCTATTGACCATATCTTATTGTATATTTTACACCATATTCTAGTTTCCGATGTTGGCATACACTATAAAAAAAATTCAATTACTGTCGTCAGTGACGTAGCGTAGGTCCAGCCATTGATTGGATTTGGCTTTAAAAAAAGGGAAGCTTGTAAAACGTGAATTAACAATGATATCGATTAAGGGGAGGTCAAAACAGGTTCTTTCCAATCATTCCCCCTTCTCTCTCTCTCCCTTTGTCATCCGATTAGAAGGGTCACGTTCTCCTGTCCCCTAATAACTACGCCATTTCTTGCTGTAACTTTTGCCGATAAAAACAAATCAACGAACAATCAACCTCGCACCAATCTCTTTAATTGTACAAGCCATACAAAATAATGAAGGTGACTTATTTCCTCTGAATTGATGATAATAGATCTTACCCTCCTGAGATATCGAGAATAGTCACCAGCTTCTTCAGTGTTTCCCCATCCAGTAACAAAGCCTCGTGTTTCCGCCTTGAGGAGTTCATCAGCTCTCAACTCACTGGGTAAACAAACTGATCGCATCATAATTTATTGTAATCAATATTCAATAACTTTTTGGTAGAAAAGAGGGCATTTTTTACAATGATATGATATTTTAACTTAAAAACAAGCCGAAAAGCATGTACCGTTTTGCATATTAAGCATAAACATTATGTTTGATTGACATAATGTGCATGCACTTCAAAATATTTAATGTACGTCATGACTATTTATGCTATCCATTCCACTTACCCTCAGTCTAACGTTCGTTTACAAAATGTCCTTTACATGTAATTAGCTATGGCAATTTGAAACGCCCTTTTTCTTTTTTTCTTCTATTCTGCTATGTCTGCCATCCCCTTTTCTTCCTCTCTCATACTCTTCTCTCCATCTCGCCCTCGCTCACCTTCGAGCCTCTCTTCCATTTATCCTCTTTCTTTCTATATGTCATCTTAAATTATCTATGTTACACTATAACTTTGAAATTTGTTATCCAATGTACACAAATTGAGAATGATCCTATCTGCTTGGATTGAAATCAATAACGTTTGAATTTGATTTTGAATTTGAATCTTAAATGCATCCCTATTTTATATAATGTATCGTTTAGTGTGCGTCTGTATGTGGTAGCGGGGGGGGGGGGGGGGGGGGGGGGGGGGGAGGGGTGGCACGATCCCCTATCTGATGGAAGAGTAATACAAGTAAAGTAAGAGAACTAACGTGGAATGATGTAGTCCGTGTATGTGACAGGCTGCTGGAGTTTGATGAGTGCAATATCTGAGTCGTAAGTTTGTTCGTTGAAGTTTGGATGTTTAATGATCTGTTCAGCTCGGAAGGTACGCTCGTTATCTGAGATGGCTTCAATATCGTGCTCACCAAGGCGAATCTGAAGATAAAACACATATGAACATAACCTGTGACTCAATCGTGAATTAATCTGACTCGTTTAAAGCCAGATTTGAAGATATGCCAATGCCTAAAACTTCCATTTCAATCAATACATTTTTAATGCTTTGCTGGGAACGTAAAAGTAACAGTAAGTACAAATTCAAGACAAATATTTGGAACCAAATCAGTCAGGCCTATCGGATGACATACATATAAATTGAAATCCTTACCTCAAACTCGTCAATTGAGAGCCCAGAGAGTGAGAAACAATGTGATGCAGTAACCACCCATCTTCTATTGAGTAACACCCCTCCACAGAGTGGTTTACCTTCATTAGTGTTCCATAGAAGAGCTGTCCATGGCGACTGACCCTCGTTTGAGACCTTACCACCTACCACCTTGCCTCGTACTCTACAGTAGCCACATTGAACTGAATAAAAGAACACAAAATAGACACTTTCTTAGATATATCTTGCTTTTTTACCAAATTGTGAATGCGCTGTTGATGTTAAAACCATACATATCTGTTATTATTGTTATCATTATCATTATCATTACTACTATCATCATCGTCATCATCATCATCACCATCATCATCGTAATCATCATCATCATCATTATCATCATCATCATCATCATCATCATCATCGTCATCATCATCATCATCACCATCATCATCGTAATCATCATCATCATCATTATCATCATCATCATCATCATCATCATCATCATCATCGTCGTCGTCATCATCACCGTCGTCATCATTAACCCCTAATCTTCTTGTTTAGTATCCTACAGTAGCCACATCAGTCTGAGAAAGAGTGATAGAGTACATAACAGGGATAGGGTCACCCTGTGTGTAAAAAATGCTAATTCCAATTAGCTATCTTTCTTAATTATGTATCTGTCTGTTTGCCGTGTATTTCTATGTGCATCCTTTTGTTTTAATCGTAACAGAACTTTCTACTTACAAGCGCTATTGCTGTCTACATCCGAATCGGTTGGTGGCGCTATATCAAGCCAGAATCGATGAGTGATGATCTGTGAATCTTGTGTGAGAATAAGACAGGAATACATGCCTCGATCCCATAGTTCAGAATTCAAGATCACCATTCCTTCCTTTTGATCCAGAAATATACGACCATCTCTGAGAGAGAGAGAGAGAGAGAGAGAGAGAGAGAGAGAGAGAGAGAGAGAGAGAGAGAGAGAGAGAGAGAGATAGTGTGTGTGAGAGCTTTTTAAAATTAAAAACAAATCGAATTAGTAATTTCAACGAAAATTGCAATCACAAGTTACTTTATTGAATACGCTGAGTGAAATGACAAATCGTCACGGAGTATGCCATTTAAAACCCCACAAGCAGCGACAAGGCCGGGGGAGGGAAATGGGGAGGGGGAGAGGGACATTTACTCAACTAGTCGAAGTATTTACCCTTACATGTAGTAGCCCCCCCCCCCCCCTCCCAGGGGGGCGGATCCAGACGGCGGCAGGAGGTGGCCAAAGCGGGGTCCAATTCGTGAGAAAATATTTAGTGGCAAAACAGCCAGCCGGTAAATAAGCGGGGAGGTGGGGGGAGGGGTAGAGAGCACTAACTTTTGGTTGCCCCCGAAAATGTGAAAATCGCACCCCCTTGAGCACTAGGGGAGGGGCCGTCTTCTTTATTTAAAATAAATAAAGGTAAAGTTAACGTGTTTTTACCTGTTTTGTCCCCAGGTGAGAGGGTCACCCCTGGATCCCTCATTTCCCCCCCCCTCCGTTTTTTCCTTCAAATCACCAATGGCCACCCAAACATATTCGTTGTTTATCAAATAGCCACTACCCTTTTAGTTATCCTATAACCACTAGTTCATACAGCATAATCAGATAATACAGCAATATTCCGTCCTTGAATAGCGCATAATCACGTTATGATAACTTCTCGATCTATATGCTTCCAAAAGAGATTTGATATCATTTGCTTCTGCAACCGTAGCGATCAGTGCATTCAAGGAATAAAATCTATCGGGTACCCACTTATGATATCTGGGGGGTGTTTCACAAAGATCCGAAGTCGAACTTAACTCTAAGTTAGACTTAAACATTATGGAGAGCCATAATATGGAGCCTTAAAATAAAATATATTCAAAAGCAAAAGTTCAAGTATTTTAGACTTTTTTTTATAAATTCTACATCAAGAACATGACAATCCCACGATAATAGAAAATATGAATTATTTGAATTAACATTTATGCCTTTTAAAATAACTTTTAACAAGTATTTTCATAGATGCTAACGGCTTTCCATAATTGAGTTAAGTTCGACTTAGGATCTTTGTGAAACACCCCCCCCCCCCCCCCAGGGTCGAGAGCGGCAAATGACGTTAGTGCTGCGGCATGTATTCGAACCACGTGCCTTGTAGCTCAGAGTCCAGAGACTTATCCACTAGACCACAACACCTTTACATACCTATACGCATCTGTAATTTGTACCACGTCGTTATCTTTATTCCAACTGATCAAGAGGGCCTCACCATCAGGTGGCACACAATCCAGTAGAACATCATCTCCTGCTGATGCCGTGATGTTACGAATCTCGGGATCAATCACTGAATAAGAGAAACCCATAATAATAATAAAAATAATAATAATAATAATAGCCTAATAATCCACTCCAAATTTTATTAAACCGAAACGGAAATTCTTTTTGCCCAATTGATCGTGAGCCCGGCAGCCACTGAGCAGCGCCAGATCGACGTTGCTATATCCCTTATTGTTGATTGCCAAACAAGGTAGCAACATGTAAAACATCGGGAAGGAATCAATTAATCTTATTCGTAAGCAAAATATAAACACATGACTGAAATCTTTAAAAATGTTTGGAATTATGAACCTTCGGAAAAATAAACATTAGGAAAAGTAAGTAACACCCAAAGGACCAATGGGACATGGATTTGTAGAGAATGAACATCTATGGAGTACATAACCACGTTACAATAACGAAGTTTGCTCTCTTCCTTCCTTTGTAGTTTTGGTTACTACACTCGGAAAAGTGGAATACACATTCATATGGCATTATTACTCTGTGCTTGTTTTTTTTATACTTCCTTTGTTTATATTAAAACTAAACAATATGGTCACCCTGAGGGGGCTTTTGAAACAAAAGAATATATATATATATAGACCCTGGATCTGTTCTTGCTCATATCTATCGAATATTAAGTATCCACATAAGATTGCCCCCTGCGTTTTTTGCAACAAAATAAAAACTTTCGTATTATTATCTAGCCTTTAATGTCATCAAAAATCGGACACAATGGCTTGTAGAGGACCTTCACAGAAATATCTGTTTAATTTAGCTTATAATTGATTACCATAACCTTTCATATCTGTACCTTTCCTATCGCACTTTGTATAAATGTATCATGTATGTATTTCATCTTTTGCACAAGCTGCGCCTTGAGCATTTGACTATCAAGTGGATTTGGCGCCTTATAAATCATATGTATTATTATTATTATGTCAGTGAAAACACATCATTTTGAGTGCCTTTGAGCGTCAGTGATCTTTAAACTGGTTTTAATCATTAATACAAAAGAACAAATTATTCGGCCTACACGATGTCATTCTATTTAATAGGCTGAAGATCGATGTCTAACATCAGTCTTGCCGTAATTATGGCGTCAATTCATAGGATTTTAAGATTGGTGGATCTTAAAATCTTAGATTGGTACATGTATTAAATAAAGATTGACTTTATAATCAACTTACGTTGTGCGACAGATCTTGATAATAAACAGCACACAATGATGAGGACGCCAGCTGGAAACCAAGCATCTAAGAAATGCATGGTGATGGCTTTGATTTCAAAAGGAAAACAAATGCTTTCGTTACAATATCCATCTTTTATTCTTTATACATGTACCTTTGATAATTTGCAGAACTGTTAAAGGTACTATGTCCCATTTGCAGGCCAAAAAATAAAAAGATTAAATACCAACGGCATTTGAAAGATAATACTTATTTAGAACTTCCCTCAAAACAGAAGGGCTTTGAAGAAGTTTTTAAGTGAGAAAATAACGACCATTAGTTGTAGAATCGACGTCAATGACTGCAATCCATTTAGTAATAGTTTGATTTCGGACCCTTGTACCGAATTGGTGTACGTTTTGTGCTGCGCAAAGATTCAATTTTGGCCATTACAAGAAGTGGGTTATTGATGTAGACAAAAACTAACGTTTAAATTTCACAGATACGACATACACCATGTACGTGACATATTCATAATTCCTGCAAAGTTCTACAGAATTTGATGTTTGCTGCAAATGGGACATAGTACCTTTAAAGCCGCTTTAAAGTCACTACTGTTAATGTCACTACTACTACTACTACTACTACTACTACTACTACTACTACTACTACTACTTCTACTACTACTACTACTTCTACTACTACTACTACTGCTATACTACTACTACTACTACTACTACTACTACTACTACTACTATTACTACTACTACTACTACTACTACTACCACTACCACTAATACTACTACTACTACTACTACTACTGCTACTACTACTGCTACTACTGCTACTACTACTACTACTACTACTACTACTTCTAATACTACCACTACTACTATTACTGCTGCTGCTACTACTACTACTACTAATTGGGGCAGCGCCAGGAGCGTCACGATGTGACGGACATGTGCGCTATTTAAGAAGCCACCATTATTATTATTATTATTATTATTATTATTATTACTACTATATATACTTCTACTACAACTTATGCTACTCAGCTCCTCCTCGTCCTCGCACTCCTTCTCCTACTATTATAGTACTTTTTCTTATAATACTTCTACTTATTCTCTTTTATCGCTCATTCAAATTCACCTTTCATTAGAATTGAGGAAAATACACACGAACTTAATAATTCTCTAAAAGATGGACGGAAAAGCGTCACGATTGCCCGAATGTCATGATTTTTGTTTTATACATGTACCTTACACGCGCTATACAAAAAGAAATGTTATATTAAATACTATAATCATAACTTACCATAAAGGTAACTCCTTTTTCACTTGCTATGTGCAGCAATAATACAACGAAGAGCCGGGCTGATAAAACTACCCATGGACCATTCAGATGTGTCCTAGTGGCGCTAACAGACAATAGGTAATGAACTCAACTCTGTTCGTTTTAGTAGTTTCCTTTACGAGTACAGTGCGTCAAAAAAATAAATATTAAACTGGTATTTTATTTCATTGTCAATGATAAATCTTCCGTTATGGCATGTTTGTACAATTATAACATATTGTCTATTTGTAGTTCACTAGCCAATTGTTCGTTTGACACCCTCTCCTATTCACAATGGTCTGCAGTTTGATAGGTGGAACTATATTAGCCAGGACAAACTCACTCCTTTGTCAACTGTTATTCCTTCTTCTGTATTTTTTTTTAATGAATACAAGTTAAACAAACATGATGTTCTTGCTGCCAATAATCAAATAAATATTATTTGACTTCGGAATAAAAATATTGCCATTTAACTTGACTGAAAGAAAGAAAGAAAAAGGAAGCCAACTCATTACTGTATGTCATACAGAAGTTTTGATATTGGAATAACTGAATTCAGTTCAATAATATTGACACAATTATCTGATGAAATACCCGTAGTAAAACGAAAAGAAGAGGCAGATTAATTTTCTCGAACAGAGGTCAAAGATAAACATTATTCTGCTTTTTTACTTGGGCGGACTGTAGCATTCTCTCATACCGGTTTCAGCACCGGAAATGATAAGGAAGGTGGGAAGGAAGTGCTCTCAGTTCAATCTCTAGACTAGAAAATACAAACAGACGGTGGATTTTCACCCGAACAAATATCACGTACTACCAGTCCGTTCTTTGAAACCTAACAGAAAAATGGATCGTAAGATATATTTTCCACGAAAGAATTTTGAACTTCGGATAATTTTGACCACCCCCCCCCCCCCCCATCTGTCGCACTTGCTTGGAATTAATTTCATATTTGTGTCCCGTGTCACAACCAGTCATACAATTCTTGCAGTCACCATGTTTCTGTGTATTTCCGCATTAGCACGGTGCAAATTTATAACAGAAATATAGATTAGATGTGCATCCTAACTGGCAAAAGTCGTACAATTAGCAGTACGCATAAAGTATTGTGCAAATTTACAGCGAACTGGACAATGTTCGACTTTACATGTAACTGGGGGTGGGGGATACTATATTACGGTCTTTCAAATCCTACCCATTTCACTTAATTTTCCTCCATTCTCAGTTTCTTTCAATATTTGTCTGCCACAACCTCTATCCCTCTATCCCTCTCTCTCCTATCTCTATATTATCCTGTCTCTCTCTGTCTGTCTGTCTCTCTCTCTCACACACACACATACATGTACAATATCCCTCTCTCTCTCTCTTATCTCTATCCCGCCCCCTCTCTCTCTCTCTCTCTCTCTCTCTCTCTCTCTCTCCCTCTGTAGTCTCAAACTCAAATCAATTCAATTCAATTCCATTCAATTCAATTCAATTTCGGTTTATTAATATCAACATATACAATGTACAATGCAGTAGTCCAGGGACCAATAATGCAATGTTTACATAAAATGTGCATAAAAACAGGAATGATCATATAAATGTATAATAAAAATGATAAAAGATAAAGTTAAAATTATTGTTCATACATAAAGTTATATACATTTATAAATAAATGATAATAGATTAGTACTCCGTACTAAATGTAAAAGGGGGAGTGGTTGGGCGGGGGTTGGGCGTTTCATTAATTTGCTACTTACCGGTGAGTTTGTGGGAAGTAGCCATCTCAAGTCGGGGGGGGGGGGGCGTTAATAAGAATTAAAATTGGGTCCTTGTGATTCAACATTTAGGAGTTGGTCCAAGCTGACTTCTACCGGAGGAGCCTCGGCGGAGGCAGTGATGAGTGATGATGATTTTGTAAATAAAGAGGGGAAGGTAGCTGACATCAGTCGACAGGTAGCCTGCGCCTGTCCTTGGCATAGCCTGCAGCCATTAGCGTTCGCCACAGCACTATATTAAATCCAAGATGCCCCTCTTACCAGTTTTGAAATGATATTTTTGTAAAATCGTTTTTTATTGTATTTTCTTACTTTTAAACGAGTGGTCAGTTTGCCTTTTTTACTCTCTAGAGTGAAGTCTTATCTTAGCATTTTCCAGTCTTTAAACTACTTCTCAATATCCAAACACAATGTTGGCCAATAATTTACTTGTCATATAAAAAGGCCCTACAACTTACATGACGAAATATAAAAGGTCTTTTCCATTCAAATCGTTTGAAAGCGTCCCACGTACTGTATCTTAAGAAATTTATTATAAGACATTTTAATAGGGGCTTTATAGACCATTTACGTAATCTAATAACATTCAATGCCTAGATATTTGCTAAGTGCGATGTTACACATTGTTTCATTCAACTGTTACAAACAATTTTATTTCAATAGTCAGAATGCGAACTGCATACATATAAGGCCTAAAATAAAAACTTGTTGCATTGCCCTTTGCGACTAACCCAAAAATCTGAAAATCTACGGTCGGCATTTTAATTTTTTTTTACCGTGTTTTAGATTTTGTTATGTTAATGAATACAAAAATATGTATTTTGTTTGTTTAAATGGGAAATAAATGCATAAAATCAAATTATTCCCAAATTTTCACCCGTCTTTTGCTCTAGTTTTAAAATCCTAGTATACGAGTGTAAGTAGACCCCGGCCTCTTGTACGTGTTTATAGTTTAATACCATACACTGCACCAGCTAGAAAACTGAGAAATATCAGCCAAAGAGGGCGGGGAAAAAAAAAAATTGAAAATTGAAAAATATCGGCCCAAAGAGGGCGACAAAAAAAAGTTTTAAAAAATAAAATCTTTTCCGACCGACCGACCCATGTTTTGGCACTTAAAGAGCAATGCAACAAGTTTTTATTTAAGGCCTAATTGTTGCTATAGGTAGGACAAACTTTATGCCTGGTCCTGGCATAACAACACGGAATGTTTATGTATGCCATTCACGCTATTAAAATGCAATAATTCCTGTCAGGTGAATGAAATTACTTGTATCGAGGCACACATAGATTTGTGTTAGCTGATCTGCATTCATGGTAAGATCCACCGTGTGGTCAACAAAGACAAGCGAGCCTAGGCATAACGCTCCATCCAGTTATTTATTTCTGTACTTATCTGTTTATTCTGACAGGGTACATATTGATCTGGAGTATATTGGACGCTCTGTTTAAAAACAATCAAGGTTGCCGAGCCAGGGATTATTTACTGACATGTTGTCCTGAAACCCATATCTTATATCAGGTTTTTTTTCCCTCCTTCTTCTGTCTTTTGTTTTGTTTTGAAATAGAGGATCCCTTTTGGTTGAAACTCAAGTCTTTAATGACTAGTTCTATTTCTGTTCCATTGAGAGCAAACCAAAGATAACGTTACTGACAAAAATAAATGTTACACAGTCTTATTGACTTTTGACTTGATTTAATCACGGTAAACTCACATCAGCCTAAAATGACTGCTTTTCAGCAAGTCCTTGTTACAAGCATTTAACGATTCACCCTGGCCAACGTTCATGTGATATCAAACAAGCAGTGAATGATTTTAAGCATATTACAATTTATTTGAAAGGTATTTATATAATATTGGAAGGCTTTGGGTGTGATACAAATATATATATTGCTCGAGCTATTACAATATTTGATGAGTCGAAGACGAGTCCAATATTGTCATAGCGAGAGCAATATTTTTTTGTATCACCCGAAAACAAAACCAAACAATATTATCATTATTATCTATATCGGGCTGACTAGCGAAATAACAAAATTTGACTTACCTCGGTAAATATGGCTTCGTTTTCGTGTGATATCGATGTCGATAGTTGAAGTTCCCGGATGACTGAGCAATACGAGAACAATATTGATCAGTCATCCGGGTACTGCGCGAAAGATATTAGATACACTGATTTATTGTACAACTTGGAAGTCTTATATAGATAATAATACTCAATACTTGACTTCTCCTACTGCTTTATATTCCAGGGTGGAAAAAGTGTAAATTCAGTAGCACTAAAAATCAAAAGTCTTCGTCTTTATCCTTAAAGGTACTATGTCCCATTTGCAGGCCCAAAAAATGAAAAGGTTAAATTTCAACGGCATTTGAAAGATAATACTAATTTAGAACTTCCCTAAAAAAAAAAGGGGGGGGGGGGCTTGAAAATGTCTTTAAATGGGAAAATAACGACTATTAATTGTAGAATCGACTTAAGAGCTATAGAGCCAGTATGCAATAGTCTGATTTTCAGACCATTGTACCGATTGGTCGTACGTTTTATGCTGTGCAAAGATTCAATCAGTTTAATTTTGGCCATTGCAAGAAGTGGGTTATAGATGTAGACAAATGCTCATGTACCCTTTACAGCTCATTTCATGTATGTTATTACCAAAGAAGTAAAAAGGCCAGTCAGTCACTCAATAGTGTCTGACAATGGAGTCTAGTAAGTAAACGGGTTTCCTTGTATAATTTGAATATTAGGATACTGCTAACGTTAACATTTCACAGATAGGACATACATGACATATTCACAATTCTTGCAGAGTTCTACAGAATTTGATGTTGGCTTCAAAAGGGACATAGTATCTTTAACATGAGAATTATAAAGTGACATAAACTTACACATAAGAATTAAATCTGTATTACGAAATTTGAATTGCGTTTTTATACAACATTTGCACACACAAAATCTGTCTTCATCGAGGTGTGGGAGATAAAATGTACTGAAGTTTTTGGAATAAAAGAATCCAACCGGAATGCATCTCGATAGACGCTAAAAGAACCCAATGGACTTCGAACGCCGTCGGAATCTTTAGATTGCCGCTCAAATGCTGCTCGAATGCAGTTGGAACGTCCCGAGAAGGATGCAAGAATGCATCTCGATTGCCGCCGGAACCTATTTTGATATTTTCAGTAATAATAATGATAACAATAGGAACAATTTATATAGCGCTTGTGACATAAAAGTTTCAAAGCGCTTTACACAAATCAAGAATACTTGAAGATAAATCAATATTACTAATGGAATTAACATCACTTAAATCACCAAGATAACAAAATATACTAGCATAACTTAACAAATTAACATTACTTAAATTACCAAGAAGATCAAGCATTATACTAACATTACTGAAGAAATTAACATAACATGTAAATTTCTTGGCAAGTAACATATTACATCTATATCATTTTATTAATAATAGCAACAATTTGAAACTAATTCGAACTTATTTTTATAGTTATTTGAGGGGCATTTACATACAGTGATCACGGTCTATGTACTAATAATTTTTGCAAACTCATCTCTTTTATTAAATGCATGTTTTACATTTCTCTATTGGACTTATTTTAGTTGAATCGCCTACTACAACATCTTGCACTCACAAAGAAAGGAGAAATAGAAAGAAAAACAGAGGAAGGGAGGGAGAAAGGGATAGAGAGAGCAGAGATAGAGAGAGAGAAAGAGCTGAGCACTTCATGTAGAGAAGATAAGAAAGTTTTTATTAAATATCAAATTACGACAATTGGATATAATCATAAAATCATCTTACATAATTACATACGTGTAGCTTAAGCTATATCTCCAGATTCACTAGTTGACTGGGTGATGTTGGATAATTGGGTGTTTGATGATGTCTCGGTGTGTGCTCTCCCAGGTTTGGGATCTTTGCTTCCTGTATCCTGCTCAAAGATGGATGACCTTCCTTGAGTATTTCTGACAAACAACCCCATCACAGCAAGACGAAACTGTGGGAACCTGGCCGCATAGATGATTGGGTTAGCACAGGAGTTGTAGAAAGCCAGTACACCGAGGATGCGATAGAACGGACTCAAGAAGTAGGACGAGGAGACGAGGCCGACGTTGAGACCAAAGAAGGCGGTTTGGCTCGGCCCCCAAGTCACGATGTAGATGGCGATGACGATGGCCATCAGCTTGATGACACGATCCCGAGCGACGATATGGAACGATACGTTGCTCCGAGAGTCGCCTTTGTTAGATTTGAAGCGTAAGGATTGCTTCTGAAGCTCCCGAGCAATGAGCATTTGAGTGATGAGCATGGTAAGTGCAGGAATAGCAAGACGAGTGGCAAACACGAAACATCCGAAGACAACCTGACCCTCGTTTGTAGGGAACTTGAGAACACATCGCTGGCTAACGAGATCGACACGAAACATGACGAAACCAGAGAGAGGAATGAGCACGGCAAGAAGCCATACACAGATTACGATGTACGAGACGAGACGGCGGTTGATAATACGGTTAAATCGAAGCGGATAGACTACAGCAAAAAATCTTTCGAATGAGATGGTCATCAGGATATAGATGGACGCACTCACAGCAGTCCATCTAAAGAAAGCAGACCATATCAGCTTACAGTAAAAGTTACCAAGGCTTGTATCTGGCACACGGGTCGCTTGGGGTCGTGGGATCAGAAGCAGCGAGGTCAAAAAGTCGGCAATAGCTAAATTACTGATCAAGATATCCGTTGGTCGACTCGTTGACCGACGTTGAAACGTGACGATGATGACGAGTAAGTTACCGACGAGGCCAACGATCGCCGACACCAGCTGGAGAATCGTCCACCAGGGCCATTCCAGAGTGGACCACACCCAAATCTGCTCGACCTTGATGTCTGCGATGGTGGTAGTTTCTCTGATGTCCGAAGCTCTAGTTAACATTGCTTCATCATAGAAGAAAGGATCATGAGACAGCGAAGTAGCCGTTTGGTGGTCAGCAAGGCTCGTGTTATAAAGGGACGTGGCATTCTCAGCCATTGTTGAATTTGACAGAATGACCAAGACAGCGGCAAGATGTAAACGGTTCATGATATGATTACCCATGACATCCAGGGATGCTGTTACCTGCTGGAATAAGGGAGTGAATAGACAGAGGATGAGAGTGTCGTGGTCGAGTGGTTTAAGGCGCTTGACTTGGAGATGCGAAGGTCGAGGGTTCGAATCCCGACACGGCACTAATATCCTTTGGCAAGATATTAACCTGCACTTGCTACTCTCCACCCAGGTGTTAAATGGGTACCCGGTAGGATGCGACCGTCATTGTTGGTCAAACAGTTTTTGAGCGTCATGTAACGCCTGGCTGGAATGCTCCCCAGGGAGTGGAGATTGTGCACACATTGTGTGCGGGTAAGCACTGAATCCAATGACCGGGGTAATAATATATTTGTAAAGCGCTTAGAGACATTTGTATTTAGCGCTATATAAATTAAATTTATTATTATTATTATTATGAGAGAAAGAGACAGACGTCAGATTGAAGCAACAAAGAGAGGAGCTCTCCTTCGAATACTATTTGAACTGATTACATTTTGATAACGTTGATTGATCCAATAATGCATAGTTTGTGTATTATGCTCACCATAATAAGAGGTAAAATTGAATTGACAACTAGTAAACTAATGTATTTTAGATTTGTTTTTCTTCAAATATGAAAACACTATTAATGCAGAATCTTTACAATTCCCACGATACACAAAATTAAAAATTAAATCATGAAAGCTATCGGCCATTACAAAAAAGAAATTAAAAATAGTTACTCAAAATCACAAGACTCCAAGAGAAAGATCAGTATCAGGTAGTAACATTAGCATTTGGACATAAAATAAAGGCTTGAAAGACCATAGAACGTGAATAATAAACAGAACTAACTTTCTTCATTTTCACTTACCACTAGTAACAACTGGTCGCAGATGAGCTGCTGTGAAGTTTTTCCTTTTCAGAGTGTCTCTGTGAGATGTTTTGAGGCAAAACTATTTATATTAATGCTAAAAATCTATCAAAAAGGCGCTTGCGCATAAAAGATAAATAAATAGAAACCAAGTAGCCCCATGTGGAGACAAAAGAAGAAGAATAAGGCCTGCATAGAATCCTATAATTGTATTGAACCAACTAGTCAAAGGGAACACGGTGATTTCTAGATTTGTGAAAAGTCGAATATGCTGCTATACTCTGGTTTAAAAAGAGAGCCACCCTGTACGTCTCGCTTTTTATAGACACGTTATAGTAAAAAGACTATCGAAGTGACACCGATGGATACAGGCGAATATAAAGAGCGTTTGAAGTGTGGAAAATTGAAAACACACTATGAGATGGTTTTAAAAAAATCAATGTCCCCTCAATTTCTTATCAGAGGGTTTAATTCTATTTCTCATTCTTTTCTGACTACAGAAAGAATATTGAGGACGAGGTTGATAATTTCGCGAGTTTAAGAAGAAATCTTTAGAAAAGAGATCAGCAAGGAAATGGAAATACATGTACATATGACCTTGAGAAAAGAGAAGAAGGGATTCGTGATTGCGAATAAGTGAATATGAACACAAAATGACTTGAAGAATATAAAAAAAAAAGACATTAACAAGATAAAAAGGATATATTTTCCTTTGAGATCTTATGATATTGATATCGATAAAAAGTGAAAGAAATGGAGAGGGGGAGGGAGAGGGAGAAGAGAGAGAGAGAGAGAGAGAGAGAGAGAGAGAGAGAGGGTGGGGGAGTAGAAAAAGAATAAACAGGAACAGATTTTTTTTTTTTTTTTAAGAAGCTAGATAGAGAGAGGGAGAGAGGAAGAGCGGTGGTTTGAGTGAGAAGAGAATAAAAAGGCTGGAACAAAAGTGAAAGTAAAACTTGGAAAGGCATAGGTTGAGGACAAAACACCTAGAGAGATGTGAGAGGCAAAAAGAAAAAAAGAGAAAGAAGGGAAAGGACAGATAAAAGTCCAGACAGGAAGGAAGATATGAAGAAAGATTTAACTAAACAAAGAGAGAGAGAGAGAGAGGGGGGGGGGGTGGAGAAAGAGGTTGTTCGAGAGATACAAAGAGAGACATACAGGAAGAAAGCGTATGAAATTGTTCATATGTAGGAAATGAATAGCCGTTTGAAAAATGTAAATACGTAAAGAAATGCTGGGTGAATAATAAAAAATAAGAGGAGGAGGAGATATATCAGATTGATGTGGACTTCTTATTTCAGACACTTCCTTGGGCTTAATGTGGTGGAACTAAGATTCCTCGCAATCGATACACAGCGGTATGAGTGATATTTGTTGACGCCCGGGTATTCATTTTAAAGGTGAAGCAATCGATAAACATTTCATTCAAGTACTCCTTCTGTTGTTCCGGTCTGTTTCGTCCTTAGATCAAAGTCCAAATCACATCTTTGCCTTTAAAAGAAATTTATCGACTTGGCTGAGTGCCATGACCACTACCAAGCAATGCATGTACTTTGACATTGGCGGTGTTTTTTCCTTAATTATGATTATTTAAAAATCTTCATCATCACCACCTTCACCACCACCACCATCACCACCACCACCACCACCACCACCACCACCATCATCATCATCAACATCACCACCACTACTATCATCACCATAACAATCATCCTATCACCATTCACCATTGTCGACAAACCATCACCACCTCTACTATCATCACCCCAAAACCAACACTACCACCATTACGACCATCATCATCACCACCACCACCACCACCACCTCCACCACTACCACTCCAAAACCACCACTATCACCATTGCGACCATCATCACCACCACCACCACCACCACCACCCCCACCACCACCACCACCACCACCAACACTCCAAAACCACCACTATCACCATTACGACCATCACCACCACCACCACCACCACCACCATATACTACGGCTGTTCAACTTTTAAACTATCTTCTGTAATATCTCAAGTTAACATCAATTTTAACACCATTCCATCGCTATGAAGTCAAGTTCTACTATCAAGGGCCACACTGAATATTTATTTTGGAAAGGTAAAACAACAATACAAATGAAAGGAGAATACTATAATGCTTAAAATTCATGACAGGATTGATGTAAACCTGAAAAATATTTTCGTTAACAAATAATCTTAAAACACGTGCACTTTAGATAGATACATGGGAGTGGAGGATGTGCATACATTGTGTGCGGGTAAGTCTGAATCCGATGACCGGGGTAATAATATGATTGCAGGGCCCTCAGGGAGAACAGTATGAATACTGATGAGGCTACCATGGGTAAACAATACATGTTATTATTATTATATATTATTATAAGACATATTACCATCTTTCATAATTATGACTTTAAGCTGACTTCTACGATTTTGTGTTTGAAAACGACACTTTTTGAAAATATGTAAATCATGCTCTATAAGGAATGAATTCTAATAATGAATTATTACGGCAATAAAACAAGTTATTTTCTAGACACATGTGATTGACATCTTTTATGACATTATAACCTTCCATTCAACGAAATTCACGGCAAGAAGACTTATACAAATCTTGCGATTCATCAACTACGCTAACGAAGTCTGACAAGAAGCAGTTTGAGCGTTCCAAACTGTACATGGGTTGAAATGATATGACTGAACCATATAGAATGACCATCGTTTGAGTTATAATAATAATTATAACAATAATAATTATCTTTTAAAGTCCACTCCAAATTTTATTAAGTTAAACCGAAAATGGAAATTCTTTTGCCCAATTGATCGTGAGCCCGGCAGCCAGTGAGCAGCGCCAGATCGCCGTTGCTCTATCTATATTATTAATACGCAAAATCGCCGCGGGGGGTCCAAAACGGGGCAAAACGGTTCCTCAAAAACGCCTTTCCCCGACCCCGCTCGCCTCCGCCGTGGCGCGGGAACGGTGGCACAATTCCACGAGGCCTGTCTCCCGTAACCCGCGTGCCACCTCGACCCCGCGATCGACGTCCATACCGTTAAACGCGGTTTCGGGGTGCCGGGGAGGACGGGCGGACGAGAGCACGGCTGGCGTCGTGGATTGCGAGGAGGCGACGAACCCGCGAGAGCGAGTTGACAAGGCGTGCACCCGCCCTCTGTCTAATTATCAAAGAGAGACGAAGAGACACACGATAGACGAGAATCCACTCGCGTCAACGGGTGTAGCAAGTCTCATTGTAAAGGCTGCGGCGTATCTTGAGTAAGGCCTCTTGCTATAGGATTCGCTTTGTAGCATGTAAGAGAAATACACATTAACAGATGACTCACTCAGGTGATGGGATGTAGCCAATATGTACGCTCAACGGGTTGAGCGTACCCGTGTTATGCGTCTTTCTATAGGATATGCTTTGTAGGCCAGGCGCCCACAGTGTACGTGTATTACACGCTCTCAGGTCACACACATGCACACACCACAGTCGATTCGAGTCGAGGCGATTGCGACAACTGGCGCAAACCATGGACCTATTTTCACGTAAAATCTTTACTCTGAAAATAATTATACAAATTCTGTGATCTATGCCAACATAATCATAGTCCAAGCTTCTGTTTTATTGGTCTTTTCATGAAAACTACATCGAAATCACAACAAGAATAGCGCAAATAGATCTGTGATAGTACGCCTTCACGTGACAGTTCAGTTGCAAACTGCCTTGAGTCCACAGTGTATTGCCACGGCAGCTGAGCGCCGCTGTCGGCGGTGCTGTCGGAGCTGAGTGTGTGAGCATGGAGTAGCAGTGACCGGAGTAGCCAGGCCTGTCCGTGGGTGTGAGGAGAGTCTAAACAACACTTTGAAATTGCTATTATTGCCCCGATTTCAATATAGTTTCGTGAATAGATGTATGAAACCTGGGCTTGGATTGTGATTATTCTGGCCATGTATAGTTGTATACTGAATTTTGATAATCATTTTTCACAAGAAAATCAGACGGTCGTCATGGTCGTTTAAAAACATGATAATACTTTTAGTATGATACAGTTCTTGCATCAAATCAATTTTTAAAGTATGGGGGGGGGGGGGGGTCAGGTAACTCAAAGCGATTTGAGTGCAGGCGTGGTGTCCACGGGTACAAAGGGCTGAACCCCCGAAAGCTCAGGGGTTTTAGGCATTTAATTACGGTCAGATGAGCATATTTTTAATGCCTTATTTGTGACACTGACAGGTCGATCACTAATTGGCGTGGGGTCCATAGTAGAGTTGCGTACCAACTACGCTGAGCTGAGAGTACGCTGGCCTACGTTACTATACCCTGAGGGACGCAAAAAAGTACGCAAGATAGACGCAAACAATTTAATATGTTTAACAAAATTCACGTACTTTCGGCGTAGAAACTTGACGCAGAAAGTACGCCTTTTTTTACGTAACACTACGCTACTAAACTAAACAAACTGCATCTTTAAATGAATTAATGAAAAATTAGCCCAAGAAAAATGAGCCCCCGAAAAGAAAAAAAAAGTAGCCCCCAAAAATTTTCCCAAAATTTGATATAGATCGAGTCCCCGAAAAAAAAAATCTTTCACTGGATTCTACGCTCACAGTCCCACACACAGTCGAGTCAATTTGTGCACAAACCGTCCGATTTTTCGCGTAAAATCTTTACTTTGAAAATAATTATACACATTTTGTGAACAATGCCAACATAATCATAATCCAAGCCTCTGCATATGTAGTCTTTTCATGAAACTACATTGAAATCACAACAATAATAATGCAAATAAATAGTAATTATCGAGATCCTATCTGACATAGTTTGTTTTACGATGCGCCATTCATGGTCAAACAGCATATATTATAAAAATTCTCTATATAAAGATAATCTTAATTTTTTTTTGGTTAGCACATAGGCCTCTATCTATCTATCTATTTGGCCCCCTCCCCTAGAATCCCGTGGATTTTCCACGGGTCCTGCTAGTATATCCCTTATTGTTGATGCATGATGCATGACCCAGTTGTGATATTGTTTGCTCTACAGCCAGGTATCAAGATATTTTTGTCCACGTGATGTCGTTCCCATACTGTTTTTTTGTTTTAAATAAATAATCTTCACTCAACTGGTGTTTCTGAAGTGGATTATTATCATAGATATGCTACTTGTTATACTTATTTTTTTTAAAACTTATTATAATTACCACGAACTGCAAAGAAATGCACCAAATCAAATATGTTGGATCCTGGATTCCTGAATAGGATATCTATGTTTTTATCGTCATGTCGTTATAATTATCTATGTTTCAAATATTTACATCAAGAGCGTAATGTGGTAGCATGTAGGCTTTGACTTCAAAAGTATTATATGCAGGTTTTGATAATTAGACGCTGTCTGAAAACAGTTATGAAATTACCAACTACATATTTCAATACATAAGTTCTTGCATACTGCAATCTGAGACAATGTTGACCCTTGTTACGAAACGAATGTGAATGTACATATTTCAAGCATATGTACATTTTCAAAACATACACAATTTTTTTCATATTGCAATATATGTGCACACTATTACACAACTGTTTTGAAATTACCAAGCACATAATTCAAACATAATATGCACATTAAACAAAAATATATACATCTTTTAGAAATACTGAAATTAGAGGCAATGCGGACAATGTTTATAACGCTTGTGAAATTGAAAAATACATATTTCAAACTTATACAGATTAATTTTCTTCATCTCTCTCTATTTCTCTCTCTCTCTCTCTCTCTCTCTCTCTCACACACACACACACACACACACACACACACACACACACGCACACACACGCGCGCGCACACGCACACGCACACACACGCACACAAACACACTCGCGTGCAATTTCCCCTCACATGCATGCCAACACGAATGTCCCGGTCTCTCCATCCCTCCTCTCATTCACTCTACGAGGAATGTCTCTCTCTCTCTCTCTCTCCTTCTCTCTCACCCTCTCCCGCCTCCCAGTCGCAATTTTCACGCACCCGCTCAATTACAACACTTCTACATACGTATAGATGTCTTGTAGAAATACAAACTAGTCTTATTTATCTTAAAGATTTGGAAGATTAATGAAAAATTATTTTCTTCCCATTTTATACCTTTTATAAGTTTGGATGAAGTAGGGGTGGGGGCTTCCCTGGGCTTGGGGTTAATTTTTTTCTTCAAAAAAACGTTTTTGAGCCACGCGGTATGATTTTCAATATTATAGAATCATTTTCATCAAGCACGCGCCAAGAACAATCACCTTCCTTTCCCTTCTAATTGAAGCTCAACTTATCATTTTGTATTGAATTTATCAATTTTAAACACCTCTGATATTGAGTAGTCCTGCAACTAATGTTGGCATCATGAACTAAGATGTTGAATAAAGACAGATAGATAACTACATGTACTTTGTTGTTCTTGGTGTACGTGTTTCTGGAATTGTATAATGTGCTATTATGGTTCTCAGTTCTCGCTAATAGGTTCTGGTTAATGTTTTAATATATTAATCATGAATTTATATAATAAAGGTTTTATGTACAGAGTGAGCCAGCATAATCGTTTTTTTTTATTTTTTTATATAAAATAAAAAGGTTATACCAAGCAATATTTATGTTTTACTTTAGCTTATTTTTACTTACAGGGATAGATGAGTTTTGTTGCAGAGGGCGCTACACAAAATAATTATTGTGTGAGATAATGAAAAACTGAGTGAATATGCAATTTAAATGACGAAATCATCTGTGTTTGATCAAAATCGGTTCAGAGACGGCTGAAATATCCATAAATGATATAACCATTTCTAATATTTGTGGTGCCCCACAAATATTTGGTAATTTTGAACCACTGAGCCGTTGAAAAATGAGATAGCGCCTTATATGTTTTATTTCAGTCAATGCCAATATTGGCTTTTTATTGGCTTTTTCGTGTTGGTTATAATACGCACATCCAGCCGGCCCGTGTATTGTTATTATTAATTAATTAATTAATTAATGGTCACCGTATTTTTTTTTTTGAAAGTGGAGTTGAATTGGTAAGATCGTATTCAAACTAAATTCACACATTTTGCGGTCTAAATTACCTTCATAGCAATTTTAGTTTCTTAAAGGGCACTAGAAATGTCATAAATAAGAATAAGAGCAATAACCGTGCACTTTGAAGGCATTTGCGGTCTTAAACAAGAACTCATTTATTATTATCCGTTTAATTGAATTTTTCCATTTTCTTGAAAGCCATTACATTTTATTATGCAAAAGTTCAGGGACCAATTCCAGAGACTGGGGTAATAAGAAATTCATTGGAACAAGTTACGACTGTTTTCATGTTCCCATAGAAATAAGAGCTCTCCTCTTTTGAAACGTCGTTTCATGTCAGTGACGAATTCAGCACTAGATGTAGCCAGCATATGTCGCACGCCCCTTGTTTTGCACTTTATGGATCAAAATGAAACGAGCATTTCAAAAGAGGAGAGCTCTTATTTCTATGGGAACATGAAAACATTCTTAACTTGTTCCATAAATTGTCTTATTACCCCGGTCTCTGGAATTGGTCCCTGAACTATTGCACATTAAATTTGATGACTTTCAAGTAAATTGAACAATTCAATTTCATGAAAAAAGCCTAAGTGAACATAAATATTCTTTATGGGAACAAGATAAACAAAACTGCTTGGTTTAAACTTTTTAGTTTATATATTTTTTTAAAACCCAGATTATGCTGGCGTCTCTCGCACACGTCGACACAATCCCACACACAGACACACTCTCTCAGAATTTGTCGATTAATTCTATTAGTGCTTCACTCGGTATTCTTAATCCTTGAAGTCAGGATGTGTCTCTTCACTGTACGTATGATCACGCGGAAGCTCTTATTGTGTGTTTCAGCGATGGGTGATCTGGCGACATTTGATCCGGGATTTAATGCGTCCGAGATATATAGGGCTAGGGTTAGGGTTGCATTCGGGTTAAATGTTAGAAAAGGGTAAGGGTCAGATATCACTTTTGGTCTAGAGTTGAAGTTAGGAATTCGGTCAGAGTAGGATATTGACTGTGAAACAATATTGTCATCGGAAAAGTTCTCTAACAACCGATATTTTTGGCATAATGTTATTTCAAGGAGATAAAAGGGAGGTCTTTTTGTTTTAATCAATTAATTGAAATATCAGCGTATTTTGGTATTTAATGTAATGTATGATGAAGAATTTCATTTTTATCATCATAACCTTTCAAAATTCATGTTAATTGACTAAATATTTCAGGATGAATTTATCTATTTCTCCAGTCTTTGTATAACTCACGGCTCTGTATGCGATTTCCCTACATTGCCTCTCCCCGAAAATCTAGATTTTAAATTATAGTTTTGTCTAAGTTAAGCCTATATCCCTAATTTGAGTAGTAACGGCATGCAGGATGGATCTATAGGAAGTAAAATACAATGATTATACATTGCAATCTCAATCAATGGAAACAAATATTAAGGCATAATATAAATTAAATAATCATAATTATGACTGGCTTCTGGGGCAATGTACTGTTTAGGTTCGGAATATTATCTTGTCATTATGCAATGTTGAGTTCTTATTTAATCTGTTTTCTGGATCAGATCTACTACCCAATCGTGCTTACTGTGATAAATGGAACTGGTCTACCAGGTAGGTCTATAATATATCTTTTTCTTTCACGAAGTGACGGTAGTGAGGAAAATCGTCACGCAAAGTGAATGCATTTTTCTTTCACTACCGTCACTTCGTGAAAACAGCGACGGTTTTATTGACTGCTGAATATCGATCGGTTTTTACCCCTGTTGTTTTTTATATTACTATATATTAATAGAAATCCTTACAATAATAACCTTTTGAACTGAAGTGTTGAACTAAATTTTGCCCAAAAAAATTGCCGAAAATATCTTAAAACAAGCAGAAAGACCGATTTGTCACTTCATGTTCAGAGGGGTAACACGTGACCCTCTTTACGCGAAAGCTCTAACAATCATACACAAAAACAATCTCAAGATGAAGTGACTTAAAACAGTTTTAAAACAGATTTATCATTCAGGATAGAAAAATTGAAGCTTTTTGCCTGACTTGCATTCATTGGAATAACTCGTTATTGTTCGATTTCGGAGTACCAATAGTCTCTTAACCGCTGTTAATCAGAAAATTATGCTTTATATTTTCAGAGCCTCCCCCCCCCCATTGTTTGTATGTGTAAAATGCATTGATATACATGTAAATAGTTCTAGGCACAGTGTAGTATAATTGCCATTAATATCCACTTTCACGTTTGAAATCAAAGTCATGTGGCGGATGCAAGATATTCTACTCATTTCACCGTGCATTCTATTTAAAATTATTAAAAAAAAACCAAATGGGGTATAGTTTGTTTTTCGCAAGTTCTTACCGCGGTGCCCTCTCTCTCTCTCTCTCTCTCTCTCTCTCTCTCTCTCTCTCTCTCTCTCTCTCTCCCCACAGGTGTACATGCCCAGTCATGTCACGAAAGACCTGAGGATGCGTTAACAAGATTCTTTCGACTCCGATGTGGAAGAAGTCTTCTTAGCAATGACTCGATGATCGCGTCTGAGCGCGATCTGGCACCATGGATTCCAAAAGGGTGGGGAATAAGAATCAGAAGACAGCACGATGTTTGCAGCGTTCTCGGTAAATACAGAATCAGATATGTCGGATAAATCAACAGATTTACCCATTCAAGAGCTGGATGTATAGCAATCAATGTACTTTAAACGAAATATTGATTAGAGAGAAGTACTTCTTCAAGTGCCCGATCCAATGGACTTTAAAGATTATTATTATTATTATTATTATGTTACTTACTTTCTTGAAAGACAAAAAATACTCTAATCGAAGTGCCATTGAGGCATAAAATTGCTGCCGGGGCCTGAAGGGGAGTATTTCTTGTTTTGTGCTCAATGTTAACATAATACTTTGCTTTGCCCTCGATTTGCCAATGTCTTTCCTGGCATTTCATCTTTTTAAAAATAATGATAACTATTCTTCAGCGACGGAGAAACCGCAATCATAATTTATGAAACTCAAACATCTACATGTCCCCAACAGCACCAACGCCACCTTTAGATGACAGAGACTTCCATGGTTCTATTGCTCAGAGCGGTAACTTTACAGGTAATTAAAATCATGTGTTTTATGGGCAGGAAGCTAGTCAGTGGCGTTTCCAGACATGGACCGCAGGAGGTACAAGCAAGGAAAAAATGGAGAGGGGAGGGAGTCACCCCCGACCCCAACATATTTTGGGGGAAGAAAAGGGGGAAGGGAACTGATGAATTGGAAGTTTCAATTACTAAAAGAAATGATTACCTTAAAATGTGTGGGTTGTCTTTCTTCTATAGTTGGAAATATGTCAGGATGGACACTCCCCCCCCCCTTTTTTTAATATTTTTTGCCCCCTTCCAAATAGTGATCGTATTGGTGATTTGGTGTCTCATACGTTTCCACGTATTGTGGTTTATTATGGCATAATAATTACGATATAATTCCCAAAGCGCTTTACATTATAAACTTAAACATAATACAGAACAATTTGTTTGTTTGTTGTTTGTAGAGCATTAATGAAACATTGATTGATTGATTGAGTGAAACACTCGGTTCACTATAAAAGAAATCTACAAAAAGTTATTTCATGTCATTTCTTTAGGTGATATCCATCTCCGGACTACGCGATGTAATATTGGAAAGTTCCCTTTTGACCAATTGCCGCCTGTCCCAGCCGATAAATACATGAATTTGCGAATTCGGTTTTCTACTCTGTCAGTAGGCATGACCGTTATCGCGCTGGCAGAACGATCTACATTACATACGGCTTACAGTACAAGTGAACCAATCTACAGCATATGTAAGATGATCAAAATGATAATGTAGTTCTTGATTCATTCAAAATGTATCATTATAAGTATATATATCATGCAAAGTGAATGATACTTAAACGAGCAAATATTTTGAGACTTCGATCGTTTGTGTCAGTATCGGGTGTTGCATTACGTAATCCTGTCATAACATATTCATAGGATTATGAACACGGACACGGCGTAAAAAATACAACAATACCAACTTGTTTCCAAAAAAAAATGATTGTCCAAATTTGATAAAATGAGGGAAGGGCATCAAAATCATCCTACCCCACCCACTACAACGCTTTGTATGTAAGTTGTTAGATACAGTTTTCAATCGATGAAGGTAGGTCATTTTGTAAGTTCTGTATATTTGCCCACGAAATGAGTAATTTTTAAGATTGACAGGCATCTACTATCTACAGTCAAATACATTAGCGTATGTACGGGGGGGGGGGGGGTACATTGGATCCCCAATTAAATGGCAAACATCCCCAGGAAAATAAAAGATAGCGGGAATATGAAGGAAAGAAGACGCTGCGACACCTCCCACACCCTCCCCTAAGCAATGGCTCTTTTGCTTTTGATCATTTCATCCATCGAGTAAAGCCTGTGTCGCTGCCGCCCCTCCCCATTTATGCCAGTTCCCGTATAACGATGGAATCGTTTATGGACCTGTTGGTTATTGGCTTGAAAGGACTCAACTGCACCCCCCCCCCATCCCCCTCTATACACCGATGTTTGTTTAATGCTTGTGGCCGAGAGAGTACGCATTCATTTTATCTGTTTTTATTTTGTTCTCGTAGGTATAGGAAGACGTTCTCATCATTCCATTTATCGGTGTAAGGCTGGATGTGTGGTACGTTGGCAACGCAATCCCTTTTATGGACTGAGTATTAACAGAACGATGTCAATCCTCGTCACGTACGAGCAGGGAGTCATCAAGGTGTTCGACGATAACGACCGAACCCCGTTTATGACATACACCGATCCTCACCCGCTCACTATTCGTCATGTTGCAATTTGTAAATACACTACAGAGGGAAGATTTGTTCTTCACATCTGTGATTCTTATTAACTCACATACAGTGAATCCGATCGCAAAGACTTTCGAAGAATATCAACCTAATACCCCCGTCAAATACACGGATTTTTCGTACGAGTCCTTACGGATCGCACAAATTCACGGATCTTTCACGGATCCTTACGATTTGGCCACTTTTTCGACCGATTTAAGAGTTATTATGAGTTAATACGAGCTATTAACGATTTCTTACGGATTATTACGATTTTTGTTTTCTTTCCAATTCTCGTTTTATTAATTCTTTCATCCTAATTTCAGATTCTCACAACATATATCACAAAAAAGTTCATAAAAACCATACATGTTTTTTTCTTCTTTTTTTTCTTCATTTTTTTAAAATGTGCAACATAATATAAACTGTTACCTATTTGCTTCAAATGTACTCTGATAGTCGATTAGGAAAATCTTATATTGATTTGTTTTTATTTCTTCGATTCTGATCAATTTCAATTCTTTTTTTTTAAGCTCCGAAGTAAAGATATACTTCAATCCAGATTTTCTAAAATCTTACCCCTTTTTGTTGCGTAATAGTATCATTTTATATATTGACCAAAATGCAAAGGAAATTATGTCATCTGTTGAGTTTTCCTCACCTACTTTAATAAGATGATCTGCTGTAATTGTTATTTCTGTATCAAACACTTTTTCTATTAACCAACATATATATGATTTGAAAGAATGATTTTACGCGAATCATCAGATGCAAGATTCTACTTCAAAAGATTCTCACTGATAGAATGTTATACAAAATCTTAAAGTGAATTTCTTTCATTAATGTTAAATAAATTTCTTTTAAAACAATTTGCCAGCTGATATCTTTATCTAAAAGCTTTTCCCAAAATAGACGACATCTAGCAACCCACTCATCTAGGCGTAGCATGTCATAGTATTGTTTTGTTTACCAGTTAACTGATACAGCCTTTTTATTTTACCTCTACTAAGAATTCTTGAAATTTGTAAATTTGTTCTTTTCAATTAAGAGTTATTTCCTTTGATAAGCAACTGTTTTGGAATCGCTTTTTGAAGTTTTGCACGGTCAAACAATATATTGCATTTCCCCTTTTTTAATTCATACCCAATTTGAGCACTACTTTTAAAGGTACCGTTTCCAAAAATGTCGTTTACATCCAAAATGCCAACTCTGAAACTCATTAAACCATAAGATTTCCGATGAGACATTTTTAACTATATACTCCTTTACTTTATACCATGCTAGTAATATTTCACAATAAAACATTGGTAATTTTGATACAATATAATGTAAAATTCTTTCATCGAAATCACAGTTTAATACTAAAGAGAGCCCACCTATCTGGTCAAACCAAAAATTAGCCATTCATTTTCACAGTGTGTCTGACTCATCAGTAATTCGTCCTAGCCAACGCAATCTGAAACTCATAATCTCAGTTTCAACGTCCATCATACTTACACCCCCATTCTTACAATTTTTGAACATATCAATTCTCCTTACTTTTTCTCTTTTCCCCAGCCAAATAAAATTGAAAAATGATTTATTCATTCTTTTGACATAGATTTTAGGAACAGCCTCAAATATTAATAGATGTACCACCTATCTACGTGCTCGTCTTCACCACAACTACTCTTCCAAATATTGTCAGATTTACTATTCTCCAATTATGTAGTTTTTTTTATTTTTTCCATTTTACCATCCCACATGATATGTAAGGCCTTTTCTTTATCTTTTGAAATCAGCATGCCAAGGTACTTTACACACTCGTCACACCATGACAATGTGTGGTCCAATAGATTCTTCTCTCTCCAATTCGCTTTTCTAATGACAGAAAATATTTTGTATTTCTCCACCATCTTCCATCCATCTAACTCTACTTCTTATTCCAGCACCTTTGCATTCTATTTTATATTGCTTTTCGACCTCCTCTTTTACTGACACATACTCATTTAAAATTGTTAAGTTACCTTCTATCAGTTCCGTATCTAACACTTTTAATTTTTCCTCTAGTATAGTTGACTTCACAGCTTTCTTTGATTTTCTAACTGCAAACTTCTGAGAGAATTCTCTACATTTTATCCTTATCACTTCTTCTTTACATTCACTAATAGTTTTTTCTTATTCCCTCTTTGTACGACTCGTTTTTAAGAAGAGAGACATTAAAGCCCCACTGTACTACTTGTAGCTACTTGCTCCCTCTATATAGAAAACAATGCATAAGCGGTGCCCGTTGGTCCCCCATGATCCTCTTCTTCTTATGTTAATTGACAGTTGAGTTGATGATATAACTACATGTCAGTGACCACGCTAATCCCTTTAATCCCTCCTGGCAAACTAGTGCAGAGGGGCTTAAGCTTCCAGTAGCCTGGCCCTTTACGGCCTTTCATTGTTCTTATTATCAAAGAAATTGCATTAATATTACGAGTTATTACGATGTATTTTCGGCAAAATTCCACAATTTGTTACGAGTTGTCACGGATAACTACGAGCAACTTACGGGCATTTTACGACCTGTTTACGTGTTGTTACGAATAGTTACAAGTTATTTACGAGTATTTACGAGTCCTTACGATTTTTCAGCTTGTATAGTATACCTTTCCCCAAATCGTAAATAATACGCAGTAAGAATAGGCCTACGTTATACCCCCTTCACATAAATGGATTTTTCTTACGAGTCTGGTATTCGTAAATAACTCGTCACAACTCGCAACACCTCGTAGACACTCTTATGGATCCGTGAAAGGAGATGAACATTTTTTGACATGTCAAAAATCTCAAGTCATCAAGTCATCTACATAATAGCAAATCATAAAGATTCCCTCAATACGGTTGCTCTTATTACAGAAATATCTGAACATCGAGTCATTTCTCTAGATATATTTGAAATTTGCCTAATATATTTGTAATGAAATGACTTTGTAGCTTTTGTTTGATGTCTGCCTGACTTGCATGCCTGGTTACCTGACTTAGCAACAAGGCATGCAGTCAGGAAGTAGATTGTATTGAAATGACTATGTAGCTTTTGTTTTATTTCTCTCTCTATTCCCCCTTCTTCCACACACTCTCTCTTTTTATATATCTTCCCCATTCTCTCTCTTTCTCTCTCTCTCTCCCTCTCCCTCTCTCTCTCTCTCTTTTCCTCTTTCCCCTTTCTCTATCTTTCTCACTCTTTGATTCTCTCTCTCTCTCTTTCGATCTCTCTGTCTCTTAACTTAAATTGTATCCTAACTTAAATTGGATCATAATGTGAAAGAGGATGTCGTTAAATAAGACATAATTCTGCGTGGATTATGAATACAAATGTATTTGGAGTCGAATATCGATGAAAGAATACAAAATTTAGGTTTTCTGCGTACAACAGGAAACCCAAATTATGTATTCTTTGATCAATATTTTGGAGGCAGGAGTGTGTCTGAAAGGACATCTTCTTTCTGATTATGATACAATTTAAGTCAAATTTCTCCATCAAATTTTTGGCGAATTTGGGGCTCCCAACACTTTAGAGGGGCGTTTAATAAACCGTTATACTTTGGTGATTTTGTTTTTACATTGTTCTTTGTTAACGTGTTTACACAGTAACTCAGCTCGGGGGTTGAATCCGCGAGCAAGGTTATCTGCCATTCTGGCGGATCCAAAAAGGCGAGTTCGACTCGGCTCGCTTATCACTGAGATCACATTTACATGACATAAAAATGCCGGGTTGAGCACGGCTCGCGGATTCAACCCCCGAGCCGAGTCACTGTGTAAACACGGTATAAATTTGATCGTTCCAGTAAATTTCACGATAGGTTTTTGCGCACATAAAGCCTGTTTCTTGATTGAAATGGCGTCGAGTCGTACCATTCGGTTTTATGGAATTAAACAAAAATATTCACCCGATTCGTTGACACAAATTCATAGACGTAACAAAATATAAACTTGAAGAAAGGTATTTATTGCATTATTATATTCCCCAACCAAACATAATACTGAAATGGCAAAATACGAACTTATTGCACATATTGGACAAATGATATTGGGTTTACCCAAGACAATTACCAAATATACCCCACATAGTCAGTGAACAAAAGAAAATGGTATTGAGAATGGAATATAGATGGGAGGGATTCGAGACAGCACCATGAAGAGCAATGTATCTATGAAGAGAGGAAAATATAGAAATCAAGAGGGAATCTGAACATTTTGAGACAGACAGGGAGAACAAAAAGATTCCTTTGTCAAGATGAGGACCTTTCTTTCGCAGTACAGGTATTTCATTTCTTAATTGAAGTGAATGCCCAGAGTAATGTACAAGTGCTTCAATACATTTGCCAAGCCTTTCTTGAATATTTAATCCATCTCTCCTTTCCCTTAACCTATGAGTGGTACTTGACAGTGTTATGCAAGCGGTTGATTCTGATAAACCGGAGGTAGAGTTAAGAAATGTGATTCCTGTGAATCAGGTTTTACTGTATGGTGACAAGAGCCCTGAATCCAGTACGGGTTACTGAACTATCGGTAACAAACTTGACGAAGAGAGCATTGGTAGTAGATGTGATTGGTCCGGGAGTGGAGGATCCACACAGCTTGGCACGGAGCGGACCGGAAGCATCAACACCTTCATAAACCTGTACAGTGAAAGATGGCATTGAGATGGTAAACAATCTTTCAAACAAAACGAATACAATTTTCTTTTTAATTCAGTCGAGCTTGCATGTGGTTTTGGGCGAAATTTTGATGGATTTTTGGCACAATTACTGTTTAAGGTAAAGACCAGTTTTGGAAAGCCCCCCCCCCCCCTCCTCTCAAAAAATGAATGGAAGCTCTTATTACCTATCATGTGAAAGAATATGTTTTGACTTATACGTGATGATACAAATTTTGCCGAGAAACCGCCTACTAATTGATATATTGGGTTAATTACTATATCTATTTGGACCGGATAGATATCGCGCACGTGTCGCGTAGTCTTTAGGAATACCAGAAATACAATTCGACTTAAGCAGGAGAAGAGTGAAAAGTAAAACCCTGTTAATTTCAAGTCAAATCTTAGGAGAGTGGAAATTGAGAGCATCATCTTAGAATGTGTACTCCTTAGAAGACTTTCCGTTGTCATTTTATCCTTCAAATTTCGAATTGCTCTATCATATAGCTATACTGTCAACTACTTGATCACTGTTGATCTAGTTCGAAATAAAACCAACTAATTCCAAAGTGCATTGAAAATCAATCAGAAATGTTCCATATAACTGTGTTAGTTGCTAGTATGTAAGGTGGACAAAGGTGTTATAGAGTCCCATCCCAAGCATCTATTATGAGATCGATCTCGTGGATGATGACGACTAGAATCTCACCTCGAGGGCATCAAAGCTGCATGTGCTGTGGTCTTCAATGTCGAAATCGGTGAAGGTGAGAGTGACAGTGTCGTCAGCCAGACCCTTGAGAGTAAAGGTACACTCGTCGCTATTACTGTATTCTTCTGGATAGTTTGGTGACATCAATATACCGGAAGCATCGCTTAAAGTGTCTCCGCAAGCTGAGAAATGATAGATAGAGTGTGAAACTGGCTTGTCGTTGTCGTCCTTTTGTCCTTATCGTACTTTAGTCCTTGTCATACTTTGCCGACGCAGCTCGTCGGCAAGCTTCTCAAAACGTTTTAAAAATGCAATTAATGTCTCTTGCCGAGCTCATACAACTCTGGAGCAAGAGATTTGAACAAGCAAAAAATGCTTCTTTTTTTAAACAGGGGAAAGAATACGTTCGAAAAATGGTGAAAGGTTCAAATTCTTTACGGCATATAATATCTAGAAATTGCTTCTCAAACTAAACTCTATCTTTTACTTCTTTTGAAAAAGAGTGGGGAACTTTAACATTTGCATATTTGCTGTCTCAATTTTCGAATAGCCTAAAAGTGTACGTTCAAATCAACCACCTGTGTTTAAGATATGAATTTGGAGAAAGTAAAGTCATAGTAGTGTGAGAGTTCTAAAGACATGATCCCAGAGACTTTCAAAAATCAATTTAGGGCATTTGTAATAGCCTATAGAGCATCACCGATTGAAATATGCGAACAATTCAACGACGAATTACGTAATCCGATCATTATTTCTATGGCCAATACAAATAGGCAACAAAATAGGGTACATGCAATGCCTTTGCGTTGATTTCTTGGAAATATTTGCGATCTTGTTAAGAAAAGGCAAAAGGTAAGAGATTTGACTTACCACCAACTGTAGGCAGCTCTGGTGCTTCCCCCATCTGGAAAGCTCCAGTAAATCCTGGATAGGTGACTGAACCGTCGGAAGTGAACCTCATGTAGAGGCTGTTACCACTGCTGACGATAAGACCAGGGTTACTACTACCGCAATATTCTCCTATAAGAGGGGCGGATGAGTCAGCACCGTCGTAGATCTGTGTGAATCGGGAGAGAGGGAGAAAGTCAAATCACTTTACAAAATAATGATATTGCTATCATTGGTCTGTGCATATATATCTAGGACATCTCTCGTAAATGTTGACCAATGAAGTTGCTTTAAGGGAGATGGTCCTTCATGTTCATTGATATGATTATATATCTGCATCAAAAGCTGCACTAGCTCAGAAACGAGTACTATTCCATATTGATTAACACGTGATTTTATCAGACCAGTGATATATTATGTAGGCCTAGTTGCAAATGGATTTCATAATAGCCGTGTGAAAATGTTAAACAAAATGTGATGCAATGTGAATAGTTTGATATTGATTGGAAATGTTACGTCGCCCCAAGGGTATCAAATATCAATAGCCGGGCCGTTTTTACTAACATATACCAATAGACCATTTTCGTAATGCAACCAAATTTATGCACAAGTCTTTGTGAAGTGCCTCAATACAAATTATTTCATTCACCTGATAAGAATAGTAATTCAATAGTCAGAATGCAAACTGCATATATCAAGTGTTGCTAGGTAGGTCAAGCCATAATGTTGGTCAAATTCACTTTTTATTTTGTGAACCGGAAGTAATCGGATGGGTGTCAAATTACAGATTTATAGGATTGTAAATTGTTACTATTTTTCACAAATTAAAACTGCTATAATACAATGTATGCACATTTCTTGACACAACTAGGCTTTAATATTCATATCTTATCATTATTTTGGCATGCTAGGAGTCCATTCGACCGTGTGGTTCAGGCACTGCAGCATCTCTAATTGGTATGACTAATACTAATAGGCATATATAATATATTTCGAAGGACTTACGGCAAGGGAATCGTAAGCACAGGTGGATGAGCCCTCCAATTCGAAGTTGGAGAGAGCAACACTGATGACGTCACCTTCCTTAGCAGCAAAGACGAAGTCACATGCTTCATTGTTGTCGTAGTCATTTGGGTAGTTAGGGCTGGCGAAGACGCCTGAGGTCTCGTTGAAGAAGCCGCCGCAGGCTGGAGGATAATATCAGCAGATAAATCAGAATTCGATGATATTTACTTTATCATTCACATCGTTATCATGAGTATGTATGAATAATATACGAAATGCGGCAAGGAAAATAGCTTAGCACATAACTGGGCTTAAAACTCACCTGATGCTCAATGCATATTGTTAAATTTCAATGTTCTTTTTATACAATGCATGCAAAACAAACAATCGCACTGTGCCACATTGTATGTACCTTGGCACCATGAAGTTGTATGATCTAATGCAAGTTAACATTTTATATTTCTTTAATCTTAAGTATGTTGAATATTAATTTAAATTATTTGTATGCGCCTTGAGCATCTCTAGAGATGGATATGTTGCGCTTTATAAATATTGTTATTATTATTATTATTATTATTTATCACAAGAAAGCGCGTTTCCTCAGACATTTTTGTTTTGTTGATTAAATATCGTTGTTTCCATTTTGGCATTGCCCTCGGAGATTCTATTATAATTTGCCGTACTTGAAACGTATCATGTGGAAGAAGAAGAAGAAATAAAAAGGATAAGAAGATTGAGAAGGATAAGAAGAAGATCTTGATCTTACTTGGGTCAGATGGGCCACTTGGGTCTTCAGGATCGACTGGTCCTGGTGCAGATCCACCCCCATTACCCTCACCCACGTAGAGGAGCAGGTTGGGGGATCCAGATCCAATATCAGATACCGCACCAGAGATAGACTTGGTAAGGAGGGTGTTGGTTACCTCAGTAGGACTCATGGTTCCATTGATTCCAAGGACGACAGCTGCAGCACCTGTAATGATTTATTAACAACACAAAGCGATACATTTTTTTAATTTCCTTTTGTATAAGCTGCTGACCATCGCTATGTACTCAATACTCAAACTGACCATATTTTCAAATATGAATTTCTAGATCTATATCTCATATTGGTCTCATCCCCATATGTAATCAAGCTGTCTGACAGGTATGATAATGGTACCAAACTAAATGTAGAATTATATAACTTTGTTTTACCTAATATTGGGTACTCGTCGGAAAATTTACGAAAATTCGTGTTGGCAAATTTAGATCCCGTCTATTGAGAGTAAGATAGGCGTTAACTGTGCGAATAAGTATATGAGTTAATACCCTTCTGCCTCTTAACTATCGTTAGGAGACCTTCCTTTTTAAGGAAATTTAGAATATGTTCATCATAATAGGTCCGACGGCTCCGCCTTTCCAAGATATGCCGCCCCCCCCCCCCCCCGCGGCAATTTCGTATTACCTACATACTTACCAGCAACGTGTGGGCAGGCCATGGAGGTACCGCTGATGGTGTTTGTGGCACTGGAGCCTCCGATCCAGGAAGAAGTGATGGAGACACCTGGAGCAAAGATATCCACACAGGTACCGTAGTTTGAGAAGTAAGCACGGTCATCACTGCTATCGGTGGCGCCCACAGTGATGGCCTGGAGAGGAACGAAAAGAAGAGAGGGATAGAACCACGCTCCAAACATACTAAAGCATAAAAAGAACATTTTATACAATCGTATTGTAATATAATAATAATGATAATAATGATAATGGTTTATTTTTTTAAATGAAATATATGCACCGCAGTTCGAGGGCTAAACAATATTCTTTTTTTTTTACAAAACTATACATAACAAAAGATTATAAATAGAATCATGATTATACGAGTAAACTTTCTTTCTACAGTTGCAAATTACTCAAAAGTCAAGTACAGTCTACCATTAAACGAATAGTTCGTATTCTAGTGTATAGAGGAAGGTTTAAAACACGCAAGTAGAAGGGAGGGAGTGAGAAAGAGAGAGCGAGAGAGAGAGAGAGAGAGAGCGAGAGAGAGAGAGAGAGAGAGAGAGAGAGAGAGAAGGGGAAGTGAAAGGAAAAGTGAGGGAGTGGCCTGGGGTGAGGGGTGAAGAAAAGAACACCTCTAACTTCTAGAGATACGCAATTATCACACTCTGGAATCTTGGTTTTGTAAATGTAAACAAACTTCTCACTCCTCAACTTCCTCAATCTTCTTTATAAAAACCGTACTTGTCTGCATCTACATTATGATATGATATTAATATATATCATATGGCCACATATCCTTGGAAATATGTTGTGGTTGGACTATGTGAGATGCCAAAGACTTGATATTGACAAATATGTTCCCTTTAATAAACACATTTAAGCATCTATAAACAAATTGTGTGAAATAACTTTAGAATACATCGATATGGACATAAACCATTTGTTCAGCTATGAGTGTGATCATGCATCTATGATCAAGTTTCGTACAACGTACCATGTAGATATTAACAGATAAACAGATTGAGTCAAAGTCAATTTTAATTTTTTGATAAGCAGTGAGCTTGTTTCAATTAATTTTAGGCGCATTCCTTTACATTTAGTGAGCCCTGTATTGTAAAGAAGAAAAAATGGGCACTGGCAGGCTAATATATAAGAGTATTACATACGGGTACGGCACGAGCAGGAGAGTAGCTGCAAGCGTCGTCATCGTCGTTTCCAGCAGCCACAGCGACGGTGATACCGGCGTCGATCATGACTAGGATAGCGTCATCGACGGTAGTACTAGCTCCACCACCGAGTGACATGGATGCGACAGAGGGACCGTTAGCGTTCTCAGCAACCCATTCACATCCTGGAAACGAAACAATAATGATTTTGAATGCACATCGATGTTTTTATGGACTTGGTGACAATGTTGGTTTCTGGATGAGAGCTATTCAATAACTTGCAAGTATACTATTGGAAGGTTTCAAAAATATGTCATCTAATATTCTGCGAAATTAGGAGGAATAGAAAGGATTTTTTCCCCATGGGCCTATAACTTTATTTTCGTTAATTCGTGATCCTGATGCCATACAGATCAGTGTCAATTATGGGCTATTGGTCAGTGTTGATTATATATCGGTTTCCCTGATCCAATTCATTTGCGATCATCATTGTCGTTTTTATCATCTCATATCAGACTGCTCTTTTTCTGTAGTCATGCGTATGGAAAATGAGTGACACGAACACCATCTTAAATACTTTCGAAAAATTCAATCGAGCACAATTTTGATACCCTATTGGTATTGTATATCCCATAGAAATATTCACATTTAGTGTATGTCATTATAATGTTCTTTGTGATCGTGTTAAGGGAAACATACCAGCGACGACACCGGACCAGGATCCGGATCCCATGCAGTTCAACACACGGACTCCAAAGATGTTTGCTGCCTTAGCGACACCATACTGGGTTCCAGCGACGGTTCCAGCGCAATGAGTTCCGTGACCGTTGCAGTCGGCACCCTGTAATCATTACGTTGAAATTTCAAAATATTGCAAACTGACAAACTTGATCCCGAGTGTATCACGATCATAATGAATCATTATCATCATTACTATGTTCATAGCTAGGCCGATAACACTTAAGGTGTAACATATGTTTATAATAATGAATGTTAGATTTACCATTTATTTTATCTCATTTCATCCAGCAACTACATGTATAAGGAGTCATTTTAATTTGCAGTGATTGTTACGGACACAATTTAAGGGAGAGGAGAGGCATCTCTTTACCAAAAGTCACCACCATTTGCACGAATAGTAACGCATATAAACATCATACCAGTTATGTGATATTGGTAGCCGGAAATTAAAAATTAAAACACCCATAGGGATGCATGTCCTTCAAGACCCCCTCCACGTATGCAGACATGGTATATGCACCTATTAATCTTTTTTAACTATCATCCAAAGCGATGTTCCGATACTTTTTTCCGGTGATAATTGCACCAGGTTATATTTCATCAAAGGTGTAAGGTTAGGGTTAGGTATAGTGTTGGTCCAAGGTTGAAGTTAGGAATTCGGTTGATATAAGAAATGTAGGCTTAACTATTGTGGCAGGAGCACGTGTCCTGCAACCTTCGAAATAGAACCAATAAGAAAGAAACTTACAGTGTTTCCAAAGGCATCAAAACCGAGGGTAGAACGACCAGCATAGTCCTCGTGGTTGATATTGATACCGGTATCGATGACGTAAACATCAACGCCGTTACCGTCACCGATTGGCTGATAGACGTCATCGAGTGGGAGGTTGATCTGATCAATACGATCGAGACCCCATGAGGCAATGGAGCTAGCTTCCACTACGCCATCCTCTTCGATGTACTCAACGGCGTCGGACTTTTGGAGCTGGGAAAGGGGAAATGTGAAGAAATTAAAAAAACAAGAGACAGTGGTATGTAGCTTCACTAGAGCTGTTTACAATAGACCATACAATACCAAAATAGGAGTTGCTATGTCAGACGTGCTGTAGCCTCACCAGGAAAAGAAAGGTAATGTGAAGGTATTGTATGAAAGAATGCAATTCTTTTGTGAGCACATGTGCTGAGCTGGGGGAAGTTACATACCGCTGTCTCTTGTTAGCTCACTGATGACTGACATATGATGTCACAAGATGAATGAGATCTTTGGAGCATTTTTTAAGGTGGAGCTTAGCAGGACTGAGAAACTTATTTTGAAAAATATTTTTAAAATCTATAAAATATATTTAGATGTTTATATAACAAAATATCAGTTGTATGCAGCCCTGCACATCAACAGGAATCAACTTATATTATGATTTCACCCGACCTTTAAAGTGCCTATAGCATAAGTGTTTCATGTTAAAAGAAATCCTCTTTAAATAAAATAGAGGAAGATAAAGAGAGAGAGAGAGGGAGAGAGAGAGAGAGAGAGAGAGAACAAAAACCAGATAGAGATAAATACAGAGAGAGAGAGAGAGAGAGAGAGAGAGAGAGATAAAGAGGGGAGGAAGCTTACCCTTTGAACGAGGCGGTCAGAAAGCTGAGCAGCGAATCCTGGGAAGACAGTCTTGAACCTGTAGAGGATCTTAGCATCACCGAGAGATGCGATGCTAGCATCAACGCTGTATCCCTCCTATTCACAAGGAAAGTTTTACCAAGATATTTTTTAGAGATACGTAAAAACATACAGATATACATGTATATGAACAAATGGTGTCGACGAATTTGAGTATGTAGCATTTTATGACCACTCTAGTAAATTATTTTTTGTTAATCAAATATGGTGGTAGCTCGAAGAATAATTTAGTGCCTCCCCAAAATTAAGCGACTACAACCTGGACAGTCATGCACAATTCAATGCAATAGGCTACTAATTTCGTAATGTAACCAAATGCAATGCATACGTCTTGTGAAGAGTTTCGATAGAAACTATTTCATTCACCTTTTACAAATAATTGTATCTCAATAGTCAGAATGTGATTGAATACAGTATTTGTTGCTAGGTAGGAGAAACATCAATGTTTGCCCTACCTAACAACACATAATATGCGGAGTTTACATTCTGACTTTGGAAATACAATTATTATTAACAGGTGAATGAAATAATTTGTATTGAGGCACTTCACAAAGACTAATGCATTTAATCTGGTTACATTACACAAATGGTAAATTACGTAAATACGCCTAAAGTGGATTTAAAAATAAACCGAAAATATGTTCAGATGATGAAAATATTAATGACATAAATAACTAAAGTAGATTTGCGGTGGTTGCGTGTTTTTTTCAATGATCTTAATCAGCTTCCCAGGTATTAGACAGGTATCATACCTTTAGCTTGACGATGTAACGTCCTGGGATACGGTTCCTCTGGGTGAGAAGGGGTGCCAGTCTGGCGGATGCCGCAACGGCAAGAAGTAATACGATGAAGGCCCTCATTTTCTGGAAGAGAATTTAGATGAGAAAGAAAATTGCATTTTAGTCAAATTCATATTACATATAAACTATTCATATTACACACAATAACATTCCTATGCCATGTTATAATTTTACCAACGTTTCTAGTTAATATTCAATCTTGCAGCAAAAACTTTTGTTAATTGGTTCCTATTGTTGTGCCCCGTAGCACTCGTGGCAAATAAAGGGTTTTTAAAAAAATACAACATCTCGATGTATAAAGACGTTGTCAGGGTAAACTCTGCTCTCTAGACAAACCGAATTATAAGGGAATGGGGTTTACTATTAAGAGAAACATAATTCCTTTCAAATATTATTCAAACAGCCCTGCGTCATAAAAATTACATTTCAGAAGAGAAAAATGAATTGAGTTTTGTTTTGAAACAACACACACACGAGAAATCTTCCAGATGTTGATCTCACAGATGAAATCAAGTATAAGTTATTTTATACAAAACTGCGAAATAACAGACACAATCTATTTAAGAACAAAATGGTTGAGTTTGTTTTTGAAAACAAATGATAATCAAATATTGATGGAAAATCATTGTAACACTTTTTAAGACTTTTTAACAGTTGACTGATCTAGAATACCGAGAGCAAATTCGGTTTGAAACTCGAACAAAACTTACCAATACTACAATCGAGATGATAGTAGAGACAAAAGTGGATTGATAAAGAGCTAGACATTTTTTTCCGTATTTATAGAAAATTGTGAAAAACCTAGTTTTGGCAAAAGGTGAAACAGATGGTTAAATTCTCTTAGTCTCTAAGTATTTTTAAAATACTCTTTGTGGATGATTTCAAAGCTTTTAATTACTTTTAATCGCTTAAGCTGATAAACCTTTGTGCTGTGGTATTAAGGTAAAGAATAACGATTAGAAAGATAACGGGGGCTTCTTAAGCTTGAAGGGCATATCTATGTCAATAAACACATCATGGGTCGAATGGGAGCACATTATATACTTGACATGTTTTTGTTTAATTGGGGATATGTGCGTCGCAAGTGTTCACTTTGTTACTATCCCCAAATTTGTGAGATAATAATATTACTTAATCAAGCATTACATTAATATCCATGCGAAGTAGCCCAGATGACAAGTTATTTGGCAAACAGGGAGAGTCGGATAACTCATTAAGAAGATTTCAAATTAATCTGACGATTACCAATAGATTTTAATGATTATATTGGTAAACACGTGCATGACGTATTATCCATTTTGGACAACAACAAAACTAATTTAAAAACTTTTAGGTTACACGTGTTTTTTTTTAAAACACACAAATAACAAGTTTGCACCAACGTTAATTTAAACTCATGAATTATATTGGAAGTATTCGAAAGTAAGTTTGCCCAAACAAATATCAAAAGATGGAAAGAAAAATCTAACAAGAGATGGGGGGGGGGAGAAAGAAATGGAAATAAGAAAGGAATGTCAAAAGAAGAGGATACTGCCCCTTCGATCTATCTTCTACTGATCGCTATATTTTATCGAATTCCCGCCACCTAGTAAATAAAGTGTCGCTTCCATCACACCAGCGCCGTCACAATTAATGGATTGACTTAGGCTTTGGTAATAACATTATTGTAAAGCGAAGTTGAATATGGAACACGCTATACCTGTATGAATACATTTGTATTACTATAATTGTAATTATATTACATTACGCCGCAATGTAAAAACTTCTGCAACTCAGAAAATGCTTCAAAAATGTTATAAACATTTCTTGTTTTTATCGTTAATGATCTCTAACTAATATTTGAACAACTGAGAATTATAAACGCAGTTTTTCAACTCACACTGTTGTTCATATATGCCCAATATTTCTCAACACACGCATACAAGGACTTTAATCCATAATCTCCTTTTAAAACCCACGGAGTCCGCAATTGACGTAATGCTGTACAAGTTTACTCATTACACAATAACAGGTTCACCATAATATGTAACCATCATAAAATTTATTTGATAAGACAGGAAAGGGGATGTATAAAAAGGAAACGCGTTATTGATTTTGTATCACTATTCTTAAATTGATATTCTCTCTCCTGCCTGGGCCAAGAGGATCCTCGTTTAGTGGTAAGAATTTATATTTCCTTTCCTCCTATCGTCAAGGTATTTAAAACATCAATTATTACAGTTATCATCAATCACCCTGTAGCAATTAGAGTACTTATGGAAAGAGCAGCGAAAATATATATCACTCCCAATAAAAGAGTTTGTCCGTTTCCCCTTTTACATGTATTGTGCAAAATCTATTATATAGATAGTGCTTAAAGAGAGGATGAATTACTGCTCGATTATTGTCGATAACGTTATTTTTTAAACATTTGAACCTTCAATTTGTCACCATCTTTCATAATATATTTTGTTAACTCAGTCAATCAGGGATCTAAAATTACATTGGCATTACAAGCGTAACTACACTCGCGTAACTATAAAGGTGAAAAGGGAGGACGTTGGATACAGCTGTCCGAAGTTTGGCGTGTACGCGTCTATGTGGAGCCAGAAGGGCGTTAACACACATATTTGAACACAGATTCTCTGTTCATGTTGGCAGTTTGGATACTTCGAATACTTAAGGCCAACGGTGATACTTTAAGATTTCAGATTTGAGTTCAGTTCAATCACATTGCATTTCAACAATACTTGAGTTTAGTACATAATAGTTTGAGTGCTTGTTATCGAATTGAACCCAGGAAAAATTATATTGTGAATTAGTTAATGCTCACAAAATGTTGACAAATGGTGATTCTTTTGTTTTAATTCTTAAGGGCGAAAGCATGAGCGATTAAATTTTTTTAAATCACTTTGAAAATCCACCAAAACATATGTCTTCTTATATTCCCTTTATAATGATAGCAATGAGGGCCTTCATCGTATTGCTGCTAGCCGTTGCGGCGTCCGCCAAACTGGCACCCCTTCTCACCCAGAAGAACCGTATCCCAGGACGTTACATCGTCAAGCTAAAGGTGAGTACCATTCTTGCTTACCATATAACTGAGCCTTACCTCCACACCAGTGAGACTGACCGCAGTCCGACCGCAGCCCGACTGCAGCCCGACCGCAGCCCGACTATACAGACCGAATAAAATAATTCATTACCACAAAATAAACCAAACAATCAGCGGTGTAGAATCGGGTTGGTGGTGTGACAGTTGTGATTGTACTATTATGATGTTGATAAAGAGCTCAATTTTATTGTTATTTTTGTTTATCAGAATACATGCATTTTATCCATGAAAGAATACATAATGTACCTATTTTGCTTACAACAGAAGACCCAAATTATGTATTCTTTTATAAATTAATGTTTGTTTTCAAACATTTTTTTCTTCTCAGGAAATCTTTGCAGAAGTGCATGTATCTTAAATGACATCCTCTTTCATACTATGATACAATTTATGTGAAATTTTGCCATCAAATCTTTGGGGCTCCCAACACTTTAAAGGGGCTTTAACAGAATGATTGTTTTCCCCCTGGCTTTACAGACTGGAGAGAGTGTAGATGATATGATCTCTACCCTGGCTAATGTGAACGTCTATTACAAATACAAGACTGTTTTCTCTGGATTCGCTGCTCAGCTTTCAGACCGCATGGTCCAAAAGGTAAAATAATCTTCAATTCTCATTATTCACAATGGGCACCGCACCGTCATTCTATGCCCAAATTTCATTAAATTTACACTTCGTAAATGATTCTTGCAAATGCTATCTTTGGGAGTCTAAGGTAATAAGAAACTTCCCATTCGATGTTCAGATGTCAAGGACTATAAATATAACGAGTGGTGGCATATTTTATCGATACTTATGTTACTATGTATTGTGAATATCTTGATAATACCAATTTTTTTTAACCAAGTTTTCTGATCCCGGTGGAGGGGATACTTGTGTATGTTTAGCACATTTTGATTGAACGGGTCATGTGCCACCCCCTCCCGATTCATCAGTTAAATTTCCTACCAAGATATAGTTTTCAAATACTACATACTATAGCCTTTTATACACACAATTATGTTTTATGCATTGGTTCATTCCCCCCCCCCCCCCTGTGTATTGCATGACCCACTTCAAACAAACAGCTCCGTGAGTCCAGTGCTGTAGAGTACATCGAAGAGGATGGTGTAGTCTTCGCCAGCTCAGTCGAATCCTGGGGTCTCGATCGCGTTGACCAGATCAATCTCCCACTCGATGACGTCTACGAACCAATCGGTGACGGCAATGGTGTTGATGTCTACGTCATCGACACCGGAATCAACGCTGGGCATGTAGACTTCGGCGGCAGGGGTTTCATCGGCTACGATGCTCTTGGCGGATCTGTAAATATCTTTTATCATATATTTTGAAAGTTATTTTGTACTTATTTGAGGGATCTCTGTTTGCCATGGCTACAGAGTACCGACAATCCTACTTCGGTATTTAAAATACGTCATAAATATACTTATATCATAATCATTCTTAATTGCTATCTACAAATTTTTACTGTACCAAAAAGACTATAAGTACTTTAGGATGTCGGTAAATATTACCCTAGTTTTAATACCAAATACTACATGAAACCATACTTCAGTATACGTAGGCCTACTTTGAGGACATCATGCATGTTATCTACAAAGTACCCAAACCTTACACTATTGTGCTTCTATTAATGCGTTAGTAAACAATTATAATTATTCATTCAAATTCCATTCTTTACTCTTTGCATGAAACTACTGTCTACTACGTATTCAAATAGAATCGAAATTGTTTTAAATAATATTTTTCAGGGTGACGACTGCAACGGCCATGGAACTCACTGCTCTGGAACGGTGGCAGGAAGCATGTATGGTGTCGCTAAGGCAGCAAATGTTTATGGAGTTCGTGTTCTTAGCTGTCTGGGCTCTGGCTCATGGGCCGGTGTGGTAGAGGGTAAGAAAGTCGCTTAAAAAGTATCGTCATTTTATCATTTAGATTCTATCCTCCATTCTTTTTTTGTTTACATAATCCAGGTAATATGTCAGTTAAATGTTCCTTATCTTCAACGGAGAATCACAATTCTTAATTACCCAGCTGGACATCAAGAAATGAACACGCACATACGCACATACAAACATGTTCCATATGCGTCACCTCATAGAACGAATTATGGACGCAACGGTCGATTGCTTCAAAAATGCAAGATTGGGAACATAGGATGCGGACGTGGTAGGTCAATGTGACCGAACACGATTTAGACCATACTTATGATACTGGATGCTACCGGCGTAATGCATACTCGCATTACCGTTGCCTAAGTTTGGGCAAAGCCTATAAACCGCGTTCGAACAGAACGATCCGTCATCGTCCATGTAAATATCTCCTGTTTGTGGTTTACTCTTTCTGTATCAGGTTGTGAGTGGGTTGCCAACAACCAAAACGGTCCCTCCGTCGCCTCTATGTCCCTCGGTGGTGGAGCTAGCCAGATCGTCGATGATGCTGTTCAGTACATGGTCGACGCCGGTATCACCGTCGCAGTAGCTGCAGGAAACGATGACAGTGATGCTTGTGACTATTCCCCTGCTCGCGCCGCCTCGGTATGTTCATTGCCTCCTGCACTAAGTCTATTTCCATGTCTGTCTCTCACGAACGTATTACAATCTGATTTGATATCCATACGACTACTAAACTCTTAGCTACAATAAAAGAGACAATATTCCCTAGACTAACTACAGTACCTCCGGATATATATTTAGTTCTACGCTTTGAAAATGACCCCAGACCACTAGACCCTAGAGCAATAACCCCCGAACATCAAGACGTATACCCCTAGGGCCCTATACACAGGCGCGGATCCAGGAATTCTCAGGGGAGGGGGCCCAACTTTTTTTTTTTTGCTCCCGAAAATTTGAAAATCGCGCCGGCCGAAAAGCCGCTCAGTGGGGGAGGGGGGGGGGGGGGGGGGGAGGGAGGGGGGGGGGGGGTATCCCCCCCAAAAGGTAAAAATCACGTGTTTTTACAAGTTTTTTTCCCAGGGGGGGGGGGGGGGCGGGCCGCCCCCCCCCCCCCCCCCCATGGATCCGCCACTGCCTATACATGTAAAGAGAGCTACCAATCGGTCCGGAGATCAAGTGAAGGACGGTTAGACTTTCCTGTGTTAGTTATCGGGACTGATTGGCCAAGAGGTTGTTTTCCCGAGAAAGCAGTCCAGGGAAGTATTCAGAGATATCTAGTTTTGCTCGATTGTAACCATCACATTATGAATTATAACACAGTACACATTATCTTTGTGTGATTTAATGCTCTGTAGGCTATCAGCGTCGGAGCGACCGATATCACCGACACTCGTGCATCCTTCTCCAACTATGGTCCTTGTGTTGATATCTTCGCTCCAGGAGTAGCCATCACTTCCACCTGGATCCGTGGTGATGATGCCACCAACACCATCAGTGGTACCTCTATGGCCTGCCCACATGTAGCAGGTAGGTTTCTCTCACCATCAGTGGTACCTCTATGGCTTGCCCACATGTAACATGTAGGTTTTTCTCACCATCAGTGGTACCTCTATGGCTTGCCCACATGTAGCAGTTAGGTTTCTCTCACCATCAGTGGTGCGTCTATGGCTAGCCCACATGTAGCAGGTAGGTTTCTCTCACCATCAGTGGTACCTCTATGGTTTGCACACAATCATGTAGCAGGTACTATTTTCGCTTATAATATCAACGATATGTTCAACTATTGAAATTCAAACATTGTCCACGTATTGGTTACAGATGCCTCGTAGGAAGAAATCCTTGAAATCCTATAGCACCTTCGAAATAAAACAGCTAAGCTGAAGCCGGGCATAATAACATTGAGCTTTTCGTGCCTTAAGAAAAAAAAACATTATTTTCATATTTAATCCTTTTATTGTTGGTATTACCATCATCATAATTCCAGGTGCTGCTGCTATCATGCTAGGTATGGATCCTAACATGTCCCCCAGTGAAATGAAGTCAGCCATGCAACTAAAATCCATTGCTGATGTTATCATCGACCCCCAAGCCGGATCACCAAACCTCCTCCTCTACGTCGGAGAGGGTAGCGGGGGTGGCTACATCCCTGAGCCTTACGTCCCTGTCGGTAAGAATGCCATCCAAGGAACGGTTCATTTTATTACGGAGCTACAGTTTTATGACTGCCAATCCCGATCTCGAGGCTACTCTTACGTATCAAGTTATCAGAATTTTAAGGAAAATTAAAGATGCATCCAGAACACAAGACTTCTTTTTAATAACCAAGCAACACAAACCTTCTTCCTTGCTCTCATTGAGCCAGATTAGAATCATTGTAAGCAGGTAATGGTATCTTTAAAGCACAAACGATTCAAGGGATACTGAGAAGCATATACATTTAGTTTAGGCACGTTAGATTTTTAAAAGGAAGATAGAACAGGGGATTAACAATTTCACACGTGATGCAGGGTTGTATAGGGACGCATATTCGTTGGATTAGGACAGTCGCCCCCTCCGCCTCCTTTATATAACGGAGTGACTGAATAATATATAAAGACCACCCTTCCGATTGGTTACACTGCCTTCCAAGCGTCCCCATCCTGAAACCATGGACGCGAACGATGAAGAGGGACTAATTCATTGTAAGCTCTATCATCTCAAAGACTTTCTATTTTGAACTACTGCATGTTACTACAGATAATCATTTTTTTTCTCTTTTTTTGGTTAAAACAAAAGATACCCGGAAAAGAGGGAAATTGGCCAAAGTAACTTTTAATCTATATGTTTAGAGCTGCTTTTCTTGACATTACGATTTGTTTATGGATAGAACTGGTAGGTAATGAAACACAAGATATCTATGTTATTTTATCTTGGTCTCGCCATAAGGTTGCGGTGGTTACTTCAATGTGACCGATGGTACGTTCACTAGCCCTAACTATCCCAGCGAATACGACGACGATTCGTCATGTGACTTTGTCTTTAAGGCATCCGAAGACGAGGTCATCACTGTAACCTTCAATGACTTCGAGCTCGAAGACGCCTCTGGATGCGGGTACGATGTCCTCGAGGTAGGAACGTGCAATTTATCAATCGAAGTCTTTTTTCTTCTCCCGAGACAACAACTCTCACTCTTTGCAAGGCCTTCTGTTCTCCTGTTTCAGTTTAATTGCATTTAAAATTATCCCCGCTATAAATTGTTCGTCCCCATGAGTCATGATTAAGCTGCCTTGGAAGTTTTTTTTTCTTTTTCTGCCTAAATACAAATGTGAAAATGTGCAGCAAATTAAAAAGTGATCGTATCTTTAAGTTTTCAAAACAAGAAACATACAAACATACCGAAAAATAATACAAAACCAAACAAAAACAGCGTTGATATTAAACAAGTTGCTGTCTGACATCCAGTCTTTATTTTCAACATTTTTGTTTCTGTAAATTTTTTCGCTCCTTAGATCTATGATGGACCTAGCTCGTCAGCAAATCTACTGGGAGAGTTCTGCGGAACTGACAGTCCAGGAATCGTGACAAGTAGTGGCAATGATATGTTTATCCGATTCACCTCTGATTCTTCCATTACTCGTACCGGTTTTTCAGCTGATTACCAATTTGCTGTTCCACTACCGCCTCCTGAAACCGGAGGTGAGAAACAGAAGATGATCAATGGTATCATTCCACCATTTAAACTATCGTAATTTTAAAAGATCAGTCTTGCGTGTAAGTGTAACAACAGGAAGAAAACGCAGAGAGGAGACACTTTGAGTTCAAATTGTTCTGTTGGTAATCTCAAATTGAAGGTCGAAACATTTCAAGATGACGGTTGTTAGACACATGCACCAGCGATAGTCGCTCCGCGGTCAATATCCTACGTTAACCGAACCTTTGACTTCAACCCTAGACCGAGGACGTGCCCAACCCTAAACCAAACTACAGTTCGAATTACAACCCAAACCCTACTTCTTTTACGAAATCAAACCCACAACAACTTCTGTTGCCGGAGCAAATGTCTGGGCACCAAACTGGTTTGGTTGGTCGACCTCGAAAACAGTTTATCTCATCGAAATAATGCATTCTCTCCTTTCAATTTCAGATTGTGGCCACACCTTCACCGGGATAAATGGAATCCTGTCTTCACCTAACTATCCTAGTAACTATGGTAACAACGCGGATTGTGGTTTCCTCATCCAGGGTGCATCAGGACAGGTTGTCTCCTTGACCTTCGAAGACATTGAGCTCGAGCAACACACTACTTGTGGATATGACTCCGTCGATGTAAGCTCTTATTTTCGTTATCGCCTAAAGGCCTATTCTAACTGAATCTTGGAATACCACACCCTGCTCAGTGATTGTGCGTGTATGCCTACTTTCAATTTTAGTTCTGAATGGCACATTTAAACTATGATAATCGCTCCTTTTTTTTTACACAGTGTATGTATTTTGCTTGACTAAGATTTGTGTGTGCCCCCCTTACAAAAGACTGATCCGCCCTTGATTCTTTCGAATGTTTGTTTCGGTTGTTCCTGAATGCCTCCATAAGAACAACCTCATGGTATTACTTTATTGGACTAAACAATTCTCTTCTTTTGACCAGATCCATGACGGTGGCATGACTGGTCCCATCCTGGACAAGGTGTGTGGAATCTCTCTCCCAGATGTGGTGTCCTCATCCCTGAGTTCTATGTACGTCAGGTTTACTAGTGATAGCTCTGTTACTCGCAAAGGATTCACAGCAACCTATCTTATCCAGGATGCATAGTATATCACGAGAGAATATATATACATGTACATGCATATGTATATACATATATATATACTTTTTTGGGGGGGGGGGGGGGGATGCGCCAGATAACACAATCATAAAATGCCTTGTAATTACCAAGATAAGTTTCGACCAATAAATAGCGAATAATTCAGTCTGTTCAATTACTCTGTGTATTGGATTTATATTTACGTACTAACTCTTCAGTGAGCGTGTGAAAGTAAATGTGAATTTAGTGAAGATTAACGAGTTATACATGAAGAAACGTAATAGGATGGATTTAATCATGCAGAAAAAGAGAGGACATGTGACGAGAGTGTTCAAAATGATCAGGTGAAATAGTCAAGGAGAATTGGGGCAAGAGAAGTGGGGGCAAGAAATATTACTCGAGAAAGATAGACAGGGAGAGAGAGAGAGAAAAGAAAGAGAGAGGAAGGGAGAGAGAGAGAGAGAGAGAAAGAGAGAGAGAGAGAGGAGGGGGAGAGAAGAGGGGAGAAAGAGGGGAGAAGGGGGAGAGAGAGAAGGGGGGGAGAGAACTATGAACGATTTTAATAAAGCACCTAAGTGGCAAATGTTCAAAAAAGCACCTGTCGCTTGTGGATATGTTTTGAATTAATAATCTTATATAATGGCTTTCTTTTCTGTCTGTATGTATATCCCTCTCTCTCTATCTCTTTCTCTCTTTTTCTTTCTTTTTCTCTTTCTCTTTCTCATTCTCTCTCTTTATCCTCTTTTTCCTCCTCCGTCTCGATCTCTCTTTGTGAGATAAGCTGGGTAGTAGACCAAGAGTCATTAGACCAAATAGCAATGAACTTTCTTTCACCGCCCCTTCAATACTCTATTTCCATCTGTGGTGCCTCTCTCTGTCTTCCTTCATCTGCCATAGTTATGTTTATCTTCTCTTTTCTTTTATCGCTCTCTCTCTCTCTCTCTCTTTCTCTCTCTCTATCTCCCTATCTCTCCTTTCTCCAATTTCCCTTGCTCTCCTTCCCATGCATCCCACCCTAGCCCCTCTATGTGCACATTGTGTGCTGGCAAGTCTGAATCCGATGACCGGGATAATGATATACATGTATCTGTAAAGTGCTTAGAAACAAGCGCTATATAAACCCAGAATATTATCATTATTAATACTATCACTGATATTCATTCTCTTCGTTTGTTTATGCCATAAGTCATAGTTAACTGATGCGCTAATACATGTAGATGTATTCGTCTTGCAGTAACCATTCATATTCTTTCTTTAAGGCCCATGTACAGGCTCATGCCCCTCTCATTTCTTTCTTTCTTCAATTAAAAAAAAAATGATGTTCCCCTCCTCATATTAAAGACATATTGTAAAAAAGAATTTGTTCAAACATAAATGAAATTATCAACTTGATTGCCTCATAGTATCTTTCATTAAACAGAAATACATACAACAGAAGTACCGATATTAAGCGTTACGAAATCAATATTCTAAATACAAGTATGAGGAAGGCAAGCATTCAATGGCCTATTCTTACATCCCTCGTCATTCTCTCGTGATATTGACTATGACGATATCAATTTGGACTTATCTTGTCTACGACGGTAATCAAGCTGGTAACTAATCTCAATAAATGTGAGAGCCGTGACATATGTCTTTGCTTTAGACAAACTTACACCAAAAAACAGGAGTCAGCATCATGATTGATATTTTAATCGAGAGAGGTGGAGCTCCAGAATCAGCTAAAAATTGATGATTTATTTTTAGCTCTTACAGGCAATACAAACATGATTGGGGGCTCCTAGTGATGCAGCACAGATAAATTGTAAAGAATTATAACACACTCGGGCTTGCACATCATCATTTTGTGTGTATCATGACATTCATAATTATACAGTGTCATTAGAAATCTGAAGTGGGATATTTCAAGTTTTAATACTATTAGCGAAGAAATGCAGTAAACGCATACAAATGGGTAATAGTTAATTAACAATGGCAACAATGCACTATTTATATAGAGCTAAATCGTTCCTTAAAACCCAACGTTGTTATCATAATGGGATTGTAAGGTTGTATTTACTTGACACAGTCTTTCATTTATCATAAGTTTGCAATGGAACTGTCCGTTTTATGTCGTCACGTGAGATAATTGAAAAAGGAAAATCTAGTTTATGTTAAACTGGAAAATTAAAAGACTTTACAATTATACTGAAAGAAACCTTTTGAAAACACTCTGAGTGTTTCCTTTTAAATAGATAGGCCTATTTAGACTTTGAACAGGAGGAACTGATTGTTATCAATATTATTGTAATAATTATTTTCTTTTCTGGGGGTGGATAGAGGGATAGTTATCTCACTCTCTTCATTTGTCATTATTAGTTATGTTTAACGTATGTTATAATCATGACAAGTATTCGTATAGTCCAAGTGATTATTAAGGCTGTAGATACATTTAGAGCCGGTAGATCCTAGGTTGCATTCTTATGGAATGCTGTATGTCGCCTTGAATCCACGTCTGTTCACTGAACTGTCGCTGATGAACCTTACAAACATGGAGTTCTCGGTAGATGTGATGGGTGCAGGGATCGTCGTGCCACATACTTTAGCAAGATAATTAGGACCATTCATGTCACCATCATGTATCTGTGAGAATGACGTCATTGAGGTGAAAGGTCAAAAGTTACCTCTGTAAACGACTTATTAATCGTCCAATCATCATGATTTTTTTTTTTAAATGTTTGTCAATCGTTATCAGTTCAGCTTCTTTGGATTGTATTGTTATGCATAAATGACGATTGATTTTCAGACACCGAAATAGATTTACGAGTATGTGTGTGTGTATATCTTTTTTATAAACAAAACGATGTTCTCAGCCGAACAAAGCATAAAAAACCAACAAAAGGGTAAAGTTTTAATTAACAAATGGTTCAAGTTTAATCAACGCCACTTTAACCAACATTGAGCAATTTTGGTTAACTAATAAACGATTAAAGTTTGTAATCAACCACAGTTTAAATATTAATCAACAGGCCGTTGTCTAAAGTTTAACCCACAGTTGCGTGATTCATATAGTAATCTGTGGTTGATTAAAATTTTAACCAACTTGATTAAAGTTTTTATACTTGTTCTAACAGAGTGCAGTCAGAAACTGCCAATAGAATAGTATACTTTCTACACTAAACCTCAAAAAGTTATCAATGTCGAGGCTTGGAAATCTTAAAATGTGACCAATATTGATTATAGAACTGTACTGTGCTTATTGATTCATCAAATTAGCTGTGCATCTTAACACCTAATAGGTATAGAATATCTCTCATTCGCCTCTGCCTATACACTGTCGGCTTGGAATCTCTGACATCAAAGAATCAAGGTACTGTAATCATTTAATTGTAACATTCTTTCACTGGTAAAAGATGTTTTCAATTATTAAGGTTAGTTTGAACTCTTGCTGCAATACCTCCTTGATTTTAACCACCTCTGCTCTCCACAGCTTGGTAGGATGCAGAAAAGCCCTGCTTAGAAACACTGCTATCACTTTTGAACACGCTCCTGCCAGTACTTATCAAGCTACTAGGAATGGTGCTACCACACAAAGTCGCTAACACAGGATCGCCCGTGCTTGCTCCATCACATCTTTAGAGGATGTACCTTATATATCTACATTTCGTACGTTGCTTGACTATACATCGATTCCTACCCTGTTTACTTCTAGTACGGTTGTATTTCTTTTGCTTGCTTGGAAAGCAAATAACATCCTAGCCCCTTTTTTCAAATAACCATGTGATACTTTAAAAAATAATATAGGCTTCAATTGTATATAACTGTTGAGCTGTACTCTTAATGAAAAACAAAAGTGTTTTTATATTTTTGACGTCTTTCTGAATATGTTTGCATTTTTCTTTCTTAATTGTAATGCGAGACTATCTCTAATGCACGGCCATTCGGGAGAAAAGAAGACCTTAATACATTTTTAGAGAAAGATCCAGATTCTTGTAAATCTCTGTCGTGATTCAACAAATTCAGGTATTTTAAAAAGAAGCTCTATAACTATGCGGTGCCGCATACTAATCTTTGCGCAATTTCTCGTATTAATTCGAATTTGTTGTGTCGGTAACGATACAATACAATATTTCGACCAATCAGATCGCTAGATTTCTAAGAGGTATGTAATCGTCATTATATAAATTATGAAAAAAGGAAACTACCCCCTTTTACTTCAAAAGGCTATGAATATCTGTTTTATAGCCAAACAACACATGAAAGAAACAAAACAAAACAAACAAACGAACGAAAAACTAAGAAAGAAGTTGTGAAAGCTGACTTAAAAAAAAAAAATATCGAGTATAAAGAGAGAAACTAAAGAGAACAATTACCTTGAGCGAATCAAAGCCACATATATAGTGGGACTCGATATAGAAATCTTCAAAGAACAGGTACACTACATAAAATTATGACGTATTATGACGCGTTAAACCGTGGGTTAAACCTAAACCTCCCTTGTGAATACCAAAATAATGACCCATGGTCTAAAGCTCGGTGTTATGACGTATTATGACGCGTTAAACCGTGGTTTAAATCTAAACCTCCTTTGTGAATTCGGGCCAATGAAGAATATTATCTAGTTACTCTAGCATGCAGTGTCATTTCAAAATAGTGTCAATTGCAAGCCATTTTAAAATTCTTTCTGATTGGGATCAGTTAATTGGGACCATCGCCTTTCCACGTCGCCTTTTTAATTCTTCGCATAAGAAACGTAATACACTTTAAAAACTATGATTGTTAATTCTTGAGATATTTGTCCCACTCATCATCCACTTTCCATTTTTTGTTTTCCTCTCTCTCTCTATGTCTCTTTCTGTCTCTTTGTCTGTCTGTTTGTCTCTCTGTTCTCTCTTTCTCTCTCTACCTCTATCTCGCTGGTTTCCTCTGCCCCCCTCTTTCTCTTTTATCCCTCTCTAGATTAAAATATCAATTATTTAATGCTTATTTCTGTTCTTTGTGTAAGTTTGTCTAAAACAAAGACACATGTCAATACTCTCACAATTATTGAGATTAGTTATCAACTTGAATTCGGTCATAACAAAGATAAGGCCAAATGAATATCGTAATGTGTCAATATTTGTCCTGGCTAATGGTACGATATGATTATGATAACAAAGTGGTTACTAGAGACATGGACCCTAGATGTAATACCACGAGAGGATTTCGAGGCATGTAAGAATAGGTCAAGGAACTCTTTCCTTCCTTATTTGTATTTAGAATATTGATTTCGTATTGCTTGATAGCTATATTTGTGTTTTATGGAAAATTTATGTAAAACTATTAGGCAATCAAGCTGATAATTCGTTTATTCTGTTAACATAAGGGAGGGGAACATATACAACAATATATGGAAGAAGTGAGAGGTGGCGCGTGCCTGGACATGGGCTGCAAAAGAAAGAATAAGAGTCGATTGAACAGTAATGGTTTAAATACGATATTTAGACATACATCTGCATACTATTACGTAAATATGTGTATTAATATATCTAGGTGAAGTTGTTAATGGGAACTAGAAGTTAGCACAAGTGCTAGTCGAGCCTAGTTCCATTCTTTGGCAAGATTTTTTCCTGTTAATTTGTTTATACATATGAATGTAAAACTTGTTTGTTTTGTATTTACATATATTCAACAAAATAATACAGTATCATGTAACTTTTGTACATACTAAAATGAAAAAGAAAAAAAAATAGTTTAAGTGTTAAAGCATTATAATGAAAGAAGACAAATCTTTGAACAAATAAAATCATCAATGTGTTCATAAAAATGAAAAGGGTGTATTAATGAAAATATTATCATACAGATGTGCGTACATGCACAAATCCTTTAAAAGCTTAAGGAAGCTATAATCGTTAACAAGCAAGTGTATACATAGGAAGACAAGTAAAATAAAAGGAAAAACAAAGAGGGGGGGGTGGGATTGAGCCCACGTCATTTACATAGAAGGTAGGTGGAAAGATGTCTCCGAAAAGATAACCTCGATGTTTTTAATCTAATTTCATCTGGGAGATCATTCCATAAAGAGTGTCGTAAAACACCTTTTACCAAATCGTACATAAATGTTGGTACAAGAAGTTCATGAAGTTGAAAAATATTTGAAATATTTAGACTTTGAAAAAGAGCTTTGGAATCTGTACTAAGTGGACTGAATGTAATTGCTCTCATTGCCATTTTTTGACTTAAATATATACAATTTAGATTACTTTTGTAAGTGCTCCCCCATACTTCTACTCCATAAGAGAGGTGGGGCTGTATAAAAGCCTTATATAATAACACAAGTATATTCTTGGGAACAAAATGTCTCAGTTTAAATAGAATACCTACTTTCTTTCGTATGCATTTGTTTATTGTCTGAATATGTTCACTAAAGAGTGGTGGCCACAATACCAATAAATCTACTAGCATAGTAATTGACCATAACATAACATTTTATTTAAAAAAAAAAAAAAAAAGAGTAATAGTAATAATGATAATATCATGGGTTTATATAGCGCTTGTCTCTAGCGCTTTACAGGTACATGTATATTATTATCCCCGTCATCGGATTCACACTTTCCCCCACATAATGTACGCACACAGAGGGGCTAGGGAGGAATGCATGGGAAAGAGAGCAAGGGGGGAATTAGAGAAAGGAGAGAGAGAAAGAAAGAGAGAGAGAGAGAGGGGGGGGGGGGTGAGAGGGTGGGGTGGAGGGAAGGGAAAGACAGCGACGGAGGAAATGGGGAGAAAGGAGAGATAGGGATAGAGATAGAGAGAGAATGGGGAATGAGTGTGAAAGGGAGGGAGAGAGAGAGAGAGACAGAGAGACAGACAGAGAGAGCGGAGAGAGGAAGTAGATGAAGAAGAGGATGACGAAGAGGAAACAAAGAAGGAGGAAGAGAAAGAGGGAGATAAACCCACACAGTCATGTGAGAGAAATAAAAGTTTATGTAGCATTAGTAGGAGTACAAATAAATAAACAAGTAGTGCATGTGCTAGTTATTTGCCCTACTTTTAAATATTTTATTGTCATTTCGCATTTCATTTTGTCCTTCGTCTAATTGATGTTATACAGTCTTATCTTATTTACTTGCATTACGTAGCCTGCAAACTTGAACGTGTGACACATTAATGTGCTACCTGGTGTAATTGATTATGAGAACCAGAACATCTGAATTTGAAATTAAGCTATAAATACGTTTACTAGTGTCCAAATCTCACAATTTCTTTCGGTTTTCTGTACGAAGCCAGCACTGATCTCCAAGTTACATCTACCAGTACTAAACCAGTAAGTTATATTCTTTGAAGGATTTGAAAATCAAGATTTTTAATATACTTTGATTGATCGTTGTAATACTTGCTTACATTTTCGTAATGTATCCAAATTTAATGCATTAGTCTTTGTGAAGTACCTCAATACAAATTATTTCATTCACCTGATAAGAATAATAATATTTCAATAGACAGAATCCAAACTGCATACATTAGTTGTTGCAAGGTAGGACAAACATTATGGCTTGACCTACCTAGCAACACTTAATATATGCAATTTACATTCTGACTATTGAAATAATTTTATTCTTATGAATGAAATAATTTATATTGAGGCACTTTAATTTAATTTGGTTACATTACGAAAATGGCCTATTCTTTTGTGAGCATGTGCTGAGCTTGGGGAAGTAACATACACCGATGTATTTGCAGGTATTTGAGTTTTAATTCATTTTTTTCAGAAAATTGCAGTCAGCAACATTTATCATGCTAACTATAAAAGAGGCTCTTTTGATTAGTGATGAAACGTTGAAATTGATTCTGTTCACCCTAACACCGTTTATCACATAATATCACCCATTTTTGTGTATTTTCGTGTACTTTTTGTTCTCTATTGCGCCTCAAACACATTAGTCATGTGAAGTTGGAGCATTACAAACACTCTATATTATTATTATTATTATTATTATAGGAACCATCACATTCAGATGTCAAAATATACGATGTTTTTTATTATAGCCTGCCGAGCTAATAGCACTTGCCTTGATCATTTTCCAAAGTATGAACACAAATTCTAAAAAACGTGTCTGAGAATTCTTCATACAGAATATTGTTTTACCGGCTCTTAACACTAATCATATCATGGACCTACTACAAATGGACACTGATCGGTACATATCCATGCACCTGATTCCAGTGGCGGATCCAGCCGGCGGGAAGAGGGGGGGGGGGGGCCCAATCCGTGAGACAATATTAGTTGCGACTCAACCACCGGTGAATAAGCGGGGGGGGGGGGTGGGGGGGTGGGGGTGGGAGACACTTTTTTTGTCCAATTTTTCAGGAAATATTTTACCCCGACTCAGCCAGCCGGTAAATAATTAAAAAAAGAAATTGCTGTTGTTGACCCGTCAGCCCCCCCCCCCCTGGATCCGCGCCTGCAGAGGATCCAACTGGCGACAAGGGGGGGGGGGGAGCCAAATCTTAATACAAAATTTAGCGTCGACTCAGCCGGCCGGCGAATAAGTCGGGGGGGGGGGGAGAGCACCTTTCTTATTTCCCTTTTTTGATCGAGTTTTGGAGGAAAAATTTTGCGCCGACTCAGCCGGTCGGTGAATCAATTATTATTATTATTATTATTTTTTTTTTTTTTTTTTTTTTTTGGGGGGGAGGCGCTTTTTTTTTTTGTGTTTTAAAAAAGGTTAACTTTACGTTATTATCCTATTTTTTTAATCGTTTTGGGGGGCTAGGGGGGGGGGCCGGGCCGGAAAAATCGCTACGTGGATCCGCCCCTGCCTGACTCTGTCAAAAGTATCAAAATGACATTCCAAACATGCTTCCAAGCTTTGATCTCATCACGACCGCCGCCAGTAAAAAGCACATGTACATAATGCTGTATAAGATTTTCCACAATTTAACTCCAGATTATATGCAGAATAACTCTTTCACAAAGAAACCAATTATGCCCTAAGAAATGTCGATAACTTAGTCTTGCCCAAACCTAAAACTAATTATTGTAAACGAACATTCTTTTATCGCGGATCTAAATTGTATAATGAATTACCGATTAACTTACGTAGACCGAACACACTCAATCTATTTCGGCATGGCCTAAATAAATGGATTCTAGATTTTGATGTATAAACTTTTGGTGTAAACGGGGAGGGGGGAGGGATGGTAACAGTCGTATTCATAATTATTGTGTTATAGAGGGTTTGGGATGGGGTTGTAGATAGTGCGTTTGTAATGCTATATTTTCGTAATATTTTGTGTTTTATTTCTATGTTTGATTATTTATGGACCTCTAGAAAGAACAGAGTCTTTTTGACAATGGCTCTAAATAGAACTTTCCAGCCGTTTTTTAATTCTTGATTTGTATTATATTTGTAAATTGTATTCTTGTATGTATTTGAATTGTTATACGGAAAATAAAACCAACCAACCAACCAAGTCAGCCATACAAAGTCAAAACTGTGCCTTGAAGAATCTACAAAATACCTGCGCAAAAGAAACTGAACCGCTTAAAATCACGGAAAAGCATGTGCAGTTGTGGAGTACATATGAATATTGATGTATATGAAATTTCAAAAGGAAATTAGAAGTAGTTTACAAGAGAAACCTGAAAATTTGGCTGTAACACAATGATTTTAAACTTTCATTTTAAAACTTATCCTATCCATTTCAAAGGAGTAGAGGGTAGTAGGACAGTAGAGAATATGTATTTTTCAAAGTTTGGCATATCCATATGTATGTCCACCAGTGTCCACTTGTTTAATAATCAATCTAACATCACACAAATTGTCATAATTTGGGGTTCACTGCTCCTCTAACTGGTCTGAAGTCACGATACTTTTCGATGCAACAAAGTCTTCTACAAATTATCATTATTTCGCTCACCCTTAAAAACTTCATTAAAAAAACGTGCCAGTGTGCGGACCTTGGACAACTAGAATGTCTCCTCCTATACACCGCACCCTTATTCCGCATCCCCTCTTTTCATATTCAAATTTAACATCTTCGACGTAATGGAATTGAATAATTCCGTCACGCATACCAGATAACATTATTAGTGTTCCCACTTATTGCCGTATAAACAACATTTGCCAGCTATACGATGTAACGCTGGCAAATACATTTCATCACCATCAGAGGAAAAGTAACAGGTAGATTTTACACAAACTGCATGTCAGTGAAGCGACTGTGAAGAACTAATTTTCAGCAATTTATCCTGATGTATGTTATGTTTATTTGATTGATAGAAATGAAAGTTCTCCTAGTCGTTCTCTTAGCGACCGCTGTAGCTTCGCAACTGATTGCGCCATTGATAACAGTTGATGAACCCATTCCCGGGCGTTATATCGTCAAACTCAAGGTAAGAAAAATTAATCTTCTAAACAAGGGGAGAATTTTAGAACATGTTTTAAAAAAAATTATAACGATTTTTATAGACAATATTTTGTCATTTTTCTACCATGGCCATCTCTTACTCAGCGTTTAATTTTCCTGGTTTACCTCTTTTTTCTGTATGTCTTATTTTGAGCATTCATCCCTCTCATCTTGACATTATTTTTCTTATTAAACATTTCACCCCTAATTCAATGCAAATTTATAGGGAAATGGGGGGGGGGGGGGAGGGAATCTTGCGACCATTTTACAAATACACCACGAGCAATTTTCGTTGCTGGATGCGGAAGGGCACCCAAGGGAGACGTAACAATAATGCTTTGCGGTGGGTGTTGTTGCCAGTTCATTTACAATTCTATCATAAGAATGAAAGTGACAAATGGCAAAGAATTCAGACAAATATATGATTAAACATCAAGCTATTCAAAGAAATATGAGTTTTCAATTGTGGAAGTATAATATTTAATTAAGGTTCTGTCTAAATTTAAAGCTATCATTTAATTTGGACTAATTGAGTTTTGAGTCCCAAAGAACCAAGTCAGTTATGTTGCACACAAAATATTTGATAGAGTCCAAAAGCAGCATTATCTAAATTAAAATACATTAACTAAAAGCAACATTATACTTCATACCTTGTCAACTCTGTCATTGGCTTTGTGAGATTTTGTTCGCCAAAAAACGGCATAATACGGATCGAAAAAAAACTTTTCAAAGAATGTGTGATGTCCCGAAAACAATAGTGAAATAATGTAATTTCCAATAGTAAATTGGTGAACGTTTTCTCAAGTTTTCAAAAAATGTTACGTCTAAAGTAAGCTCAATATGTCATGCACATAGATAAAATAACGTAGAGTGGATACAACTACTTGAAAAGAGTAAAAAATATTTTCTTTTTTAATTGAAACAATATTCATGAACCAACATTTTGCATATGTACAGGAAGGACGGAAGTTGGATGATGTCGCTTTCAAACTAGATGGCGCCAAAATTCTACGCACATACAAAAATGTGTTCAGTGGATTCGCCGCCGATCTCAGCGATCGTCTGGTTGAACGAGTGAGTATATCCTCTTTATTACTGCATGATGAACTAGTATTAGCTTCTTTTTTTTTTTTTTTTTTTTTTTTACTGACGGTCAGAAGGCTTTACGGCCTTTTCGAAGACGCACGAGCGCCGTTCGAATCTGACATTAACTGTTTGCAGTATCATATCGTGCTTTCTAAGGAACTCTTTTACAAATAGCGAAGGGCCATGAGTGCAATATGGTACAAGAGGTAAAAGATAAGAGACGCTCTATCCAACGAGGAGAAGCCGAGTTGAATAGAGCGTCTCATCTTTCACCGAATGCAAAATCTTGTTCCATTGCATGAATAAAGACCATTCACTATTTGTTTTATACAACACCTCGGACGGAAATTTAGTTTTCCTAGAGCCTTGTCGAAATCTCAACGAGTTTTTTCGTTTTTTATCGATGAAATTACCGATAGTGCGAGTAAACAAGTTGTTCACTCGCACTTTAAAATGGCGCCTATGTCAATAATGATGTGATCGCGCAGCGCAGGCTGTGACGCAACAATAGATGCGCATCCGAAAACATTGATGACGCAATGTTTACTCGCAAATTAAAATGGCGCCTGGAGAATGATGCTGTTTAACATTACTTTTAACGCATGTCATGTGATTAAGAATTGACCAATCAGTGTTAACATGAAGTTCAACATAACGCTTTGCAATATCTATATAATATCTTTATAATACGGCCTTTACAAAGACGCACGAGGGCCGCTCGAATCTTACATTCACTGATTGCAGTATCATATCGTGCTTTTTAAAGAACTCTAAACGTTTATCACTGTTAGAATGAAGCCCGACCTAAAGCTTTTCGATATCTTCATCCTTTTTTGTGTATAATGACGACTCAAATTTTCTTCATAAGTTAGCTTTTGTTTTCCTCCGGATTCCTAAAAAACTCATATTCAAATCGCACAAATGACATCATTTCTCATTAAAACAAAATGTAAGTCATTTTTATTATTAAGTCTTATTTAGCCCAAGTAGTCTCGTGAGTCATTGATAAATACTGTAAACGAGAGCTCTGGATAAAACAGATATATCATTTCAAGAAAGGGTCATGCATAATTGTCAATTTTCAGCTCCGTAAATCTGATGCCGTTGAATACATCCAAGAAGACGGAATAGCATACGCCAGCGCAGTCTCATCATGGGGGCTCGATCGCATTGACCAGATCAATCTCCCACTCGATGATACCTACAACCAAGTACTCGGAGACGGTGAGGGGGTAAGCGTGTACGTCCTCGATACAGGAATCAATCTCAACCACCAGGACTGGGTAGGACGATCTTCATATGGCATAGATACACACGGAGGAACTGTGAGTCAAAGCCTTTTTTCTTGTTCTTTTTCTCAGTGTTCTTGTTTTTATTTTTAACTGCGTTATGTCCAGAAGAGATTTATGTGTTTGTTTGATAATGAGAAGGAATATTCTGTCTCAATCTGTATCCTGGCTAACAAGTTAAGCATGTTTATGCTGAATTATAAATGAGTTTTTCGTCATCCTTACTGTTTTGTTCACATGTAAAAAAGGATTCGCCAATTACCTGTAAGAATTAGTGATCCATTTGAATTGTCTATTGAGTAAATAAAATAAATTGAACAAACTTCTTTGTAATTACATTGCATTTTTATCATGATAGGCCTACCCCATAATACATTTATGTGATTTTACATCTTTCTTTTTTGTGTGTGAATTATTTGATGGTCCATTTACAATGCCTGACACCCCTCTCTCTCTCTCTCCCCTCTCTCTCTCTCTCTCTCTCTCACTCTCTCTCACTCTCTCTCTCTCACTCTCTCTCTCTCTCTTCACTCTCTCTCTCTCTCTTTCTCTCTCTCTCTCTCTCTCTCTCTCTCTCTCTCTCTCTCTCTCTCTCTCTCTCTCTCTCTCTCGACCCCCTTTCTTTCTCCTCTACACCCTCTACCACGTTAGGGTGAGGATTGCAATGGCCACGGATCTCACTGCGCAGGTACAATCGGTGGAACTCAGTACGGTGTCGCCAAGGCGGCAAAACTCATCGGAGTTCGTGTACTCTCATGTGCAGGATCAGGCGCTTTTTCCCAGATAATTGATGGTATGCAGACCGAAAAGATTTCGATCTGAAGTATATAAAAAATCTGAAATATCTATCAAACGGAAAAGATATGGCAAAGTTAGAACATCACAAACATATACTGAAGAATATATCTATGGGAAAGGAGCTGGGGGTGCATTTCACATTTTAGACATTTCCATTGTAAATAAAACCGTAACTGAATTGTAAGGCCAAAAAAAAATTGTTTGGTTGTCCTCGATTGCTTTTTTTTAATTCAATTTTTGTGTGTCTTTTTTTGATTTTTTTTTTTCCCCATTTTTTTTTTTTTGATTTTTTTTTTCTTCCCCATTTTTTTTTTTTTTTTAATAATTTTTTTTCCATAAAAAAAAAAAATCATTGGGATTGTCAAGCATTTAAACAAACAAATTCTATAAAACACTTAAATATGGTAAAATACTAGTTTAATGTACAATGAATTTCAAGACCAACACAGAAAGTATTTTGGGCTTTGAAATACAGCACCTTTTAAATCTCCATTGTACTACTTACAGCTACTTGCGCCCTCTATGAAGCAAACAATGCCTAATCGGTGACCATTGGTCCCCCATGATCCTCTTTATCTTATATTAAAAGAGAGCTGATTTGATGAGATAACCACCTGTCCAGTGACCTTGCAGGGTGGTCTAATCCCTCCTGTAAACTAGTACAGATGGGTTTTAAATGAGTTTAAGAATGATTTGAATGAACGGCATTTTTACATAGAAAAATAAAAATGGCAAGTTTAATAAATACCTAATTGCGTACTGAAAAGACCAAACTGGCAACGGGACGCATTTTGATCCTTGCAAATGCATAAAATGGTAAGTTTGGCATTTAAGATTGCTCAAAAAAAAAAAAAAAAAAAAAAAAAAAAAATAGAATACAAACAAAAAATGAATTAAAAAAATATTTAAAAAAAAAAAAAAAAAAAAAATCGAGCGGCCCGAAATGACGAGCGGGCGGTCGAGGACAACCAAATGATTTTTTTTTTGGCCTAATCAAGGTAGCAAATGTGAATGTAAAATAAACGTTAATGCAGTGCAAGCTCCTTTCCTTTCATTAAGACACCACAATAATTGTCAAGGATTGTAGTATGATTTAAAACTTGATTCATATAAGATCAATGTTCAGATATATAAAAATATTCACTTTCTTTAACTCTTATCGCGCCAGGGCTAATCCCCACTGTGCCAGGTTGTTTTGGAGATAATCTGATTAACGCGATGGTTCTATGAATGGCGAGTGCAAAACACACAGCACAGCCCAACGAACATGAACAATAACTGCTATTACGAAAGCGCCCTTGCACGCACATGGCACTCAATAGGTAGCGTGCATGCAGCCTCATGGCAGGCTATGAGTTAATGAGGAATATCAGTTCGATACAGATTTCGAAGCATTTTAACCAACATAAGCATTCCCCGGCTACCCCCTTTCTAACCATGGGCGGCAATTCTCGTCAAATAATTTGAGTATTGAACAAAGTGTCATTGGACTAGGAATTGGTGAGGTACCCACAAGCCCAATTAAACACTGACATAGGCATAACAATTAATTTGTGACAATACTTGTTGTTCTTCTCTTTGCCTCTTATGAGGTGTTTATTCAATATTCAAACAATAACATAATTTTACTTACAAGTTAGCAAAACAATGGAAAATCAATAATACACATAATATTTGTTCAGATATAACTAAGCAAATTCGCAGGAAGTTTCAAATGTTGTACTTTCAAATGTTCATTTATTTTTATTCATTTCTCTGTTAAATAAATTAATTAATTACAAATCCCTATTATCATACCCATACTTATTACGAAAAATAATCGATTTATAAATAGACCAAAAAGTAATCGTCGTTATCAAATCGATTTCGGTTTGTGAATTTATTTTTAGTAAGAAAACGATATCTCTATCTCTACTTTAAATATTCAAAGAAGGTTTCGTTTGCCTTACATGAAATGAAAGCATAAACAAAATTTTCAGTTTCTTTGCATTTTAAACAAAGGTCATCGCATAGAAGACCCCACAGATTTTTACGAACTGCATGGTAGCATATTTTATAAAGGCTTGAAATTAAATTCACGTAAACAAAATTCCTTAATCCCAATCAAATGGTACCCTATGCTTCATCATATATCCAAAGTTTTGGAATTGATTTTTGTTGTTTAATTCGTCTAGTTTTAATTCGAATATATAATTCATTTACTGAAACAAAAGTACCATTTTAAAGATATCCTTTAAATATATAATACTACTTTTATACCAGTCTTCATAAAAAAAAAAAATCATTTCAAAAACAATATTTTGATTATACAATAAAATCTTTTCGTCAATATATTTCTATGCCTGACATTCAACGGATGTGTGAATTTTTATGAGGTACCATGCATGTAATATTTCAATGTAAAAATGTGGCACATTTCTAAGTTTTAAAAGATATAATGCATCATCAGTATAATTGAAATTCAACAGTAGATGGAGCCCTCCCAAACAGTTAAACCAATATTGTCTCATATCTTTCCAAATTCATTTTGTATTATTTAAAAACATCCCAAGCCACTTCAGCCTAAAACTGATTAATTGCCTTTTAACATAGATCTTTCTTTTTCCTCCTTCACAATAATCTTGAGTAACAATACATCGTTTCACCTTTTCAATTTTACTTTTCCAAAGAAATTTAAATATCAAGCTATTAAGTTTTATCAAAAAAGTAGACGTTATTGTATCAACAATCATTAAATGTATAACTTGACTAATTGCAATTGATTTAATTATAGTCAATCTACCAATGGAAGTCAGGTATCTTTTCCTCCAGTTATCCAGCAGTTTTTGATTTGTTTCTAATTTATTTTACCAATTGATCTTTAAAGCACATTGTAGATCAGGTGTGATATTTTACTGGCTCATCTGTCCAATGTAAGCCAAAATAAGAAAACGACCATCGTTGACAGGATTTTCCAATCCAAATCAAGACGACTCTTTTCTCTATTTAACTTCGGTCTGCAACTTCCCCAAAACACTCTTATTCGTTTAAAATATTTTCAAAAGAATTTATATCAGATACATGAAATAAAGTGTCATCTGCATATAGCAGCAGTTTCAGATCAATACCTTTATCATTAATATCCAGACCTTTAAGTTCATTATCTTCTCTCACTTTATTTGCCATTAATTATGCGGCAAGTACAAACAAAACTGCCGAGAGGGGACGCCCTTGGCGTATTTCTCTCAGAAAACTAAAAGTTTCAGATTTCCAACCATGTACAATTTCAGAACTTGCAATATTAGTGTATAAAATTGTCACCCACTTCTGGAAAACGCGCCTTGTCATGTTTTCGATAATATCTTTCGTAAGTCTTACATTGCAAGCCTACAGACGACCTCTCTTGTAACCCGTCTCGTCTGGTTTTTATGAATAATTTTTCCAATTACTTTTTGAGGACGGTTCGCAAGCACTGTCTCAATGATTTTGTAATCACATTTCAGCAATGTGATCGGTCTCCAATACCTCAGCTCTCTGTGATCTCCTTTCTTGTATATCAATGTGATTATTCCTTACCTTTGAGTATTGGACATTTTCTCATTAGCATAACACTCGTTAAGAGCGTCAACTAAAATATCACAGATCTCATTCCAAAACACCTGATAGAATTCCGCGGTTATTCCGTCAGAGCCTGGAGTTTTGTTTTTATTCATCGCGAATACAGCTTGTTTAAATTCTCTGTGTGTAAATAAACCTGCACATATCTTATTTTCAAGGATATGACAATCATTATAATACTATCAAAAATGGCACAGATTACCATTTTTGTCTTTTAAATTTCTTGATACCCACCAATTTTATTATCCGTGATTTACACCATATGAAATGTTCTTTCTAGTTTAGACTAATGATTTTTATATGATAGAGATATTTTGTAATATATTGAACAGGTTGTGATTGGGTAGCTGGGAACGCCACCCTGCCTGCTGTAGCTTCCATGTCGCTTGGTGGTGGTGCTAACCAAGCAACCGATGATGCCATCCAGCGAATGATTGATGCTGGTATCACTGTGGTTGTAGCAGCGGGGAATAGTAACACGGATGCCTGCAACACCTCACCAGCTCGATCTGAACCTGTTAGTAAATCACTTAACTCTATCGGTTGTTGTATGTGCGTCCAATCATAATGCTAAATAAAGAGAAGAGAGAGAAAGGAGAAAAAATGCAGATGGGTAAGGGGAACGTTACACCCCCTCCAAACACCATTTCTTACATCGAGTAATACCGACGCCCCCTCCCCAACCCGCCTCCTCATGCTACATCAGGTTTTTGCTCTATTATAAAGCAAAAACACCCTCCTCTATCATAACAACAGAATGAGATCATAGGTTAGGTTGTGAAAGTAATGTTTAGCTCATACTTGTAATGAGCTACGACTGATTGTAAATATGAGCTCACGTTTGTTATTTTTGCACCATTTACATCTAGGCAATCACTGTCGCAGCATCAGATATTACAGACACTAGGGCTTCCTTCTCTAACTACGGTACCTGTTGTGATATCTTTGCACCTGGCGTGGATATTACATCAGCTTGGTATGGCGAACCAGATGCTACTAACACCATCAGTGGTACCTCTATGGCTTGCCCACATGTAGCAGGTATGTTTCTCTCACCACCAGTGGTACCTCTAAGGCTTACCCACATGTAGCAGGTATGTTTATCTCACCATCATTGGTACCTCTATGGCTTGCCCGCATGTAGCAGGTATGTTTATCTCACCATCAGTGGTACCTCTAAGGCTTGCCCACATGTAGCAGGTAGGTTTCTCTCACCACCAGTGGTACCTCTATGGCTTGTCCACACGTAGCAGGTAGGTTTCTCTCACCACCAGTGGTAGCCATTTGGCTTGCTCCCATGTAGCAGGTCATGATGTTTCTCTCACCATCAGGGGTACCTCTATGACTTGTCCACATTTAGCAGGGGTTTTCCTTACCATCAGTGGTACCTCTATGGCTTACTGCCATGTAGCAGGTCATGATGTTTCGCTCTATAAATTGACCACATTTTAAGAAAGTAGATTTTCCTCACCACCAGTGGAACTTATTATGTATGCACAGACTTGCAGAAGAACAACATTGGCTGAAGCAAGTAATCCGTGGTTTAAAATAAATTAAAATAAAATTAAATTTAATTAAATGAAACCTCTATGGCTTGCCCACATGTAGCAGGTAGGTTTCTCGAGCAATCAGTTGTACACCTGAAAAGGATACGTTTCAAAGGGTTACTCTAAACTTCATTCATAAGGTATTTCTTGTGGCGCCTTTTCATTCCTCGATTCATGATATCAAAATTACATTTCCCCTCATAGTGACATCACCTGCATAATATACTAAATAAGTGAATGGTGTCGAATCTGTTTTCCAACAAACTTTCAGTCAAAAATTCTTCATCATCTTTTAGTGGTCTGTCAAGTGGCACGTGTATTGACAGGTTCAGTAATATACATTTTTACAAAATGTTTTCCTTCTTTTTAAGAGATGGGATCTTCAGCCAATCACTTTATTTCTCTGTAAATTATTACCCCGCATTCTCTAATGATACCATCCAATACTAATAAAATGGGAATAATGTAACAACAGAACACACAAAAAGAGATTCATCACATATAATCCATGATTTTTAATCATGAGGTTCATCAATTAAGGTGAGTAAAAAATAAAAAAAAACACCTTGAAATAGGCGGTATACTGTTTGTAGGGTGTCGTTATCAATAATTTTGCATTGCCGTTGTTTAGATTTGAAATAATATTTGTAAATCTTATTTACTACCTAGTAAATCACATCAATTGATCGCCTTATTTGTATATTATATGTTTATCACATTGCATGAAGGTGCTGCGGCGGTAATACTTGCTAACGATCCCGGTCTCACCCCAAGTGAAGTGAAAGAAGCCCTTCAACTTAAATCTATCGGTGATGCTGTACAAGATCCACAGTACGGATCACCCAACCTATTACTCTACATAGGGGAAGGATCAGGAGGTGGATTCATCCCTACACCACCACCACCACCACCAGGTAACTAGGTCTTAACACAAAGACGTAGAACATGCCCCTCAACCTGGCCCAATCAATTGCCCTCCCCCACAAAAAAATACATCATACAACATTGATTTAATTTCATTGTTTGTTTTGATTCCAACTCGATTACGATTTGTTTTACATACATTTTGTGATGTTATATTCATGTTTTTAACAACGAAGATATGGAAATAAATAAGTTCAAATTCAAATTTAATTCATGTTCATACTTAATAACAACTTCATTGGTTCAAAGATTCCATTCATGCATCCACTTATACTTCTCAAAAAGTTCCATTGATAGTCAATCTTACAAGTTGTAATCTTGTTACACTGAAATATTTCATAGTTTTTACGATCTCTTCGGTTCATAAGTTAAGAGATATTTTAATGCTGGGGTTGGAAGGCTTCTGTTATGCATTTTATGAATCATAACCACTGAATCTCTTTTCAATTTGTAACCCTTTTTTTCGATTGCTCATTTAAAACTCAACATTTCGTCTGTTTTGTTCTTCTTTTCGTATTTCCTTCTCACCCCCCCCCCCTCTCTCTCTCTCTCTCCCTTTTTATGTTTCCCACGTTCTCTCCTGTTTCTCTCTCCTTGTTCAATAACCTGTTCCTCTCACTTTTCTGCGTGGACTTCTTTTTTAAATATTAATAGTAATAAAACAATCCCAACATTTTTGTCACTCTTCTTCTTCTCCTCTCTATTATTATTATTATTATTATTATTATTATTATTATTATTATTATTATTATCAATGTTATTATTATTATTATTATTATTATTATCATTATCATTATAATCGTTATTATTATTATCATGTTCATCATCATCATCATCATCATCATAATTCTTATTCTTACACTCCACACAGGCTGTGGTGGGCTATTCGACTCACCGTCGGGAACGTTCACCAGTCCATATTACCCAGGTAGCTACGATAACAGTATGAACTGCGAGTACCTTATTTCGACCACGGATGAACAGCAAGTAGTGTACGTGACCTTTGAATTCTTCGATCTCGAGTCCCAAAGCACCTGTAACTACGATTCGCTCACGGTACTTTTTTCTTTTGAGTTTCTCTCTTTATTCTCGATATTCTTTTTTCTTCTAAAAGTCAGCTTTCACAACTTCCTTCTCAGTTTTTCGTTCGTTCGTTCGTTTGCTTTTGTTTTGATTTGTTTTGTTTATGTATTGTTTGAGAATAAAACATATATATTTAAAGCGGAGTCAAAGCGGGTGGTTTCCATTTTAAAATTTATATAATGACGAGTATTGTGACTGCCATAACAAATTCAAATGAGTACGAGACATTGCGCAAAGATGAGTATGAACTCCGTAGTTGAGAGCTTTTGTTAAAAGTACCTGAAATTGTTAAATCCCGACAGAGACTCAAGGAAATCTGAGTCTTTTCCCCAAATGGTACTAAGGTCTTCGTTTCTCCCGAATGGCCGTGCAAAAATTTGTAAAAATGCAACAAATTCAACAAAAAAATAAATCACAACACTTTTATTTTTCATTAATAGAACAGCTCATCTTTGTGATAGCAAGATCAAATTATATACAATAGAGGCCTAGTATCACAGGGTTATTTTAACCAACCAAAAAAAGGAAATATAACCGTACAAGAAGTAAACAGGTTAGAAATCAATGTATAGCTGTGTATATATATATATATATATATATATATATATCCTCTAAAAACTTAATTTGTCCTCAAATAAGTCATTTTGAGCGATGCACCCCCCCCCCCCCTCGTAACGCAAACCAATGACCTGTTTTACCCCTCCTTACGGCAAGAAGTGGACGCACCACCGCCTTGTATAAGTTTAGTTCCTGGTACGGGGAAATAGATAGTTCCTTACAAGCTTGTCCACAGCGTATAAATCAAGTTCTTGGTTGTTTCTGTACAGGTATATGATGGAACAAGCACGAGCGATCCTGTGTTAGCGACTTTGTGTGGTAACACCATTCCTGATAGCTTGACAAGCAGTGGCATGAGCATGTTCCTCGTGTTCAAAACTGATAGCAGTGTTACTAGGAATGGCTTTTCTGCATCATACCAAGCTGTAGAGAGCGGAGGTAAGTAATAATCAATGAAGGAACACAGCAAGAGTTCAAACTAACCTTAATATTTGAAAACATCTATCACCAGAAAAAAATGTTACAAATGATTGAGTACAATACCTTGATTCTTTAACGTCAGAGGTTCCAATTAGCCGACATTTGTAGGCGGAGGCGATTGAAACATATTCTAGGTTTTTTGAGGTTTTATGATGCACAGTTAATTTGTGGAATCATTAAGCACAACAAATAAACGTACAGTTCTATAATCAATTATGGGCATATTTTAAGATTTCCAAGCCTCGACATTGAGAACTTTTTGAGATATAGCGTAAAAAGTATACCATTTTATTGGCAGTTTACTATAAACCCATTTTTATGAATTTACCGCATTTTTTTTCTCCTGAGGGATCAGGAGGAGGATTCATCTCTACACCACCACCACCAGGTAAATATGTAGGTCTTAACACAAAGGCGTAGAACATGCCCCTCAACCTGGCCCAATCAATTGCCCCCCCCCCCCCCACAAAAAATACATCATACAACATTGATTTAATTTCATTGTTTGTTTTGATTCCGACTCGATTACGATTTGTTTTACATACATTTTGTGATGTTATATTCATGTTTTTAACAACGGAGATATGGAAATAAATAAGTTCAAATTCAAATTTAATTCATGTTCATACTTAATAACAACTTCATTGGTTCAAATATTCCATTCATGCATCCACTTATACTTCTCAAAAAGTTCCATTGATAGTCAATCTTACAAGTTGTAATCTTGTTACACTGAAATATTTCATAGTTTTTACGATCTCTTCGGTTCATAAGTTAAGAGATATTTTAATGCTGGGGTTGGAAGGCTTCTGTTATGCATTTTATGAATCATAACCACTGAATCTCTTTTCAATTTGTAACCCTTTTTTTTCGATTGCTCATTTAAAACTCAACATTTCGTCTGTTTTCTTCTTCTTTTCGTATTTCCTTCTCACCCCCCCCCCCCTCTCTCTCTCTCTCCCTTTTTATGTTTCCCACGTTCTCTCCTGTTTCTCTCTCCTTGTTCAATAACCTGTACCTCTCACTTTTCTGCGTGGACTTCCTTTTTAAATATTAATAGTGATAAAACAATCCCAACATTTTTGTCACTCTTCTTCTTCTCCTCTCTATTATTATTATTATTATTATTATTATTATTATTATTATTATTATCAATATTATTATTATAATTATTATTATTATTATTATCATTATCATTATAATCGTTATTATTATTATCATGTTCATCATCAGCATCATCATCATCATAATTCTTATTCTTACACTCCACACAGGCTGTGGTGGGCTATTCGACTCACCGTCGGGAACGTTCACCAGTCCATATTACCCAGGTAGCTACGATAACAGTATGAACTGCGAGTACCTTATTTCGACCACGGATGAACAGCAAGTAGTGTCCGTGACCTTTGAATTCTTCGATCTCGAGTACCACACCACCTGTTACTGGGATTCGCTCACGGTACTTTTTTCTTTTGAGTTTCTCTCTTTATACTCGATATTCTTTTTTTCTTCTAAAATTCAGCTTTCACAACTTCCTTCTCAGTTTTTCGTTCGTTCGTTTGTTTTTGTTTTGATTTGTTTTGTTTATGTATTGTTTGAGAATAAAACAAATATTCAAAGTTTTAAGGAGTAAAAGCGGGTGGTTTCCATTTTATAATTTATATAATGACGAGTATTGTATAGCTGCGTATATATATATATATATATATATATATCCTCTAAAAACTTAATTTGTCCTCAAATAAGTCATTTTGAGCGATGCACCCCCCCCCCCCCCCCCCCTCGTAACGCAAACCAAGGACCTGTTTTACCCCTCCTTACGGTAAGAAGTGGACACACCACCGCCTTGTATAAGTTTAGTTCCTGGTACGGGGAAATAGATAGTTCCTTACAAGCTTATCCACAGCGTATAAATCAAGTTCTTGGTTGTTTCTTTACAGGTATATGATGGAACAAGCACGAGCGATCCTGTGTTAGCGGTTTTGTGTGGTAACACCATTCCTGATAGCTTGACGAGCAGTGGCAGGAGCATGTTCCTCGTCTTCAAAACTGATAGCAGTGTTACTAAGAATGGCTTTTCTGCATCATACCAAGCTGTGTAGAGCGGAGGAGGGTACTAATCAAGGAAGGATCACAGCAAGAGTTCAAACTAGCCTTAATATTTGAAAACATCTATCACCAGAAAATAATTTTACAAATGATTGAGTACAATACCTTGATTCTTTAACGTCAGAGGTTCCAATTAGCCGACATTTGTAGGCGGAGGCGATTGAAACATATTCTATGTTTTTTGAGGTTTTATGAGGCACAGTTAATTTGTGGAATCATTAAGCACAACATATAAACGTACAGTTCTATAATCAATTATGGGCATATATTTTAAGATTTCCAAGCCTCGACATTGAGAACTTTTTGAGATATAGCGTAAAAAGTATACCATTTTATTGGCAGTTTCCAATAAACCCATTTTTATGAATTTACCGCATTTTTTCGCTAACAGTATCAAATATTGAAATATTCCGCTACAGATTCCTCACAAAAACTGTATAATTATGAATGTCAGGATACACACAACTTTATGTTGCCAATCCCGAGGGTGTTATGTATGCTTAACAACTCATCTACTTTTATTTTCCCGCTTTCTTTAGCATAATATTATAAGATATTCCGGTCATATGAATAGTGAATGAGCTGAAAAGCTTTATAAAATATAAAATAAAATATAAAAAAGTGTAAGATTCATCATTACGCATAACGATGAATATTAATGTTATCATTTTGCTTGTAAGATTTTAGAGTTTTGCTTTAAATTACGCATAATCACTGGATTAAAATTAAAAACGCACATTCACGGGATTTTCTAAATTTATTTATTTTGGTAGGACGGGAAGATAGGACATTGGGTGAGAGGAGGATGGATGAATGAAGAGCAAAACAAGATTACGGAAGAAGAGAAGGAATGGATGAATGGAGAGAGAGAGAGAGAATGAGGAGTAATAGATGGATAGGGGATAGTTGTTAAAGGTAAAGACCAGTAATGGTCATGCGATTGCATTGTGAAAGAAACGTTGTGGAATCGATCAGAAAAGGTCGATCATAGCATCTAGCATCTGCAAGGTTCTGGAATCATCAAAATGATAAGAAATTTGGCTCATTCTTCGTAAAGTTACAAGCACTATACACAGAAAGATGTATATGGGACTACCCTATCTCTCTCACCAGACCATGAGAGAAATAAATTTACCAAATATATGAATTAGTAGGCGGTTTCCCGGCAAATTTTTTATCATCATGTATTAGTCAAAACATATTCTTTCACATGATTGGTAATGAGAGCTTCCATTTCATTTTTTGAAATTGGGGCGTTGCCAATACTGGTCTTTACCTTTAAGAAAGAGAGAGAGACAGACATAGAGAAAGCCATAAAGAATGAGGGAGAAACAGAGGGAGAGTGAGGTGCAGAGAGACAGATTGAGAAAGGGGCGGAATAGAGAGAAAGAGAGAAAGAAAGAAAGGAAGCCAGAGAGAAAGAGAAAGGCAGAAAGAGAGAGAGAGAAAAAGAGAGGAAGAAAGAGAGAGAGAGAGAGAGAGAGAGAGAGAGCGAGAGAAAAGAAAAGAGAAGAGAAAAATAACTATGACAGATGAAGGAAGACAGAGAGAGGCACCACAGATGGAAATAGAGTATTGAAGGGGTGGTGAAAGAAAGTTCATTGCTATTCGGTCTAATGACTCTTGGTCCACTACCCAGCTTATCTAACTTCACAAAGAGAGATCGAGACGGAGGAGGAAAGGGATAAAGGGAGAGAATGAGAAAGAGAAAGAGAAAAAGAAAGAGAGAGAGAGAGAGAGATATATATATATATATACATACAGACAGAAAAGAAAGCCATTATATAAGATTACTAATTCGAAACATATTCAAAAGCAACAGGTGCTTTTTTTAACATTTGCCACTTAGGTGCTTCATTAAAATCGTTCATAGTTCTCTCCCCCTCTACCTCTCTCTCTCTCACCCTTCTACCCTCTTTCTCCCCTCTTCCCCCTCTCTCTCTCCCTCTCTCTCTCCCTAATCTTTTACTCCCCTCACTCCTTTCTTCCCCTCTCCGTCCCTTGCTGTCTTCCCCATCCCTCAAACCCACCCTACCCCCTCACCCCATCTCTCTCTCTCCCTTCCTCTTTTGTTCTCTCACTCTCTCTTTCTGTCTTTCTTTCTTTCTCTATCTTTCTCTTTATTCTCCCTCATTCTATGTGGCTTTATCTCTCTCTCTCTCTCTCTCTCTCTCTCTCTCTCTCTCTCTCTCTCTCTCTCTCTCTTTAGCACCTATCCCCTATCCATCTATTACTCCCCATTCTCTCTCTCTCTCTCTCCATTTATCTCCTTCTCCTCTTCCGTAATCTTTTTTTGCTCTTCATTCATCCATCCTCCTCTCACCCGTCCTACCAAAATAAATATATTCAGAAAATCCTGTGAATATGCGTCTTTAATTTTAATCCAGTGATTATGCGTGTTTTAAAGCAAAATGATAATATTCATCTTTATGCGTAATGATGATTCTTATACTATTCTATAACTCTTTTAAGCTCATTCACTATTCATATGACCGGAATATCTTATAATATTATGCTAAAGAAAGCGGGAAAATAAAAGTAGATAAATTTTTAAGCATACATAACACCCTCGGGCTTGGCAACATAAAGTTGTGTGTATCCTGACATTCATAATTATACAGTTTTTGTGAGGAATCTGTAGCGGAATATTTCAATATTTGATACTGTTAGCGAAAAAATGCAGTAAATTCATAAAAATGGGTTTATTTGAAACTGCCAATAAAATGGTATACTTTTTACGCTATATCTCAACAAATTCTCAATGTCGAGGCTTGGAAATCTTAAAATATGCCCATAATTGATTATAGAACTGTATGTTTATTTGTTGTGCTAAATGATTGCACAAATTAACTGTGCATCATAAAACCTCAAAAACATAGAATATGTTTCAATCGCCTCCGCCTACAAATGTCGGCTATTTGGAACCTCTGACGTTAAAGAATCAAGGTATTGTACTCAATCAATTGTAACATTTTTTTCTGATGATAGATGTTTTCAAATATTAAGGTTAGTTTTAACTCTTGCTGTGATCCTTCCTTGCTTAGTACCCTCCTCCGCTCTCCACAGCTTGGTATGATGCAGAAAAGCCCTGTCCACTACCATAGTGATCACTTTTGAAGACGAGGAACAAGCTCCTGCCAGTGCTCAGCAAGCTCTCAGGAATCGTGTCACGACACAAAATCGCTAGCCGAGGATCGCTCGTGCTTGTTCCATCATATACCTGTAAAGAAACAACCAAGAACTTGATTTGTATGGTGTGGACAAGCTTGTAAGGAACTATCTATTTCCCATTACCAGGAACTAAAATTATACAAGGCGGTGGCGTTTCCAGATCTTGCCGGAAGGGGAGGGGGAGGGGGGTAAAACACTTACTGTCAGCCATAACGCTTTGGTAGGAGGTCCTTAGTTTGCGTTACGAGGGGAGGGGGGGGGGGTGCACCGCTCAAAATGACTTATTTGAGGAAAAGGTAAGTTTTTAGAGGATATATCTACATTTCGTGCGTTGCATGACTATACATAGATTCCTAACCTGTTTACTTCTAGTACGGTTGTATTTCTTTTTTCTTGGTTGGAAAGCAAATAACCCCCGTGCCCCTTTTTCAAATAACCCTGTGATAATAGGCCTCTAGTCTATTGTACAGTGCGTCCCAGAAAAAACGAAACCGAGAAGTATCGATGTTTTATCATAACTTAATCACAACCATAATTAATGAATGATACATATTTGGTTTAGCCATGCATGAAGACTCTCGTCTACGGCTGATTGTCAACGAAACGGAGTTAAGTCTTTTGTCAAATCTGCCTTTTGCTACGGCAGGCACCCAGTGAAAACGAATTCGTTTAATAAAATTATGGAAATGCAAGCACTACTTTAAACAAACAGAACTTTGTCATTCCTCGCTCATTTTTCCTGATTGAGGTGTCATATGAAAGGGCAGAAACTCAACTTTCTAGAAATGTGAATTTTTCTTCGAAATTCAGATACCGCCCACCAAATGTCTTTTTGGTTTCCTTCCTTCAAATTGCTTTTAATCACTCATGCGTGAAATATGCATCATCTGAGTAGCATCACATGAAAGAGGAGACTCTAAGCTTTCCAAATATGTATCATTCATTAATTATAGTTGTGATTAAGTTATGATAGAACATCGATACTTCTCGGTTTCGTTTTTTCTGGGACGCACTGTATATAATTTGATTTTGCTGTCACAAAGTTGACCTGTCCTCTTTATATAAAACGAAAGTGTTTTTATGTTTTTCTGAATATGTTTGCATTTTACAACTTATTTTTTGCTTAATTGTATGCATGGTCATTCAGAGGAAACGAAGACCTTAATACATTTTGGGAAAAACACCCAGATTATCGTAAGTCTCTGTCGTGATTTAAAAAATACAGGAACTTTTAACAAAAGCTCTATAACTACGCAGTTCATACTCATCTTTGCGCAATGTCTCATACTCATTTGAATTTCTTATGGCAGTCACAATACTCGTCATTATATAAATTATGAAAAAGGAAACTACCCGCTTTTACACCAAAAGGCTATGAATACCTGTCTTATTCCCAAACAATACATTAACAAAACAAAACAAATCAGAACAAAACAAACGAATGAACGAAAAAATGAGAAGGAAGTTGTGAAAGCTGTCTTTTAGAAAAAAAGAATTTCGAGTATGAAGAGAGAAACTCAAGAGAAAAATTACCGTGAGCGAATCTTGGCCACAGAGGCGATCGGACTCGATATCGAAAACTTCAAAGGACAGTTGCATTACTTTATTTTCATCCGTGGTCGAAACAAGGTACTCGCAGTTCATATTCTTATGGTAGTTAGCTGGGTAATGTGGACTGGTAAACGTTCCCGATGGAGAGTCGAATTGCCCGCCACAGCCTGTGCCTGGTGTAGTAAAAATAATGTTGATGATGTTGAAGATAATAATAATAATGAAGATAGTAATAATAACAATGATAAAAATAATAACGATAATGATAAACATAATGATAACAATGATAATAGAGAGGAGAATTAGAAATAGAGTTGGAAAAATTTGTCCTTGTTTTATCACTATTAATAATTAAAGGGGAAGCCCACCCTGGTATTAAGAAGAAGAAAAAAGACGAAATGTTGAGTTTTAATTGAGCAATTGGAAAATAGGGGTAACAAATTGATAAGAGATTCAGTGATAATGAATCATAGAACGCATACCAGAAGCCTTCCTTCCCCAGCATTAAAATATCTCTAAACTTATGACCCGAAGAGATTGTTTACGCTATATCTTAAAAAGGTCTCAATGTCGAGGGTTGGAAATCTTAAAATGTGACCATAATTGAGTATAGAACTGTACGTTTACTTCTTCTGCTTATTGATTCATCAAATTAACTGTGCATCATAAAACCTCAAAAATATAGAATATCTTTCAATCGCGTCTATCTACGATGTCGGCTTGGCACCTCCGACGTCAACGAATCAAGGTTTTGTAGTCATTCAATTGTTTAAGCCAGTTTCGGCAATTACGTAATGCGGGGTTACTGTAACTAGGTCGGTGAAGCTTTCTCATACCGCCACTTTGAATATATGCGTTTTGTTTTAGACTGTCTGTGTAATTAAACGGCGATCGTACGAACTCCGTAAGAAGGACGTTAGAAGATATGCCCAATCTACGAATCTCTACGAGCTATGAAATTTGTACGAGCAGGGAGATTCGTACGAACGCATCGTTCGTTCGAACATTTGTGACCGTAGCTTAAGGTTAGTACGAACTCTTGCTTTTACCCACCTCCGCTCGCCACAGCTTGGTAGGATGCAGAAAAGCCTTTCGCAGTTTCCCACCAATCACTTCTGAAGACAAGGAGCAAGTTCCTGCCAGTGCTCATCATGGCACCAGGAAGGTCGTCACCACACAAAATCACTAGCAGAGGATCCCAAATGGTCGATCCATCATATATCTGAAAAGAAACAACAAAGAACTTGATTTATACGCTGTTGACAAATAAAGGAACTATCTATTTCGCAGTACCAGGAACTAAAATTATACAAGGCAGTGACATATCCAGCTCTTTCCGTAAGGATGTGGAAAACATTTGAACTTACTGTCAGCCATAACCTTTTGGTAGGAGGTTCTTGGTTTGCGTTACGAGTGAAGGGGGGGGGGGGGGGAGGGCATCGCTCGAAATGACTAATTTGAGGAAAACGTCAGTTTTTAGAGGATATATTTACATTTAATGCGTTGCTTCACTATACATTGATTCCTAACCTGTTTACTTCTAGTACCGTTGTATTTCTTTTTCTTGGTTGTAAGCAAATAATCCCCGTGCCCCTATTTCAAATAACCCTTTGATACTAGACCTCTGTTATACAGTGCGTTCAAGAAAAAAACGAAACCGAGAATTATCGCTGTTTTATCATAACTTAAACACAATTTGATGCAGCTCACATGATGCATATTTCACGCATGAGTGATTAAGATTAATATGAATTAAGGGTACCAAAAAGTCATTTGGCTCCCGGTATCTGAGAAAATCATGTTTATAGAAGGTTCATTTTCTGCCCTTTCACGTGACAACTCAATTAGGAAAAATGAGCTAGGAATAACAAAGTTATGTTTGTTTAATGTAATGTTTGCATTTTCATAATTTTGTTAAACCAATTCGTTTTCACTGGCTGCCTGCCGTAGCAACAAACAGAATTGACGACAAACTTAACTCCGTTTCTTTGACAATCAGCCATGCATGATGTCTTTCGTCTATGGCTGATCGTCAATGAAACGGAGTTAAGTCTTTGGTCAATTTTGTTTATTGCTACGGCAGGCAGCCAGTGAAAACGAATTCGTTTAACAAAATTATGGAAATTCAAGCATTACTTTACACCTCAGAACTTTGTTATTCTTGGCTCATAGGTGTCATATGCCGAAAAGGGCGGAAAGTAAAATTTCTAGAAATGTGATGTTCTCTTTGAAATTTAGATACCTTCCGCCAAATAACTTTTTGGTACCCTTTCTTCAAATTGATTTTAATCAATCATGCGTGAAATATAAATCTATCGAAGGAGGAAGATCTATGCTTTACAAATAAGTGTCATTTATTAATTATAATTGTGATTCAGTTATGATAAAACATGGATAATTCTCGGTTTCGTTTTTTTTTCTGGGACGCGCTGTATATAATTTAATTTTGCTATCACAAGCTTGAGCTGTACTGTTTATAAAAAACAATAGTATTTTGATGTTTTTCTGAATAAATGATGTTTGCATTTTTTCAATTTTTTGTTGTTGCTTATTTATAATGCGAGACTATCTCTAATGCACAGCCATTTGTGAGAAACGAAGATAGACTTTGGGTAAAAGACCCAGGTTCGTCTCTGTCTCTGTCGTGATATAACTAATAACAAAAGCTGTATAACTATGCGGTGCATACTCATCTTTGCACAATGTCTGGTACTAATTTGAATTTGTTATGGCAGTCACGATACTCGTCATTATTTAAATTATAAAAAAGGAAACTACCCGCTTTTAATCTAAAAGGCTATGAATATCTGTTTTATTCCCAAACAATAAATAAACAAAACAAATCGAAACAAAACAAACGAACGAACGAAAAACTGAGAAAGAAGTTGTGAAAGCTGATTTTTAGAAAAAGAATCTCGAGTATATAAAGATAGGAACGTAAGAGAAAATTTACGTAGAGCGAATCTTCCATGCAGGACAATGATAGATCGATATTGAAATCATCAAAGGTCAGGTACATTGTTTTCGTTTCATCCGTGGTCGAAAGAAGGTACTCGCACTTCACATCGGTAGGGTAGTTTTCTGGGTAATTTGGACTGGTGAACGTTCCCGACGGTGAGTCGAATGTCCCACCACATTCTGTGTGGGGAGTAATAATAAGAAGTATAATAATGATTACGAAGATAAAAATAATAATGATGATAATAATAATAATAATAATAAAAATAACGGGGGGACATTCGTTTTTCCAAAGGTTTTTTTTTCGAAGGTTCGTATTTCCGAAGGTTCATAATTCCGAAAATGAAAAAGGGTTGATAATGCCGAACATTTGTAGCATTATTCCAAAGGTTCGTCATTCCGATGGTTTATAATTCCGAAATAAAAAAGGGTTCATAATTCGAAGGTTTGTATTTCCGAAGATGAAAAAGGATTCATAATTTCGATAATGAAAAAGGATTAAAAATAATTCCGAAAATGCAAAAGGTTCATAATTTCCAAAGGTTTATATTTCCTAAAAATGAAAAAGGGTTCATAATTCGAAGGTTCGCATTTCCGAAAATCAAAAAGGTTTCATAATTCCGAAAATTAAACAGGGTTCATAATTCCAAACATACAATAGTTTTCATAATTCCGAAAATGAAAAAGGCCGGGTTCATAATTCTAAAAATGCAATCGGGTTCATAATTCCGAAAATGAAATAGGGTTCATAATTCCGAAAATGAAATAGGGTTCATAATTTTAAAAATGAATTAAGGTACTTAAAAAGGAGGGAGGAGAGGACCGAAACAACTGAGAGCTGCAGCCCCGCCCCTTTTATATCAAGGGTCCACATAAAAAGAGAGAGATAAAAGAGAAATGAAAACTGAATAAGAACCGGTGAATTATGCGGCCGCCGGATAATTTTATCTTTCCTTATGTTATCCCTTTGTTTTCTTTTTCTTCTATCATCTTTATTTCCATATTCTTTGTTTTTTTCCTTCTATCTTCTTCTCCTTCTATCTTTCCTTATGATCGGCTGTTTTATGTTTTTTATTCTTCTTTCATTTCCTCTTTCTATCTGCAACATAACATCAGGAATGAAAGAATTATCTGGCGGCTGCCAGATAATTTCATCCTTTTTTATCATGATCATGTTATTTTCCTTCTATTTTCTTTACTTTCGAACTTGCCTTATATTATTCTTTTTTAAGCCTTCCATCTTTTTCGGAAATATGAACCTTTGGAATTATGAAACCGTTTTCTTTTTCGGAATTATGAACCCAGTTTCATTTTTGGAATTAAAAAACCTATTTCATTTTCGGAATTACGAACCCTAGTTCATTTTCGGAATTACGAACCTCCGGAAATACGAACCTTGGGAATTACGAACCTTGGGAATTACTGACTTTCGGAATAATGAACCTTCGGAAATATGAACCTTCTGAAAAACGACATGTAACCATAATAACAATAATGATAATAATGATAATAATAATCATGATAATAATAATAACAATAAAGATAATAGAAAGGAGAAGAAGAAGAGTGGTAAAAAGTTTTATCACTACTAATATTCAAAGGGGAAGTTTACCCTGATATTACATTCAAGTTGGTTCTAATCTTAGCAGGAAAATGAGTCAAACAGGATACTGAAACAAGGTGAATAGAAAAAAGAGAGAGCGTGAGAGACAAAGAAAAATAGAGAGACAGTATAGAGAGAGTGAGTTTAGCGGGGATGAGAGGGAAATGAAAAACGAAAAAGAAGAAGAAAAATAGAGGAGGTATTGAGTTTGAATTGATCAATTGAAAAGAGGGGGAACAAATTGATAAGAGATTCAGTGAGAATGATTGATAGAATGCATAACAGAAGCCTTCATTCCCCGGAATTAAAATAGCTATTAACTTATGAACCGAAGAGATCGTCGAAAAAACCATGAAATATTTGTATAGTAAATTACCGGGATCGAACGGCCCCCGTGATCCAACTGCGCTGGCGTATGACATTCCGTCTTCTTTGATGAATTCAACGGCATCAGATTTACGGAGCTGAAAATTGTCAATCATGCATGACCATACTAGTATTATTCAATGATGTATCTATTTTATCCAGAGCCCTCGTTTAAAGTATTTGTTAACGAGGCAACTCGAGTTAAATAGCGATAGCTGAGTTTTGTTGCAGAGGGCGCTACATAAAATATTTTTTTAGTGAGATAATGAAAAACTGAGTGTCAAATTTGAAAGAATATACAATTTAAATTACAAAATAGTAGAAGAAGTAGTAGTAGTTGTAGTATTAGTAATAGAAAAAGAAGAAGTAAGAGTCGCAGTAGTATTAGTAGTATTAGTAGTAGTAGTAGCAGTAGGATAAAGAAGAAGAGAAGGAGGACTAATATTAGTAGTATAGTAGTAGTAGAAGCATTATAAATAGTTGAAATGTTCATTAGAAGTAGTATGTGTTAGTAGCTGTATTAGTATAGTAGTGATATTAATATTATTATTAGTGGTAGTAGTAGAAGTAGTAGTAGTAGTAGAAGTAGTAGAAGTAGAAGTAATATGAGTAGTAATAGTAGTCGTATAAGTAGTAGTAGTTGGAGTAAGAGTAGTAGAAAAAGGAGTAGTAGAAAAAGAAGAAGAAGTAGTGGTAGTAGTAGAAGCAGTAGTAGTAGTAGTAATAGTAGTACACTGTCGCTTATATAGTTGGAATATTTTTGTTTTACCCCAATTCATGTAATTATTTTTAAAAATAATTTAAAAATAATAGATCTAGATAATAGTATACATTCTCAGATTTAATTGAATAATAATTTGACAATGTGTGTTTTGCGTGACTGCTATTTTTTGCTACTATTCATATCAACTAGGGGACCTACGCCCTTAAGTCACAAATGACAGTAATGAGGATTAATGCCCCACAAAAGGGCACTAATATAGCACATCGACACGATTTTGATCATGGGGCCTCAAAGTTACGAGGCTATTGCTTTGTCACTGAACCATGACTGTACGCAGCGGGGGCTAGGGTAGGGGGCAGATTCCATAAAAAAAAAATTAAAAAAAATGCAATACATTTTCAATAATTTATTTCATTTTACCCCGGTCCCCAACATAAAAAAAATCCTCTGGACGGCTATGCATTATGTGGCAAGGCAAATATTTAAATTCTGAAAAATAAATAATGACGATATCGGTGGTATCGATTTCCGATATCGTGTCTATATCGCGTGTATCTAGTAAATTATTTACATGGTAATTGACAAATCAGATTGCAGGGATTCTTCTACCCGTTCTATCAAACTAAATAATGTCATTTGTGCAATTTAAATATGAGCTCTGTAGGAATCCGGAGGAAAATCTACACTAACTTATTAATAAAAAAAATAGAGTCGTAATTATACACGAAAAAGGATGAAGATATTGAAAAGCTTTAGGTTATGTTTCATTCCAACAATGATATACAATGAAAGCTTTTGGAAAGCACGATATGATACTGCAAACAGTAAATGTAAGATTCGAGCGGCCCTCGTGCGTCTTTGTAAAGGCCGTAAAGCCGTCTGACCGTCAGAAAAACATTTAAAAACAAACAAAATACATCGGATCTACTTACTCGTTCAACCAGATGATCGCTGAGATCGGCGGCGAATCCACTGAACACATCTTTGTATGTGCGTAGAATTTTGGCGCCATCTAGTATGAAAGCGACATCATCCAACTTCCGTCCTTCCTGTACATTATGCAAGATGTCGTTTCATGAATATTGTTTTCATAAAAAGGCACATAATTTCACTCTTTTAAATTAATTTTGTCACCTCCAGGTTATGTTGTCTCTGTGCTTTGCATGTTGAGCTTATTTTAGACATAAATGTTAATGAAAACTTAAGAAAACGTTCACAAATTTACTATTGGAAATAACATTCTTTCACTATTGTTTTCGGGACATCACACATTCTTTCAAACGTTTTATGACACTGTTTCGATCCTAATTATGCCGTGGTATGACATAATCTCACAAAGCCACTGACAGAGTTAAAAGGGTATGAAGTAAAATGTCACTTTAGTTGGACTCTATCTAATATTTTGTGGGTTAAAATAACTGACTTGGTTCTTGTGACTATCGTCCCAGTTAACAGACAGCTTTTAAAAACTGTTATTGAACCTTAATTAAATGTTATACTTTAACAATTGAAAACTCATATTTATTCAAATAGTTTCATGTTTATTCTTATATTTGTTTGAATTCTTTGCCAGCTGTCACTTCCATTTTTATGATAGAATTGTAAATATACTGGGAACAGCACCCAACACAAAGCATAGTTGTAACGTTTCATTTTGGTGCCCCCTCCGCATTCAGCAAAGAAAGTTGCACGTGGTTAAATTATTTTTATATACTGGTCGCAGGATGACCCCCCCCCCCTCCCCCATTTCCTTCATAAATTTTCATTTGATGAGAGGGGAAATGTTTGATGAAGATAAGATGGCAAGAAGAGTGGGATGGATGCGAAAATAAGACATACAGAAGGAGGAGAACCCAGAGAATTAAACGCTGAGTAAAAGATGATAATGGTAGAAAATAACAAAACTTGAAATATATATATATCATTATGAAATTTAAAAACATATTCTTAAATTCCCCCCCCCCCCCCCGGTACAGAATATTAATTATCTCACCTTGAGTTTGACGATATAACGCCCAGGGATTGGCTCATCAACTCTTATCAATGGCGCAATCAGTTGCGAAGCTACAGCGGTGGCTAGGAGAACGACTAGGAGAACTTTCATTTCTAGCAATCAAATAAACATAACATACATCAGGATAAATTGCTGAAAATTAGTTCTTCACAGTTTCTTCGCATGCAGCTAGTGACAAATTTACCTGTTCTGGTAATTTTCCTCTGGAATCATGAGAGGAAAATTACCAGATAAAGACAGAATCAATTTTAACGTTTCTTCCTGACTAATCAGAGGAACCTCTTTAGTTATCAGGAAAAAAATTACTGACTGCAATTTTCTGAAAAAATACATTACATCTCAAATACCTGCAAACTCATATAAATAGCTACTTCGAATCATGTAGAATTGCGATGTTGATTTATGAACTCTGAACACGTATGAGAAATGAAACATTAATGGTGCCGCCATGTCATGACCGTATTGAGAAAACTAATTAACCCAAAATAACTGATTTTCTATAACCTTTCGCTTTTATTTTTTTTAAATTTGTGTAGGTATCCTAGCAATTACTTGGTTGGACCTAAAAGATGCACGCAAAATCTTTTGGAAAATGTTTAAAAGCTTTTAATATAGTTTTATAGAAACAACCCAGTAACTTCGAGGTCAAAACGAATCACATGTTACATTAGGATCTTAAAAATGATGTAAGTTCAAATTGCAAAAAAAAATAAAACATGTCAATCGTTAGGATGTAGACTTTTATCCGAAACTGCTGGCTCGAAATGAAAACAAGTATTAAAACGATCATTCAAAGTAAATTGGCATCTTGATCATCAAATCCATCAAAGAAAATAACTTACTGGTTTAGTACTGGTAAATGTAGATGTAGTGTGGAGATCAGTGCTGGCTTCGTATAGGCAACCGAGAGAAGATGTGAGACTAAGGCATTAGTGAACATATTTATAACTTAATGTTAAATTCAGATGTTCAGGTTCTCATAATCAATTACACCAAGAGCAATTAATATCGTCACAAGTTCAAGTTCAAGTTCGTAACGCAAGTAAATAAGATAAGAATGTATAGCATTCATTAAAATAAAATTTGGAAATTAGCTGACACGACACTATCAAGGGCAATGAGCCTAAACACAACACGCATTTTTACATCGACACGGGATGGAATATTTCTAACCGGATGGCCAACTTGGGCGGGGCGTTTCACTGTCAATCACGTTGTTCTTTCACAAAAAAAAAACCTACATCAGCTCATTTCAGTTCAGTTTATTAAAAAACAGCACACATAGCAATCATTACGAACAAACATGATCCAAATTAGCTGACACGACACTTTCAAGGGTAATGAGCCTTAACGCAACACGCATTTTTACATTGACACGGGGTGGAATATGTCCAACTGGATTGTCAACTTGGGCGGGTCGTTTCACTGTCAATCACGTTGTTCTTTCACACAAAAAACCTACATCAGCTCATTTCAGTTCAGTTTATTAAAAAACAGCACACATAGCAATCATGACGAACAAACATGATCCAAATTAGCTGACACGACACTTTCAAGGGTAATGAGCCTTAACGCAACACGCATTTTTACATTGACACGGGGTTGAATATTTCCCACCGAATGGCCAACTTGGGCGGGGTGTTTCACTGTTATTCACGTTGTTCTTTCACAAAAAACCTACATCAGCTCAGCTCAGTTCAGTTCAGTTTATTAAAAAGAGAGCAGACCTAGCAATCATGACGAACAAACATGAGTCAAATTGGGACCCTAAAATGCTATGTTTGTGATTGGGCCCCTGGGAAGATGAACCTCTGAATCACGGCGGATTGGCAAAGAGACCAACGTGTTTCAAGGATCTGCGCAATTCAAAATATGACAGATAGTGTGATACAATCATGGATACAGGCGCGCCGGAAGCAGTTTGGGATGAGGGGGGGGGGGGGGGGCAAACATTCCAGGGGGCTCACCTTCCAGGGGCAGTGACGCAATGGGCAAAACAAATTGGAAGGGGGGGGCAGTAGAAAAATCTGCATCACCACCACTCTTACACGTTACATGCAGGCCTGCGGAACGTTTTTCAAAGTGGAGTATTAACGTTATCGATCAGGTAGAGCGTGAATTGGCTTGGGATCCAGGGCCTGAGCCTCGGCAGGGGGTCAAAGGGCTGAGCCCCCGGAAGGTCACGGTTTTTAGGCATTAAATTACGTAAAGATAGGCATATTTATATTATTTGTGACACTGGCAGGTCACTAATTGGCGGAGAGTCCAGGGAGCAGAGCCCCCGGAAGCTCAGTGGTTTTAGGTATTTAATTACGGTTAGATGAGCATCTAGGGGCCCTCTTTAAGACCATTGATGTGGTCCAGGGGGCAGAGCCCCCGGAAGCTCAGAGGTTTTAGGTATTCAATTACGGTCAGATGAGCATCCAGGGGCCCGCCTTAGGGCCCTTGGTGGGGTCCAGGGGGGCAGAGCCCCCGGAAGCTCGGGGTTTTTAGGTATTTAATTACGGTCAGATGAGCATCCAGGGGACCGCCTTAGGACCCTTGGTGAGTGCGGGGGCGGAGCCCACGTAAGCTTTTAAGTTTTAATTACGGTCAAATGAGCATATTTTGATACCTCATTTGTGAAATTGGAAGGTCACTTAATTTCTCTCTCTCTCTGTCTTTCTTTTTGTCTGTAACATACTTTTTCAAAAAGTAAGGGGGCTCGAGCCCAGCGGTTTTGCAGACCATGACATAAAGGCTTCTAAATAAGCATATTTTTTCGCCCGACTGTAAATTTGGGAATTTCTAATTTTCCAACAAACGCATAAAAAGGTATGACTCACAAAAAAAATGAGAAACAATACTAGAAATTCATGTCATTTCAGCTACATTTGTAAATCACTGGTATCGAATAAGAAATACCCCCCATCAGTACGCCAGCGTTCAGGGGCTCATATTTTCTCACCCCTATAACAAAAAACATACACGCTTTCCTATTCTCTTACAATATGTCCACGATATGCGCGTATCGCTATTATAAAAAAACCTCCATTGATAAATATAGGTGGCATGCGCAATGTTAAGGAAATCTAAATCCTGCTAACTTTCCTTTTCTTTGAATGAAATTTTATATGTGATTTAATTCTGGTTTTTATTTATGTTATGTTCTTTTGGGTTAAAAAATACAACCATCTGTACAACTCATTTACTGCTTCTTTTTTTTTTGGAGGGGGGGGGGCGTTTTGGGGGTGGGGCAAAAATGCGTTTTGCCCCCCCCCCCCCCCCCACTTTTTTGGTTGCGGGGGCACCTGCCCCCCTGCCACCCCACTTCCGGCGCCTATGCATGGATACGATACAGTCTCACGCGCACAGAGCCCTACAAACAAGCTGGTCCCAGAGTCCGCCAACCGAGATCAAGTTCACATGACGTACAAAAAAAAAATGCACAAAACTGATTATAAGTAAATGGCAAGGTTATGTAACTTTAAAACATATTTACAAAGAAAAAAGCTGAATCACTGAAAACATCATGAACCTCCCTACCCCCCCCCCCCCTGCCGTAAGCGGCTTATCATGCTGTACGTATCACATTGTCACACATACATGCAAACACCCCCCCCCCCCCCCCCCAAAAAAAAAAAAAAAAAAAAAAAAACACGCAAACGCACACACAACACCCACAAACACACACACAGGCTGATTGACTAATCCTTGCTATAATACTAATTGTTTCAGAAAGTAATATCGGCAATCTGATTCAATCTATCTAACTGTAGCTGGTTCCACGCTGGTTCCACATGTGATTCGAAACGTGTCCGGACCCCTGGATATCCACCCCCCGGATAAACACCTCCAGTCAACTACCCCCTACAACAAATACCCCCTAGGAAACTCCCCCCGGACAACTACCCCCGGACAACTACCCCCGGACAACTATGCCTTAGGACAACTACCTCCTAGGACAACTACCCCCGGACGACTACCCCCAGACAACTACCCCCTGGGATAGTTGTACGGGGGTACTTGTCCTAGAGGATGGTTGTCGTAGGGGGTAGTTGTCTGAGGGGTAGTTGTCCCGGGGGTAGTCGTCCTAGAGGGTGGTTGCCCTAGGGGTAGTTGTCCTAGGTGGTAGTTGTCCTAGGGGATAGTTGACTGGGGATGGTTATTCGGGGGTGGATGTCCAGGGGGTAGGTGTCCTAGAACCAGCAAATGAGATCAGCGCATAAGAGTTATATGAATATTCATTAACATTATAATTAATGGGCTCTAATTGGCTGTATATAAATTAAAAAATTACATCATACCTCATTATATTTTAGACCTTGACGTGTATATAACTCTTTGTTATGTATGAATAGAATTGTTATAGAATTAGACAAAGAACAAAACGAAACGAAATACGAAAGGAAAAGAAAAATAGTATTGCTACACAAACTTTTATTTCTATTATATCACCGTAAGGTATTGTATCCTCTCTCACATGCGTTGATTTATCTCCCCTCTTTCCTCCTTGTTCTCCTCCTCCTCCTCCTTCTTTTTTTCTTTTTCTGCTTGTTCTTCTTGGTCTATTCTTCTTCCTCATCCTCTTCTTCATCTACTTCCTCTCTCCTCTCTCTCTCTCTCTCTCTCTCTCTCTCTTTCCCCCTTCCTTTTACTATCTCTCTCTCTCTCTCTCTTTCTCTGTCTCCCAACTCACTCCTTTATTTCCCTCTTCCTCCCTTGCTTTCTTTCCCGTCCCTCAGCCCCACCTACCCCCAGCCCACCCTTCACCCCTCAGCCCTCTCTCTCTCTCTCTCTCTCTCTCTATCTCTCCTTTTTCCAATATCCCTTGCTCTTCTTCCCATGCATTCCTCCCTAGCCCCTCTATGTGCATACATTATGTACGGGCAAGTCTGAATCCGATGACCGGGATAAAGATATACATCTGTATCTGTAAAGTGCTTAGAAACAAGCGCTATATAAACCCAGAATATTATCATTATTAATACTTTCCCTGATATTCATTCTCTTCTTTTGTGTATGCCATAAGTCATTGTTAACTGCTGCGCTGATACATGCAGATGTATTCGTCTCGCAGTCACTATTCATATTCTTTCGTTAAGGCCTATGTACAGGCTCATGCCCCTCTCACTTCTTTTTTTTTCAATCAAAAAAAAATTATGTTCCCCTCCTCATAAGACATTTTGTAAAAAAGAATTTGTTCAAACATAAACGAAATCATCAATTAGATTACCTAATATTATCTTTCATAAAACAGAAATACTGATATTAAGCTTTAAGAGATCAATATTCTAAATACATGTATATGGAAGCCAAGCATTCAATGGCCTATTCTTACATCCCTTGTCATTCTCTTGTGATATTGACTATGACGATATCAATTTGGCCTTATCTTGTCTACGACGGTACTCAAGCTGGTAACTAATCTCAATAAATGTGAGAGTCGTGACATATGTCTCTGCTTTAGACAAACGTACACCAAAAAAACAGAAGTCAGCATTAAATAATTGATATTTTAATCGAGAGAGGTGGATCTCCAGAATCAGCAACAAATTTAATGTTTTATTTTTAGCTCTTACAATGCAATACAAACATGATTAGGGGCTCCTAGTGATGCAGCACGAATACATTTTAAAGCGTTATAATACACTCGGGCTTGGTAACATCATTTTTTGTGTATCATGACATTTATAAATGAACAGTTTCATTAGAAATCTGAAGAGGGATATTTCAAGTTGTAATACTATTAGCGAAGAAATGCAGTAAACGCATACAAATGGGTAATAGTTAATTATCAATGGCAATAATGCACTATTTAGATAGAGCTAAATCGTTTCTAAAAACCCGACGTTGTTATCATAATGGATTGTAAGTTTGAATTTACTTGACACAGTTTTTCATTTGTCATAAGTTTGCAATGGAATTAATACGACTGTCTGTATTACGTCGACACGTGAGATAATTGAAAAAGGAAAATCTAGTTTATATTAAACTGGGAAATTATAAGACTTTACAATTATACTGAAAGAAACCTTTTGAGAACACTCTGAGTGTTTCCTTTTAAATAGAATAGGCCTATTCGGACTTCGAACAGGAGGAACTGATTGTTATCAATATTATTGTAATAATTATTTTAATTTCTGGGGGTGGGTAGAGGGATAGTTATCTCACTCTCTTCATTCGTCATTGTTAGTTATGTTTAACGTACGTTAAAATCATAGTAAGTATTCTTATAGTCCAATTGATTATTACGGCTGTAGATACATGTAGAGCCGGTTGATCCTAGGTTGCATCCTTATGGAATGCTGTATGTCGCCTTGAATCCACGTCTGTTCACTGAACTGTCGCTGATGAACCTTACAAACATGGAGTTCTTGGTAGATGTGATGGGTGCAGGGATCGTAGTGCCACACACTTTAGCAAGATAAGGACCATTCATGTCACCATCATGTATCTGTAAGAATAACGTCATTGAGGTGAAAGGTCAAAAACCACTTCTGTAAACGACTTATTAATCGTCCCATCATAAAGAAAAATATTTTTAAATGTTTGTCAATCGTTATCAGTTCAGCGTCTTTGGATTGTATTGTTATGCAGAAATGAAGGTTGATTTTCAGACACCAAAATAGATTTACGAGTATGTGTGTATATGTATTTTTATAAATAAAACGATGTAAAAGATCATTTTCACATTAATTGAAATATTTTTCTCAGCATGAATCATAGACAAAAGAATTGTAAAAACAATAGGTCTATAATAGATGAATGAAATAGATATATGTATAGAACAACGAACGGGGGGTAGCCTAATGCGAATGCTCTACGGTTTTGAAGTAACGAAGTCTGGTAATGATAAATATTGTATCATTATAACATCAATGCAGTTATTGTAAGGCCAGATGAAATCAATTCTTAGTTTTCGGTCCCCACCTCCTTTCTTTCAATGTTATAACACACATTATTAATACGATGCAAGTTCACATTGTTCTGAGTCAGCGGTGTGCATGTACAAATAAAATTGAAAATGACCCAACTGCTTTTTAATACCAAACAACAAGGAACTCCTTTTTCCACAACTTCGAAAAATCCAGACAAGAATCATTTTCACCGCCCTAATCGCCATTTTGGGTAATGATGGAAGAATTGAATACCTCTACTGCATCTGCACTGCATGAAGCGTGCTCTTCGATATCGAGATCATTAATAGTAAGCGTGACCGTCTGCCCAGCCGGTGCTTGGATGGTGAAAGAGCAATCCGCATGGTTGTTATAGTTATCAGGGTAGTTGGGGGACACCAATATACCCATGGGGGAGCTGAAAGTTCCACCACAATCTGGAGTGAGAGAGAGAGAGAGAGAGAGAGCGAGAGGGGGGGGGGGGGGGGGGGGGGGGGAAAGAGAGATAGACAGAGAGAGAGGGAGAGAAAAAAAAAGAGAGAGAGAAAAGGTGGGAGAGAGAAACAGAGAGAGAGAGAGAGTTGGGGGGGGGGTGAGAGAAATTGAGAAAAAAAAAAAAAAGGTTAAGAAAATCGATATTTTAATACATGGGGTTTTTCCAGATCTACTTTTTTAGTCCGGCAGCCATCTCGATATATTTTGTTTTAGGGTCTATAGTTGTTTTTGATTGTTTTGGATTATAGTTCCTTAGACCATCAATTTGAAGAATTCGATCGCTGACATTCAGCATTGAGCAATTTGAGATATATGACGTCACACAAAATGGCCGCCCAAATACACTTTTGAACCCAAATTAATGATATAAAAAGTGTTTACAGGATTTGTTTACATTAAATGGCAGTCAAATAGTTAGATTTTTTCTAGGATCATCACTAAATAAAAATCGCGACGTTGTATGACCACAAATGGCATTTAAATTTGCATATCGGAATGGGGCCCTCTATAGACAAGTTAACTTGCATAGTTCAAAATGATGGCCAAATGCCAGTTTCTAACATGAAATTATCATATGTCATGAGTCAGATGCACTGGATACACTGATGTGCTGCACATTCATTTTTATTTTGTCATTGAATACTCGAAGAAACACGCTTGAATTTCATGATCTCTGTCCCTTAGATATAAGGTGGCATATGGTGATAAATGCCCGTTTTCAGTGAGAGCGTTCAGAAACCCCGACTTGTATTTTGAGGTAATATATTCTTTGTATGAACTTACAAATTACGAACTACCAATACGTATGCAGGACTTTATCCGTTTATAAGTTTGCTTCAAAATCTTAAAATTCGTTTAGCAAAGGCCCTCCAAAGTGTTGGGAACCCTAAAATATTCCATGCTGAAGGGGGGTATTATATAACACTGAATTCTGCAGTTTTTTCCAAAACGAATTTGTTCGAAGTGAGGTTGTGACTGTAAGGCGTGCTTCCACACACATGTTTGCAGATAAGCTCTCTTAAAGGGACTTGGTAACATTGTTCAGATGAGAGATAGTGGTGCTAAGGTAGTGACTTCCATGCTAGATGTACAATTAAAGATAATCTGAAAATTTGAGAGACAACGGACCATTATTAATGATACAAATCGGGAAAAACCGATCTGATCGATTCCTTAATTCTCCCAACTATATCATTACAATTTAATTACATTTTAGGTGAATTTAAACCGTCACAAAGCAATTAATTGGCTCTACATACCATTCCAGACATTTAAGTGTTGACAGATTTTTAATAGCATGTCTTTTTTCATGAAAAAACGGTTGGGAAAATTCAAAAATGGCTCGGAGAATTTATTGTTAATCACTGTTAGAGGGTGTTGCACGGTGACGCCCTCAAAGAAAACCATAGATATCTTCGTGGTTTGAGATATTTTTGTCAGAATTGTTTGCATGTCAGAGGGTTCGTAGAGTAGAAGGAATATAATAAGTAACATTTTCTACAAACGCGTCAGTAGTTTGAGGTAGTGGGGAAGGGTTTGGGGTATTTGTAGCTCCTAGTCTTCGTAGCGTACTCTTGATAGCCACACGTCGATACTACCCTCTGACGCTGAGCTGGCTGTTGACTGTTCATAACATGAAGCAAAGAATTGAGTAGATTGCGTGAGGACATAGACCATGCTGCATCAACATTGCCAACTGAGTCCAAAGGGAGTCGAATCTTCTGCTCTACATTTTCAGCATTGTACCCTATCCAATGCCAAAGTATGCCCCAACAGAGTCGCATCCCGTCAAAGCATGTCCTGCCAACATCGATGGAATGATATCTCCTAACTTGTCTACAGTGGCAGGAATATCAAAAACAGTTCGTTCTTTGATGGGCGACTCCATGGTCATTGGCGTCATAAGTCCGTCATGTAGATAATGATGTAAAAGTAATACGTACACGCCTGTGTCATCCACCAGGACCCTAATACCTCTTCTCATTAGCAGCAATTCGAATCGCTTGATGTACTATGATGTTGCCTGCTTCTTCATATGTTGTGGACAGATATTTCCTTGGCATGACATCACTGCCTGGTATCACTTCAACAGGAACCTCATCTTGACCGGTAATAACCACATTGTGCTTTTGCCTATTTCTGAACACCTCATCATTCTGCAGACTCGCGCATACATGGTGTCGATCAACTGTAGTATCTTGTCACTAACATTGAAAAGAGAGCGAAGCCAACACTACTATAGAGCCGTGTTTAAAAACATCAAGTCATTGACCAGGAAACTTACACCCATCTAAATGTCTTGAAGGATGAAAATGGGAACATTTTAAAAGAGGATGAAGATATAATGGCAAGGTGGAAGGAATGTTGTGAAAAACCGTATACTGCAAAAGAAACTGAAGAAGTTTATATAGTACTCATGAAGGAGTGAGCGTCGAGGACGAGCCCATGCTTGAACCTGACATCTTAAAAATGGAGTGAAGAAAGCAATACATAATTTGAGACCTGGGGAAGCACCTAGTATAGAAACATCCCTGCGAAGCTTTTCAAGAAAGTGGAGAGGAGGGTGTAAAGGTCATGCATAAGCTGAGTAACAAAATATGGAGACAGAGAATATGTCCACAAGTCTGGAAGAGAGCTATTTTTCTCCCACTCCCGAAGAAAGGTGTTTCACATAAATGTGCCAACACCCGCACTATTTCTCTTATTCCGCATGCCAGTAAGATTCTTCTTCACTTAATTGCTGAAAGAAGTAGAAACCACCTAGAATAGTAATGATCACCCGAACAAGCAGGGTTCAGAAAAGGAAGAGGGACAAGAAACCAAATCGGCAATCTCAGAAATTTGACGGAGAAAAGCAGAGAATTCCAACGACCTCCTTTCTTGAATAGCTTCATTAAGTATGCCAAAGCTTTTGACCGTGTACAACATAACGCCTATGGAAGATTAAAAGCGAGATGGGCTTTCCAGCACATATTATTCAACGCATCCAGTCGCTTTAATAAGACTAATTAACTATAACAACATGAATATGGATATAACTTGATGACCAATTGTTGAAATATGATAAAAAGCCGTTTTGTGGCTTGTTCGAGATAAGTTATGCTAGTCGCATATTCCCGTTTGTACTGTATTTCGTGGAAGGGAATAGGCCATTTTCGTAATGTAATCAAAGTTCCTCAATACAAATTATTTCATTTTCCTGATAAGAATAATAGTATTTCAATATTCGGAATGCAAACTGCATTTATTAAGTGTGGCAACAACTAATGTACGCAGGTTGGATTCTGTCTGTATCGAGGCACTTGATTCACTTGTGGCGTTATTGAGAACGCCCGTAGATTTGGCCAAAATCCGTTCTGGATTTCAGTACCTCAGTGGTCACCCAGCTCTTATAATAGTAACTTTTCGATTTTGCACACGAACCGCCGATTCTCCGTCCGCGTTGAGCTTGCGAAAAATCCCTATTATCAACCTAATACGCCGACGATAAAACACTCACTGGCGTACTGATGGGGGTGTGGGGGGGGGGGAGTTGACTCCCCAAAAGAAATTCAAATATTATTTTTCTTATTCGATACCAGTGATTTACAAATAGTGCTGAAATGACATGATTTTCAGGAATCTTTTCTCACTTGTTCGTAAGTTATAATTTTGTATGCGTATGCTGGAAAATGACGAGTTCCCAAATTTACAGTTGGCAAAAAATATGCGTATTTGGAAGCTTCCATGTCAGGGTCCGCGGGGCTCAGGGGACTCGAGCCCCTCTCACTTTTCTGATATAGTATGTTAAAGAGAAATAGAAAGAAAGAAATTAATTAATAGTGACCTGAGGTGAAATGAGGTATCAAAATATGCTCATCTGACCGTAATTAAATGGTTAAATGGGTAAAACCCCTGAGCTTCCGGGGGCTCTGCCCCTGGACCCCACGCCAATTAGTGACCTGCAGTGTCACAAGTAAGATATCAAAATATGCTCATCTGACCGTAATTGAATGCCTAAAACCCCAGGGCTTCAGGGGGCTCCTCCTTGCCCCCGTTGTGGTGTTGCCCCTGGACCCCACGACCATTTACGCTCCACTTGCTTCGCTGGCTTTGCTCGCTTTGCTCTACCTGACCGTAAATACTTTAGCTCCCCACCCCTACTTTAAAAAACGTTCCGCGGGGCCTGCGTGTAACATGTATCAGCGGAAGTGATGCAGATTCTTTTTTGCTGCCCGCACCCCAAACGTTTTTGCACATCACGCCACTGACATCACTTATAACAAGAACATCAGAATAACTACTAGAACTTCTTAAAAAGAGTGACGGATGCAAGTGAACAATTTGGACTCTGCCTCAATGTCAAAAAGACCTATATCATGTTTGGTGGAATTTGAACTACAACAGAGCATGGTGGTTCATGGAGAAGTAGTTGATCAAGTGGACAAGTTTAATGTTCTCGGGCTAATGATTGTTAAGGAGGGTTGAAGCTCGGTAGATATCAAGAGACGACTGGCCATGGCTAAAACATCGGCCTCAAAACTGTAAAATATCTTGAAGGACAGGAAATTCATCCTGGCCTCTAAGATCCGTGTAATGAAGGCATTGGTTTTCCAAGTAGGAACTCCATGGCTGCGAGACATGGGCATCAGGAAAGGCAGACAGGGGAGCAATATCAGCCTTTGAAATGTGGTGTTGGAGGAAGCTACGTGGGATATCATGGAGAGATCACATCACCAATGAACACATACTGTCCACCATCGGAGATCAACCACCACTTGCTACCAGGATTTATAAAGTACGAGCTACAATAGTTTGGTCACGTAAGCAGAAGATCAGGAGACATCCTTGAAAAATTATCATTCAAGGTACATGTACCTTTAAAGGAACACATAACAAAGGAAGGCTCAAGCTCAAATGGAGTGACGGTCTTAGGGAAATATAATAAAAACCCTCTGTGTGGCCATGCCTTGAACCATGATGCATTGCCGTACAGAGGAATTTTTCCTGTTGGGAACCGGGGGAAATGCAATGAATTATTGATAATTTATTGCATTTTCCTTTCTTTTTGTATTCATTGGGGCTGCCCCCTACCGCTGCGTACAGACATGATTCAGTGGCAATGCAATGGCCTCGTAACTGTAAGGCCCAAGGATCAAAGCCGTGTCGATGTGCTATATTAGTGCCCATTTGTGAGGGATTAATCCTCATTACTGTCAGTTATGACTTAGGGACGTATGTCCCCTATTTGTTAACCCTAATAAGGCCGGGGGGCCATTATGCCCCCCCCCCCACACGATTTTTCTGATTGCTCGAGAACGCATATGGATGGCGCCCCGCCACTCGCTGACTTTTTTCTTTCGAGTCTTGCGCAACTTTTAAAAGAATTTTTTTGAAAATCGGACCTACGGTTACAAGGTCACGTGACCTTTTGTCTTTGCATGTCAGCCCGAAAATCGCTCATTTTCGTGATTTGTGTACAAAACATATAGAAAAGTCATTTTTCCTAGAAACAGATCAAACATGGGTTATTGGGTCTTGTTTAAAGTTTAGGTGGTTGTTTTGGGTGTCAAAATAGTTGAATTGTAGTAAGAAATGAAATAAAACAACAAAAACAATGAAATACATAAGTTAAAAAAACAATGAAATACATAAGAAATTATCAAAACAAGGGATAACATAAGGAATAAGCTGGCTCTTCCAAATTTTGTTGTTGTATTATTGTTCAGAATGGTCTAATGAATATATGTAGTGAATGCCTAATTATGAATGATATATGATTTATGGGTAAAAATGTGAGTTTTATGACTTTATTTGCATAAATTACCATAAATATGCAAATGAGTGAATTTTTCAAAAAATTGAAATTATCATATTATTCTATATACTTCACTTGACATGCATGAAAATTTTCGCGACGATCGGCCGCTTCGCGGCCGAGATCTTAAGGGGGCCATAATGCCCCCCCCGGCCATACTAAGACCTCAAATAGCCCGGTCTTATTAGGGTTAAGCATAGTAGCATACACATGTTTTAGCAGTTACGCAAAAAAAAACATTTGCAAATTATTATTCAATACAATCTGAGAACGTATACTATTATCTAGATCTATTAGGAATAAATCATTGTCAAAATCATTCCGTGAACAGTGTGTTTGGCATAAAATATACGAGATTTGAAAGGAAAACATCTGGACCGGGCATTTTGGAAAAAAAAAGGTTTAAGGGTGTCATTTGATAAATAAATTTCATATCAAAAATGTATGAGACACAATGGTAGGAATATATTGGAAACTGCCAATAAAATAATCTACTTTCTACGCTATATCTCAAAAAGTTCTCAATGTCGAGGCTTGGAAATTTTAATATGCCCATAATTGATTATAGGACTGTATGTTTCCTTTTTGTGCTGATTGATTCATCAAATTAACTGTGCATCATAAAATAAAGTATAGAATATCTATCAATCGCCTCTGCCTACACTGTCGGCTTTGAACCTCCGAAGAACCAAGGTATTGTAGTCATTCAATTGCAACATTCTTTCACTGGTGTCAGATGATTTCAATTCTTTCTGTGATACCTCCTTGATTTTACCCACCTGCGTACTCCAAAGCTTGGTAGGATGCAGAAAAGCCATTCTTAGTAACACTGCTATCACTTTTGAAGACGAGGAACAAGCTCCTGCCACTGCTCATCAAGCTTTCAGGAATGGTGTTACCACACAAAACCGCCAACACAGGATCGCTCGTGCTTGTTCCATCATATACCTGCAAATAAACAACAAAGAACTTGATTTATATGCTGTGCACAAAACTATCTATTTCCCAGTACCAGGAACTAAATTTATACGAGGCAGTGGTGTATCCACTTCTTGCCGTAAGGAGGGGTAAAACGGGTCCTTGGTTTGCGTTACGAGGGGGGGGGGGGGTGCGCATCGCTCAAAAATGACGTATTTGAGGACAAATTAAATTTTTAGAGGATATATATATATATATATATACACATCTATACATTGATTCCTAACCTGTTTACTTCTTGTACGGTTATATTTCCTTTTCTTGGTTGGTTCAAATAACCCTGTGATACTAGGCCTCTATTGTATATAATTCAAAGATGAGCTGTTCTTTTAATGAAAAATAAAGTGTTGTTATTTTTTATTTTATTTTATTTATTTATTTATTTTTTTTTTTGGGGGGGGGGGAATTTGTTGCATTTTTACACATTTTTGCACGGCCATTCGGGAGAAACGAAGACCTTAAGACTCAGATTCCCTTGAGTCTCTGTCGGGATTTAACAATTTCAGGTACTTTTAACAAAAGCTCCCAACTACGCAGTTTATACTCATCTTTGCGCAATGTCTCATACTCATTTGAATGTGTTATGGCAGTCACGATACTCGTCATTATATAAATTATAAAAATGGAAACCACCCGCTTTTACTCCAAAAGGCTATGAATATTTGTTTTATTCTCAAACAATACATAAACAAAACAAATCAAAACAAAAACAAACGAACGAACGAAAAACTGAGAAGGAAGTTGTGAAAGCTGACTTTTTAGAAGAAAAAAAGAATATCGAGTATAAAGAGAGAAACTCAAAAGAAAAAAGTACCGTGAGCGAATCGTAGTTACAGGTGCTCTGGGACTCGAGATCGAAGAATTCAAAGGTCACGTACACTACTTGCTTTTCATCCGTGGTCGAAATAAGGTACTCGCAGTTCATACTGTTATCGTAGCTACCTGGGTAATATGGACTGGTGAACGTTCCCGACGGTGAGTCGAATAGCCCACCACAGCCTGTGTGGAGTGTAATAATAAGAATTATGATGATGATGATGAACATGATAATAATAATAACGATTATAATGATAATGATAATGATAATGATAATGACGATAATAATAATACTTAAACAATAACAATAATAATGATAATAATAATAATAATGATAATAATAATAATAATAATAATAATAATAATAATAATAATAATAATAATAATAATAATAATTATAATAATAATAATGATAATAATAGAGAGAAGAAGAAGAGTGAGAGAAAAAATGTTGGGATTGTTTTATCACTATTAATATTTAAAGAGGAAGTCCTCGCAGAAAAGTGAGAGGAACAGGTTGTTGAACAAGGAGAGAGAAACAGGAGAGAACGTGGGAAACATAAAAAGGGAGAGAGAGAGAGAGAGAGAGAGGTGGGTGAGAAGGAAATTCAAGAATAAGAAGAAAACAGACGAAATGTTGAGTTTTAAATGAGCAATCGAAAAGAGAGGTTACAAATTGAAAAGAGATTCAGTGGTTATGATTCATAAAAGGCATAACAGAAGCCTTCCTTCCCCAACATTAAAATATCTCTTAACTTATGAAACTATGAAATATTCAGTGTAACAAGATTACAACTTGTAAGATTGACTATCAAAGGGAGTTTTTGAGAAGTATAAGTAATAATAATAATTCAGACATTTGTTACGCGCAACATATCCACCCAGAGGGTGCTCAAGGCGCTTACAATGAGCTACATAATATACTTAGATATAATTTTGTTTACATTACATTACACATGGTTATAAAAAAGAAGAAGATGATATTAGTCAAAGTTGGCCATTAGATAAGTTTTCAGGCTGGCCTTGAAACTATCTACTGATTTACAGTCCTTAAGTGTGTTAGGGAGACTGTTCCACAATCGGGGAGCTGCTGAGGCAAATGCTCGATCTCCCCATGATCGTCTTGTCTTAGGGATGATCAGAGTTGATGTATTGGCAGAACGCAGACCAGAACGACCAGGCTTGCGAAAGTTGAGTAGAGAAGAGATGTACTGTGGCGAGGAGAACTTCAAGGCACGGTATGTGATCAGAAGGATTTTGTAGGTGAGACGATGTTCAACAGGAAGCCAATGCAGGGATTTAAGGACTGGAGTGATGTGGGCGAACTTGCGTGTATATGTCACTAGACGGGCAGCAGCATTCTGAACAAGCTGGAGCCTCTTTACTTGAGACATAGTGATGCCATAGAGTAAAGAGTTACAACAATCGATGCGGGATGTAACAAATGCTTGCACAAGCTGCTCAGCCGCCTTTGTGGTGAGATACTTGCGAATAGCACGAAGATTGCGGAGACTGTGGATCGCAAGTTTAACACTTGATGATACTTGCGACTCCATGGTCATATTGGAGTCAAAAATAACTCCAAGATTTCGAACTTTCTTCACTGGAGTAATTGATGACGAACCAATATTCAGATTGGGGGTTACCGACTTGGCGAGTTGCTGCTTGGAACCCAGCATAACAAACTGAGATTTGTCGTCATTGAGCTTCAAGTAATTCTCCTTCATCCAATTCCTAATGTCACTTATACAGGCTTCAACACGAGCAATCCAGGCATCAACTTCCCCTTGTGTGGGAGAACACGAAAAGTATATCTGCGTGTCATCAGCATACATATGGTGCTTGAGATTATGCCTGTTGATGATATCATGAAGGGGAAGAGTGTAAATGTTGAAGAGTTGTGGCCCAAGTACCGATCCCTGGGGCACAGAGAAGTCAAGATGAACTGTCTTAGAGACAGCACTGCGTACACAAACCCTCTGCGATCTGTTTGAGAGATAAGATGTTAACCACTGGTGAGCCTGTCCACCAATGCCCATAGACTGAAGTCTCTCTAGGAGTATAACATGGTCAACCGTGTCAAATGCACTACTCAGATCGAGCAGAATTAGCCCAGTTACTTTTCCACTATCCATTTCGGTGAGGATATCATTTTGCACTCGTAAGAGGGCAGTCTCAACACTGTGTTTTTCTCTGTAGGCTGATTGGAAGTTGTCTTGAAGGTTATTGTCATTCAAGAAGGACTGAAGACGAGCGGATACTATGCGTTCGATAACCTTCGATAGGAAGCTTAGATTTGCCACAGGTCGATAACTTGCAAAGTCTTGCCTGTCAAGATTCGGTTTTTTTCAAGAGAGGCTTCACGAGAGCCTGTTGCATTGAGGCTGGAAAGCTTGCACATCGAAGAGACTTATTAACAAAGTCTGTAATATATGGTGCAAAGTCGTCAATGCATTCTTTTAGAAGAGCAGTAGGAATTGGATCTAACTCACATGATGATGTTGGAGAATTCATGACAACCCTCTTGATCTCACTAATAGAAGTTTTAGCGAAATCAGTCAAAACTGGAACAGATGATAACTCACAATGCTGTACACACTGTCCTGACGAAAGCTCGGCATCAATGTCATCACGGATCTTGGTGACATTGTTGAAGAAATAATGACAAAAGTTATAAGCCAGTATCTGGTCAGAAGAAGCATCCGGAAGAACAGTTTCCTTCTTTCGGTGCAGCAGAGCGTCTACAACAGTGAAGAGACGTCTTTGGATTCCTTCGCATTCTGCAACACACTCTGAATAGTATTCAGTTTTTGCCTTTTCATTTCTTGGGAAAAAACCTGACGCTGTGTCACATAAGATTTGCGGTCTTCTTCACTTCTAGTACTCCTCCACTTGCGCTCAAGGCGTCTTCTAAGGCACTTAGCAGCATGGATTTTCTCAGTAATCCATGGACTCGAAGGTTTGATGATAACACTTCTAGTCTTTTTAGGTGCTAGCTTATCAAGAAGACTTGTGAGAGATCGATCATATCTTTCGACAGACGATGAGATGCTGCGATCCTCAATGTCAATTTCTGACAAACATTCATGGACTCCAGATCGGAATTGTTCTCTGTTCATTGATCGTAGAGGGCGAGTTGTGACAGTCCTGCGAGAAGGGGACGGCTTTCTTAAATCAAGGTTACACTGGACAGCGTGGTGATCAGATACTCCTAGGATAACAGATACATTAGAAACAAGAGTGGCTGAATCCCGAGTAATAAGCAAATCAAGTGTATGGCCATGTAGATGAGTCCCTTCTCGTACAAGCTGCTTCATTCCGTAGGATGAAATTATGTTCATAAACTGCCTTGCCCGTACGTCATTGAAATCGTCGACCCATACATTGAAGTCCCCTGTCAGGACAACTTCGGAGGGATCAAGAACAAATGAGTCAAGTAGGGTAGCAAACTGTTCAAGGAAGACTATAAGGTATTCGCTGCCCTTGCTCTTCCACTATATCTGGGCGATAAATGACAAGGATAATAAGTGAACGGGATTGGCATGAAACTCGAGCTTGATAAGCTTCAAATGACTTGAAATGTTGTACAGCTTCTGACTTGACCGACAGTGAAGATTTGAACAACAGTCCGACACCACCTCCTCCTTTTCCTTGTCGATCCTTATGATTAAAAGTATATCCCTCAGGTATACAGTTTCCCAAAATAACATCATCGTCATCCAAAATCATTATCAAGTACAAATTCAACGATATCTTATTCCTATAGTCTTATTCCTTAGTGATCTAGCGTTCAATGTACACATCTTTGCCGAGAGTTTAGTAGGTACTACTGATATTAAGTTTCTAAATTCAGAACCACGACATGAAGAATGATGTACACGATGTCCACGATGAGTTGGGTTCACTGAACATATGCCATAGTCCTGTAATATGTGATAGGTATTCAGTGGTATCCTGAGATCAGCACACTTGGGTTGAAAAGACAAAAGGTCTTCTCTGGTGTAGGTGATTGTAGGCATTGTCACAATAGTAGCTAATAGGATCAAGAGACTAACAACAATAGTCACCATGCCGATGCTAGCCATGGCTGTCTATTCATGTTCTGATCTAACAATAGTAGAGAACATAATAGTCATGGACATGAATACTATGTGTATCAAGCACTGTAATGGTTGACCATGGGCTCATACAGGAACATGAAGAAAACATAAATCAAAACTGTAGGTGTTCCAAACATCTCAATCCATCACAAAAATGATCTAGCTGGATCATGGAGTGATACTTAAAAGACTGCTGATGAATTCAGAACACTATTCCTAAAACTATCAAGAAAAATTCAACAAAATCACAGAGCTCAACAACAGTGCAACCTCCTGGCGCAACTGTATTATGCAATTGATGCATGAATGGAATGTTTGAACCAATGAAGTTGTTATTAAGTATGAACATGAATTAATTTTGAATTTGAACTTATTTATTTCCATATCTCCGTTGTTAAAAACATGAATATAACATCACAAAATGTATGTAAAACAAATCGTAATCGATTCGGGATCAAAACAAACAATAAAAATTAGATCAATGCTGTATGATGTATTTTTTGTGGGGGGGGGGGGGGGCAATTAATTGGTCCAGGTGGAGGGGCATGTTCTACGTCTTTATGTTAAAACCTAGTTACCTGGTGGTGGCGGTGGTGGTGTAGGAATGAATCCACCTCCTGATCCTTCCCCTATGTAGAGTAGTAGGTTGGGTGATCCGTACTGTGGATCTTGTACAGCATCACCGATAGATTTAAGTTGAAGGGCTTCTTTCACTTCACTTGGGGTGAGACCGGGATCGTTAGCAAGTATGACCGCCGCAGCACCTTCATGCAATGTGATAAACATATAATATACAAATAAGGCGATCAATTGACGTGATTTACTAGGTAGTAAATAAGATTTACAAATATTATTTCAAATCTAAACAACGGCAATGCAAAATTATTGATAACGACACCCTACAAACAGTATACCGCCTATTTCAAGGTGTTTTTTTTTTTTTTTACTCACCTTAATTGATGAACCTCATGATTAAAAATCATGGATTATATGTGATGAATCTCTTTTTGTGTGTTCTGTTGTTACATTATTCCCATTTTATTAGTATTGGATGGTATCATTAGAAAATGCGGGGTAATAATTTACAGAGAAATAAAGTGATTGGCTGAAGATCCCATCTCTTAAAAAGAAGGAAAAAAATTGTAAAAATTACTGAACCTGTCAATACACGTGCCACTTGACAGACCACTAAAAGATGATGAAGAATTTTTGACTGAAAGTTTGTTGGAAAACAGATTCGACACCATTCACTTATTTAGTATATTATGCAGGTGATGTCACTATGAGGGGAAATGTAATTTTAATATCATGAATCGAGGAATGAAAAGGCGCCACAAGAAATACCTTATGAATGGAGTTTAGAGTAACCCTTTGAAACGTATCCTTTTCAGGTGTACCACTGATTGCTCGAGAAACCTACCTGCTACATGTGGGCAAGCCATAGAGGTTTCATTTAATTAAATTAAATTTAATTTTAATTTATTTTAAAACACGGATTACTTGCTTCAGCCAATGTTGTTCTTCTGCAAGTCTGTGCATACATAATAGGTTCCACTGGTGGTGAGGAAAATCTACTTTCTTAAAATGTGGTCAATTTATAGAGCGAAACATCATGACCTGCTACATGGCAGTAAGCCATAGAGGTACCACTGATGGTAAGGAAAACCTACCTGCTAAATGTGGACAAGTCATAGAGGTACCCCTGATGGTGAGAGAAACATCATGACCTGCTACATGGGAGCAAGCCAAATGGCTACCACTGGTGGTGAGATAAACCTACCTGCTACGTGTGGACAAGCCATAGAGGTACCACTGGTGGCGAGAGAAACCTACATGCAACATGTGGACAAGCCATAGAGGTACCACTGGTGGTGAGAGAAACCTACCTGCTACATGTGGGCAAGCCTTAGAGGTACCACTGATGGTGAGATAAACATACCTGCTACATGTGGGCAAGCCATAGAGGTACCAATGATGGTGAGATAAACATACCTGCTACATGTGGGTAAGCCTTAGAGGTACCACTGGTGGTGAGAGAAACATACCTGCTACATGTGGGCAAGCCATAGAGGTACCACTGATGGTGTTAGTAGCATCTGGTTCGCCATACCAAGCTGATGTAATATCCACGCCAGGTGCAAAGATATCACAACAGGTACCGTAGTTAGAGAAGGAAGCCCTAGTGTCTGTAATATCTGATGCTGCGACAGTGATTGCCTAGATGTAAATGGTGCAAAAATAACAAACGTGAGCTCATATTTACAATCAGTCGTAGCTCATTACAAGTATGAGCTAAACATTACTTTCACAACCTAACCTATGATCTCATTCTGTTGTTATGATAGAGGAGGGTGTTTTTGCTTTATAATAGAGCAAAAACCTGATGCAGCAGCAACAGTACTGTGAGGACGTAGCATGAGGAGGCGGGTTGGGGAGGGGGCGTCGGTATTACTCGATGTAAGAAATGGTGTTTGGAGGGGATGTAACGTTCCCCTTACCCATCTGCATTTTTTTTTCTCCTTTCTCTCTCTTCTCTTTATTTAGTATTATGATTGGACGCACATACAACAACCAATAGAGTTAAGTGATTTACTAACAGGTTCAGATCGAGCTGGTGAGGTGTTGCAGGCATCCGTGTTACTATTCCCCGCTGCTACAACCACAGTGATACCAGCATCAATCATTCGCTGGATGGCATCATCGGTTGCTTGGTTAGCACCACCACCAAGCGACATGGAAGCTACAGCAGGCAGGGTGGCGTTCCCAGCTACCCAATCACAACCTGTTCAATATATTACAAAATATCTCTATCATATAAAAATCATTAGTCTAAACTAGAAAGAACATTTCATATGGTGTAAATCACGGATAATAAAATTGGTGGGTATCAAGAAATTTAAAAGACAAAAATGGTAATCTGTGCCATTTTTGATAGTATTATAATGATTGTCATATCCTTGAAAATAAGATATGTGCAGGTTTATTTACACACAGAGAATTTAAACAAGCTGTATTCGCGGTGAATAAAAACAAAACTCCAGGCTCTGACGGAATAACCGAGGAATTCTATCAGGTGTTTTGGAATGAGATCTGTGATATTTTAGTTGACGCTCTTAACGAGTGTTATGCTAATGAGAAAATCATCCAATACTCAAAGGTAAGGAATAATCACATTGATATACAAGAAAGGAAATCACAGAGAGCTGAGGTATTGGAGACCGATCACATTGCTGAAATGTGATTACAAAATCATTGAGATAGTGCTTGCGAACCGTCCTCAAAAAGTAATTGGAAAAATTATTCATAAAAACCAGACGAGACGGGTTACAAAAGAGGTCGTCTGTCGGCCTGCAATATAAGACTTACAAAAGATATTATCAAAAACATGACAAGGCGCGTTTTCCAGAAGTGGGTGACAATTTTATACACTAATATTGCAAGTTCTGAAATTGTACATGGTTGGATATCTGAAACTTTTAGTATTCTGAGAGGAATACGCCAAGGGTGTCCCCTCTCGGCCTTTTTGTTTGTACTTGCCGCATAATTAATTGCAAATAAAGTGAGAGAAAATAATGAACTTAAAGGTCTGGATATTAATGATAAAGGTATTGATCTGAACACTTTATTTTATGTATCTGATATAAATTCTTTTGAAAATATTTTAAACGAATTAGAGTGTTTTGGGGAAGTTGCAGGAACGAAGTTAAATAGAGAAAAGACTCGTCTTGGTTTGGATTGGAACATCCTGTCGACAATGGTCGTTATCTTATTTTGGCTTACATTGGATAGATGAGCCAGTAAAATATCACACCTGATCTACAATGTGCTTTAAAGATCAATTGGTAAAATAAATGAGAAACAAATCAAAAACTGCTGGATAACTGGAGGAAAAGATACCTGACTTCCATTGGTAGATTGACTATAATTAAATCAAATTGCAATTAGTCAAGTTATACATTTAATGATTGTTGATACAATACCGTCTACTTTTTGATAAAACGTAATAGCTTGATATTTAAATTTCTTTGGAAAAGTAAAATTGAAAAGGTGAAACGATGTATTGTTACCTAGGATTATTGTGAAGGAGGAATAAGAATGATCGATGTTAAAAGGCAATTATTCAGTTTTAGGCTGAATTGGCTTGGGATGTTTTTAAATAATACAAAATGAATTTGGAAAGATATGAGTCAATATTGGTTTAACTGTTTGGGAGGGCTCCGTCTACTGCTGAATTTCAATTATACTGATGATGCATTATATCTTTCAAAACTTAGAAATGTGCCACATTTTTACATTGAAATATTACATGCATGGTACCTCATAAAAAGTCACACATCCGTTGAATGTCGGGCTCAGAAATATATTGACGAAAAGATTTTATTGTATAATCAAAATATTGTTTTTGAAATGAAAATATTTTTTTTATGAAGACTGGTATAAAAGTAGTGTTATATATTTAAAGGATATCTTTAAAATGGTACTTTTGTTTCAGTAAATGAATTATATATTCGAATTAAAACTAGACGAAGTAAACAACAAAAATCAATTCCAAAATTTTGGATAAATGATGAAGCATAGGGTACCATTTGATAGGGATTAAAGAATTTTGTTTACGTGAATTTAATTTCAAGCTTTTTAAAAATATGCTACTATGCAGTTCGTAAAAATCTGTGAAGTCTTCTATGAGATGACCTTTGTTTAAAATGCAAAGAAACTGAAGATGTTCTTTATGCTTTTATTTCATGTAAGGCAAACGAAACCTTCTTTGAATATTTAAAGTAGAGATAGAGACATCGTTTTCTTACTCAAAATGAATTCACAAACCGAAATCGATTTGATAATGACGATTATTTGTTGGTCTATTTATAAATCGATTATTTTTTCGTAATAAGTATGGGTATGATAATAGGGATTTGTAATTCATTTATTTATTTATTTAAGAGAGAAATGAACATTTGAAAGTTCCTGCGAATTTGCTTAGTTATATCTGAACAAACATTATGTGTATTATTGATTTTTCATTGTTTTGCTAACTTGTAAGTAAAATTATGTTATTGTTTGAATATTGAATAAACACATCATACGAGGCAAAAAGAAGAACAACAAGTATTGTTGTATTCCTAGTCCAATGATACTTTGTTCAATACTAAAATGATTTGACGAGAATTGCTGCCGATGGTTAGAAAGGGGGTAACCGGGAAATACTTATGTTGGTTAAAATGCTTTGAAATCTGTATCGAACTGATATTCCTCATTGAAGAAAGTTGATATTTTTATATATCTGAACATTGATATTATATGAATCAAGTTTTAAATCATACTACAATCCTTGACAATTGTGGTGTCTTAATGAAAGGAGAAGAGCGTGCACTGCGTTAACGTTTATTCTACTTTTACATTTGCTACCTTGATTACAATTCAGTTACGGTTTTATTTACAATGGAAATGTCTAAAATGTGAAATGCACCCCCGGCTCCTTTTCCATAGACATATTCTTCAGTATATGCTTGTAATGTTCTAACTTTGTCATATCTTTTCAGATTTTGTATATACTTCAGATCAGAACCTTTTCGGTCTGCATACCTTCAATTATCTGGGAATAAGCGCCTGATCCTGCACATGAGAGTACACGAACTCCGATGAGTTTTGCCGCCTTAGCGACACCGTACTGAGTTCCACCGATTGTACCTGCGCAGTGAGATCCGTGGCCATTGCAATCCTCACCCTAACGTGGTAGAGGGTGTAGAGGAGAAAGAAAGGGGGTCGAGAGAGAGAGAGAGAGAGAGAGAGAGAGAAAGAGAGAGAGGGGAGGGAAATGATAGAATTGGAAGACGAGGGAGGGAAGAGGGTGCGAGAGAGAGAGAGAGAGAGGGGGGGAGAGAGAGAGGAGAAAGAGAGAGAGGAGAAAGAGAGAGAGAGAGAGAGGAGAGAGAAAGAGGAGAGACAGAGAGGAGAGGGTGAGATAGAGACGGAGGAGGAGGAGATGGGAGGGAGGAGAAAGGGATAGGGAGAGAGAGAGAGAGAGAGAGGGGGGAGGGGACAAACACTAGTGAAAATGTGTTTGAGAGTGTTTGTGAGAGAGATGGAGCCAAAGGGGGACAGGGTGAGAAGATGAGAGAGAGGGGTGTCAGACATTGGAAATGAACTATAAAAAAATGAGAAAGATATAAAATCCCCTGAATGTACGTTGTAATTAAAAATAAGTTTGTTCAGTTTATTTTAATTACTAGACAATGCAAAAGGATAAGCTAAAAAATTATGGATCACTTATTCTTAAAGGTTATTGGCAATTCCGTTTAAAATGTTTAGAACAAAAAAGTAAGGATGACGAAAAACACATTTCTTAATCAATACTCAGCATAAACATGCTAAACTTGTTAGTTATTAATCTTACAGGATACAGATTGAGACTAAGAATCACTCTCATTATCAATCAAAGGCATATATCTCTTCTGGACATAACGTAGTTAAATAGGAAAACAAGAACAAGAAAGTGTCTTTGACTCACAGTTCCTCCGTGTGTATCTATGCCATATGAAGATCGTCCTACCCAGTCCTGATGGTTGAGATTGATTCCGGTATCGAGGACGTACACGCTTACCCCCTCACCGTCTCCGAGCACCGGGGTGTAGGTATCATCGAGTGGGAGATTGATCTGGTCGATGCGATCGAGCCCCCATGATGAGACTGCGCTGGCGTATGCCATTCCGTCTTCTTGGATGTATTCAACGGCATCAGATTTACGGAGCTGAAAATTGACAATTATGCATGACCCTCTCTTGAAATGATGTATGTGTTTTATCCAGAGCTCTCGTTTACAGTATGTATCAATGACTCACGAGACTACTTGGGCTAAATAAGACTTAATAATAAAAATGACTTACATTTTGTTTTAATGAGAAATGATGTCATTTGTGCGATTTGAATATGAGTTTTTTAGGAATCCGGAGGAAAACAAAAGCTAACTTTATGAAGAAAATTTGAGTCGTCATTATATACAAAAAAGGATGAAGATATTGAAAAGCTTTAGGTTGGGCTTCATTCTAACAGTGATAAACGTTTAGAGTTCTTTAGAAAGCACGATATGATACTGCAAACAGTGAATGTAAGATTCGAGTGGCCCTCGTGCGTCTTTGTAAAGGCCGTATTATAAAGATATTATATAGATATTGCAAAGCGTTATGTTGAACTTCATGCTAACACTGATAAACGATGTTATACAACACCTACTAAGATTCTTGCAACCTTATTGGTCAATTCTTAATCACATGACATGCGCTAAAAGTAATGTTAAACAGCATCATTCTCCAGGCGCCATTTTAATTTGCGAGTAAACATTGCGTCGTCAATGTTTTCGGATACGCATGCATTGTTGCGTCACTGCCTGCGCTGCGCGATCACATCATTATTGACATAGGCGCCATTTTAAAGTGCGAGTGAACAACTTGTTTACTAGCACTATCGGTAATTTCATCGATAAAAAACGAAAAAACTCGTTGAGATTTCGACAAGGCCCTTGGAAAACTAAATTTCCGTCCGAGGTGTCGTATAAAACAAATAGTGAATGGTTTTTATGCCTCCGTTACGAAGTAGCCGGAGGCATTATGTTTTCGGGTTGTCCGTCCGTCCGTACGTACGTCTGTACGTACGTACGTCCCGCTCTTGTGATCGCGTTATCTGAAGAACCGATTGATGGATTCCTGCCAAACTTTGGTCATGTATGTATCTTGCAGAGCCAATGAACTGATTAGATTTTGGGGTCATGAGGTTAAAGGTCAAAGGTCACAGGGCTCATTATGTAGCATAAACAGCTTGTGATCGCATTATCTCAAGAACCGATTGATGGAATGCTGCCAAACTTAGGTCATGTATGTTACTTGCAGAGCCGATGAACTGATTAGATTTAGTGGTCATGAGGTCAAAGGTCAAAGGCCACAGCACACATTATGTATGCAATAACAGCTTGTGATCGCGTTATCTCAAGAACCGATTGATGGATTCCTGCCAAAATTAGGTCATGTATGTTACTTGCAGAGCCAATGAACTGAGTAAATTCTTGGTTCGTAAGGTCAAAGGTCAAAGATCATGGGCTCATTATGTATGCAAAAATAGCTTGTGAACGCATTCTCATTAGAACTAACAGATGGATTACTATTTAACTCAGGACATCTTGCAGAGCCAATGAACTGAGTAGATTTTAGGGTCATGAGGTCAAAGATCAAAGGGTCATATATGTATATGAGAAATTGCTTGTAATCACGATATTCTGAGAACCTGTCAATGGATTACAATTGAACTTGAATCCGAAAAATGTCTTCTGTTTTGGTTTGTAAAATTGCTCTATGACGGAGGCATCATTTTCGACTGCGCGCAGTCGAATTCCATCTAGTTGTTCATGCATTCGGTGACAGATGAGACGCTCTATTCAACTCGGCTTCTCTCGTTGGATAGAGCGTCTCTTATCTTTTACCTCGTGCAAAATCTTGTACCATATTGCACTCATGGCCCTTCACTATTTGTATAAGAGTTCTTTAGAAAGCACGATATGATACTGCAAAAAGTTAATGTCAGATTCGAACGGCGCTCGTGCGTCTTCGCAAAGGCCGTAAAACCATCGGACCGTCAGTTAAAAAAATAAATAAATAAAAGCTAATACTAGTACATCATACAATAATAAAGAGGATATACTCACTCGTTCAACCAGACGATCGCTGAGATCGGCGGCGAATCCACTGAACACATTTTTGTATGTGCATAAAATTTTGGCGCCATCAAGGTTGAAAGCGACATCATCCAACTTCCGTCCTTCCTGTACATATGCAAGATGTCGTTTCATGAATATTGTTTCAACTAAAAAGAACATATTTTTTACTCTTTTCAAATAATTTTATCCACTCTACGTTATTTTGTCTCTGTGCATGACATGTTGAGCTTACATTAGACGTAACATTTTTTAAAAACTTTAGAAAACGTTCACCGATTTAGTTTTGGAAATTACATTAATTCACTATTGTTTTCAGGACATCACACATTCTTTGAAAAGTGTTTTTCGATCCGTATTATGCCGTTTTATGGCGAACAAAATCTCACAAAGCCACTGACAGAGTTGACAGGGTATGAAGTATAATGTTGCTTTTAGTTGGACTCTATCAAATATTTTGTGTGCAACATAACTGACTTGGTTCTTTGGGACTAAAAACTTAATTAGTCCAAATTAAATGATAGCTTAAAAAAAATTAGACAGAACCTTAATTAAATATTATACTTCCACAATTGAAAACTCATATTTCTTTGAATAGCTTGATGTTTAATCATATATTTGTCTGAATTCTTTGCCATCTGTCACTTTCATTCTTATGATAGAATTGTAAATAAACTGGCAACAACACCCACCGCAAAGCATTATTGTTACGTCTCCCTGGGGTGCCCCTCCGCATCCAGCAGCAAGAATTGCTCGTGGTTTAATTGTAAAATGGTCGCAGGATCCCCCCCCCCCATTTCCTTCATAAATTTGCATTGAATTAGGGGTGAAATGTTTAATAAGAAAAATAATGTCAAGATGAGAGGGATGAATGCTCAAACAAGACATACAGAAAAAGAGGTGAACCAGGAAAATCAAACGCTGAGTAAGAGATGGCCATGGTAGAAAATAACAAAATATCGTCTATAAAAATCGTTATGAAATTTAAAAAAACATTTTCTTACCTTGAGTTTGACGATATAACGCCCGGGAATGTGTTCATCAACTGTTATCATTGGCGCAATCAGTTGCGAAGCTGCAGCGGTCGCTAGGAGAACAACTAGGAGAGCTTTCATATCTATCAATCAAATAAACATAACATACATCAGGATAAATTGCTGAAAATTAGTTCTTCAGAGTTGCTTCACTGACATGCAGTTTGTGAAAAATCTACCTGTTACTTTTCCTCTGATGGTGATGAAATGTATTTGCCAGCGTTACATCGTATAGCTGGCAAATGGTGTTTATACGGCAATAAGTGGGAACACTAATAATGTTATCTGGTATGCGTGACGGAATTATTCCATTCCATTACGTCGAAGGTGTTACATTTGAATAAGAAAAGAGAGGATACGGAATAAGGGTGCGGTGTATAGTAGGAGACATTCTAGTTGTCCAAGGTCCGCACACTGGCAAGTTTTTTTAATGAAGTTTTTAAAGTAGATATTCATTGTTTTTAAATCTAGCTTTATTTTCATTATTGCAAAGGTGAAACTTTGATTCGACAAGGTTATCAAAATTCAATGCTTGGAAACATTCGAAGTAATGATTATTATAAATTACAAAACGCTTAAATACAGCCCCGGCATAGCACCTGAATAGCTCTCCGAACGCTGCTGAGATGTGTGAGATCACAGTAGGGACATTATTTGCACAAGCAGACGATGTCCCATGACATCTCACACATTTTCAGTGCCTGTGTTTTCATCTTCTCTTGAGTTCTTTCTCTTACTTCACTACCGTCAGGCTAAATGTATAATCTATTGCCTCACTCTAAACCCCGCGCATGGTTTTATTTTGATGACAAATGCAGCGATACAAAAATAAAGGAATCTGTCGCTTGTAAACAAAATAAGACGCCATTGTATATTCAGCTGCACGTACACACCGCGGTATGTTCGGCGTTTCAAGAGGGAACAAATGCCGTCCTTAATATCAATCCGGGGCTTTTCAATTTGAAAGTCTGGTTTCTTTGATTGTTAATTAACCCCTATCCCGTGTATTTACAAGCAAAAGATTTTAGTTATCAGAATCGGCTCATGTCCCCTTTTGATCGGTTTGACATGCCATTACATTTATATACACTAAACTCATTATAATTTGACAAATAATAGCTTTGCAATTATGTTCATTCTTTATGGGATGTCGTCTGCTTGGGCAGTATTGGTCCCTGTTGTGACGTCATTAAAACATCGTTATTTTTCTGGCGAATCTCTCGTATATCCCAGCTGCTATGGATGTGGTTGTATTTTTATTTTTATAAATCACCCGATATGTACCTGACCTCAAACTTGTACGATGGCCATCTGTTAGCTTACCAGTTTCTAGTGATACCAGGAAGCTGTAATGAATGGAGATACCGTCTCGAAAGAATTTTCCGAGGGAAAATTATTCAAGATTAACCTGGCTTAACAAAAAGAAATGTAACCCTCTCCAGCCATCATTTCCATCTACAGCTGTCCATATCAATGCACAGTCCCTCTCTGGCATTCCAAATAGTACGAAATGTTACGCAACGCCATCTGCTTCCCTAAGTTCTCTATTCACTCGTTTGCAAAAATATGCAAGCATCGGGCTTTGAAGCCATGCGTGGCACCGACAAATTAAGTCATGTTCATGAAAGATGTATTTAGCTATAACATATAAAATGCAGAATTCACAACATTATGACCAATGCAACTTTCTATTAGTCATCAAATGCGTTTTCCGTTCTCGGATAGCTCTACTGAAGACATGGCCATTTTAACCAGCGAAATCGACCAAGGAAATCATGAGTTAGAGCGAATGAAAGATTTTCATAATCATGATTTTCTCATCTAATTATTGACATTTTCCGAAAATTTCCGAAATTTGTACTAGCTAGGAAGGTAGTCCAAAGGTTTATCTTCCTAAAGAACTAAATGAAATTGTGTTATATGTTTGCGCATTTATTGATTTAGGGCTAGAAGTTGTCAAGTTAGCACCACTATTCACCCAAAGTACGGGCCGGCAAAGCAAAAGCCGCCGTGCTCGCTGGGCTGGGCTGTGTGTGGAAAGGGAGGACTTAGTGCTACTAGGGAGCTGTAAGGTTTTGGAGGGGGATTAAGGGGATTACGGTAGGGGAAACAAAAGACGCGCGGTGCCACGGATGACTTCAAAGGGGCCTCTTGGACGGGATCTCCATTCATTACAGCTTCCTGGTGATACATTAGTTGACATATTTGTGATTTTCTTTGAATTTCACCTTTAAGGGTGAGCGAAATAATGATAATTTGTAGGAGATTTTGTTGTATCAGAGTTTAAGTTGCGGTGGCCGTATAGGGTCTTTTTAGAGTTTAGCGCTGATTCAGTTTTATCCCTGTTTTTTTTAACCCCGGAATAATTAGGGTAAGGTAAAATTAATTATGATTTCATATGATCATGGCCCCTATTACAGCTGGACTAATAATGAGAGTCTTTCTTTGGTCACATCATGACCACCGTCACCTGATAATGCGTATGTTAATGAGGACATTCATTCGACGCGACAATGTTATCACGCATCATCACAGACAAAAGAACCTTTTACATTTCTTCAGATTATTTCGCTGGGCCAGGGCCCAGGGTGAAGTTTCAGGAAAAGTATCGTGACTTGAGACCATGTAATTATGACAATTTGTGTGATATAAGATTGATTATTAAAGAAGTGGACACTGGTGGACATACATATGGATATGCCAAACTTTGAAAAATACATATTCTCTACTGTCCTATTACCTTCTACTCCTTTGAAATGGATAGGATAAGTTTTAAAATGAAGTTTAAAATCATTGTGTTACAGCCAATTTTGCAGGTTTCTCTTGTAAACTACTTTTAATTTCCTTTTGAAATTTCATATACGTCAATATTCATATGTACTCCACAACTGCACATGCATTTCCGTGATATTAAGCGGTTCAGTTTCTTTTGCGCAGGTATTTTGTAGATTCTTCAAGGCACAGTTTTGGTTTTGTATGGCTGACTTGGTTGGTTGGTTGGTCTTATTTTCCGTATAAAAATTCAAATACATACAAGAATACAATTTACAAATATAATACAAATCAAGAATTAAAGAATGGCTGGAAATCTCTATTCAGAGCCATTATCAAAATTGCTCTTTTCTTCCTAGAGGTCCAGAAATAATCAAACATAGAAATAAAACACAAAATATTACGAAAATATAACATTACAAACGCACTATCTACAACCCACTCCCAAACCCTCTATAACACATTATGAATACGACTGTTACCATCCCTCCCCCTCTCCCTCCCCGTTTACACCAAAAGTTTATACATCAAAATCTAGTATCCATTCATTTAGGCCGTGCCGAAATAGATTGAGTGTGTTCGGTCTACGCATTACAGCTTCCTGGTCTACGTAAGTTAATCGGTAATTCATTATACAATTAAGATCCGCGATAAAAGAATGTTCGTTTACAATAATTAGTTTTAGGTTTGGGCAAGACTAGGTTATCGACATTTCTCAGGGCATAATTGGTTTCTTTGTAAAAGAGATTATTCTGCATATAATCTGGAGTTAAATTGTGGAAAATCTTATACAGCATTATGTACATGTACTTTTTACTGGCGGCGGTCGTGATGAGATCAAAGCTTGGAAGCATGTTTGGAATGTAATTATGATACTTTTGACAGAGTCAGGTGCATGGATATATTATGGTACCGATCAGTGTCCATTTTGTAGTAGGTCTATGATATGATTAATGTTAAGAGGTATACAAATATTCTGTATGAAGAATTCTCAGACACGTTTTTTAGAATTTTTGTTCATACTTTGGAAAATGATCAAGGCAAGTATTGTGAATTTATGTGAAATAAATGCCGTATCTACATGTACGTGCTATTAGCTCGGCAGGCTATATCCAAAAAAAATCGTATATTTTGTTATTTTGTTAGAGTGACATCTGAATGTCATGGTTCCTATAATAATAATGATAATAATAATAATAATATAGATTGTTTGTAAGGCGCAATAAAGAAGAAAAAGTACACGAAAATACACAAAAATGGGTGATATTATGTGGTAAACGTTGTTAGGATGAACAGAATCAATTTCAACGCTTCATCATTAATCAGAAGAGCCTCTGTAGTTATCATGATAAATGTTGCTGATTGCAATTTTTCTGAAAAATGAATTAAAACTCAAATACCTGCAAATACATCGGAGTATATGTTACCTCCCCAAGCTCAGCACATGCTTACAAAAGAATAGGCCATTTTCGTAATGTAACCAAATTAAATTAAAGTGCCTCAATACAAATTATTTCATTCATAAGAAGAAAATTCTTTCAATAGTCAGAATGTAAATTGCATATATTAAGTGTTGCTAGGTAGGTCAAGACATAATGTTTGTCCTACCTGGCAACAACTAATTTATGTAGTTTGGATTCTGTCTATTGAAATACTATTATTCTTATCAGGTGAATAAAATAATTTGTATTGAGGCACTTCACAAAGACTAATGCATTAAATTTGGATACATTACGAAAATGGCCTATTACATTCTTTCATACAATACTTCAACATTATATTTCTTTTCCTGGGATGCTACAGCATCTCTGACATAACAACTCATATGTTGGTATTGTATGGTATATTGTTAACAGGTGGTCAGCCCTGGTGAAGCTACATACCACTGGCTTTTGTTAGCTCACTAATGATTGACAGATGATGTCACAAGATGAATGAGATCCGGAGCATTATTTTAGGGTGGAGTTTAGAAGGTCTGAGAAAACTAGTTTTTTTTTTAATATTTCAAAATCTATGAAATATATTTAAATGTTTAAATAACAAAATATGAGTTGTATGCTAGCCTGCACATCAAAAGGAATAAAATTATATTTGGATGTTACCCGACTTTTAACTCAAGCTTCTTCTCTGATATAAAACGTTTCGATCGTTAGGTTGTAGACTTTTATCTGAAACTGCTGGCTCAAAATGCAAGCAAGTATTACAACGATCAATCAAAGTTTATTAAAATCTTGATTTTCAAATCCTTCAAAGAAAATAACTTACTGGTTTAGTACTGGTAGATGTAACTTGGAGATCAGTGCTGGCTTCGTACAGAAAACCGAAAGAAATTGTGAGATTTGGACACTAGTGAACGTATTTATAGCTTAATTTCAAATTCAGATGTTCTGGTTCTCATAATCAATTACACCGGGTAGCAATTAAAATTGTCACACGTTCAAGTTTGCAGGCTACGTAATGCAAGTAAATAAGATAAGACTGTATAACATCAATTAGACAAAATGAAATGAAATGCAAAAGGACAATAACATATTAAAAGTAGGGCAAATAACTAGCACATGCACTACTTGTTTATTATTTGTACTCCTACTAATGCTACATAAACTTTTATTTCTCTTACATCACTGTATGGTATTTTCCTCTCATATGACTGTGTGGATTTATCTCCCTCTCCCTCCTCCTCTTTCTTTGTTTCTTCTTCGTCATCCTCTTCTTCATCTACTTCCTCTCTCCGCTCTCTCTTCACTGTCTCATTTATTCTTACTCTCTCTCTCTCTTATTTATTCTTACTCTCTCTCTCTCTCTCTCTCTCTCTCCCCTCCCTTTCACACTCATTCCCCATTCTGTCTATATCTCTCCTTTCTCCCCATTTCCTCCCTCGCTGTCTTTCTCATCCCTCCATCCCCAACCCTCTCACCCCCCCCCCCCCAAATCGCTCTCTCTCTCTCTCTCTCTCTCTTCTATCTCTCCTTTCTCCAATTTCTCCTTGATCTCTTTCTTATGCATCCCTCCAAAGCTAAACCCATGATATTATCATTATTACTCTTACTCATTTTTTTTTTTTTAAATTAAATGTTATGTTATGGTTAATTACTATGCTAGTATATTTATTGGTATTGTGGCCACCACTCTTATTTTTCCTTTTGCAGCCCATGTCCAGGCACGTACCACCTCTCAATTCTTCCTCTTAAAACAAATAGATTGTTGTATATGTTCCCCTCCCTTATGTTCCATAATTGTTAACAGAATAAACGAAATATCAGCTTGGTTGCCGAATAGTTTTACATAAAAGTTCCATAAAACACAAATATAGCTATCAAGCAATACGAAATCAATATTCTAAATACAAATAAGGAAGGAAAGAGTTCCTTGACCTATTCTTACATGCCTCGAAATCCTCTCGTGTTATTACATCTAGGGTCCATGTCTCTAGTAACCACTTTGTTATCATAATCATATCGTACCATTAGCCAGGACAAATATTGACCAATTACGATATTCATTTGGACTTATCTTTTTTATGACCGGAATCAAGTTGATAACTAATATCAATAATTGTGAGAGTATTGACATGTGTCTTTGTTTTAGACAAACTTACGAAAGGACAGAAATCAGCATTAAATAATTGATATTTTAATCGAGAGAGGGATAGAAGAGAAAGAGGGGGCAGAGGAAACCAGCGAGATAGAGGTGGAGAGAGAAAGAGAGAACAGAGAGACAAACAGACAGACAGAGAGACAAACAGAAAGAGCTTCTGTTTAAAATACCTGAATTTGTTGAATCACGACAGAGATTTACAAGTATCTGGGTCTTTCCCCCAAAATGTATGAAGGTCTTCGTTTCTTGCGAATGGCCGTGCATTAGAGATAGTCTCGCATTACAATTAAGAAAAAAATATGTTTGTAAAAATGCAAATATATTCAGAAAGACGTCAAAAACATAAAAACACTTTTTGTTTTTCATTAAGAGTATAGCTCAACAGTTATATACAATTTAAGGCTATATTTTATTAAAGTATCACATGGTTATTTGAAAAAAAAATTGGACGAGGATGCTATTTGCTTTCCAAGCAAGAAAAAGAAATACAACCGTACTAGAAGTAAACAGTGTAGGAATCGATGTATAGTCAAGCAACGTACAAAATGTAGATAGAGTACATCCTCTAAAGATGTGATGGAGCAAGCACGGGCGATCCTGTGTTGGCGACTTTGTGTGGTAGCACCATTCCTTTTAGCTTGATAAGTACTGGCAGGAGCGTGTTCAAAAGTGATAGCAGTGTTTCTAAGCAGGGCTTTTCTGCATCCTACCAAGCTGTGGAGAGCAGAGGTGGTTAAAATCAAGGAGGTATTGCAGCAAGAGTTCAAACTAACCTTAATAATTGAAAACATCTTTTACCAGTGAAAGAATGTTACAATTAAATGATTACAGTACCTTAATTCTTTGTTGTCGTAGATTCCAAGCCGACAGTGCAGGCAGAGGCGATTGAGAGATATTCTTTTCGTTGAAGGTTTTAAGATGCACAGTTAATTTGATTAAAGCACAGGAAGTAAACGTACAGTTCTATAATCAATTATGGTCACATTTTAAGATTTCCAAGCCACGACATTGAGACCTTTTTGAGGTTTAGTGTAGAAAGTATACTATTCTATTGGCAGTTTCTGATTACCCACTCTGTTAGAACAAGTATTAAAAACTTTAATCAAGTAGGTTAAAATTTTAATCAACAACAGATTACTACATGAATCAAAATATGCTTCAAAATACGCTTAATCAATAAACATTCAATTAAAGACGCATAAGCATAGGAGTTTTTTTAATTTATTTATTTTGGTAAGTACGGGAAGATGGGAAATTGGGAGAGAGGTGTAGTGATCAAGGAAGAGCAAAAGAAGATTACGGAAGAAGAGAAGGAGATGGATGGAGACCAGTGGCGGATCCAGGGGGGCCAGCCTGCCCCCCCCCTTGCAAAAAAAGGGGGAAAAAGAAGAGAAAAAAAAAGGAAAAAAGAAGGGAAAAAAAGAAGGGGAAAAAGAGGGGAAAAAAGGGAAAAAAGAAGGGGAAAAAGAAGGAAAAGAAAGAGGGAAAGATTTTTTTTTTTGGTGCTAAAAGAAAGCAACAAAACACTGATTTCACCTAGGGCCCAAAGTCAGACACCTGGATGCTCATCTGACGGTAATTTAATGGCTTAAAACTCTGAACTCCTGGGGGCTCCGTCCCCTGGACCCCCACACCAATTAGTGACCTACCAGTACCACAAATAAGATATCAAAATATGCTCATCTGACAGTAATGAATTGCCCAAAACCCCTGAGCTTCCAGGGGCTACGCCCCTGGACCCCACGCCAATTCGTGACCTACCAGTGTCACAAATAAGGTATATAATTATGCTAATCCGACGATTATTTGATGTATAAAACCCCTGAGCTTCTGAGGGATCCACCCCCTGGACCCAACACCAATTTGTGTCAGGCCAGTGTCAAAAATAAGGTATCAAAATATGCTCATCTTACAGTAATTAAATGCATATACCCTGTGAGCTTCTGGGGGCTCCACCCGTTGCCCCCCCCCCCCGTGAATTAGCGCCTGGTAGTAGTAGTAGTAGTAGTAGTAGTAGTAGTAGTAGTAGTAGTAGTAGTAGTAGTAGTATAGTAGGCAGTGGCGGTTTCAGGGGGGTTCCTGGGGAATAAAACGTGTAAAAACGTTAATTTTACCTTTTTTTGGAGATGCTCTTTTTTGAGGTGCGATTTTTCAAATTTTCGAGGGCCCCCCCTAAAAAAAAAAAAATGTGCTCACTACCCTTGGTCTAATGACTCTTGGTCCACTACCCAGCTTGTCTAACTTCACATCCGGTTTATATTTGGTTTGTACACGATACACAAGACTTTATTCCATTTATCCTGATATCCAGCAGTCTAATAAACCAATTTTCTTTGTCTTCATTGTCTAATTAATGGCTACTTTGTCTAAAAATATGATTCCAGGACAAAATGGGCATTGGACGAAGTGGTCATGCACAAACTGCTTGGATACGATTTCGACCAAAATGGCTCTGGATCTGGTGGCAATATAATTATCCGAGGTTGAGCATGAACGAAAAATGCATGACTTTTCTTTTCGGCAATCAAATATGAAGTTTAAACATGATTCCTATCTTAGATATTTTTTGTTTACGTACGTCACAGCGATAGGAATATACCACATTTGGTTTGGACTTGGCACCCCAAGAACAGTATAGTGTTAGTCTCACGTTTCAGTCCAACTTCCGAACTAATTTGCAGGCACAAACCATTGTCGTCATCTTACGTATATAAACAGTGTCTGCACTTTGAGACTACAAAAGGCTCTGTAAGGCGCGGACGCATTTTTTTTTTTAAGGGAGGGGGGGGGGCACTTTTTTTTTTTTTTTTGTCCTGAAAATTTGAAAATTTGGTTCGATCGATATTTCATTCCGTTGGTGGGGAGGGGGGTAAGGTCACCTTCTTTTGGCCACCCAATACCATAATTTGTTTCCCTCCAAAACACACAACAACAACAAATTAAGAGTGTCGGTCCACCTACCCCCCCCCCCCCCCCTGCGTACGCGCCTGGGCTCTGTTCATATGCTCTCCTAACACATTCAGAAACTGACATGTCTAGGCTCTGCGCAACTGCAGAATAAACAAATTTTTAAAAAATCGGATCTTTGCCATTTGTCTGAAAGTAATTTTTTTTGTTCGGTCGTTTGTTGGTCTGGTGTCAATCTCGTCGGTATGCATGTGGTATATTAAAGTTTAAAACCCTGAAAGTAGCGAGATAAGTCGTGGCAAGGTAAAGAGAAAGAGGTCGAAACGGAGGAGGAGAGAGAGAAGAAAGAAAGAAAGAGAGAGAGAGAGAGAGACAGAACAAAAATAGAAAGAGGTAGACATGAGTGAAAGGGAGAGGGAGAGAAAGACATAAAAGAAAGCTATCATCTTAAATAATTAATACAAAACATATCCAAAACAACATGGGCTTTTTGAACATTTGCCCACTAAGGTGCTTTACTCGAAATCGTTCATAGTTCCCTCTCCATCCCCGTCTCTCTCTCTCTCTCTCCCTTCCTCCCTCTTTCTTTTCTCTTTCTCTCTCTCTCCCTCTCTCCTTATCTCATTCTCTCTCTCTCCCTGTCTATCTTTCTCGAGTAATATTTCTTGCCCCCATTTCTCTTGCCCCAATTCTCCTTGACTATTTCACCTGATCCGTTTTGAACACTCTCGTCACATTTCCTTTCTTTTTCTGCATGACTAAATCCATCCTATTACGTTTCTTTATGTGTAACTCGTTAATCTTCACTAAATTCACATTTACTTTCACACACTCACTGAAGAGTAAATATGTAAATATAAATCCAAGACACAAATTAATTGAACAGACTGAATTATTCGTTATTTATTGGTCAAAACTTACTTATAGTCTGAGCATAAGTAGATAAAGGACATTGCAGACCAAATTGTGAAATACACGGGGGCAAAATACTGAATACGTGCTCATGAAAGTTATGTAATCATTATTCATTTATAAATGCACAAACAGTCCATTCCATGATACACTGGTGGAAATTTCCTTTGAAAAGGGGGAAACAAGGGATATTTATTAAGCACCTCAATCGTTGTAGGAGTGACTATTTCAAATGTACAAAGTGGTATCTCTTCATGTTTTGAAGATCTGTGGATATTCCGGGTCATTTGGGACATGTGCTAACCGTGAACTGGCCCATTACAATGCATTTCATGCTTGCGTTATCTGGCGCATCCCAGCCCCCCCCCCCCCCCAACAAAAAGAAATAGTATATATATTCTCTCTTGGTATACGTTGCAGGTATGTAACCTAGGCAGTAACTGAATCGTGGATAAGATAGGTTGCTGTGAATCCTTTGCGAGTAACAGAGCTATCACTAGTAAGCCTGACGTACATAGAACTCCCAGTTGAGGTCACCACATCTGGGAGAGCGGTTCCACAAAGCTTGGCCAGGCTGGGAGCAGTCATGTCACCGTCATGGATCTGGTCAAAAGAAGAGAAGTGCTTAGTCCAATAAAGTAATACCATGAGGTTGGTGTTGGTCATATGAAGGTATTCAGGAATAACCGAAACAAACATTCGAAAGAATCTGTGGCGGATCCGGGCTTTAGTAAGGGGGTACACACAAATCTTAGTCAAGCAAAATACTTAAACTGTTTTTGAAAAGAGCCTGGGGAGCGATTATTATAGTTTAAATGTGCCATTCAGAGTTAAAAATGAAAGTAAGCACAAACGCACATTCACTAGGCAGACGACGTTTGATTTTGCTTTAAACGTATTACACTGAAAATAAGCTCAAGTCTAGACATAAGGAACGGGGTACTCCAAGATTCAGAGTTAGAATATAAACGATGAAAAAATAAAAGCTTACATCGACCGAGTCATAATCACAGCCAGTGTGTTGCTCGAGCTCAAAGTCTCCAAAGGTCAATGAGACAACCTGTCCTGATCCACCCTGGATGAGGAAACCACAGTCCTCATTGTTGCCATAGTTACTAGGATAGTTAGGTGAAGACAGGATTCCATTCATCGCAGTGAAGGTGTGACCACAATCTGAAATTGAAAGGAGAGAATGCATTATTTCAATGAGATAAACTGTTTTCGAGATCGACCAACCAAACCAGTTTGGTGCTCAGACATTTGCTCCGGCGACAAAAGTTGTTGTGGGTTTGATTTCGTAAACGATGCTGGGTTGGGTTTGGAATTCGAACTGAGGTCCGGTCCAGGGTTACAGTCAAAGGTTCGGATTACATAGGATATTGACCGCAGAGCGACTGGTGCATGTGTCTTACAACCGTCATCTTGAGATGTTTCGACCTTTAATTTGGGATTATCAACAGTGTCTCCCCTCTGCGTTTTCTTCATCTTTGAAAATTACGATACTTTAGTTTGATGGATGATACCATTGATCATCTTCTGTTTCTCACCTCCGGTTTCAGGAGATGGTAGTGAAACAGCAAATTGGCAGACAGCTGAAAACCGGTTGGAACAATGGAACCATCGGAGGTGAATCGGATAAACATATCGTTGCTTTTATACTTGTCACAATTCCTGGGCTGTCAGTATCGCAGAACTCTCCCAGTCTCCTTTACACTGTACGCTGTTTTTTTTTTCTCTCCTTTTTTTTACCAAGGAGGTATAACAGCTGGAGTTACAGCGAAGAACTTGTCTTTGAAGTAGATTCAAAGCCGTAGTAACAAACATTATGTGCTTTCTTTGCATTTGGTGAAACTAATCATATAGCTTTCTACTGCACAACGAAGAGACATTAACAATGAGAGATGGTATGGTGGTAATTACTATTCCCAAATGTTACGAAGAAAGGCAGAATCGTTATAACAGGACACAAGCTTGCACATCTGGCATAAATTATTATATAAAATTTGGAAGGAGAATATGTGAACTGGGCATGTATGGTAAAAAAGTTTAAGTGTTTCATTTGATAAAATAATCTTTCATGATAAAAGTATATGACACACAGTGGCAGGAATGAATCGGAAACTGCTAATAAAATAGTATACTTTCTACGCTATATTTCAAAAAGTTCTCAATGCCGATCGAGGCTTGGAAATCTTAAAATGTGACCATAATTGAGTATACAAGTACAATGTAGAACTGTACGCTTACTTCTTGTGCTTATTGATTCATCAAATTAACTGTGCATCTTAACACCTCAGACTATACAATATCTCTCAAACGCCTCTGCCTGCACTGTCGGCTTAGAAACCCCGACGTACGTCAAAGAATCAAGGAATTGTAGTCATAAGCGAGTTCGTAATTAGCCACTGGAGTCGTATGACGTGTTCGCTGTGCTTTCTATCTTTTTTCATCAAAAATTCCTACAAGAGTTGTTGAAATGGATTGGGGTGGCTCTTTCGATAGATGATATACGACTGTGGACCGGACCGTCCTATGGGAAATTTGATTATCTTAACACGCAAGGGGGACTCGCAACACGAAGAATATATATAGACAGTTTTATATATAGTGTTTTTCTTGAAAGGCCTACTAGATAAATTGGCTTGACTAAATAAAGCAATAATATCATTTCTTTTAAATGAAATGGTAATATTTCGTCTTCAATAACTGTTTAAGGCACGATAAAATTAATCAATGTAATATTTATTCATTTAGCCCAATCAATGCTTGACTAAATAAATGTGAATTATAGTTTGCTTTATTTAGGGAAGTACTTTAATAGGCCTACTAGATAAATTGGCTTGACTAAATAAAGTAATAATGCATTAAACGCGCGCTTTGGTTGATACAAATTTGGAAGGTAGGAAATGTTTTTTCAGAGTAAAAAGTGTCCGTGGATCCGAGTCCCTGGGGACTTGGATCGCGATAATACTTTACCGATGATCAAATTCCAAGTAAAGTTTACTATAAAGAACCGATTCCGGCGTTCAGAAATGATTTTCGGTGACTGATGTGATCATTCACAACGGAATGGCCGGCACACAAACAATTTACATTTCCCCTCTCAGATCTTTTTATGTTCAATTGACCTTTGGAAAGGTTCGTTCCCGAATTTGGTGCATGCGCGGTATTCAATTGCGAACTGGCTTATTGAAACATTCACTCACTGGTGACAGACTTCTTTAATTATTAAGGTTAGTTTGAACTCTTGCTGTAATGCCTCCTTCGTTTTACCACGGAGTTAATAACTCCTTAGTTTTACCCACCTCCGCTCTCCAAAGCTTGGTAGGATGCAGAAAAGCCCGGCCCAATAATACTGCCATCAGTTTTGAACACGAGGAACAAGCTCATGCCAGTGCTCATCAAGCTATCAGGAATGGTGTCACCACACAAAGTCGCTAGTAAAGGATCGCTCGTGCTTGTTCCATCATATACCTGCAAAGAAACAACCAAGAACTTGATGTTACCGCTGTGGACAAGCTTGTAAGGAACTATCTATTTCCCAGTAACAGAAACTAAGGCGGTGGCGTATACAGATCTTCCCAGGAGGAGGGGTAAAACATTCGAGCTTGCTGTCAGCCATAACCCTTTGGTAGGAGGTCCTTCGTTTGCGTTAGGAGCTAGGGAAGGGGGGGGGGGGGGTACATCGCTCAAAATGACTTATTTGAGGAAAAGGTACGTTTTTAGAGGACATACCCTGCTGGAAAGAACACACTCATTCACACTCATTCACAGTGTGAATCACACTGTGAATCACAGTGTGCTCCACAATGTTAAATTGGGCGCGTTTTCACATTGTGGTTCACAGTGTGGATAACCGGAAAAAGAAAGAACACACTCATTCACACTCATTCACAGTGTGAATCACAGTGTGCTCCACAATGTTAAATTGGGCGCGTTTTCACATTGTGGTTCACAGTGTGGATAACCGGAAAAGGAAAGAACACACTCATTCACATTCATTCACAGTGTGAATCATTCTGTGTTTCACACTGTGATCACAGTGTGAACTGTGATTTCACACTGTGATTCACATTGTGAATGAGTGTGAATGAGTGTGTTCTTTCCAGCAGGGTATCTACATTTCGTGCGTTGCTTGATTATACATTGATTCCTAACCTGTTTACTTCTAGTACGGTTGTATTTCTTTTTCTTGGTTGCTTTCAAATAACACTCTATTTTATATATGCAGATTTATTGCTTGTTCAAACATTCATGTATTAAATCTTCTCTATCAGCTGTGAATAAATGTCTTAATGATGTTAAAACATGGTCTTACAATAATTCCATGTTCTTGAATGAAAAGAAAACGCAAGTTATTCATGTTTCCTCACGATTTCGGCAAACTGAATGCCCTGCCGCTAGTTGAAAGCCATGTTTTACAACCATCAGAAACCGTTCGAAATGTAGGTGTATGTGACAAACATTAATTTTATTACCGACTGATCAAGTAAGTAAGGTTGCCGTGCAGCCTCCTTCTTCTTATATTAAATAGGACACATTAGGAGTTACTTAGATGAGAAACTGCATCAGAAAGACTAGTTTATAGTCTCGTAATGTGTCATATCGATAATTGTAATGCTCTTCTCTACAATCTACCTGAAAATCAACTGAATCAAATCCAAAGAATCCAAAATTCTGCCGCACGGCTTGTTACGAAATCTCGTTCAAGTGAACATATCTCCCCTATGCTGAAGAAAACTACACTGGTGACCTGTCCGCGCTAGAGTTGAGTTCAAGATCCTTGTTTTAACCTTTAAGTGCCTCAAAGGATTAGCTCCTACTTATTTAACGGAATTACTTACTCTTTGGCCCGAATTCACAAAGCAAGGTTTGAGCTCAAACCTCCTTTTGTTTCGCCAAACCTCCCTTTGTTATTTACAAACCAGGTTTGTAAATAACAAAAGGAGGTTTGAGGTCAAACCTTGGTCTGAGCTCAAACCTTGCTTTGTGAATTCGGGCCTTTATGTTCCAAACAGAACCCTCAGACCTTCCCAAAAGTCTATCTTCGCCATTGCACAGACAAATAAATACTACATTCTACGGGTCTCACTCTTTTCAATAAATTACCGGAAAATCTATTTTTAAAAAACTGTGATACTGTTGCCAACTAAAGGCGCGTCTTAAAACATTTATTTTCAAAAATACTTTCCAATGCTAACGAGAAGAAGTATGTTGAGCATATCTCACTCTTCTTATGTTACTCTATCCACCTTTTCTTCTTGCTTTTTCTTACAGCGCATTATGATATGCGCTATTTATTAAAGTACAATGTTGAGCTGTACTCTTAATGAAAAACAAAAGTGTTTTGATGTTTTTCTGAATATGTTGCATTTTTTAAAATTATTCATTGCGTAATTGTAATGCGACACTATCTCTAATGCACGGCCATTCGGAAGAAACGAAGGCCCTAACACATTTTTTGGGAAAAGACTTTTCTGGTAATTCTCTGTCGTGATTTAACAAACTCAGGTATTTTTAACAAATGCTCTATAATTTTCGCGGTGCATAGTCATCTTTGCGCAATGTATCGTACTATTTGAAATTTGTTATGGCAGTCACAATATTATAGATATATTGACTACTATGAGAGGCCTGGCTGTTTTTATAGGCTGAAAGGGATGTTGCAACCTGCCAGTGGCGGATCCAGGGGGGGGGGGGGGGGGCCGGGGGCCCGGCCCCCCCCCCCCTTGAGAAAAAAAATCATGTAAAATCACGTGATTTTTACCTTTTTTGGGGGTTGGGCCCCCCCCCCTGGCGCTCAATTGAAATTTTTTTGAGGATCAAAAAAAAAAAAAAAAAAAATGCTCTCTACCTCCCCCCCCCCCCCCCCCCCCCCCCCCCCCCCCTACTGAGCGAATTTTTGGCCGGCGCGTTTTTCAAATTTTCGGTAGCAAAAAAAAAAAAAAAATTGTGCTCTGTACCCAGTATAGAAACAGTATAGAAACAGCTAAACCTCGAATATTAAAGCAGTCGATATATCTTTTATATACCAAATTCAGATGAAAATCTTCCAATAAATCTTAACTTATCCTTTTAATAATAATAATAATAATAATGTAACTTATATCGCGCCAAATCCACATTTTACAACCATTTGGGAATCGCACACACGTTGCATTGTATTGTATCCGCGCTCGCACAAAGAAACTTTATACACGTAAAACAATGGGAATTGGCAAGCGGTCATCTTTTAAAAGACTATTGACCGGTAGGCGGGCATGGCTTAAATCACGTCTCCAATCAGATCGCTAGATTTCTAAAGAGAGGTATATAATCGTCATTATATAAATTATGAAAAAGGAAATTACCAGCTTCTACTCCAAAAGGCTATTATGTTCTATTGCCAAACAATACATAAACAAACCAAAACAAAACAAACAAACGAACGAAAAACTGAAAAGGAAGTTGTGAAAAATGACTTTTAGAAAAAGAATTTTGAGTATAAAGCTAGAAACTTAAGAGAAAAAATTACCTTGAGCGAATCGAAGATACAGTTGGTTGCGGACTCGAGATCGAAGAATTCAAAGGACACGTACACTACTTGCTTTTCATCCGTGGTCGTAATAAGGTACTCGCAGTTCATACTGTTATCGTAGCTACCTGGGTAATATGGACTGGTGAACGTTCCCGACGGTGAGTCGAATAGCCCACCACAGCCTGTGTGGAGTGTAAGAATAAGAATTATGATGATGATGATGATGATGAACATGATCATAACAATAATAATGATGATAATACTACTACTAATAATAATAAAAATAAAAATAGAGAGGATAACAAGAAGAATGGTAAAACTTTGGTCTTCTTTACCCAGTGTAGCCGCATCACTATTAATATTTAAAGGGGAAGTCCACCTTGATATTAAATACTAAGTCCACTCCAAAAATAATTTGCTTTTAACCCATTGCTTACTGGAACCTGGTGGTCCCTGTGTTACGCCTATGGGAATAAGATAATTCAGTAGCCATTGGGTTAATAGACGCAGAAAAGCAAGAGAAACAGAGCAATTTTGTTTAAAGTAAAATCGGAAGTTAAAGTAGTTATTATTTTTTTAAAGTATGAAACACTATATGGAACTTAGAAAATCACTACAAAAAAATGGCAATTTGGTTATCAGTTTGTGACGTCATTGTGACGTCTATTTATCATTTGCTTAATATATTTTTATCCCGTTAATTTCCCTTTTTATCCCCCAAAACTTGATTTGATTTGTATAATATTGCGTCCATGGCATTTCACAAAATCTTTTATGAACTTTGAAGAATTTATACTTTTTTCTGAATATTGTATATTCATAATCATTGATTTTTAAATAAATGGTTTATCAAAATTCATATTTTTCATGATTTAACTGAAGAAATAATTACTCTATATTAGTGTATCCGCACAAAAACACAATACTATCAATATAACTTGGATGCTGGTGTTCGGAAATAAGAATTTTAGGGGGGGGGGGAACTGGAAATGTATATCATCAATATTCATGTCATTAATGCATAACTTTCTTATAATCCATCCGATTTTGCTCAAACCTTTCTTGATTGGTTTGTCTGATTTTTCTCCTTCTATTGAAAGTAAGTTATTTTTCGGAGTGGACTTGCCCTTAAGTTGGTTTTAATAGAAGCAGAAAAATGAGAGGAACAGGTCACCGAAACAAGGAAAGAGGAAACAAGAGAACAGGGAGACAAAGCGAGCGAGAGGGGGAGGGGATGAGGGGGAAATAAAAGAAAAAGAAGAATAAAACAGACGAAATGATGTGTTTTAATGAGCGCTTGAAAAGAGGGGAAACAATTGAAAAGAGATTTAGTGAGAATGATTCATAGAATGCATAGCAGAAGCCTTCCTTTCCCAGCATTGAAATATATCTTAGCTTATGAACCGAAGAGATCGTTAAAAACTATGAAATATTTTAGTGTAAAAAATTATCAAAGGGAGTTATTGAAAAATATAAGTGGATAACAAAAATGAAAAATAAAAAATAAAAAATGGTTATTGATCGTCAAGTAAAATCAGTTAAAGAAAGCCCCACCAATTTCCGAAATGCACGTATCACGTAGTGTTAACAGGTGAGATATAATGGTATCAAAAATAAATGTAGCTTTAAAACTGGCCCTTTTTTAAACAATTCACGGTGGCAAAAAGTTGCTAATGAAACCTTAAAGGGATATAGATAAGATATAATTTACATAGATAAATATGTCGCATCGGGATCAAAGAGGGGGGGGGGATCGGTTTTATTAATCCGTGGATAGGATATGAATTATCAAGGCAATTTCCGTTTCCCTTATTTCTACCCTCTCTCCCTCTCTCTCTGCGTGTGTGTGTGTGTGTGTGTGTGTGTGTGTGTCTCTCTCTCTCTCTGTGTCACTTTCTCTCATTCTCTCTCTCTCTCTCTCTCTCTCTCTCTCTCACACACACAAACTCACTGTCTGTCTATCTGTCCTCTTTCCTATGGGGGGGGGGGGGGGGGGGGCACGTTCTACACCACTGTTTTAAGACCTAGCCTAGTTACCTGGTGGTGGCGGTGTTGGTGGTGGTGGTGTAGGGATGAATCCCCCTCCTGATCCTTCCCCTATGTAGAGCAGTAGGTTGGGTGATCCGGACCGTGGATCTTGTACAGCATCAACGATAGATTTAAGTTGAAGGGTTTCTTTCACCTCATTCGGGGTGAGACTGGGTTCGTTAGCAAGTATGACAGCCGAAGCACCTTCATACAAAATAAGGCGAACAATTGACGTGATTTACTAGGAAGTAAATAAATTTACAAATTAAAACAATGGCAATGACAAAATTATTGATACTAACAGTATACCGCCTATGTCAAGGTGATTACTTAATTTAATTGATGAACCTCATGAATAAAAATCATGAATTATTTATGATGCAGGTCGTCTTTTATATTTTATGATTGTATTATTCCCGTTTTGCTATTATTTGATGATATCATTGGAAAATTCGGGTAATAGTTTACAGAGAAATAAAGTGGTTGGCTGAAGATCGTATATCTGAAAGAGAAGGAAAAATCGTAGAAATGTATTACCTGTCAATAAACCTGTCACTTGACAGACCACTATTGATGATAACGAATTTTTGACTGAAATTTTGTTGGTAAACAGATTCGACACCATTCACTTATGTAGTATATGTGCAGGTGAAGTCACTGGAGTCTTGTGGCAGGTGCCACAAGAAATACCTTATGGATGGATTTGAAACGTACCTCTTTGGGTGAACTACTGATGGCAAGAGAAACCTACATGCCACATTTGGACAAGCCATAGATGTACCACTGATGGTGAGAAAAACCTACCTGCTACATGTGGGCAATCCATAGAGGTACCACTGATAGTGAGAGATACCTACATGCTACATGTGGACAAGCCATAGAGGTACCACTGGTGGCGAGAGAAACCTACATGCTACATGTGGACAAGCCATAGAGGTACCACTAATGGTGAGAGATACATACCTGCTACATGTGGGCAAGCCATAGAGGTACCACTGATGGTGTTAGTAGCATCTGGTTCGCCATACCAAGCTGATGTAATAGACACGCCGGGTGCAAAAATATCAACACAGGTACCGTAGTTAGAGAAGGAAGCCCTAGTGTCTGTACTATCTGTTGCTCCGACAGTGATTGCCTAGATGTTAATGTGTGAAAATAACAAACGTGAGCTCATTATTTTACAATCAGTCGTAGCTCATTACCAGTATGAGCTAACACAACCTATAATTCCATCCCCTTATAATGATAAAGGAGAGTGTATGCTTTATAATGGAACAAAAACCTGAAGCAGCAACAACTGACGTAGCATGTGTCCATACATATTCAGAACACATGCATTATGAGGGGGCGGATTGAGGAGGGGTGTCGGTATAGAGTACAAGTCCATCATTGATGGGATGATTGGAGGGGTGTAACGTTCCCATTACCCATTGTCATTTTTCCCTTAATCTGTCTCTTCCTTTTTAATTTAGCATTCTGATTAGAGGCACAGGTAGCAACCAAAAGAATAAAGTGATTTACTAACGGGTTCAGATCTAGCTGGTGAGGAGTTGCAGGCATTCCCGTTATCATTCCCCGCTGCGACAACCACAGTGATACCAGCATCAATCATTCGCTGGATGGCATCATCGGTTGCTTGGTTAGCACCACCACCAAGCGACATTGAAGCTACAGCTGGCAGAACGGCATTCGCAACTACCCAATCACAACCTGTTCAATACAAACGAATATCTCTATCATATCACCAAATAAAGTCTAAGCTAGAATGAACATTTTTTGAAACAGTCTTCTGGATGCACTCAGTTGGACCTTAATGTATAAATCTCTGAAGGGGCATTTCCAATTCAATAATCTCAATTTCAGTTATATATGTGAACAATCAAGTATGCGACATAAGTCCGGATAATAGTTTCATCTTATTTCAAAATTATTTAATATATGTAATATTTTGATTACCAGTCTTCTGAGTGCATCAGTTGGTTGGGTGGAGGGACCTTTACGGTTACAGTAATTAACTTTGCTCTCTTCTTCCCTGGCCGCCATCTTTTGCACTCAGAATATTACTACAAAAAATTGTATTTGCATAGTTTTTGTCATTCTAATATTTTAATTACCATGATTATATTGTTTTATTGTTATACTTCTTGAAAGTGCCGAATAAATAAAATATATGCTACAATATAATATAATTGTGTTAAGTGGGGGCACGCTACAAGAGTCCTATCTCGCACCCCGGGGCAACGTGTCTGATACGGCCGGTTGTAGCAACTACTCCGAAGATCAATATACATTCAACTTGATCTAAGGAGACGTGGACGGACGATTGTGAGACAATGAAAATTCAATACGTATTATTGTCATAAATTAACCTTAACTTTTTAAATTTTGACTGTTATGCATATTTCAGTGTTGAATTGGCCTTTTGGGTACCTCACCTATTCCTAGTCCAATGACACATTGTTCAATACTCAAATTATTTGACGAGAATTGCTGCCGATGGTTAGAAAGGGGGTAACCGGGAAATACTTATGTTGGTTAAAATGCTTTGAAATCTGTATCGAAATGATATTCCTCATTGAAAAAAGTTGATATTTTGATAAATCTGAACATTGATATTATATGAATCAACTTTTAAATCATACTACAATCCTTGAAAATTGTGGTGTCTTAATGAAAGGAGAGGAGCTTGCACTGCATTAACGTTTATTCTACATTCATATTTGCTACCTTGATTACAATTTAGTTACAGTTTTATTTACATGGGAAAATAACTACAATGTGAAACGTACCCCCCCCCCCCCCCTTCCCCATAGATATATTCTTCAGTACATGTGTGTAATGTTTTAACTTTGTCATATCTTTTCCGTTCGTTAGATATTTCAGATATCTGTAATACAAAGTTTTGGTTTTGAAATCATATGAGATTTTACAATTTTCAATGATCGTTGTCGCGGTTGAAATCGAGTCTAAAGTGATGAAATCGTAAATATAAACTCTTTATGTTGTATAACTCTCTCTCAAGACTGATATTACTTAAGCTTTAAAACAATGTTTCTTTACTACAATCGATCGATTTGCTATTCCCGTTTGGAAATTATATATCAGAACTGCATATTCTGAAATTTGTATGGTCGCAGCTACCATGTAATATTTGAAATTTACCGGGAGCCCCGGTAAATTTTGATTATTCAATTTCTCGAAAGCAGAAGTGTCTTAGGGGCTACATTTTCTAGTGCCTATAATACATCCACAGGGGCAACCCAATATATCAAAATGTTAAAGAATTACTATCTATCCAAATATCAAAATTTCCCAAAACTTTGTTCTGCATACCATCGATTATCTGGGAATAAGCGCCTGATCCTGCACATGAGAGTACACGAACTCCGATGAGTTTTGCCGCCTTAGCGACACCGTACTGGGTTCCACCGATTGTACCTGCGCAGTGAGATCCGTGACCATTGCAATCCTCACCCTAACGTGTTAGAAGATAAAGAGGTGGGTGAAGGGGTGGTCGAGATAGTGCGAGAGAAAGAGAGAGAGAGAGAGGTGTCAGGCATTGTAAATGGACTATCAAAGAATTCACACACAAAAAAGAAAGATGTAAAATCACATGAATGTATAATGTGGTAGGCCGATATCATGATAAAAAAAAGCGATGTAATTACAAAGAAGTTTGTTCAATTTATTTTATTTACTCAATAAACAATTCAAATGGTTCACTAATTTTTACAGGTAATTGGCAAATCCTATTTACATGTGAACAAAACAGTAAGGATGACGAAAAACTAATTTATTATTCAATACTTAGCATAAACATGTCGGACTGAAAATCCTTCTCATTATCAAATAAACACATAAATCTCTTCTGGACATAATGCAGTTAAATAGAAAACCAAGAACACTGAGAAAAAGAACAAGAAAAAGGCTTTGACTCACAGTTCCTCCGTGTGTATCTATGCCATATGAAGATCGTCCTACCCAGTCCTGGTGGTTGAGATTGATTCCGGTATCGAGGACATACACGCTTACCCCCTCACCGTCTCCGAGCACTTGGTTGTAGGTATCGTCGAGTGGGAGATTGATCTGGTCGATGCGATCGAGCCCCCATGATGCGACTGCGCTGGCGTATGCCATTCCGTCTTCTTGGATGTATTCAACGGCATCAGATTTACGGAGCTGAAAATTGACAATTATGCATGACCCTCTCTTGAAATGATCCAGAGCTCTCGTTTACAGTATGTATCAATGACTCACGAGACTACTTGGGCTAAATAAGACTTTTTGCTTCCATTGAAATACATCATTTTAAATGTGTAGTAGTAGTAGAAGTAGTAGAAGTAGTAGTAGTAGTAGTAGTAGTGGTAGTAGTAGTAGTCGTCGTCGTCGTCGCAGCAGCAGACTTTATTTGATAGCTTGATATGCCATAAAATGGAGTGGTTAAAAAAAGATTGGCAAAGGATAATATCAAATACGAAATATAAAATAAAAACTATATAATGTCATTTATGCGATTTAATTATGAGCTCTTTAGGAGTCCAGAGGAAAACCGACACTATTTTGTGAAAAAAATTAGAGTCGTCATTATACACAAATCTAAAAAGGATAAAGATATTGCAAAGTTTTAGGTTTAACTTCATTCTAAGAATGATAAATGACGAGAGTTCTTTATAAAGCACGATATGATACTGCAAACAGGAAATGTCAGATTCGAGCGGCGTTAGTCCGTATTTGTAAAGACCGTCAGTTAAAACTAATATATCATACAATGATAAAGAGAATCTACTCACTCGTTCAACCAGACGATCGCTGAGATCGGCGGCGAATCCACTGAACACATTTTTGTACGTGCGTAGAATTTTGGCGCCATCTAGTTTAAAAGCGACATCATCCAACTTCCGTCCTTCCTGTACATTATGCAAGATGTCGTTTAAATGAATATTGTTTTAATAAAAAGGATCATAGTTTTACTCTTTTAAAGTAATTTTGTCCATTCTAGAATGTTTTGTCTCTGTGCATGACATGTTGAGCGTACTTTAGACGTAAACATTTTGGAAAACTTTATAAAACATTCACCAATTTACTATTGGAAATTAAATTATTTCACTGTTGTTATCGGGACATTACACATTCTTTCAAACGTTTTTAGACATTTTTTCGATCCGTTTTATGCCGTGGTATGACAAACAAAATCTCAAAAAGCCACTGACAGAGTTGACAGGGTATGAGTTATAATGTCGCTTTAGTTGGTCTCTATCAAATATTTTGTGGATAACTGACTTGGTTCTTTGCGACAGACTCAAAACCCAATATCGTCCCAATTTATAGCTTTTTTAAACTTAGATTGAACCTTAATTGAAATTATTATACTTCCACTATTGAAAACTCGTATTTATTTAAATAGTTTCATGTTTATTCATATATTTGTCTGAATTCTTTAACATCTGTCACTTTCCTTTTTATGACAGAATTGTTAATATACTGGCAACAGCACCCATCGCAAAGCATAATTTTTTAGTTTCCCTGGGGTTCCCCCTCCGCATCCAGCAACAAAATTACTCGTGGTTACAATTATTTTGTAAACTGGTCCCAAGATCCCCCCTCCATTTCTTTCATAAATTTGCATTCAATTAGATGAACATTTTTTATGTAAAAATAATGGCAAGATGAGTGGGATTAATGCTAAAAATAAAACATACAGAAAGAGGAGAGGAACCAGAAAAAAATAAACGCTGAGTAAGAGATCCAATGTTTATAGAAAATTACAAAACTTGAAATATAAAAATCATACAATTTAAAAACATATTCAAAAATTCTCCCCCGGTAGAGAAGATTAAATATCTCACCTTGAGTTTGACGATATAACGCCCGGGGATTGGCTCATCAACTGTTATCAATGGCGCAATCAGTTGCGAAGCTACAGCGGTCGCTAGGAGAACGACTAGGAGAACTTTCATTTCTAGCAATCAAATAAACATAACATACATCAGCATAAATTGCTGACAATTAGTTCTTCAGAGTTGCTTCACATGCAGTTAGTGACAAATCTCCCTGTTCTGGTATTTTTCCTCTGATGATGAAGAAAGAATCAATTTTAACGTTTCTTCCTGACTAATCAGAAGATCCTCTTTAGTTATCATGATAAATGTTATTGACTGTAATTTTCTGAAACATATATCAAGTTCCAGTTCACTTTATTCAATACTTTCATTAAAAATATACAAAGTAAAACAACATATAAAAGTTTAAAATATAATACATATACATGTATCAATATATAACGTGGGAATAACACAAGAGGAAAAGACAGGAAGAACAAGGGGCAAACATTTTAAACACGTATGAAAGTATTTGGAGACTAGACAGGAAGGCAGGGCTGTCTCCAGTTATTGTATATGAAACTATTAAGTACATTATTTAAATTATTTATTTTTTAATAGGGGAAGGGAAAAAAGGAAATAATTTTCATTCACACATATACTCTCTCCCATACACACCAACACACATACTTATTTGTCTGATGAAAATTAACAATATAGGTTATTGCACTATTCAGTATTGTTTTAATAAAAACAATTGAAATTTTCTTTTAAAACTATTCATTGATGGGCTCAGTCTAATGTATATTGGTATATCATTCCATATTTCTGGACCCCTGAAGAAAATTGCATGTCGGGAAACTAGCGTCCTTACCCCTGGAATATGAACAATATTTGAGTACCGTACTAGTAAACCCCTAACAATAATGATTTTCTATAACCTTCCGCTTGTATATTTCTTATTCATATTGGTTCTCTAGCAATACTTGGTTGGATCTAAAAGATTCAAGCAAAAGGTTTGGAAAAATTCTAAAAAGCTTTAAATATATTTTTAGAGATACGACCATATAACTTCAAGGTAAAAACAAACGTAAATTACATTAGTATCTTGAAAATTATGTAAGTTCAAAATATGCTGTAATGACAAACAATTAAGTCAAGCTCCTTCTCAGGGGGTAACAAATTTCGATTGTTAGGATGTAGACTTTTATCTGAACTGCTAGCTCGAACTGTAGGCGAGTATTACAACGATCATTCAAATTATATTGAAATCTTGATTATCAAATCATTGAAAGAAAATAACTTACTGTTTTAGTAGCTGGTACGATGTAACTTGGAGATCAGTGCTGGCTTCTTGCGGGAACCGAAAGAAATTGTGAGATTGGGGTATTAGTGAACGTATTTATAGCTTAATTTTACATTCAGATGTTCTGGTTCTCATAATCAATTACAAATATCGTCACACGTTCAAGTATGCAGACTACGTAATGCAAGTAATTAAGATAAGACTTTATAACATCAATAATAAATGGAATCAGACGAAGGACAAAACAAAATGAAATACAAAAGGAAAAATAAAATATTAAAAAGTAGGTCAAATAACCAGCACATGCAAAATGAAATACAAAAGGAAAAATAAAATATTAAAAAGTAGGTCAAATAACCAGCACATGCACTAGTTGTTTGTTATATTCTTACTCCTACTAATGCTACATTAACTTTTATCTCCTCTCTCTCCTCCTTCTTTTTTTCTTCGTCTGCTTGTCTTATTGTTCTTTTTCTTCTTCGTCGTCCTTTTCTTCATCTACTTCCTCTCTCCGCTCTCTCTTCTCTATCTCATCTCTCTCTCTCTCTCTCTCTCTCTCTCTCTCTCGCTCTCCCCCTTCCTTCCATGCACACTCTTTCCCCATTCTCTCCCTCCATATCTCCCTCCCTCACTCGTTTCTCCCCTTCACCCTCCCTTGCTGCCTTTCCCATCCCTCGCACCACCACACCCCTCACACCCCATCCCCTCTCTCTCTTCCCCCCCCCTCTCTCTCTCTCTCTCTTCCCCCCCCCCCTCTCTCTCTCTCTCCCCCTCCCTTCCATGCACACTCTTTCCCCATTCTCTCTCTCTATATCTCCCTCCCTCACTCCTTTCTCCCCTTCACCCTCCCTTGCTGTCTTTCCCATCCCTCGCACCACCACACCCCTCACACCTCTCTCTCTCTTCCCCCTCTCTCTCTCTCTCTCTCTCTCTCTCTCTCTCGCTCTCCCCCTTCCTTCCATGCACACTCTTTCCCCATTCTCTCCCTCCATATCTCCCTCCCTCACTCCTTTCTCCCCTTCACCCTCCCTTGCTGCCTTTCCCATCCCTCGCACCACCACACCCCTCACACCCCATCCCCTCTCTCTCTTCCCCCCCCCCCCTCTCTCTCTCTCTCCCCCTCCCTTCCATGCACACTCTTTCCCCATTCTCTCTCTCTATATCTCCCTCCCTCACTCCTTTCTCCCCTTCACCCTCCCTTGCTGTCTTTCCCATCCCTCGCACCACCACACCCCATCCCCTCTCTCTCGTCCCCCCCCCCCCCTCTCTCTCTCTCTCTCTCTCTCTCTCTCTCTCTCTCTCTCTCTCTCTCTCTCTCTCTCTCTCTCTCTCTCTCCCTATCTCTCCTTTCTCCAATATCCCTTGCTCTCTTTCCCATGCATCCCTCCCTATAAGCCTTTCTATGTGCACATTATGTACGGGCAAGTCTGAATCCGATGACCGGGATAATGATATACATGTACGGTTATGTATCTGTAAAACGCTTGGAGATAAGCGCTATGTAAACCCATACTATTATCATTAGTACTATCACTGATATTCACTCTTTAAAAAAAAAATGTTTATGTTATGGTTAACTACTATGCTAGTGCCGTCTTGTGGTTATACCACCCTTATTCTTTCCAGGCACGCGGCCCCTCTCACTTCTTCCACTTTAAAAAAAAATGTTTTTATATAGGCCTGATATATTCCCTTCCCTTATGTGCCATTCCGTTAACAAAAATAGTTGGTAAAAATATATACGAATTATCACCTTGATTGCCTAATATTAACCTACATAAACTAACATAAAACAGATATATCGCAATATGAAATCAATATTCTGAATACAAGTAAGGACAGCAAGAGTTCGTTGACTTATTCTTACATGCCTTGAAATCTTTTCGTGATTATTACATCTGGTGTCCATGCATCTAGTAACCAGTTTTATTACCATAATTACATCGCACCATTAGCCAGGAAAAGTTGTTATCTTAGACGAATATTGACCAATGACGATGATTATCTTTTTTATGACCGGAATCAACTTGTTAACTAATCTCAATAATTGTGAGAGTCGCAACATGTGTCTTCATTTTAGACAAACTTACACAAAGAACAGGAATCGGCATTAAATAATTCATTTTTTGATTGAGAGAGGGAGAGAAGGATAGAAGAGAAAGAGGTGGCAGAGAAAGCCAGAGATGATAGAGGTGGAGAGAAAGAGGAGGGAGAAAAGAGAGAGAGAGAGAGACAGTGAGAGATATAAAGAAAGAGAGAGAGGTAGACAGAAAATGGAAAGGGGATGAGTGAGACAAGAGTTAACAATCACAGCTTTTATAAGTGTATTACGTTTCTTATGCGAAGAATTAAAAAGGCGATGTTCCCAATTAACCGTTCCCAATCAGAATTTTTCAAAATGTCTTGCATTTGACACATTTTAAATGATACTGCTAGAGTAACCAGGTAATCCAAATATTTGTGTTTATAATATGAATATCTTATCTTCCCCCTCTTACGCTCTCTCTCTCTCTCTCTCGATCTATCCCCCTCTTGCTTTCTTTCTCTTTCAGTCTCTGTGTCTACCCTTCTCCCCTACCCTTCTCCCCTAATAGAGAATTTTAGATTTACATGACGAGTGCGTGGACTGCCGCGTGTGATATTGTGTTAAGGCACTGGGCCGTGCCCGGCAGAGCCTTAAAAGGACGTCACATTACCTTAAAAGGATGTCACACGTGGCGGTCCACGTTCTCGTCGTGTAAATCTAAAAGTCCCTAATATCTGTGCTGCATGACCAGTAGCCCTCAAATCATGTTTGTATCGCATCGTAAGAGCTAACAAAAAAAATCACACTTTTGCTCATCTTGGAGCTCCAGTTCTATTTTTAAATAGTTTGTGCTTTTCAAATACATGTAGTTTTCTGTCATTTGAGGACAAGACATCACATAGTTATCTACAATTTGGTGTTTGATTCGGAACTGAACAGATAAAATGAAAACACAAAATAAATGCGATACATGGTACACAAAGGAATTCAAGTAAAATGTATCATTTTCATTTATAAATAAGATATGTACATAATATTTCAGATATATAAATCAAAGTGTAACACAATCTAATACATGTATGACAATTGAATTGAATACTCATTCTTAAATCCTGATCAAATGGTCTTGACTAAGATATGGTAACAATATAGTAAAAAGTATTTGTACCCAAAGAAAGCATTATGATCAGATACTATGTAGTATAGAAGTAGTAGTATCAAAGTGTAATAAGTACTGAAGATGGAGTACTTCACATGACTATAATATGAATACATTAAAAAAGACGTAAACCTAGAGGCATTCTCATCTTTAATTGTCAGGCAAATTAACAAACTAGCAAAAGAATAGTGAAAAGCTGTGTTTTACAAACATCGAAACTTGATGCATTTGAATACAAGATTATTACTTAAAATTGGGTAATTAATATAAATAATATAAATAATGGACGGTAGTATTAGCACAAGATGATGATGAGAATCATAATACTTATAAGATTATCTATATCAAGGTGTTTTCAAGAAACTATGAATACATACAGCAAACGGCAAAGATAGGACTTTCCAGACAAGATACAAAAACCTCCCAATAATTGAAAAATCGACTTCCCACATTCCTGTGATTCCTGTGATAATAATACACAAATTCCAAGATGTCCACAATTTTGTGTCTTGAATGTCTCCTTCTCCGAAATTGAAATGATATATGAATACTACGCATAAACCTGAGTCTGTTAAACAAGATATAAACAGGATTATGCAAGATATCAATATCATTAATGGATTAACTGATTAACTGCCTTCGCATAATATGGTATGCTCAGGAAATCTTAATGGAGATACCGGTATCTTTGAAATGCAGGCATCATGACCGTACTAATTTATTAGTACTGGAAACAGATATCTAAGTAAATATACTTGTTATTTGAATTCTATTGGAAATGAGACAATCATGGTGACAATCCTCGTCTTTTTCAACAAACAGTCTTCTCTTTTTAAATAAGGATCCCAAAAGATATACTAGTATAATACCTTTACACCCTTTTACTTCATTTACAGTTTTGGTAAGCCCTCACAAACTTTTCGTCGGATTTCTTTGATTTTTTTAGGATGATACCTGCACTCCGTAAGTTCTGTGAAGCTTTTGTTTTCCTTCTTAATGAGAAAAACTGAGAGGTAGAAAATAATTTTGATCCCTTCAATGCTGTGAAGTATGTTTTTTTTCTTCTCAAATGAAATATGAAACAAATGAGAGCTAGAAAATAATTTGATCCCCATCCTGGGAAGAAAATTCTGCCTTCGCATAATATGGTATGCTCAGGAAATCTTAATGGAGATACCGGTATCTTTGAAATGCAGGCATCATGACCGTACTAATTTATTAGTACTGGAAACAGATATCTAAGTAAATATACTTGTTATTTGAATTCTATTGGAAATGAGACAATCATGGTGACAATCCTCGTCTTTTTCAACAAACAGTCTTCTCTTTTTAAAATAAGGATCCCAAAAGATATACTAGTATAATACCTTTACACCCTTTTACTTCATTTACAGTTTTGGTAAGCCCTCACAAACTTTTCGTCGGATTTCTTTGATTTTTTTAGGATGATACCTGCACTCCGTAAGTTCTGTGAAGCTTTTGTTTTCCTTCTTAATGAGAAAAACTGAGAGGTAGAAAATAATTTTGATCCCTTCAATGCTGTGAAGTATGTTTTTTTTCTTCTCAAATGAAATATGAAACAAATGAGAGCTAGAAAATAATTTGATCCCCATCCTGGGAAGAAAATAAGCAACCTGCACTACAAACGCATAGAGTTTTTAGCATTACGTGTACACGTGCAACTCTCTACACACATCCGTCTCTACACGAAGCGCCAAGATTTATGTGCCTAAAACCATCTGGGTGGAAGGTCCTAGCGTAGGGGAGTGTACAGTCATTATCTAGCGTTTCTTGCAGATATTTACACTACAAACACTGCAAATCATAGATAGAATATCAAATGGTCTTAATACACATGTATCTTTTGCTACAAGGAGAACAACATGTGACTACATGTTTATTTTTATTTCTTTCCAATTTCCTTTCTGCTACCAGAACTGTACATGAGCTTTAAGCCTCGCTCAGATAGGATGCGGTAAACCAAAGTGGTTTATTTTATATTTTTATATCGCAAGTTTCTTACATTTCTGTACCTTAAAACACAGAGCCCAGTGAATAACTCCTCAACACTTTGGGCATGCAGTTGCCATTCATTTACAAGTTTTAAACTTTTAATAGTAGGTTGTCATGGTTTATGCATATTTGAAAGGGCATTTCAGTGGATCCAGAAGTTGATGGTTTACATATATTTTCAAAAAAATTAAAAATGAGAAGAAAAAGAATTGCATACTCCTGAGATTTCTATTGATTTCACCATAATTTTCTCAAACCCTGTTTAGAAATACACCGTCTAGTATAGGCGTTATCACATCGTCAACTCACACTCAAATCTACACTCTAGAAACTAGAGTACTGGTCATATATCATTGCGCATCCAGATATCCATGGCTGATGTAGTAAGCTGCTTGCTGTGCCGCTTGTAAATCTGCAAAGATTAAAAGTCAGAAAGGACAAATCAAGTGATTATTTCAAAACTTTAAGTCAATCAAAATGTACAGATAAGGTATTCCAAATTAATGATATAGGAAAGTACATTCAAACTCAAACTTTCATTTTAATGGACTGAGATAGATCTTTGTCTATACACTTTGACAAATTAAACATGTTGAGAGTTTATTTTGTGTACATGACTTTCATACGCAGAAATACATTTGTAATCAGCTCAGACATCCAAGGAAGGATCTTCAGCCATCATTAAGACTAAGAAGCCTTTATGGTGGAAACTGCGAATGATTGGAATAAAATTCATCATAGCTGACAAAGAGATATAAACGTTATTAGCCAAGTTACACAATCATGTATCATGATCACACACAGAATATAATTTAATGTCAGTATTTGAACTTACCTCCTCAAACTGTATCTCATTTCTTGGAACATGATGAAGTTGCCCTGTTATAAGAAGAAATATACAGAAGAAGGAAAAATACATTTTAGTTGTAAAAGCTGCAACATTGTAAAGATAACAGTTGGGCTTGGATATCTTGTTTCAAGTTTGACTTTCTTATGATAGAGAAAAGGCAGATGATATGTCAGCTCAGACATCCAAGGAAGGATCTTCAGCCATCATTAAGACTAAGAAGTCTTTATGGTGGAAACTGCGAATGATTGGAATAAAATTCATCATAGCCGACATTACCAACATATTTGACAATTAAGCGATTCTCAATGTCTTTGGCACTTCAAATAACCACACCACAAATTTCCACATGCTTCTTCTTCATAAATCATCTTAGAACAGAAAGACTTAAGTACTGAGAATTCAGGATGTATATATCATAATAACTGAAACCTAGGACATATATGTGCGATTCATATCACCTTGTTACAAGAGGATTATAATTAGACTCTGTATGAAGTTTTAAAGTCATCTACAGCTCTTGTAATCACGATACACCCAGTGGGTCTAGATGTTATACTACTGCAATAACAATATTGCCATTCTCAAACTTATATGCAGATTTGCACTGACATTGAAAAAGACACATTGATCAAAAGAGTCCAATCATGTTTCTGATACCCATTATTCAGTATACACCACTTAAAGGGATAGGGTAACTTTGTCTCAGATTCTGAAACGAAATCCTGGATTTAGCTCATGCTGCAATGATAATTATGAACATTTAGGTCAGTCAGGAACCCCATGACCTTTAAAAGCTGATGATGATCGCCTGTCTATTTATCAAGATATTTATGATTGGAAATCAAAATTTCATTTTGCGTTTTCCTAACGGTTTTGATAACACTACAGTCTATTGGTGAAAATGAGTATGGTAAAACCGGTCACTCAAAGATTTTTTACTTTTTTTCGAGGCACTTCATGATCATTTTGAAGTGCAATTTTTGTAGGGCTTCAATATTACACCATATCACAGACACTGATAACATGTAGGGCCATGCATCTCAGATTTAACATTGTTAAACGATGCCTTTAAAGCCCCTAGGCAATCCAATCCATTAGAGTCAGACGAAGGGTTGTACCTGTCATGCCTGTGATGCCATGTTCCCTAGTTCTGTCTCCTGCTGTTCTTCCCATAAAGGTACATCAGCATCATGCAAGTGATCTGATGACAAAACAAACACAATTATGACTCACAAACTGATGCATATTCATTATCTCAGAACATCTGGAGTAACTCATCGTTAGACCTGAAGATAAGGCTATTCATTGCTGCGCTCGTTCAATACAAAGTACAAATATAGCATGCAATCTTTATACTTTTTAACAATCTATTCCTTCATGTAAAACTTTGTTCATACTTCATTCATGACTTATGTCATATTTCCCTTGTTCTTAACTCAGAGAGATGATACTAAATAAAATACATATTCTAATACAGTGGAAACTAGTATTTATGAACACTGTTCATTACAACAAGGTTATTTTGCAGGTCCAACTACTTTGAAGTCTTTCTTCTTTTCTTTTCAAAGGGGACAAATGAAGCCCTGATGTAACACAGTTTCCATACAATGACTTAAACTCCCTTTGGTCCAAGGACATAATTTTCAAAAAGTCCCTCTGTATTGTACAAGAACAGATGGGTGAGATTTCTTTTCAGTAGAGTATATGGAATATTTGATACCATAGTTGTTCAGTTCCTATCACTATGAACATGACAGACAAAGAAAGCGGACAAAATATGCAGTTCCTCAGGTAGACAAAGAAACATCCCATCACTGCTATCATGTAAAAAGTGAATATGCATGTGACACTTGTTCTACACATTTTTACATAATAGCAGTGAAGGGATGTTCCTTTGTCTACCTGAGGAACTGTATATTTTGTCCGCTTTCTTTGTCAGTCATATTCATAGTGTATGACTGTATCTAAATCTTACCTGATGTATAATCTGTAGTTGGTGTAATAGCTATGATGATCCAACCAAGAATAGAGCCGATAGCTCGGATCACATTGATGATACGCCAGATATTTAATCTTGAGGCGGCTTCATCGTCATCCCAGAGACTACCATCTTCAGGACAATTAGGTTCACTGAAAAAAGCAAAGAAAGAAAGTGCATTAAATGATTTACGATCTTGGTATATCTTGAGATGAACTGCTTACATTTTCTTTGTGATAGATAAACATATTGTCACTCTTAGAAGTGGAAAGGTCTTGAGCCTAAACCAAGTGTAGACAAGAAAACTGATGGTCTATTTATGAGAGAGTGTTTACTGGTTTTCATATTGGAACTAAAGGTCCTCTGTAAATGCAAAGATACTGCACAGCATGGTTTAATCAAGATTAACCAACTAAGGGAGACTGTAACTGGGCTCAGACATCCAAGGAAGGATCTTCAGCCATCATTAAGACTAAGAAGTCTTTATGGTGGAAACTGCGAATGATTGGAATAAAATTCATCATAGCCCAAGTGTTAAGGAGAGAAGATGAATTTCCATTCAGGTTTTTTCCTATCAGAAACAATATAATTTTTATGCAACTTCACACGCAAAGGAAGCAAAAGAACTTTCATTCTCTTGCTGTCCAATTTTTGTTCTATGTGAAGCATTTTTTTGGTGATAACTTACCAATATGGAGGATCAGACTTGAGGAAGAGACTAATTCTGTCATCTATTGCAGCTATGCTTGTTGAGAATATCAATGAAATTAGGTACACTGTGGAGAGAACAGAAACCAAGCTCAGTCAAAAGTTGATTGACCACAATTTCAATTATGTCACATACCACAGAGATTTCTGTTGTACGAATATGAGCTCAGACATCCAAGGAAGGATCTTCAGCCATCATTAAGACCGAGAAGTCTTTATGGTGGAAACTGCGAATGATTGGAATAAAATTCATCATAGCTCATTCCTTGTTGAAACATTGTATACTGTGGGTGCATTCCTCTCTATAAAAAAGGTAATCTAAAATAGTCACTCTTATGTTGTTGTTTGTTTTCTGATGACAGTGACAAGAACTATTTATCAACATAAACAATTAAAAGTCAATGTCAAATTACTGAGAAAACACTTTACAAAGACGAGTGGTGTAAGACATCTTTAGCATTGTACACTAACAAATGACAACTGGTCACATTTACGCTTAACTTTTTCCTGTAACTCAGTAGAATTCTCACCTAAAATAGAAACTGCTCCTGACTGGAATGTGAGGAGACCTCTGAAGAACTGCCTGTCTGGCCTGGCTATATCAAATCTAGGGGGGAAAAGATATGTATGATTAAATCAATGCCAAGACAATGGATTACAAAAAATTGGTATCGAGGAGGAAATTAATATAACTTTTCAAGTAAATTTATAAATCTAACTATATTCTTAATTCTTATTACATGGTTAATTTCATATTTCAAACTGAGTAGTACAGAGAAATGTTGATTACTAATGTGTCAGCTCAGACATCCAAGGAAGGATCTTCAGCCATCATTAAGACAAGATGTCTTTATGGTGGAAACTGCGAATGATTGGAATAAAATTCATCACAGCTGACAGATGGTGTATCGAAACAGCTATACATCTTTAAGTACTGTATAGGGCAAATGTAAATTTGGACTTCCCCACTGTGCCAGGGGAATGGCAAAACAACACGCCAAACAATGGCTTTTTTAGCGCGACACACTCATGCCACTTTAACTACAAAGAAATTGTTACATGGTTATAAATATTTGTCTAGGGTATTTTCTATGGAAAAATGCAAAGTTTGTCAAGAGAAGTCAAGATCAAGTGTAAACAATATCTGCGTTGGTCTTAATCAGAATAGAAATGTTTTTTCAATCACAAGGAGTCGACATTTCCAAGGAAAATTTTCAAATTTGTTCACCTTCTTTAAAAGAAATCTTCCCTAGATCTTCTCTAGTCAGATCAAAATTGGTATCTACTCCCGTGTCTTTCTTACCAAGTATCAAAGTAAAATCATGTAGAACACAGGGGCATTGCTGGAAATTTTGAAAGGTAAGATAATGTCAAATTACAGACATTAATAATGACATTTGCCACACTCCACCCAGTGAGGTAAATGAACCTGGGAGGAATTAATTACTTAAAATGCTTGAGCGCTGTAATGGCATCCATGCTTAAGCTGGGGTAATAATAATTATTTCCACTACATGCAAGTACTCTAGTTAATCCAAAATTATGCTGTCTGTTAAATGGAAACTCATTCTTACCTATCAAACACAGAAACCGTACAGAGGGCAAGTAAGAAGTAATAGACTGAGGATGCAGGCTGAGCTAGTCTGCTGTACTGCTCTAGGAACTGTGTCTGACCGTCCTTTCCGGAACCTTGAAGTTCAGAAGCTAATACGAAGACCACGACACATTGCCATAATGAATATCCAGCTAAAACACCGTGGCATAGCAAAGTGAAGGTCAGGAACTTATGATGGGTAGACTGCAAAGTAAACAAAGAAGAATGTATTATTCAAAATCACAGGGGTGATAGTGACCACTGAACAAAAAAATTGGTGTTTTTTTTCCCTCAACCACCTCCAAAAAAAAAGGATTCGGGGGGGAAAAATGGCATCTAACAACATTCCTCCCCTTTTGAGTAAGAGAATTGGGGATAAAACAGGAAAATAGGGGGGAAATCGGAAGAAGAAATAAAATTGGGAAAATGATTTCAATCGGGTAATTATCAGGCCTGAAATCAACTTGTTGAATAAAACATGCCTAGGCAAGATAACATTCATGATAACAACATTTTTTTTAATTTGTGTGAAAATTGGCAATCACATGATCATACACTGCTTTCTTATACCATCAAAATATTCTCCTTGACAACAATTTGAAAGCATGTGCTGTCAAGAGAAGCCTTTACCATACACATAATGCTCTCTAAATCTGACATGAAACATAGACATGAGCTCAGACATCCAAGGAAGGATCTTCAGCCATCATTAAGACTAAGAAGTCTTTATGGTGGAAACTGCGAATGATAGGAATAAAATTCATCATTGCTCATTTCATGACTAAATTCCGGGCAGTGTTTAGGTTCAGCACTAAACATCCCTACTTTCATAACTATAAACAGATCTTATCTCCATTGCTTTTGCAGGGTTCATACTCTTTCTCATAAATTTAATTCCATGACTTTCCATGACTTTTCTAGCCAGAATTCCATGACCTTTCCATGACTTTTACACATTTTTTTTACACGGTAGACTGAAAATTTGATCTCAAATCAAAGCGAAGCAAAGTGCATGTTTCAAGTCTACTAATAGAAAGGCAGCTTTTGTTATCTAGTTATTTCATCTGTTACAATTACATGTTATTTTTTCATCATATTCGATATGCACTGCTATATAATATTCTTACAATTACACATACATGTATTCATATCAACAATTGTCCATTTTTTAATGGCAATTTTCACTTCTAAAGAATACAAATTGCCTGTTCCTGGTTTCATGGACCACCATGATTCCTTCAATAGCTCTCCTTTGCATGTACAAGGTAACTACCCCCCCCCCCCCCCCAAAAAAAAAAGAAAACAAAACAACACCAACACACAAACTCACACACATACCATCACCAATTTTGATTTCACCAACAAAACACAGTAGGCCTACTCACATCAGCTGATGAATTCTTGTTTCGCTAGCATTAAGCTGGTCAATAATTTCTGAATGAGTTTTTTCTTGAGACATCTTCATGTAGCTGTTTGAAAGAAATCCCTCTACACATTGCACCTGTCTGAATATTTGGTGGCATTGGTAACAAACTGTCCAAGTTCTTTAATAATTCTTAATGGCATTCAGCTGTTCATCAATCTGTTTCTGAATTACTTGTAACTGGGATGCCTTCTCCTTTGCTGTACGTCGGAGGCTGTTTGATTTGGAAATACAAGTCAATCTTCCTTGTGACTCTGCTTCCTCAGCATACTTGTCTGCTGAGGTGTGAAGACTTTTCACATCTGCTTGCAGTCTCATTTGTTTGGCCTTTAGTTCTTCCAAACCATCCATCAGTCCTTTTCTCTTTCCTTCTTTCTTTTCCTTTTCCTTTTTACGCCTCTGTTCATCGAGATAGATGTGGTATTTCTGCCTGCCTGCAGACGCAGCCAACATGATTGATTTGTCAATAGTCACATTCTTGATTCCTCCAACATACTTGATATGGTCATAAATGGCCCTCAATGATATCAGTGAGTGTCCCAGGAGATTGTCCTCTTTAACTTCGTTGTTGATTGAGAAACCTCTCTCAATGGAGGCTTGTCCATGGGACAAGACAAGCAACATGCGGACCAACTTTAAGAGGGTCGAATAGCGAGACTCGGACAGAAATTTGCACATTACAGAGTCCAATCTCTCTTTCTTTGGATCAAAGTCTCTCATCTCTGCACTTCTTGATGCCTCATCACATGCTTCTGAGTATTCTCTTAGGATATCGTCACATGAATCCTTAAGTCTGTGGGCATCACTAAGGGTGTTAAGCACCCTCTTCAGCTTTGCAGTGGAGTTTTCTTTGTCTTTTGCCATGTTCTTTGGACTCAAGCATCCTATATTTCTCACAAGTGCATACTTAAGCGGACATCGCTCAATGAGCTTCCGGGTCATTGCAGCAAGAAACTTCTTTGCTTGAGTGCGAAATTCCAGAACTTTCAGCTCACTGATGATATTTTTCGCCTTCAGATCTTTCAGCTTCTTCTCAGTGTAGAATCCAATGTCCAACTTGGCCAAGGGCAGCTGAATGGCCTCACTGCTAACATCTACCTGCATTATCTTGTAAGGAGAAGTAATGGTACTCCTGTCCAGCTTTAAAAATCGCTGCATAAGGGATGCAAGCATTCTAGTAAGGTCTTCAGCTAAAAAGGGCAGCATTGGTGCATCAGTCTGATAGTCTGTTAGGAAAGGATTGACCAGCTTTGCAACAGATATGAAGAAGTACAGTCTTGCTAAGAAATCAGTTATATGAGTACATTTTGAAACAGTTTCAAAGGACTTGTTCTTTGGGTGAGGGATTTTCTTCTCTTCTACTGCTTTAACATACGCACATACACTCTCCCAGATGCTGATTGCTCTCTCTGCAACAGGAAGGTTTTCCAGCCATCGGGTCTTGCAAAACTTAAGTGGCATGGTATGATCTCCAGTTATCTTCTGATAATCCTCTCTTCTGGCAGGGGAATCAGAAAACAGGTAATACAAGGATGATAGAAAGCTTTCCACCTCCCAGTCAGCAGCCTTGGCACCTGTCAGAAAAGCACCATTAACTATATGGAGCCCGCATGAGCCTATATTCAGTATGGATTTGGTCAGGTCAGCAGTGTACTCTCGCGTAAAGTCATCATACATCTTCCAATTAACGTTGGGACCATCCATTGATATTTGCAGTAATTTTTCCAAGCCAACTGTGTGCAGAACTTTATTCAGTTCTTCCTTGAGGTGAACAGCTGAACCATGTCCGATGAACACAGACGTCAAGTAGCGAGTGCAAACTTCATTGTGTTGCCATGTTCTTATGAGGAAGTCCATCTGCTTTTTCTGGAGCTTCTTGTTGAGGCTTTCATCAAACAGTATCACATAGTGGTTTGATTGTTTTATGTTGTCATAAAGGAGGTCTTGCACATATGGGCCCAAACCAAACACCGTCATATACCGACATTTTGTTTCTGACAACGTGAAACCCTTAGCAATAGCTGAGTCCGGAAACATTCTTTGAAAGAGCTCACTGTTGTGCTGGCAAGAATGAAATGATAAATGATCCTCCACCACTTTCAGACACCAGAGTATTTCAGCTTTTAAAGTTTCCTCTCTTGCAGCAACAGGAATGGGAGTTGTCACTTTAGAGGTTGATGGCGCACAAGTACTGGTTGTTGCATCTGTAGACGTGATAGATACTGATGAACTTTCTGCACCTTTTGCCTTGAAGAAGCTCTTGAGTGAGAGAGTAGAATCTAGGAGAAAAGAAAAAAATGTCTATTAAAATAAATAAAATATAAATATCATCATTTGGTAAGATTTAGGGCCGAGTCAAAACGTTTAACTGCCGTTCAAACGACCATTAAAAGCATAAACGTTTTCCTATTTTGACAACCGTTTGACAGTATGGGGAAGGAAAAAAAAAAAAATTCACGGCAACTTTTGGCCAATTGATGTAAGTCACTAAGACAAGTGGACTAATTTTTGACTCATTCCTTAAAAACATATTTTAAAGAAATAGAAAGGAGGAAATACTTCTCAAGGCAAGCAAACTGTTGGACCCAATTGTAAGTACAAAATTTAGTTTTATGATTTTTGGGGTCAATTTTAAGGTAAATTATTATTATTTTTTTTTTCTGCAGTCCACATACAGTGCCCGGTACAACACTGGCGTGTGAGTGCGGAGCCCCCTGGGTTAGCGTTCGGGCTGTTGCATGCAGTAACCTAGCCGGCCCGGCCCGGGGCCGGGGACGCTCCCGAACGGGCTGGTCGCAGTAAGCAGTAACCAATGCCTGCGAGGTGACATCGCATCGCTAAATAATCTCAAATCTTTCATTTTTATATAATTATTATCAGTCATTATTTGGATTCATGCTCAATAAAGGATCGGTAAAATTCACATTAAAAATGCTCACTTACGACGTTGTTGCTGTTGGAGGTTTGCTGTGTGTTTTTCACTCTTCTTGTGGCTCTTGACGGCTGCTTCGCCCATATTACGGACACTGAATTTACACATACAAACAGCACATCTAGCAGTCCCCAGATCGGAACTTTCTTTCAAAATCCAGCCACGGTAATCCGGGTGTTCTAACCAAGCATCCTTAAAATGACAATTTCCAGGCATTTTGAATATCACTTCCACAAAATTTGTAATGGTGAAAATATCCACGTGACGAGTTCCAAGGTCTGTGAAAATAAACAACTCCGTTTCATGAAGAATCAACACATGCACAAAAGTTTCAAAACACATGCCGTCGCGTCGATATATAGATCGTCAACGAGCTAGCGCTGCCAATTTGCCTTGTTGACACGTCAGTATTGTTCCTTTTTTATTTAAATAATGAAAATTAAAAAACAAATATTACTAATTTACTTTTTCCTCATTTATTGGAGAAGTGTAAAAATTGTAGTAGTCTAAGTGGTCGCAATTTAATGCAAAGCCAAAGTGCAATCGAGGCATTACATTCGTTCTTGGAGTGTCACATGTCGCGTTGGCACCATCATCATATGCACACACACACTGCACACGTACACGTGCGCTAGCTTGCTGAACTGAGCTAGCGCTAGCGAGCTCGCTCGCAAGCTAGCCATGTGCGCACGATGTGGACCGTACCGCCATACAATACACACGTAGTTCGTATCGTACACGTACACACCCACGTACACAGCGCTTATCCATCGATCATAGTGAACACATTCACAAGTACAATCAGTCGGTATGTTACGAATGAAAGAAAATACGAGAAGAAAATGGTTGAAATATCTCCATTTATTCACTTGTATAGTGAGAAAATACTATAGTTGTCCATAATTTTGATATTCCATGACTTTCCATGACTTTCCAATGGAAAAAATAATTTTCCATGACTTTCAAGGCCTTAAAAGCAATAAAGTAAAATTCCATGACTTTCCAGGTTTTCCATGACCCGTACGAACCCTGTTTTGTGTCAATTTTTGCTCATTGAAAAACTACATATGCTCAGTTCAAATAATATAAGGTCATGTATTTAAAAAATGACCGAGCTTACAATCTTGCAAACATGGTATAACTCTTGGTTTGACGATTATCATTACTTTACAATCAGCTAATCCTTTGTGTACATGTATGTCTACTGAACACCAACATGTTTAGGAAGTCTTCCTGCTACAGTCAAACCTGCTGAGTGACAACCTGTCTACAAAGACCACTTTTGGGTTTCCATTGAGGGGTCACTATAGACAGGTTTGACTGTATATATGCCTGACAAATCATTTCCGGCAGTATAAATAAAGACAATCTCACCAGCGCACACTGAGTTGTAGTGAAGTTGACCTCTTCTGGGGCCTCTTGTTGTAATCTCCTCTCACGATCTCTCCGTTTGATCAGTCGCTTTTTGTCCTCACTGGCAAATCCACCTGAAATAAGTAAAACACAGCAAATGACTTCATACCCGATACATCAATTTTGTAAATTTAGATATGAAAAGAGGGTTGCTGCGGTGACAATTGTATTTCAGGTGTTAATAATTTATAGAAGGATCTAATATCATCTACATTCTATTATTCAATTAGAGACACTGTACTTATGTTACACATAAATTTGGTCCCTCTTAGTCATCAAGAGGCTATAGAAGTTTGGCCCAATGCAATCATGAAATATGTACATGTTTGAAATCATAGTGTCAGCTCAGACATCCAAGGAAGGATCTTCAGCCATCATTAAGACCGAGAAGTCTTTATGGTGGAAACTGCGAATGATTGGAATAAAATTCATCACAGCTGACAAAGCAACTACACAAAACATACAAGGAAGCTTTAATAAGACAAGACATCTGCACATTAGCAAAATTCCTTCTAAAGGAGCAAATGTGGGAGTGTTTGGAGCTGTACTACTAACCTTTCCTTTCCATGAATAGCTTATTGACTGGTTGACTTGGAAGTACAGCGACCTGAGAAGCAGGGGGCTGATGGGCCGTCTCTACTTGAACCTCACCAGTCACTACATCATCAGCGGAAAATAATAAATCTGAAGGAAGAAAAAATCAAAATGACAGATAAGCAATCTAATGAATTCCAATACAGAATAGAACACACTGCCATATCGTGAAATACCCTATCACAAATGCGTTTTTTTCTTTCTACCCTACAATTCGGAAGAGGTTAATGTGCTATACATAATTTTACAGAAAGCTTTACAGACTGTTCAAAGCTTGATTTCATTTCCATCTAAAAAATATCAGCGCCAATACTTGCATGCTTAGGCATCCTCACCTTTTTGCCATTTTACTGTCCTGAAGGTGTTGAATGAAATACCTTTAAATAGTTAATGGACTAATATCTTGTATATTGATTATTATTCTTGATGAACCACCCACATTTTACTTCTTGAGTCTCTTTCTATGTTCGAAGTAAAAATTCAGTGTCAGCTCAGACATCCAAGGAAGGATCTTCAGCCATCATTAAGACTAAGAAGTCTTTATGGTGGAAACTGCGAATGATTGGAATAAAATTCATCATAGCTGACACATTTTCCCTGTGTATGTGACTTATATGTATGTCCTAGAACAATAGGATATCTTGTTTGCGTGGCTGACTAAAGTGTATTTGAAGTTTATGGAGTCCAACTCACCTTCTCCATCAGCATGATAGTTCTCATCACCCGATGTGATTGGCCTGTCAGAAAACAAAGAAATACAACCAAAATAAAAATCAGACCATTGTAGATAATAGATATATTTATATCAAAAACTTTAACAACTCAAAGAGTTACTAAAAGCGAGATCTTTAAAATTGATTTGTATGCCTAGATTGATCCTACTACATCTAATAAATTTGAAGTGAGGTCAAGCAAAAATTTGATTTATCAGCTCAGACATCCAAGGAAGGATCTTCAGCCATCATTAAGACTGAGAAGTCTTTATGGTGGAAACTGCGAATGATTGGAATAAAATTCATCATAGCTGAAACCACAATTAGATTGAAAAATATATGCAACACATAAATACTTCCAAAAATTGGTGCAATGGCTTTCACATTTCAAGGGAATGTATACTTTGATGATGCATCATAACATTAACAATTTTTTTTTCCATCAATGCATTAATCGTAGTGAAGTTAGTCATTTCGCCCAAACTGTGTGCTGAGCCTCATTCTCTATGCTTATTATAATAGTGTAAGTATTACTCAATATTCTCACATCACCCAAAAATTTAAAAAAGATCATGCTCCAAGTGCACAAACCTTGCTTTCTTTTTCTTGGATTTAGCCTTGCCTGTCGGAGGTCGGGCTTGAGGTGTCTTCGGACCCTCTTCCTCACCATCGGCACTGTCTTCTAAAAGATGAAAAATCATGATAAACAATCAGTCAACGGTACATAATGGCAAATTTTGTCCTGTGTACATCTCAGTTTTAATGTTTTTGTACAGAATTATGCGGGAACATAGATACTATGCCATGTTTCGCGCTACTAAAACGTCTGAAAGGTTGTCTTGGCCTCAACTGGACTTTCCTCCATCCAAAGACAGAAAAAGTATTTGAAACATCAATTATTGATAGTACTATTTTTAGAATGAATAGTAAGAGTTATATAAGTGTCAGCTCAGACATCCAAGGAAGGATCTTCAGCCATCATTAAGACTGTAAAGTCTTTATGGTGGAAACTGCGAATGATTGGAATAAAATTCATCATAGCTGACATTTTAGATTCTCCGTTCTAAATATGCCTCTATAACACATTTGTGATATAAGCATAAGCAAAGTCAGGAATACAGTGAAAAGTAGAATGGTAGGAATTCTTCATGGAAAGTGTTTTCAGACTACATGTATTAGTAGAAAATAATTTCAACAATAATTCTACATTGAATTCTAGGTTTATGACCAACATGCCATTATTGAACAATATATTACCTGGTAAGAACTTTGACTTTGGCCTCTTTGCTTTCTGCTTTGCATTGCCATTGGATTCTGGTATGATCTCATCACTCACAGACCTAGGTATGTGGGATTTCCTTCCGTCTGACAAACATAAAACAAAAGTAAACAAACATAAGTTATTCATAACCTGATAAGAGATCAAATTGTGGCAACTTTTCTGTGACTCTCAGCATAAAGAGCCAAGAGGTATCATTTTAAGAAAGAACTGCATAAGTGGCTTCTGCATGTCTCAAAACTATATGTAAGCAAAGGAAGCGACAATTTTTCACCATTGAGCCATTTTACAAACCCAATCAAAAGCAATTTTTAAAATTCAAGTTTAATTGTAATAGAGGTTATCAGAATATTGTGATTACAAGCTATTTTTCATATATATATATATATATGACCCTTTGATCTTTGACCGTGTGACCCTAAAATCTAATCAGTTCATGGGCTTTGCAAAATACACGAATGTCCTGAGTTTGATAGTAATCCATCCGTCAGTTCTAATGAGAATGCGATCACAGGCCATTTTTTCATACATAATGACCCCCCATGACCTTTGACCATTTGACCCCAAATTCTAACCAGTTCATTGGCTTAGCAAGAAACATACATGTCCTGAGTTTGATGATAAGCTGTCCATCTGCTAGCAATATGTACACTGAACAAGATAAAGAGAACACAAATCAAGTGCCCATGCCCTTACCTCTTTTCCTCCTAGCAGCACCTGGAGAGGATCTCAGATTTTCAATTGCTGGAGCTTTGCCTGATGTATCATCTTCATCAACTGCAATGAGGAAAAAAGAGCTATCAAAGTAGGACCAATCATAGTTCATAACATGAATGATCACAAGAATTTATACATCAACAGAAAGAATAAGGGAAGCCAATGCCCCCCCCCCCCCCTCTCCATTTAGTGGTAAAAAAATAAAGAGAGAAAACGGGAAAACACAGAAAAAAGATGCCAGGACTACACCCACCCCCTTAGCAGTTGCGTTTCATTTTCCAAGCAAGACAAGTGTACTCTGTATTGGTGGACTCGTGCTACATCACTGATTATTAAACATCTATATGAAGTCAGCTCAGACATCCAAGGAAGGATCTTCAGCCATCATTAAGACAAAGTCTTTATGGTGGAAACTGCGAATGATTGGAATAAAATTCATCATAGCTGACAGCTAAACAAACCTCACAACAAATTTCAATGGATCATGAGCAAAAATCCCTGTCGTGTAATTTCTTGATTAAAAGTCTTTTTCATTTTTTTTCTTCATTGTTTAAACAGCAGGTATTAAAGTAACCAAACAATCTACACCAAGCGCCCCCCTTCCCCTCAGAGAAATATTTGAAGCATGGGGGCTGGTTTTCACAAATAAATGAGGCTAAGGGTGACATGTGAATAAAGTAGCACACGCATGCATCTTACCATTGCCATCTGGTGCATCTGGTGGTTTTCTTTTCTTTTTCTTCCTCTTACTTCCATTGCCCACATTCGCTATATCTTCTGTACTGGCGGTAGTATTTTGACCTCTGACCTCTGTACTCTCTGACACAGTACCTCTCAGCTTGCTCACATTCGACAGTTGAGAGTCACTAGCATCTACTCCTAGAAAATTGAAAGAGTTCATTTAGTGTGTGATTATTTCATGAGCAAATAATTTGGCATGTACTGTAAAATCAAATTTTAGAATAGCAAAATGAAACATAGTTTCTGGACCTACAGTAACTAAAAATATGCAGTGGTCATACCTTCATACACTTCTATTCTATTGCACTCTCAATCAAGAGAGCGCATTGTGGCATAGTGACAGAGAAATGTTGATTACTAGTAATGTGTCAGCTCAGACATCCAAGGAAGGATCTTCAGCCATCATTAAGACTAAGAAGTTTTTATGGTGGAAACTGCGAATGATTGGAATAAAATTCATCATAGCTGACAGATGATGTACTAAAACAGTTATACATCTTTCAGTGCTGTAACGGGCAAATGTAAATTGGGACATGTCCCACTTTGCCAGGGGCATGGCAAGACAACATGCCAAACAATGGCTTGTTAGCGCTGCACTCTCATGGAGAAGAAGCACATTTTAAGAGGTTTGTTTAAAAACATTAACTGCATACAGATGAAGGAAAACTGTTTTTAATTTCACTCTTCATTTAAATGCATGCATATTAAACTGATGTAAGATGTCCAGTATTACTCTCTTTGCTTTATGTATTACAATGCATCTAACACACAGGATATTTGTTTTAGTACTTCCAATCATTCTATGGGTATAGCTTGAATGGGAATTTATGATCTCACTTACCTTCAACATTTTTCTTCTTCTTTTTAGTCTTCTTGGGTGATGCTGTTTCTGTTGGAAGAAATTAAAATATAAGGTCTTTATTACCATCACTACCAAAACTACATCCAGCACTACATTCAGCACTACGTCCTGACTTATTGATCCTGCTGAGTATCGTAGTAGAAGTAGAAGTACCAATGACAATGGAAATTTGAATAATCAAAAGCTATTGGGTCTAGAGAATAGACCGCATGAAAAAGATTAAATTTTTATCATTAAAAATAAAAATGTGTAAAAAATAAAATGTTAACTGCAAACAGCTACACAGCATTTACGGTAATTCTCCTTAAATCTTTGAAAGATTTTTTACCTGTTTCGCTTGTGTTCAAAGGTGGCAGGCTCCTTCGTTTTGTTTGTGTATCCTATACATGAAAATAAGAAGATTTCAGAGAAAGAAAAAACTCAATTAAAAAAGAAAGGGGTAGACAGAGCGAAAGCTGCATTACATGTACAACCGCCAACATAAAGAAAACATTTCTCCCGTAAAAACGACATATTTACTTACATGTAAGTCTTAAAAACTATGCATAATATTGATCCATGATAAGCTTAATACATGAACTTATGGGTGACCAAACTTCGCGGAGATTTTGACAATATTACAAAATTTGATATTTGATCTATGATTTCTCATATTCTACACAATGTTATTTATTTAAATTATTACCAAATGGACGGCAAAATTGGTTCAACTAGAAAGTTTATCGTCAAAGGATTCCAGAGTGCAGAGATATCACAATCTAAAAATTTGATGTCGGATTGGTGTGCGCGCTGCAACTTACAAAGTCATGAAAACAAGGACACCTTACAGCGTTTAGAAATACAGCTGATTTATAAAAAAATGTGCTCCATCAAACATAAGATTATTTCATAATTTGCGGGGCAAGTTCATACGATCCGTCCATACCACTTTTTATTTACAATTTTGAGGATATCTGCTCTAAAAATGAAGATTTCCTTTAACGGTGAGATGATAATTTTTCAGAACGGACGCAAATGACTGCAAAATTTGCTGATCTTTTGTCAATATTTTCATGATTTCATACCCAATTTCAAAGAAAATTTCATCTCTACATAATTTTATGTTCCTGTTTCCATTGGTGAAACTAGATTTTTTAAATCTTACCGATTTATATACAGTAGGGGCGCTGGTCCGAGAATGAGGATCGTCCTCATAAACAAGGATATCCTCATAAACAAGGACAAAATGTGTCCTCAAAAATAAGGGTTGTCTGCATTTTCGAGGACGTTTTTTTTCATCGGCACTCTGGGGGTTTCATGTTACAGAACGGCCCGCTGGTGATGCCAAAAATGGATTCCCCGGGGGAAAATAACCCTAGTTCACTGTCTACTTTTATGGGTTGTCCGTCTTCCCAAGGATTTATTGCTCATAATGTGAAAGTCTCTGTACAAAGTCAATGTAAAATGCATCAAAAAAATCATTGCAGAATCCGTTTTTAGCATCGCCAATGCGCCGATCAAAAATATGAAACGTCTGCAAAAATGCAGACGGTCCTTATTTTTGAGGACGCATCAGTCCTTGTTAAAGAAGACGATCCTTGTTTATGAAGACGATCCTTATTCTCGGACCAGCGCCCCTACTGATATAGCGATCTTGGGTCATGCACAAACTATGGTCATCACACATAATGGCCACAGGCAAATGCAAGCCTAGTATTGCATATTTTCATGACTCACCAAGACCTGTAGTCTCTTCACTACAGTATAGTTATCTTTAGAACTTGAGTTGAAGCGTCATTTTAGCAGGAGAAGTTAAAATAGAAAGTGCCACGTTATGTTCAGAACCACGTGGTCTTACTACAGCGAGACACGCCATGCAGTCACAAGCAAAGAATCGAGAGCTCCGTTCGGCTACGGCACCAAACAGCAAATGCCAATGCCACCACCCACACACTCACGTACCGTACCAAAAGTACCATAAGTGGCACAACGTATAACACCGGCGACTCGGCATCGTTATCTGGACAAGGCTACTGTACGCCCTTTCATACATACAACCATACTACTAAATACAAGAAAATCTTTATCAGTGCATGGTTAAGGATTACAAGAGTGATATATCGTCTAAATTATTAAAAGTTCGTCACTAACTTTGATTCAATCAATTTTCTTATTTACTCACCAAGGCAGAAGCCGCCATTTCAAAAGGAATTTGTTTGGCTGTACTGCCCTCTCGTGATGACACTCGGGCATGATTACGTTTTGGTACTGGTTTCGACTGAATCATTATTATTGTATATTTGTTCACCCTCTTTTTTCCCTCCAATGTATTTTGAGTCATGAGAGACAAAATATGCTCTTTAACTTGTGTAATATACTTGTAAAAGATCATAATATGCTAATTGCTTAATAAGTTTTAATCAAATCGCTTGCATGATTAATGTTGACTTTGCCATGAATGGCAGGGGCGGATCTAGGGGGGCTTCGGCGGTTTAACCCTCCCCCCCCCCCCCTTGGGCGGCCAAGTGAACAAAAATGGGGAGAAGGGGAAAAAAAAGTAAAACAGTAAACGGCGCGATTTTTGGAAAACCCTGGATCCGCCACTGGGTCAACCCCGCCCCCCCCCCCCCCCCTCCCCCTTGGCAAAAAGTCAGATCCGTCCCTGATTGTAACAGAGCTCAGCAGCCAATAAAAATCATGCCTCAGGTGAAAATCCGATCTTGGAATTCGTTTTCATGTGCCCCCTCCCCAGCATACGACTTTACGTACGTAAAAAATGTGAAAATTGTGTTCGTTTGTTAATTACTAGTTCGATTTGTTTTGCTCTTTATTATTATTTCTTATAGCCGCATGCAAGAGAATCTTGGATCCATTACACCGATCAGGGAGGATAGCCCGGAGGATAGTCTCACCTCCCTGCTCACAGTAATATCTACACATACATCGCAGTTTAACTTCAGCTGCACTTGGCCAAGCTGTAGAAAAGGGGCGGTACCATATGCCCTCCTTAGACCAGAGTTTTTCAACCGGGGTGCCACAATAGAAATTTAGCAAAGTCAAATAAATTAATTTTGAATAACGTCGCTTTCGTGACACCAAAATATTAACAACCGCTAGAGAAAATAGCCCTTTAATATAATAAAGTAGAAACATAGTATTAAGTGTTATACAAATATGACTATTATTATTATTATAACTTATTAACAGGTGACGTTAGTCAACGAAGTGCCTTAATAGCTCCAAATGTGGGCATAAGGTGCCCGAAAACTTTAAAAAAAAAATCTTATAGTGTGTTGATTACAAAATAGAATTGTTAACATATTACAAATTAGAAAGGCGTGTGTATATAGTACTTGACGAAAACCAGAGTGGTGCAAAATGAATCTTCTTTGATGAATTTGAGATCGGGGTGACGCGAAACTTTTTAGTTCTTGAAAAAATAAAAGGGTGCCGTGGCTTGAAAAGGGTAAAATAAAGAAGTGGCGGCATGGGGCATAATCACACGATCAGGGATTGGGGGGGGGGGGGCGTTTCACAAAGCACTTGGCGCGCGGCACCATAGCCAACAGCGCGCAATGCACACCATCGACGCGCGTATGTCATTGTCTCTCCATTATGACATCACAAAGTGAAATCAAATGTAGGTCGAGTTACGCGATGCCTGAGTAAACTTTCCCACGGTGACGTCAGACGTAAACAAACCTTTACAGACCCAGCCTCGAGTTCATGACCATGCATTTCAGAACCCGCGATCGATTGAATAAATGACTTGTCTTAGGATATGGATAAAGCAACACAAATATAAAGCCTCGTCTTTGAAGAATAAATACACTTTAAGAAGACTTTTAACAGCTTATCAAAGACAGTTCAAAGTAAAAGAACTCATCATGTCAGATGAACATAGAAGAGGGGCAATATATGTCCACCCTAGTGACATGGCGTCTTTGAAGAGCTCTGATAAAATTCGAATAAAATCTAAGGCCAGTATTAAAACATTGGATGAACAGGAGCGACGGAGCAAGAGTACCCCTCCAACCACTGGGGTAAGTGACAGTGATGCTGACACTTGTTTATAATTATGCTACATTTTGTTTAATTTCTACAATTTCTACGCCCAAATTAGGACTCGACGAAGCAGAAATCGAGAAGGGGAGAGAGAAAGCATGTTAGAGAGAGAAATAAATGATAATAAATAAATATAACGTTGATATTTCAGGGTCAATGACCTGATATCTGAGCCCATTTGCATGATTCTTACCATTGAATTTGATGGTAACTTCCCCGGAAAATTTTGATTTGATTAGTTGTTGAGTGATGAAGCCGTGGTAGTCAATATTGATGGCAAAGTATTACCATTAACTATATGCAACGGTGTCCAGGTTTGATTTTAATGATTTAAAAATGGGAACAAAGTTTTCAAGACTTTGCAAAACGTTATACATGCAAATTATAGAGAAGGTTCATTGATTTAAAAAACTAACTTTAATGTCATTATTGCAAAGGTGACACTTTGATTGACCAAGGTAATCAAAAGCCAATGCTTGGAAACATTCTAAGTAATGATTTTTAACAATCACAAAACGCTTAGATACAGCCCCGACATAGCACCTGAAAAGCTTTCCGGTCGCTGCTGAGATATGACCTCACATATTGAACATGATGTGCACAAGCAGACGATGTTCCATGATATCTCACACAATTTCAGTGCCTGTTTTGTCATCTTCTCTTCAGTTATTTCTCTTACTTCAATACCCTCAGGCGAAATGTTTATTCTGTTGCCTCACTCTAAACCCCGTGCATGGTATTATTTTGATGAAAATGCAAGGATAAAAAAAAAAAAAGGAATCCGTCGCTTGTAAACAAAATAAGACACCATTGTATTTTCAGCTGCATACACCGCGGCATGTTCGGCGTTTCAAGAGGGAACAAAATGACATCCATGCTATCATTCCGGAGGGTTTTTAATTTGAAAGAGTGGTTTCTTTGATTGTTCATTAATCCCTATCCTGTGTATTTACAAACAAAAGAATTTAATAATCAGAATGGGGGTCATATCCCTTTTTGAATGGTGTAAAATTCCATCATATTTATATACACTAAACTATAATTTGAGAAATAAAAGCATTGCAATTATGTTTATTCTTTATGGGATGTCGTCTGCTTGGGCAGGGTTGGTTCATTGTGACGGCATTAAAACATCGTTATTTTTCCGGCGAATCTCTCGCATATCCCAGATGCTATGGAGGTTGTTTTATTTGTATTTTTATAAATCACCCGATATGTAGTTGACCTAAAACTTGCATGATGGCCATCTGTTAGCTTCCCAGTTTCTAGTAATACGCTATTTGCCATATTTGTGTTGTATGTACCCGCACTTTAAAGATGGCTACCGGAAAGACTTTAATTTGTTTTATGATCTTGTGTATATTATCAGGCTAGCCGCCGTGAAAGTATGGCAGCTGGAGGACGGCGTGGGAGCACAATGGGTGGAAAGGGTCCAGCTAAAGGCCGGCGAGGAAGCTGCCATCATGGAGATGGTGCACAGAACCGCCGCGGTAGTCGGTTAGATGACACGTCTTATCAACCGCAGCGACGGAAGAAGAAATCCGATGAACCCGAACCTGCGCTCACCAAAGAGCAGGTTGAAGGTGATGCAATGTGAAAAGAAATCGATTTGTTTACATTCAGATGGCTCTAAAATTAGGATACCAACAATTGGAATAATTATTAAGTGTATTTGTTTTAAAGTAACCAATCGGTTTGTCGTTTAAAAATTTGTAGTTGGCAAATCGTAGTGTATGTGTATGTACATGTATATGTAAATGTGAAATGGCTAAGGCCAGGTTTCTTACTGGACACACTTTTTTATTTTAACTTTCAACATCACAGGGTCTATCTCTAGCTTGCAATTTTAAATTTCGAATGTTGACGACTCATTTGTCTTTTTTACCACGGGCAGTCACTGTTCTTGATATTTTGTACTCTACCTCTCGTCTCTTCCCTCCCAGACTAGAGCTCCTCGTTTTCTGTCACCTTCTCTTTCTCCCTGACATTTCCTTTCTGTTCTACTCCATGCGACTCCTCCCTCAGTCCCCCTCTCTCTCTCATTTTGTTTTCTTTTCTCTGTTCTTTCCTCATACCCCTTTTCTGGGAGAGAAGTGGTGAATGTTTCAGAGCACTTTTAATTCATATATTTCATGCATTCTGTGCATTGTCGAGATTCAACTTTTAATGTCAGTTTTCATGTTTACATGTCAGTTTTGTTACTACTATTATTGCTATTATTATTATTGTTATTATTATTGTTGTATGTTCTTTGTATCCCCGAATGTATTTATATATTGTTGATGTTGTTTGTATGTGTACGCCACTCGCCAGTGGAGGACGAATTTCTGTATTTTTTAAATCAGACGATAAATTATCTTGAATCTTGAATCTTAAAAGGGCTTACTATGTTAAACAAAACGTGGACTATCCTTTTGATTGACAATGCCTTTGTTGTGGTAACGTTCATTGCTAATTATTACTGTTGCTATCAACTAACTGTTCACTTTTCTGGAGAAGGTTGACCTCATGGTGGTAATAGGGACTTTTAGATTTGCACGAAGACAATGGGGATTGCTACGATCGACGTCCTTTTTAATAATGCACTGCCTTGAAAGGAAGTCACACGTATCAGTCCACGCAAATCTAAAAGTCCCTCATGTTGTTGAACAACCCAGTTTTGGGAAAGTTTTATTAGATAATAATGTGTATTCCACAGTGGACGTGTCCCAGTGTATTCTCAAGATGAAGACTCATTAATTTACTTTTTCATTCTCTCTGCAGCTTTCCAAGAAGTTTTCAATCTCTTTGACAGCAATGGTGGAGGAACCATTGATGCAGATGAGCTTCAGTTGGTTCTTGGCTCTGTGGACATTCACCTACCCGCACAAGATATCAGAGATGTCTTGGAAGGGATTGACAAAGATGGTTTGACTTTCCTCTCTATTTTCAAAGCTACAGCCTTGTTCTGTCCCTATCAAATTGTATTGCGTGACAGGCATCATCCTATAGTCATCCTGATGTATACGCATTTGTTAATTTAGTGATCCCATGGGATGGATACGTGTGCAGATATGAATATAAATATTATTATTGTTATTATTTGTATAATCATTATCATTATTATTCATTATTATAATTATTGTAATAATTACTATTCATTATTATTATTAGATAACATTGATTTCATTTGATTTGTCTGACACTGGTTGCAAAAATAAAATGTACCCGGCCTTATGTAGATGATATAGACACTTTCCATTTTGAATCATAAAAGTAAAAACAAGAATATGTAACAGCGCAAAAACATCCATATTTGGTGTTTTAGAATAGGTACATAAAACATCACGCTAAGATACGGTAAGGCAGTAGACGAAAAAGCTCCAAAAGGGAACTACGCCGACCCCCCCCCCCCACACACACACACACCCACACACACAATCAATGAATAATATTAAGATTACTAAGGTCTCTGGCGTATGGCAAATGCTTATCGATTCGTTTTTATTCTTTGCAGGGAGCGGGGAAATCGACTTTGAAGAATTTCTGCAACTGATGACAAACACTGAAAAATTTCTAGAAACATGCGGTAAGTGCCAGAGAATCATCATATTGATTTTAATTAATGATTTACTGCAAACCCAGTTCATAAAACACTAATTCAGGTAAAGAAACTCCGAAACGAAATTGAGCAAATACTGGGAAAAGGAGTTTTAATATGATTTGCTATACGAGTTTTGATATGATTCATTTTTCCTTGAATGGTACAGGCCCTTATATCATTTCTTTATTCTTGATATTAAACAGAACAATAAAAAAGGAATGGTATGTCATTCATCATACATCAAATAATAACAATTCATCATACTTTCCCATTTTGTTCCTTCGAGTCTGGTGTTCCAACTCACAACAGTTACACTGTTTAAAGGATATATGTTTAATCAATAATAATCACTCGTAACAGCTAAAGATATGTTTAGAATACTCAAGAAATATTCACGAAATGTTCTCTCCATCTCTGTGACATGGTTTCTTTCCTTCCACCCTCAGCAGCTAGCCATGATGAACATCCTGAGGATGAAGAGGATGCGGTACTGGTAGGGGGCCGAGAGACAGTTCTCTTTGATGCTCTTACCAAGTTCATGAAGACATCCGCTCTCACACAAATGGATGTTCTCCAAAGGTACCGGGTACTTCTTTTTATCCTTTTGAAAAACAAAACATTAAATCTAATTCAGGTTCATGCATATTACGAAATGTTCTTTTGTTTATCATTACCATTTTATTGAATGATCTATTAAAGTAAAATCATAAGTTAGAAAAGAAAAATCATTAGCAGTAAAAATAACTGAATTGCTGAGAATTATCATAAAAAAGATACGTATATTTATTATAAACTTGAAAATTATTACCTAATTGAGTGTTATTTGACAAAAGAATCGTAACTCTTACTGTTTCTATATATCAATTAAATATTGGTACATGTATATGCCTATTTATCTCCACCTTATTTGGTATTGTCGTCCTGCCTGTCATCTTCCTCAAGTAAGGTTGTTTACATATTATACCCTCCTTACTCAGTTTTTTCTTTCTGTTTTTAGGCTTTTCCTCATTAAGATTGTCCCCAAGCCTCCAATGAACATATTTTATGTTGTTGTTGTTATTGTTGTTTCCTTTATTTATCAGATACTTCAATACTAAATACAAGCGTGCCCAAGCCCCGCATGTTGTCATGCATTACGCTGCTGGAGCAAGACTCATCGGTCTGACAGAAAAACAATTGGTGCAGCATCTGGATCGCTTACAAGCTAGCAATGAAGGTAATGATATTTGATAATTTGTTTTTGAAATATTTGTTTATTATCTATTTATCAAAAGTTGAACAAACGATCTAATACTTTTACCGGTGTTGCTCTATAAGTGAGGTCATTGTCAGTATAATTGTTTTGTTTTGTTTTTCTTTTAAGATATCCATATTATGCACTAATTAATTTGTTCTCTTTTTAAAATGTAAACTCATCTTCGTCATTTATCACGTAATTTTCTATATTTGCCACTTAAAGCGCTGCTGAACATATTATCATAATATCTTAAATATTCTCATTCCGTGTAACAAAGCTTTCTTGCGAAACTAACATTGTGCCTTTAATTTCACATCTTCTACTATTCTAAGTAAATGATTATCATCTTCCAGCATTAAAGGAAAAAGGTTGAATTGTTTTATGAATATCCTCATCTTTGCAAACATCACATTATGATCGGTTCACATCCGTTAAAGCATAGGCATGATTCGAATTCATCCCTATCCACTGAATATCTTAAAGGTACTATGTCCCTTTTGCAGCCAACCTCAAATTCAGTAGAACTTTGCAGGAATTATGAATACGTCGTATATGTCCTATCTGTGAAATTTAAACGTTAGCAGTGTCCTCATATTCAAATTATGCAAGGAAACCCGTTTACTTGCTAGACTTCACTGTCAGACACTATTGAGTGACTGACTGGCCTTTTTTCTTCTTTGGTAATAACATACATGAAAAGAGTTGTAAAGGGTACATGAGCATTTTTCTACATCAATAACCCACTTTTTGTGATGGCCAAGATAAAACTGATTGAATATTTGCGCAGCATAAAATGTATGACCATTCGGTACAATTGTCTGAAATCAAGACTATTACTTTTGGGCTCTATAGCCCTAAAGTCGATTTGACAACTAATAGTCATTATTTTCCCACTTGAAGACATTTTCAAGCCCTACCTTTTTTAGGGAAGTTCTAAATTAGTATTATCTTTCAAATGCAGTTGGAATTTAACTTTTTCATTTTTTGGGCCTGCAAATGGGACATAGTACCTTTAACCAGTCACCGTTATTTTAACCCCTCTCCCCCTCCCTCTCCCCCTCCTCAATCTCCTTTTTCATCTGTCCTCTCTCCAATATCCAGACTCTGACTACAAGTCCCCTTACGCCGAGCCTCTCCGTATCATGCTCGCCCCACTGCTTAATGTGAGAAAGAAGAAGAAACGTAGAAAAGACGAGTCGGTGGAGGATATTCAAGAAGAGCGACCCCGACTCACGGGAAAGATACGGATCAGGATTCATTTCAAATCAGAAGATGAAAAACTGGCAAAAGTAGAAGAGAACAAGAAAGAGGAGGAGCTCGCCAGTCAAGTAAGTACAACAACAAATTAACAATTGACGGGAGAATGTCCTACAGTAGTGGCGTATCTAACAAATTGTGGAACTGTTGTTACCCCCCCCCCCCCCCCCCTTCGCCCGAAGACCTACTATAAAATCAATAAAATGTACACTAGGTCTATTGCATACTAAGCTGCCCTTCCCATTTTCGGATGATTACTTCCCCATCATAGTAACTGCACATTTTATTTTAAAAGGTATTAAATTTCTTTTTATTAAGTTAAAATTATGTTTTTTTTTAATAATTTGTAACAGAAGTCAAAACTGTAATGCATTCTTATGTTCCGATTTTCTTATTTATTGACATTTTGCATATATTTTCTATGGTCATATTTAGCCAATTTACTTCATTTCTCCGTCCATGCCATTTCCATCTTCTACTCCATGTTTTCCTTTTTTCTCCATTTGTTTTTCTTCTTCCAAATTCTTTGCCTCTTGTTCCTGATGTCCCTCTCTCGGCTCCTCCTCCTATAACCTATCATAACCCCCCCCCCCCCCCCCGTCCTACCAACACCCACATGTTGTGGGACAGGGTACGAAGAAGCAGAAGATAGAATGGGTTCCTCGTCTTGGTTGGGTTCAGCCTAATGTCAAGAGAGTTGCTGATCGTCTGCCGAAGATGAAGATAACTTATACCATGGATGATCTCTCTGATATGAGGCAAAAGGTATGGAAAGTTCATGTTGTCCATAGGGGCATTTAAACAAATCCATTTTAACAGATACAGGGGGGGGGATCAGCCACCGGCCCCTCCCTATTCGAACAAAACTTACTTGATTACGCATAATGTAACTCTTCACTATATTGAACTGCAACGGATTTCTAATCATTCATGAACCCCCTTTAAGTTCATAGGGGGATTAGTTGTTATAATTCCTGCATTTATTCCTATTTTTGACGGTAAAAACAAAATTCGCCTCTGGATAATACATTTATCACAACGGCTTTGTAAAACAGCTTAAATACTGTGATTTGTGCGAGGACTGAAAATCACCCTCTCAAAAACCCGAGACTGTTGTTTTGTTTGAAAATTTGAGGGGAACATTATTCACAAGGATTTAGTTCTAATATAATTATATTTCAGACTTTTAAGAATGTTGAGTAACATGAATCTATTTCCATTTCTCCTAGATTCAAGTTGCGACCAAGGAATATGACCATGATCTGGCGATCAGCAAACGGCGTGCACACAATCGGCTGTGGAAGACACTCCAATGTGATCGAATGAAAGGAACTCAATTGAATAACTTTAAACGAGTATTTGATGCCTATAGCGACATAGGCAAACTAGTGGTTATTTAAAGCAAATCTATATCCCTATATCTAACAAGATAGATCTGTCATTATGTAATTCTGAGCAACAGAATTAAGGCATAACAATTGAGAATGATAATTTCACCTATGAACATTTTAAAGGAAACTGACAGAGGTAACTGAGAAGATTTACAATACCAATTATCAGATTATTGGAAACGCAATGGGTAACACAAAACGAATCTTGTGCAAATATGTCACAGAATTCCATTCAATCATTTTGATTTGTTCTCCATGGATGATTGTTAAACTCGTTTGGGTTTTCTTATTGATGCATTCATTTAAACAACGTCGTTGCTTGATGTATGAATTGCCTTTGCATGTTCAGTAAACGAAGAAAATGACAAACAATAAAATGTCGTGTTTCACCGATGTCGGGCTCGCTACTGGTTTTTAATCAGGTGACTGTACTGGAGGGTGAATTAAGTCGTTTATAAGAAAGTTCTAGCACAGATCATCTCTTACAAAACTATTGGAAATTTGCTTGCTTCATTGTCTTTCCGAAGATTTAGAGTAGGACCGTATGTTGACCAACAGAAATGATGAAGAAGTGATAACATTAAAAGAGAATCCAACATGCATACAAAAAAAAGAATCGACATTGTCGTTTTGCTACTGTATGCATTAGTGTTGCCAAATTAGGGCAGGTTGGGCAATTACCCCTCATCTGAAGTTGCATGTTATGCTCCCGCCCCCCCCCCCCCCCCACTCAGTGTTATTTAGGGTACGCATATGCTTGTTCCCTCTTTTTGAAAACACCCCCTATCTGAGGACTGCCAACATTTCCGAACCCCCCCCCCCCCTTTCGCGGGCTTTTCCTGCCTTGGAGATCTCCCTAAATCATGAAAAATGCTCAATGTACCCCCTAAAATTCGGAGTAATTTCTGAGGAATCCAAAGAGATGAGAGTAAAAAAAGAAAAAACACCCCCTTTTTAAAGAAATCTCCGGGTGAAAAGTTAATACACCCCTTTTTTTTTACAATTCTCGGGCCGCACTTTGTCGCACGAAAAGTACCCCTTTACCGGACACTTTGGTAACACGCATGGGGTTCGTCCGTTCTCGGAGTGGGGGGGGGGGGGTATGCTATTTAGGCAAACAACTTAAGACAGCACATAATCTCGGCACACATGCTTGAAATGCCAACCCCGTTCCCTTTCCAACATGACTTAAAGGTAATGCAAAATTTTGGGAATTGGATATATAGTCATTCTTTAAAATTTGATATATTTGGATGCAAAGTCTTGGGAGGGAGCTATACAACATTTATTATTTACAATTTCATCAATTTAGATTAGATTTCAACCTCGACGAAATGCTTCCAATATATTAATTTGAACGAAATTCATGACCCCATACCAAAACTTTATTTCAATGGACGCTGATCATCGATAGCGTGAGTGAGTCAGTGTAACATCGTGGGAAAATGGAACGGCGCCCTCTCTAAAGTGTCTTGCATTATCTTATTCACCATCTCTATTTTATCTTTGCCAACCATTGAGTGCGAAAGAATGACATACAAACTGAAGGACGTCTGAAGTACTCGATGGTAGTTCTCTTGAACGAGCACACACCTGTGTTTGGAAGGGATTGTTATAGGACGACCGTCCTTCGAACGTGTACTAAATAAAGGATTTTATAATGGATTACAGTACACATCAAGAAGTTTGCGATAGGCTCTAAATGATAGATCTCATGGAACAGAAGATAGTTTGCATATCAGATACAGAGAGATTAGAAAGCTGCCAACTCTGATTGAGAAATGGTGTCCGGAATATATCGTCTGCTAGCGTTCCTAACCCTGATGTGAAGTTTGATTTAGTTGGTGGATTTGTTTAAAGCAGAAGTATTCTACAACCATGACTGGAAGGCAACGGGGTAAGTCAAGCCGTAGGATCTGTACCCATGTATGTCAAGTTTCAGGATTTGTGGTCATTGGTCAAGCCATGGAGACTTTTGAAGTTTGGTTGTGATGTATATATATAGGCCTATGTATATTTATACATGTATGCCGCGTATCTTTTCCCACCCGTTCTATGTCTCCTTCCTCCCCTACATTCTCTCGTCTACGTTGTTCAAAAGTTCTGATCGGTAATATAGATCTAGCTATCACAGTATCTCCTCCCAGCTCGGAGGTTGCAACATTTTCCCGCATATCTCTTGTTTTCTTTCATGATAGTACACTATTTATTGCAGTGTCATTCCCCTCCCAGTTAGTTCTTGGGTTTCTCTTGGTCTTGTACGTTCTACTTTTTTAGGCTTGCAAGAGACTATGTATGATGCCAGGTAAAATAGCTATTACCTGAATATGCTCAATTCGTTTACCGATTTCCACTTTGTGCTTCTCTGACTACTCTGTTTTTGTTTTTTCCTACCTCATTTCCATTGACAAAGTAGGCCTACAAAGTTGTTCTGAATTTGCATGCACACTTACCCTTTTGTACCCCATCGTTTTCATTTTCGTTTTTGTCTATTTGTTTGTTTTTGCAAACTGAACACATTAGCAAGGATACATTCACCTCGTAGGCCGGCTACACCCGTCGTACGAGTGGTGAACCAGCAGTGATAAGATTGACTTGTTCTGTGTCGGAAACGGATTAGACTGATCCAAATATATGATTCTGAAGTTGGTTTGATTCACGATTCTCTAACCATTTTTTTACCCTGTCTGCTTACATGTAGATAGAACTTGTGCTTGAGTAACCAAATATCCAAATCATTGTGTATTCATGTGAATTCACCTGAATGAAACGATCTACTTCACTGATTTCTGCCGGTCAGCATTCAGAAATGATAAGTGAAGCGAGAAATGGCCTAATCCTAGATATACCAGCCGAATCGGGATTATCCCCAGCTCTACTGAATCCCAGAAATACAATTGAGTACATATCTTGTCTTTGTCTAGGATACATATGTGGCAAAAAAAGTAGGAATACATGTCTTCCCATCAATGCCAAAAGATGCAGCTTTGAGAACACACATAGTCCTGAACCTTATACATAGTAACACAATGCTGTCACAAAGCGTGGCACCATGGATATACCAGGGACACGAACAGATTGCATTGAAGTATTGGATATGACCTGCGGATTGCCCTCAAGGTGCTTGTGTCACTTACGCTTCTTTTAATTGTAATACAATTTATCAGGCATTCATCGTTTTATGTCAGAATGGTAACATAATGAAATATGTTCTGAGTGCACCCATGCATGAGATATACACATTAATTATTCACTTTCCGTTTTGGGAGCTTAGGCGAAAATATTCATCATTATTACAAATTCAACAAGCATTCTATTATCACACTCTGATCACACCTACCGGAAGATTGTTGAATATGCAAACATACTATATGAATATCATGGGTGTGATATTCATATTTAGGGGCAAGGGGCAAAGGCACCCCCCTCCCCCTTTCCCTTCAGATCCGACTGCGTGAACTAAAGCTTCATGAGGCCTCATATTGGCTTTACCTGCTAGTCTCCAACCAGACATACATTTAGATCAAGCATGGGTGAAGCCTCCTAGAAAATTGTTGGCAAAACGGGACTCGGTTACACGTCACTGTATGTTTATCTATCTCTAGTCAAGGGACTATCCCCATCGATCTCTCTCTCATTGTCGATATATCAGCATCAACCACGCTTCGTCGCCCCACTCGACATCTCTCTACATGTTTGATGTACTATTTATAAACACCAGTCTCAAAGTTCCCTAACCAGTCCTATCTCAAATGCCATCTGAGAATATTGCTTCTAAAATCATTTTTGTTGTACATGTACGTTCCTCACTGTCTCTGTATTTTCTGAGCGTGTGAACCAAATTTATATGATATTATCTTGTTTTCCTATTAATTGATTTTCTTTCTTTGCCGAATGAGCTATGATAATAACAATAACAATGGTACTACTAATAATAATACAAATTTCACTGAGATATTGATTTCAAAGGTTACGATGTTAGTGAGGACTTGGAAAATGTGTATTTTCTAAGAACATGTATGAACTCTAAAAGGTCGATTAGTGATGCAGGAAAATGAAAATATGATGTTTGTTTTGGGAGGTGGGATAACAACAAAGATGATGATAAAGTAGCTAAATCTTAGCTCGTTGTATCTCAAACACTGGGCAGCTTTGCCCAGATTGATATTTTGAGCTTCAGAAGCAAATGGCCCAAATTTCTTTATCGAAATGTTATCCCTTTTCAAGTTACAACGATCACGTACATGTATAAATCTTTACTTTATCATGGTTGGTTGTTCTTCACAAAATAGGCCTTTTCCTCATAATGACCGACTCTCAATTTTGTAAAGGTTAGATGCATTATGGATAATGGATATATCGTTTTTGTTCAACAAACAACCGCCCTTCATATTTTTGAGAAATATCGTTCCACCGCATGACAAATAGAAATGTAAATACTAATCGAATTATTAAGATTTGATTCCCACGATAAAAATAAAATCCACTTAGTTGCGTTCAATAACCTAGCTGCATTGGGATGAACTGAAAACACGCTTCTCAATCTCAGTATTTATAATGATTATAGGTCATACTTTCATCTTCTTTGTACTTGTGCAAAGCAAAGAGTGTGGTAAATGCGGTACATGTTTGTTGGAGGTTTCCGTATGTACACATTTCTCCTGTTTTTTTCTTCAACGAAACATTCTTTTGAAAGTCACAACCGTTGCAATACAAGTTAACAGAATGAAACGTAAATTTTCATGTCGTTTTTAATGATCGTTTCATATCAATCACCGCTGTTTCCAATCGGCAATTCTAAACAGTCCTTGCGATATTATGTATATTACTTGCAAAATTTGAATTACTATATACTAAGGTACTTTCTTTCTTCAAAGCCGCAATTAGCCATGATAATTTCGTGTGAAGCAATCAGTGCTTTTTCAAGATCACCCAAATTTGTTGAATCACTTCAACCATGTCTTTGTAGGTCACAAACTCATAATCAAATAGAGCGGTGGAGAGTGACATCGTAACAAAGCTCAACGACAGATTTAGGCATTATAATACTTCAAGGTCCACATCTCAACAGATCACAGTTGTAATTCTATTTGTTTTGTGTCAAATTTTGAAGAAGGCCAACAGCAAAATCAAATCGATTTTGTTTGTTCACCGAACTTGCTTCCGTCACCCTTAGACATACAGAGTGACTGCATCAAGGAGTAGCCATTGTTATTATTTTTCTTTTCAATTATTAAAGGGGCGTGGAAGGGGGTATCATTTAGTTGATCTAGGGGGTGGGGATCATTATTCTTGTATGTGAATGTGATGTTTGTATCACTATGTGTTTTGATAGAAAACAAGTGATATAGTGGTAACAAAGGCCTGATGCGGATGTCCCTTCGAATATGAAAACTGTATCATTTGACAAGGGTATATCGCTCGGATGGCCAACTGAAAGACACATGTAGTACTTTATGCATATTTAAAGTACATGGTGTATCCTTGGTGTACCCTCACAGCGCCTGGAATTGCTGTGAAAAGTACCATTATCTTGATAATCATGGCGGTGGGGTGTGAACATGAACCTACTACAAAGTAGGTCCATGGTGTGAGGGTGCTGGGGGGCTAGCCCCGATTATATCGCACCTGTCAATTCATATTTGCTAGTGAGGTGGTATATGTGTTATTTCAAATATTGTCTTGATTATTTACTATATTTCAATGACAACATTGGATGTCACTTGTAATGTCGAATTTGTTGCTTTCCCACTTTGCTTAATTTGAATATGTAGGTTTCTTTTTAACTGAATGTTGATATTCGGGGACTAGGAGACGTCAGCCCCCCCCCCCCCGCGCAAAGATTAGCCTCTACGCCTATATGCCACAATGCAGTCAGAGCTCACCAAAAAGTTTTCATCAATTACCATATTACGCCGCTATTTTAATGGGTTTCATTTGATGTTCATAAAATTGCTCATCCATCATCATGCTTGCGCGTTTTTGCTGTTTGATTGAGAGGAGTCAATATTGACTTTGTTCTTATGATTATGAACTTGAACAAACTTAATTGTGTAGCAATACGCTCCTGCTTGTTGAACAATATTTACTCTTTACTTCATGGAAATAAAAATAAATGTGGAAAAGTGCGTTGTGGTAGCATAGCGGGAAGGGGGTGGGCTGCAGGAGGAACATTAGATGCGATCCTCGGACCCGGGGTGTATAATTGGTTTGGTTTGGTTTGTTTTTATTAACGATCATAATATATATAAATAAAAACATCATAACACATAAAGAAACGAATCTAAAATATTTACAAGGTCTATTCTAGAAAAATAAGATGTTAAAATTAAAATGAAGATCGAGGGATCGCCCGCTTATTCCTCGGGTCCAAATTTTCGGGATTTCAAGGCAGCTACACCATATCCTTCGATCCGGAAAAAAAAGTGTTTGACCCAAACATGAGCGTTTGTTATTGTTTTGTGATTTTGTAATATTCCCTGTCCTACACTTCAAGGGGGGTGGGTAGTGGCGTCACCCTATTCTGGATAAACCATTGTGTAAGCACTAAGCACTATAATACCTTTATTAGTTTTTTTTTTACACATATATTTGTTGTAAACGTCAAATTAAAGAATCGAAGGTACACAACATGGTATATGAGCTATTATCCTAATTATTGGTAGGTGATTCGGAAGACAGGCTCACGAATAGTCAAGGTAAGATTTCAAAACGGAGCTGATGGTCGTTCATACAAGGTTATAATCCTCTTTCCACTTCAGTTAATGTCAATGGACCATGATGTGCAAGACGAAGAACTAGAGGCATGACAAGAAATAGGAGACGCTTGCTGTTTGATCACAGCCCGATTTACCATGTTTATAGGGCTACTTGTCGGGATGCACATAATGTACCCGT